AGGGACGCCGAGATTCCAGAGTATCGCCGGCCGAGCGTGCCGAGTCCATCGTTTTCGCAGCTGCGAAGCCGTGGATCCTGAGCAATGCGGATTTGCACTGTATGCCCGTATCCGCCGCTGGCTTGATGAGGATCTTCACGAAATTTCACATCGGTACCATCGTGCCACGGCGGGGACGTACGACATTCAGCTGTCGCGCTCAATTCCTTCTGGAATGTGGAGCCTCTTGACGCGAGGCGCACGCACGCATACTACGGTATTTCCACCACGCCAATTCCGAGGTTCAGCTCCAAAAGCAAAAGGCAAATGCAAAATGCAAAGTCCTCATCCCTTCCCTCGATTCGGTACCAAATCTACCAGATCTATCGATTATCACACGCCCCCAGATCCAAGGGTCCACCCCCCTCAGAATCCTGCTTTTCTTTTACGAACAAAAAATAAAAATAAAAAACGCACATGCAATTCCGAGGAATATGGCAATCTCGAAATCCAGATCTGAAGGCTCTCTCTCCACCCAATGGGACGATATGGGGGCATTTAGCTCGATGCAGGCTCGATGCAGGCGGGTGCTGTTCCTTGAAATTCAATCTTTCATCTTCCTTCCCCTCTCTTCTCGGCGCGCAGCGGACTAGTCAAGTGCTTGCAGTAGGCTGTCGAGCCTATTTGCAGATAGACGCGCCACGATTCGTCGCGGCGCGAGCACGCACGCGTCGGAAGGGATATATAAAATTTCCACCAAGAAGTTGGACACCGAGCTGGAAGTGAGTGGGTGGGCCGCAGCCTGACAGAATTATTGACCGAGTGGACGGGTAGACGAAGTAGAGGGAGGGGAGGGGGTTAAATGCTAATATAGATACGCGGCGGTAGCTGAGATGGGATGAACTCTTTTGTTGGAGTGAAGACGAATCGGGCATTTTCTTTGAAGTTGAGGGTGGTGCTTAAGAGATGTTACTATTGAGCTGCCAACAAACATAATTTAATTATCGACACGGCGGCTAATAATTGCGCTTCCTTGGCAAACGCCAACTCTCTCAAAATCGTAAAGGCATATTCCCAGTCAAGAAGCTTGAGATGAGGTTACAGTGCTTTGAGATTGGATAGTGTGTTCGGCTAAAAGGGGCAGATTTTCAGTGGAGCCATGTGAAATGACGTAAATGCTCGCGGCCACAAGCTTCGTACGCGAGGCGAGGCTATTTTAGGGGCGATGCGTGTCGGTTCCGGTGGGGATACTCGGTGAAGTGTGGGGAGAATTTTAAGGTGCATGGAATTGTGCTTTTATGCATGAACCTTCTTTCGAATCCCATCTCAACGCTATCTCGAAATCAAATGCGTTTGCATCTTCGAACTTTCTCCACTGCAATGAGATGGTGACACCCTCACGAGGATTGATGCTGTCCGTATCCAGAGCTGTTTCTCCCATTGTTGGTGGATTTTGGAGGCGGAGGTCTCGGCCGGGAGGGAAGGTTTCGGGAGCAGCAAACGGGATTGTTTGGACGTCAATCGTTTGAAATTCTTCGTGAGAGGGACAGGAGAGGCTGGAAATGCAAGGAGGTCTCAAATGTCGACATCCGCGTTACTTCCAGATCCACCAGTCAGAATGCATAGATCTGGACATCACTGAGATGAGATGAGATTGGGTCGTACGGTTGCGTGACGGCTGCCCTGCGAGCCAATCCAACAAGAGAGCAGGGGTGAATCTCCGTCCCCTTACGGAGGGTAGATTGGCTTCCCCACGTCCAGCCTCCTTTTAAATCGGTCCTAGCAAAGATCTTCCAAACGGGCCGCAGAAGAGGCCAGTTCTGCTTTGCTGTTCAAAACTCACCTTACTCCGTAGATGTTGTGTTGATAGGGCTGGGGGCGAAATGCATACGGAAGTGACAGACAAGGAAGGTTTCACGGCCTGGAGAATCGGACGTTGCGATTGGAGTCTCTGTGCGGAGCGGGTTTCTCGGGTTCGTTTCTGCAACCCCCAGAGCACCGCCGCGGGAACGAGGTGGGAAGAGATCCCTATCGTTTTTCTTCCATGGAAGAGGACCGAGCTGAAAGCAATCGACGGCAATTTTCTGACGGGGTTGGAGGTAAGACCCACCGGACTCGTATGAGGTCTTTGACGTGATTTTTATTGTGACAGCGAGGAAGAGAGTTTGATGAGGTGAGGAGGAAAAGGGGGAAGACGGGAGAGGGACGAGGGAACATGCGATGAAATACCATAAGGGGCGGTTGATTACCGAAACGGGAAGATCAGATCTTAACACGGAGAATTATTTATGAGAAGGCGGATATGAGGCACGCACTCGAAGTTATTTACGTGTAATTGTGGATCCCGCACGTCAAGGCTCTAGAAACATACGGGCTGGGTAGGGTTTGGTTTGGATTCAAAATGCAAAGCCCAATTGTGCATGAAGCTATCCAAACTGAAGATCGAACGAGAGCTGCTACGGCACAGCCAGCCATGACAACCCACGAAATGCACAAAATAAAGATCGATAAACATGGCCTGGCAGCAGACCTCGACCGGACATATCCAGATCTCATGTTGATTGTCTTGGGACGAATGGGCGCTGTGCAGATTGTCTATTGTGCTGCGATTTGCTGCATATATCTGCACACGATCAAGGCCGCCGCCGCCTGCTTCGCGTGGAGCGTGATCTCATGATTATGCACGCACTCTGCTCCGCAGCTGCAAGAAACGAAGTGGCATCGAGGCGGGTCTTGGCCGTGGCCCACCGCAGACATCAGGCCTAGAGCCGAGTGAGAAACAATTCCCCTCGCGGCGTTCATTCGTTCTAAGCAGACGCCGGCGATGTATCAAAAGACGAGGTGCCTTGGTTCCTTGGATCCGTGGACATGTGTGTAAGTTATTTGGCTGGTGGAATGGTGCTGGCTCCTGCAGTGCTGCGAGCAAGGGGCTGCATGACTGCTCTGCTGGTGGTGCCCCGAAAGCAGAGCCAGCGTGGAGTCGGCGACAACCCATGAGGACGTCCCGGGACCAATAACCACCATGTCGAGATCCATGGAAGCAGCATGCAACCTTGTTCCTGGCCTGCCAGATCCTGACCTGTCGCCCAGAGTGCGTGCAGCAGCCCATCAGCCATGGAGCCGGCCGGCAGGCCAGCAGGCCAGTGAGGTGTGAGAGCAGACGATGATCCAGTTGCAGCTCGCTCCGCCATCAACACACGCTGGATCCTCAGAGATAGTCGCGTCAGGGCGGGCGTGAAGCGTGTTCGTCAGGTTTGGTCAGCAGCGTCACTCCTCTGGCCAGTCGCTGGCCAAAACGCGCTCACGATCAAGGTTAACCAAGGTTGTGGTCGTCCCGCAACTGGGGGGCACGAGAGAAGGCCTGGCTGTGGTTGGCAGATGTATTTTGACCAGCGTAAGCTTTCACGCTTTCACGCTTCACGCTTCGCCAGCCCGCCAAGCTGCTCATGCTGATTGATGCTCGAACAATGGACTAGGACTAAGGTAGCCCTGGCCCTGAGCTGTGCGCGCTGCAAATCTGCTGCGTGCTTCAGCCGGCCTGAACTGCCTTGGTGGTGGCTCGCCGCTGCTGCTGCTGCTGCTGCAAGCGAATTTGCGAGCTCTCCTGCGTCCTCTCGCTGCTCTCGTCTCCACCGCGCAGCCTTCCCGCAACCGGCCTAGCGCGCCTCACCACCAGAACCCGTTCTGCTGCTCTCACGACACGGCTCTCTTCCTTTAACCTCCTCTCTCTCCATCCTCCTCCTCCCTTCTTCTCCTCTCTATACCCTCGAGACCTCACCATCTCACCCCGAGGGAAGGAGGACCCCCCACAAGACAATTGACAGCCCGCTACGTTGACGACAGTCGAGAACCTGTGATGCCCAAGTGCACCAGATCCCTCGTCTCGTCGGTCCGTACCTGTCAATTCAGATCACCTCGAGGGAATTAATTCACCCACCGCCCGACGCTTCAGTCCCTCCGCCTCATACCCTCTCCTCCCGAACTCGGATTGAAACTTGGCCTCTCGCCAATTTCTTCCCTGGACCTTCCGCCGTTCCTCGATTCAATCGACTGTCTCTTCGTGTCTGCCGACTCCCCTTTTCCAGATCTGCCTCGATATCTATCGAAAGCTCTCTAGAATACCTCCATCACGATCATTGAGTGACATCTCGAGTGGTGATCATCTAATTGAATTGTCAGCTTGTCACGGAATTTCCAGATTCGATTGGCACCTTCAGTTTTAAGATTACGCTCCACCCAGGTAAAGCAGAGATAGTTGACATCTAAAGGTAAGCTTCAGCTTCCACCCTTGACTCCAGCTACCCTTCTTGTCTTTGGGACGATCTAGGCTGACCTTTTCTCCCTTGCCTAGCATTTGCATGCCAACAGTCGCGTATCTGGTGGCATTCTCCCCATCTCCTCCCGACCACTCGGCACGCACCAACCCACCCACACTACGCAACCGCAGGCTGGAGACGTTCACTCGTTCATCCGCCTCGCAGATTACCACGCAATCCAGAAGACTGGGACGATTGTCAGGCACTCACGTTCAAGTCAGCAAGGGATCTACCACTGTCCAAGAACGGGAGCTTCCAGTCCCCGTATCTCCTATTGGTACGTTCTCAACCGCGTGATAGAGCATTCCCCATGAACATCTCCATCTTTCTCCCCCTTTTTTGTTGCTTCTGTGGCTTCCAGACCTGCATCCCTTCGCTCCACACTACCACGAAAATTTTCGCTGACTTCAGCCTTGCACAGACCCACGATATAAGTGATCTTTGACCGGCCATATCGGTCTCATCACCTTGGATACCAACGGTCTCAAGTTCTCGGCAGTCTCGAACTAGCCACTTCATTCATTTCCGTATAATTCTGACCCAAAGCCGCTCACTAATCTAATTCGTCGACTGTACTTGTTCTCTGGACAATACAGTACATTCCTTTCACCATTGAGCACTGTCGGTCGAAGCTCCTGGAGAACTTGACGTCCACTCTTTCTAGTGCTCGATTCAACGACCTCGAAAAATCCTTCACCATTCAATATGGCGTACCACCGTCAACCCTGCGATAGTTATTTTGTGGAGGAGGCCTACCCACAGCGTGCTACACAAGAATACTTAAAGATGATGGGCCGTCGGAAGCAAGAAGCAATGGCGAATGAATTATCGAGGCAGGCGTGTGATGCTTACATTGAGGACATCGTCAATCACATGCAGCAGATGGAGGTCAATTTACCTTGACTTTCAGTTTCGGCTAATATATGCTAATCTTCTTTCAGGACGAGACACTTCCTGACGTTGCCTCGATAGACATCCAACAAGAGATCCAATGGTTCATGAGACCATACCTGATCGACTTCCTTATAGAAGCACATGCCGCATTCCAACTCCTCCCCGAAACCCTCTTCCTTGCCGTCAACCTTCTCGACAGATATTGCTCAAGGCGTGTCGTCTACAAGAGACACTATCAATTGGTGGGATGTGCTGCACTTCTCATCGCGGCCAAGTATGGTGATCGCAAAGAGAGAGTACCAATGATTCGGGAGTTGAAGTCCATGTGTTGCTCACTTTACGACGAGGATATGTTCACACAAATGGAATGGCACGTCTTGAATACGTTGGAATGGGTTATCGGGCATCCTACCGTCGACACTTGGTTGCAGCTTTCCTTGAAGGATGGATCCGCACACGAGGATGTCGAGGTCGAGCACATGGCTTGGTACATCTGTGAAATCGCCCTTTACCACAAAGACTTTGTTTCGAAAAAGCCTTCCATCATGGCTCGTGCTTCGTTGGCCTTGGCACAGGGTATCTTGGGTCGGTCAGACATCACCTCCGAACATGATGTTGAAGTGAGCAAGACCATCTTGGAACTTTCGCACAAGCTCGATCGTCCTTCGCAAGTTCTCTTCCGAAAGTATGCCGCACCTCACATGTCTCGAGTCTCCATCACCCTCGACCAATTCCTCCAAGAACAAGAAGCCCTGAACAGGCAAGCCAGCCCACCTACACCTCCATGCGAGCCGGTGATGCAAAAGCCAACCATGTCAATCAATGCCTTCCCTGGCACGCCACAAAAACCTTATGGCAATATGGTCCATGGTTACATGACACCTCCCATCACACCAGAAGGCGAGTACTTTATGAATGGCAATGAAATCAAGGGATATCATGCAGCACCACGATGTCCCGTCACACCTACCCCAGCAGGGGCTCTTTACATCCCGCAACAGCAGTACCAACCATATCAAGATATGACAATGCATTGATCCCGCATATATCGGACTGCCTCTTCTCTTCTTCTGCAGCACCCCACCTCGGAGCTGCATCTGCCTCTCTCATATGTAGTACCACAATTTGTATCGACTTCACATTCTCAAAACAGCGGCGAATTCACGAAGCGAAAAAGAACTCGGTCTCGGTCTTCCTACTTCATCAAAAGAATTCATTCATCTGTGTGGCATAAGCGTTTCCTTCCTCGTCATCTCCGGCATTAGCGCTTGATTTTCCCCTGGGCCTTCCACATCTGCGTCGTTGTTTGTCGTTATGTTAGCGAAAATTTCCTTCAACTCTTTTTCGACCTTCTTTCCTCTTCCCGATCTCGTCAGGAAGAGGAGTTTATTAGCGTGGAATTCGATCTGATCTCGATTGCGATACCACTTTTTCCTGCACAGCACCTTTGATTCATTTGAGCGAGCGAATCGATTTGATCGAGGAAGAGAAAATAAATCATGGTTGGCTGGCTGGGCGGCGGGCAAAAATGGGTGGAAATATGGGATGGATGGATGGATGGATGGATGGGATAGATTGCTACACTACATCGTCGACTGCTTCCTTTCTGAGGAGAGCTTGGATGGATCGACTGGATATTTGCTGGCTCTCGAATGCGAGGGGTCTTGCTGGATGGAGGGAAGGGGTTGCATGAGAAGATGCAGTGGATGATACCCAGTGCTTGCTACGGTGGAGAGAGGTACAAGGAAACAAACAAATGACGAGAACAAACAAACAGGGGAGCTGTGCCAAGCGCATGGTTTGCTCGATAGATAGTTAATTGAGGCATGCAAGCACACAGATCCTCTCTCTTTGCCTTTGAACTGTGATGTGACGTTTTCGGTCTAAGCTTCTCCATTTGCTCTGCTCTGCCTGCTCGCTCGCCTTCGGGGGGGCTGCTTTAATCTAGCGTTCCAGTGGGAAGAATTAAAGTGAATTCTGGTTGTTCGGGTAATGCGAGACCAATGAAGAGGGGAGGGGGCAAGGAAGTGTGATGTTCTCTGGTTGACCGCCGGGAGAACCCGGTTGCCAGGGAGAGAGAAGGGTGAGATCTTGAAAATAGGGGTAAAAGGGGGGTCTCGCTTAAGTTAAAGTGGGGCGGCATTCTTTGTTACAACGAGACGTGGCAACGATGACAACAGAGCAACGAGAACATCAAATTTTGGTTGGGAGTTTAGAGGGTGTGTGTATTATCCGGGTGTAGTGCTGGTAGAGTGGGGACAATGGTTGCAGAATTGGGGTAGATGGGGAAGGGAGAATGGAGAAAGGGAGAGCGCGAGGGGCTGGGTTGAGGTTAGGAAATGGAAAATGACAACATCAAGGGCTATGATGGCCAGGAGATTGATAGAAATAACTCGAACTTGCAAGTTGTCAACTTTCGTTCTGTGGAATAGCGTTAGTGCGTCGAGTCCTTGCTTATGCTCTGCGGGGTCCGCTATTTTTAGATACTTCTTTCTACCTTCACCCGACCTCGATCGCAGAGTAATGTACTAGAGAATAGTGGTAGCTCGACCTAATTCCATCGTGACAAGGACAGCGCAGGGGCGGGCGTTTTGTTTTTATATCAGGCAATCACGCATGTTCTTTTCTTGTCACTAAGGAATGTGTATTGTATAAGTCAAGAAAAGGAGCAGGCGCTCACATGCATTTCCGCACCTTGTTCCAGCCAGCGCGCCTAGTGCAAGTCAGTCCCAGCAAAGCGAGGAATTGCCGACGAGTACTTCACTCTCCTGCCTTGAGCTTTTCGTTAAATCGCTGTCACTGCAACGATGAAGCGAAATTATAAAGATAAAACGAAGGGAAGACAGAACTCGGCACCTACTGGTGGATCTGTGACGCCGTGGGTTTGAGTGCGGGGGCACGCGCAAGGACAGTAGGGAGTTGGGGTGGCGGTTGGAGGAGGGGGATAGCGAGGGAAACCGGAAAGAGGTTTTTCGAGTTCTTGTATTAGGAAGTAATAGCAACGAGAGTTTTGACGGCAATAAGAGCATTGACATAGTAGACGGGAAATGGAATTCGGAGAAAGAGGGGCAGATATCATGAGAAGAGCTTTTTATTCATTGTTCAAGTAACAAATTGCGCTTTCAAGTTCAACGAAGGCCCTCTCTTGAAAGTCGTTTGCCTGCGCTAGGGACAATACAGCTACAGATATCTAAGCTTCATTGTTAGGTAAGAATTCATTATCCAGATATTGCTTTTTTATGCTCCCACTTATCATTTAGCCTTATAAAGGTAGGCCGATAAAGAAATTATAGGACTGCTCTTTGCTTAAACAGCTTAGGCTTTGATTAAAAGGAGACATGGCAGCGACAACGACGAAGCAACTCAAGATATACATGGACCAGGGGAATGAATGATGGCGGGGGGCAAAGTGGATGCGGGTATCAAAAGCTCTAGGCGTGAGAGTGGGGGATAGTGACGCAGTAAACGGACTTAAGCTTGTGGGTTTGGGCAAGTAGATCCAATAATAATGTGTACCAGGAAACGGGTTGAGGAGGGGAAGGAGCAATGGCGACAAAGAGCTTAATAACAACACCGAAACTTGATCCTTCATAATCAAGCACTGGCAGATTTACTGAGAAGTTGGCTTTTGAGACCGAGTGTATACTTCAATGAGGAATAAATACGGTCTGTTTCTGACCAGAAGAGAAGGGAATAAAACGATCGCCGGTACAATGGTTGGAAAGAGGGGAAGACAGTAGAAAACTGGACAAGTTGACGACAACCAGCGAGAGTGAGACAACGATAAAGAATTTGGCAGCGCTGTAGAAACTCATGTACATAGCGCTTCTTTTACAATTACTAGCAATATCTAAGAAGGTTGACTTTCGCGAAGTAAACATTTGCGAAATTAAATACTGATCTGTCTTTAATCGTGTTAGTAATTGTGCAACGTGTCGGATAGTATTCTATACCGTCAAATCCTAAGTTAGTGTATGTTGGCATTGTATTAGAGCCCACGGCGTTTTATACTAACCAAGGAGAATAAATCAAGAAAAGGCTGATGATCTTTACGCTATGATGCTCAAGTAGTTGCGATCGGGTTTGTGTCTGGGGCAAGAGCTGTCTTGTGAAATTGCTTACTATCGTTTCCGTTAAAAGGCGAATAAAGAGGAGTAGACATGATAGCAGCACCTATTAGATGCACTCCTGGCTCAATGGGAGAACACAACACGAAAGGTATGCTTCAAAGAGCAAAGAATAAGGCTATACTTCTTTGAGCGGAGGCGAAGGGGGGATCAGGGTACTAGAGCAATCGTCAGGAAGTGTTTAGAAGGGCGAAAGCCGGACGACACCCGGTGTCGGTTGGCAATGACAAGAAGTTTGACAACAAAGCTATACGACGATTCTCGCTGCAAGCATTTAAGCTCATAAAACAGAGGCAATCTGAAGTCGCCTGTGCTGCACATCCGTAAGCTTGCCCAATCGATACACTGACTTGTGACAAAGTGCTCCAGGCAGGATGAAAGGGCCGGAGTCACTGATTAGTTCGTTCCGGGGAAACCTGGATTTCTCAAGACCTGAGGTTATCCAGTGGGTATACCGGGGGTAAGAGTAACATGAATGTCGTAACAGGTACCATGAAGGCGAGCAATGGGGAAGGATAATGTGGACTCAGGAGGTGACCAGGAGGAGAAGGGAGAGGTATATAAGTTAGCTTTGATATAGCTGGAATCCAGGTGGCGTACCGGAAGAAACGGTCATTGGACGTAGAGAAGGTGTTGGAAGATCGTTCTCTAGGGTCGGATAAGCAGGAAGATATTTGAGGAGTGGTGGAATATGTGATTCAGGTTGGTGAGGCAGGAGGGGGAAGATCAAAATATCAAAATTGCGAGACTATAAGTAACTACGTGACATTAGAGTGGGATTTGATAGCAATGAGAAGGCGGCATTTTCTAAGCTTCTTAGGCCTCAATACCGCCTTGTTATCCAAGTTTTACGACTTTTGCTCTTGGATAAACGAACAGTTCACTATAACGCGACTTTCCCTGTTCGGCCGTTACCCGTGAAACGTGAACAGATTCAATACCTCGAGAATACCGAGAAAACTTTACCGGTGCCTACGTAAGCTTTGAGCCCTACTTTTATTTGCTTTGCAATTCCTTCATAGATTTCGACCCTAGGGAAAGAATCAATTCTGAACACTAAGAGGATGCAACGTCAACGAGACAAGAATCTTCTTCTCTATGTGGCCAGTATTGAAGACGTTCGGTGGTTATGAGCGACTTGGGGAAATGTAGTTCGTCGAACGAACGGGACGGCCGAAAGGCGTCAGTCCCACGCCAACTGAGGGACGGAAGTCTACAAACAAGAGAAAGCGTCAAATCGACGATGACTACCCTTTGCGATGACCCGTCGACACTTGCGAGCCGCGTCATTCCCGATACAACAAGCCCATCTGCCTGCTAAAGCATCTCTTCCTGTCCCATATGAACACAGTCCCCAATGCCCTGGAGTATTATGGAGAGATGTGGAAGGACGGTCAGGAGTGACAACGAAGGGAGAATTGATAGCAACTCGCTTACAAGGTTGAAATATAGTCGTATGGCCGAGAGGTCAAACACTTTCAAGCGGTCGGAAGGGGAGAACAGAGGCACTTTGGCTTACGCTGTACAATTAGACAGCAATAAATTACCAATGTCACAGAGTATAATTTATCCAAAGGACCGCTGGCGAGATAGAGATCCTCATTTTCTCGTCGTTCTTTCTTTGCAGTTGTGCAGCTTATTGTTCCTGCTTCCACCAAACCGTCGACGTTAAGATAACGTTCCGCACCCCGGTGGCTTCTCCTCACTTACCACATTACCTACGAAGGTAGAAACTAGACATCCTTTTAAACGCCTAAGAGTAAGTCTCTAAGTGATCTCTTACCTCTGGCAAGACCTTACGCATCCACCACGGCTACGCGTCAACCTGTACCTTCACAACTTAACGATTCCCAAATATTTCAAATATAAGACCGTATCCGTATTCATCTGGTCAGGCACGGCTGATTCTACTGTGTTTTCCCCAGCCAACTCATCCCACGCCCCAAATCTAGCAGATACCTCTCGTAATCTGCACGAAAGAGGCGTTGAGCTAGGGACAACCTGGGGCAGGAAGCGGTACAGTGATGCAGCGTAACTTTATTGGTGTAATATCCCGAGCAAATTACAAAATATCGACATTAAGCTCTACGAGGCACAAACTTTTCAACCCTCGAAGTAGATTTGAGATCGTGATGGGGTTCAAAAAACATTACCAGTCGCGTTCACCACCCTCAACTTGTTATGACTCTAGTGGCATAAATTGTAAGGCAGAATGTAATGTTGTTTTTCGTTGACATATGTTTAGTATCCATGTGAGAGCTTGTTGTACAGCGCAATTTCCGTGCAAAAGTGATAGGCGACGACTTGAAGACTCGCTTAGCAGAAAAGGGGTAGTATGGTCACGTGAAATTTGATTGACACCCCTCAGATCTGTCTAACGTGTTGATCCAAAGAATCCCACCACACCCCCTCTTTTGCCTCTCCTTGCCTCTCACCTTCCCCCATCAACAGCCCCTTGCGGTGCAAGCTGTCCGTCGTTCTCAAAGTATGCCGCCCCACCTTTCCTATTTTTGTTTGTTTAAATTATTTGGATTCTTGGTGGGGTTTTTGTCATTTTCATGAGCAAGGCTTCACTCTACGTTAATTGGTGAGTTGCCAAGCTGTCAAGCGGTCATCTTGTCACTCTCACTTCGCTTCAGGGTGGAGTGGACTGTAGCTGAGGCCATTTGGGACATGACGACAGAGGTTCAAGCGCTTTCTTATCGCTCTCGATCCTTTGGCCTTTCTTCTTTTTCTTGAAGTGACGGTGTCTAAATTTTATCGTAGGTATGAGATTAAGGCTTGAACTGCGCGGAGTGGGGAAAATGCTATGGATGTGTGGAGGGAAAGGGGTGAGCACTTGCACGCAGTGTTTCAATGTCAAATTTCACAGCCTGTGCAGAACAGGCCAATGCACTGTTGGGATACTGTGGGTGAGTCTGGCCTCTGGCTCTTGGGATTGAGATTCTGGCGCAAGAGTGCGAAAGGCGGCTTGCAGGTGATTCGCCTCTAACATTCCCCCTTTACCGCCTCTATTTGTAGCTTCTCAGTGTGGCTGAGCGCCCCGCATCGTATGTGGGATTGAGTAGAGATTAATCCAGACTGGAAAGACTTTGGCAATAACACCGACAGCGGCATGCCTAGCAATGGCCGTTGTTTATGTCTCTTGTTGCTAGTAGCAGACTCGGATCTCATTCACCGAGTTGGACACAAGAGCTATGCCCTGGATTCACGACTCCTTATGTATGAGACAACAAAATTCAGGTTGATAGTAAGCTCCCAGTTAATAGAAAAAACATTTCTCTCCAAGGTATTCAGAACCAAGTTTTGATGTACGACCCTGAGTTCTGAAAACGGAGTCAGTCCTATGTAGATAGCAGCGAGGTGATACCGCCATTTGTGCGTCTCAATTTTGATAAGTGCCACATGAACCCCGATTGGACTTCCTTCGTTTGCTTGCACGCCTCAACCTTTCTCCATTGAGTGGCTTTGAATGGTAGGAAAACATCTTAGCATTCCCATACTTGCTGGGCAGCTCTTCCTTGAGCCTCAGCCTGTCGAGGCTTACATTTCTCTCCTAAGCCGCCATTCTCTCTTTAACCTTTCATCCATTTCTATGTCAGCAGCCTTAGCTTCTCCTTTTCTGATCAGTATTAACGTATAAAAGAGCTCACCCAATGGTGCTCTCTCTGTCTCATACTGACACCGAGACTATCAGTATATACTGGCTGGTTTTCTTTTCCAGTGCAGCGAGCTCAGTTCAGAGGCAACGACCTGAAATGAAGTTTAGCTTTGGGCAAGGGTATGAAGAAACTGTATTCTCGGTATTGTTTATGCAGTACGGAGACGAACTCTCAATAATTGTTGTTTGTCTCGTATTGGGGTTCCAGTCATGTTGAGGCACCCCAGTGGAGCTTTTTATTCTCTTCCAACTTCACTTTTCACCGCATTATCATCAAGAAAAATGCACCAAGAATCAGGGTTGGCTCAGATAAATTACTATCGCTAATTATCCATTTCTACTAAGATTGCTGAGAATTACGGCATTGAGTGCTTTGCATCCTCCGTGAGGAGGTTACGAAAATATACTACTGGGACATACAAGAGAGGTATTTGAGACAAAAAATAGCAGTGAAATATTGACAATAGCAACGGACGTTCCCAAAAATCTGCAACACTATATACTTAGATGCGTGGTGTGGCACATTCTCACTCTGAGGCGCTCAAAAATCATACATTCTATTGTATCATGAATCAACTCTTTCACTCTTGTGTTCAACATGCGGTTAGTAAGCATGCTGCTCCTACTCCGACGCTAGAACTAATCACCCTCGGCTCACCCTCGGCTCAGCTCGCTCCCCTGAGCAGCCCCTGAGCAGCCCCCGAGCATCTCGCCGTGTGATTTTGCATTTCAGCTTTCTTTTTTATTTAGCTAATCCACGCTTGATCTGATCTAGCGTTCTCTTATGTCAATTCGTCAAGTTTGGACGAGATGTTTCTGGAGCTCGAACAAGTTCTTATGGATCCCAAAGTATATAACCAGCCCTCGATCGGTTTGAAACTAGCTGGAAATGGAGCGCCAGGGAAATGAGGCAAGACTCTCTTTCCCGTGCGCGTCGCACACAATCTCTACTCTTCCTTTCTGCCTCACCTCACGAGATCGTGTTCGAGGGCCCAGAGAACGCACAAGCTTTTTAAGGAGACTGTCCGAGAACGACCCACGAAACAAAAAGCCGTTTGAAATTCCAAGTTTCAAATCCCACCCAAATTGTTGGTTATTCGAACATTGGCGAATAGTATTTTGAAGTGGGATGGAAGAGCGGTGCCGAATGTGCCGCAACTTGCAGGACTGGTCGGCTTTGGGAGGGGCTGTCGTTTCGACGAACTAAATTGCGGTAACACAAACAGGGTCTCTCCAATCGCGCCACCTGCACCCTTCTCAAAACAGTCTTCCCTAACAAGGAGAAGGAGCGAGTAGGAAGAGGCCAACTTACGAGCGTCGAGAATGAGGTTAATTTGCTAACAACGCCTGAATAATGCCCTGGAGGTACTGGCATGAAATAAGAGAGCAAGTTCTAGCTTTGTCGTCGGGGAATGATTCAGGTAGATCCCGTTTGTCTGCAAGTCCGAAGTAGCAGCCGCGCAGGTAACACAAGATGTGGAGAAGTTGTCAAAGCCCGAACCGCCGTCCCCGCTTGGAACTGTCACTTCTGTCCCCCGTCAGTTTCGGAACAGGGGTTTGTCTGACACGACATGGCTCTTGTTGGTTTTCAAGCAAGGTATTTCTAGCAACTGTTATTTGACCTCAACCTCCCACATTTTGTGGCCGTTACCGCTCTTCCTTTATTTTCTATTTTGCCCTGCCCTTCATCCTTCTTAGTATTATGTTTGGAGCGACAAGCACATCATCCAGCCCATCCATTAGGAGCAGCGACGGCTGGACAAGTCAACCAACAACCATGAGCGGCGACTCGGATGCTACGAGCAGCCAACCAAAAGACCCGAGGAATTCCAAAAAAGATCCTGACTCGAATTTCACAGCTCCAAATCTCCAGAAGACGAATAGTTGGGTCACTAGAAACAAATTCCTATCGCCTGAGTTCAACGATATCAAAGATGAGGCCGAACTCGGGAATTTGATGGGGGACGATGGAGAGAAGCTGCTCGCAATTGTCGATGATATACGCAAAATTGACTCTCTCCGAAACGAGGAGCTTCATATCCCTCAGGTATTCGTTGCGCCTATCAAGCTTCATACCGTCGCTAACCTAAATTTCGAGATCGTAGTTGTTGGCGACACAAGCACTGGGAAGTCCTCCGTCCTCCAAGCCCTCACTCGACTCCCGTTCCCAGTCGCCCGTGAACTTTGCACCCGTTTTGTTACAGAGACCACGATCCGCCGGTGCAGCCCTTCAGAAAGACCTGGTTACATGGTCGAAGTGAAGATGGACGGCTCTAGTTCATCTCAGGCTGCACCTTTCTCACCCAAAAGCTTCGAATCCGATGAGTGGGTTGAGGTTTATCAGCACTTGAGGGAGGACATCGATGACGCCTTCAATAAGATGAGTCCGACCCACCTGCTTCCGCCTGGAATTTCCAAGAATGGGGTGCACCCAAGGCATGGGATTAGCTCAACGGACCTGAGACCACTTCCGATACCTCAGCTCCTAAAACATAGATTGCAGATCACTGTACGCAAACCGAACCAGGCTCACTTCAGTATTGTCGACATCCCTGGGCTCATCAGCAGTAAGCCTCTTTTGGAACTTCCACTTTTCTCATACATTTATCCTTGAGTTTGATGGGGTCGCCCACTTGCAGTGAGCTTACTTAAAGACAGATGGAGCGACAGTAGACATCCAACTCTCAATAGAATTAGCACGTCAGTACATCAAAAACGAACAAGCAATTGTTCTGTACGTCCTCTGCCTTTCCTTACTCCTACTCCCCTCCCATCCAATTTTCTGCGATATTTACAAGCTTACATCCTCTCACAATAGTGCAACTACACCTGCAGATGTTGTAATTGTGAATCAAAAGTGGCTCAATTTGGTCACGGAAGAACACGCACTCGATCGAACTATTGGTGTCATTACGAAAACTGACAGAATCGAGGAAATCAACCACGAAAGTGTTCGTACTATACATGCTACCCTTATTTTCCTCATGCTAACATAGTGCATCATAGACATTCAATTTGCTTAGAAATCGCGTGGGTTCCGAGTATCATCTTAAACTCGGTTGGTTTGCTGTGAGAAATCGCAATCCCAAGGAGGTCATAGACCGAGAATCGTTCGAAGAACGAGACAGGAAGGAGGACGTATTTTTTGGAGGCGGCAAATGGAAAGAGGTCACCTTGAATTTCCCCGCTTGGGACTCGATTGACCCCAACGTTCTGGGAATTCAGCGCTTGAAGCGTACTCTCCAAGGCTACCTCTACAAACGGGTAAAGGAAAATTTTCCCGGTCTGAGAATCAAGATGAGAAGTCTTGAAGTTGAGTATAATAATAAGATCCAAAGTATGGGCCTGCCGCGGGATAAGCCACGGGATCAACGAGTCTACTTGTCCGAGATCCAAACGATGTATGAAGCAGAGGTCGGACGATCCTTGAATGGCGAGTATCGTTTTGTGGACAACCCAAATCATCCGTCTCGTCTCAGATATCATGTTAAGAGATTCAACGATGGGTTTGACTCTGCAATGCGGCACAATGCGATCAAGTACCAGTGGCAGCTGAACGACCAAGACGATGAGGCTGACGGAATCGGAATCTTGGGCTGGATCAACAACACCTGGGACGCCCACATTGGCTCAGAACCTCGTCACGACGCACCTCGAAGTCTCAAAAAGGCACTAGTCAAACTGCAAACTGAATCTTGGGAAACAAAAACAAATTTTTACATCCAGCAGGTCGAAGGCGCCATCAAAGCCTGCAACAACGATCTGTTCGAATTTGCATGCAAGAATGACGCCTTACGTCTCAAGATCCGCGAGAAGCTCGAAGCGCGGGAAATGAAAGCATTCGAGGACGCCAAGGCTGAGCTCCACAACATCCTCAGGGATCGTGACTACATCGACAGCTGGAATCCTCAACTTGAGTTTTTCATCCAGGAATGCCAGCACCCTCGCATAGAAAGACAAGTGAAGTTACAGCTAGCGGAGCAGAAAAAGGCTGCGGCAACCGAGGCAAACCCATCTCAAGCATCCCTGGATCAGGTGTCAGCTCGCGCATTATTTTATTTTAACAACAAGAGGGTCTATGAAGTACACGACTGGCTGTATGCATACTGGAAAGTAGCGTATCCGAGATTCGTAGACAATGTCATTATTCAGGTTGTTGAGAGGCATCTGCTGGGTCCAAATGGACCGCTGAGGCTGTTCAACCGGAACTGGGTTGATAAATTGGAGGATGACGAACTCGAGGAGCTCGTGGGTGAAAATGAAGAGACGAGGGCTGCGCGGAAGGAACTGAAGGAGCGGTTGGCTGGATTGAAGAACGCGCTTGAGAAAGCCGACATTGCTTTGCGCTCAAGGACTTGATGGGTGAGACAAATTCTTTGGAATTCGCTACTGAGGGAATGAGGGAATGAGAGATTATTTTCCAGCCTTGTTTATAGCACGAGAGATAGATTGAGAAGACGCCTAAATCTGAAAAGGGAATATGTTCGGCCGACATATTCGCCTGCGGGACACTCCATCTCAGTTCAGCAGTTATCTGAATTCTCTTGTTCGTCTATTCTTTTGAATATTTAGTATAGCTTAGTAAGTCGTCAGCAATTTGAGACGAAGGGCTTTCGTTGCAAAGGACGTTTACCAAACAAATCTTCAGCAGTGCTCGGCAATCCAGAGCTGTGGTTCCACAGGCCTGCTACAGTCAGCGGGGTTCCACTGTCCGGTGCAAACCTAGTCAATATGTAAATAAGCTTGCTTGGCCAACATTGATGCTTAAATTGGGACGTTGAGTTAGTCGTACTAGACACTGCTCTTTGACGAAAGGGGCCTAGAATCGAGTGTGGTAGGAACCCTTGGTAAGGGAGCAGAATGGGCCCTAGAAAAGTCGGGCAGGGCAAGCGTAGCTGGGGCACACAGGATATCCAAAATGGGACCGAATTACGGTGGGCTGGCTGACTTGTTGAGTTCTCAGGATGCTCAGGCTCAGCTCAGGAATCATCGTCTTCTAAGCCTCACTAAGGTTCCAAGCATTACAAACTTAGGAATACGAGTTGGATGATTGCTGAGGGGCGTGAGGGGAGCCTAGATATAGGCCGCTCTACTGAGGCGGAAATAGAAACTCGAACTTGACCGCTACAGCAGTCTCGGCTGAGCAACAGTGTCCCCGCCTCCCACGATGTTAGATTTACTTGCAACCAAATGCCCGAAAGTTTTAATGTCGGAATGGGATTGTTTAATCTGCATCAATGGTTTGAATAGCCTGGAGAATGGCATCAAAGTTGACATGGACCAATGTAGGTATCACGAAATCAGTTGTCCAATTCTCAAAAAATCACATCCCACAATTCTCTTTGCAGAAATCAAGATTCCGTATTGTGTGCGGCGCGTATAAATATAGTCCATTGATTCTACATGCATTTCCAAGGCGAGAAGGAGCACGTACCACAGACATACTTGACATCCACCAGTGCCTTTTACTGGTGGGCAGCTTTTATTAAGAAAAGGCAAACCACTTTCCTATCCCGGGATTGATTCTCTGGCGGAAACCGCCAGGACTTCAGAAACTATTGAAGTTGCCGCCTTTACGGCCTGAATAATACTGAACTTGTCCCTGAGGAGGATATATTCCACCCTAATCTGTGCTATACCAGCACGGTATATGACTCGGTAATCGCATGGGGTAGCTAGGATAGCATTAACGAGGCTCAAGTTAGCCATTAAAACGTTCATAGGTCTGTATCTGGCCGCATAAGCTGTGGCATTGTGAAGCTTCTGCACAGGTTAATGCCTATCAGCAAACTTCTTGCAGAAGGATTAAATTGCCATATAAAGTCCCTTAAACTTGTCTTGTCGCTCGTTGAGCTCTTTTTCGATCTTCGAGACCTTCGCAGAAGTGAGAGATATATAAACTCATTCTTAGTAAGCGAATTGAGTTTATGATCTCCACGCGGGTCGTTTCTAAACTTTGCTCCAACTCCTTTATCTGCTGCTCTAATACTCGAAGTTCATCCTGTCCATTTACGAGGAATAGTTTAGATATCTCATTAATAACTGCCCTATTAATCATGCGATTATATTACTGCGTAGCATATTGTCTAACCGGGCGCTGGCAATCTGGACAACGAGGTATTAACCGGCTTAGTTCAGCAGATACGTCTTTGAGTCCAGTGAACTTGCCATTTCCATCCACCAAGTATACTTCTCCCATTCCCATAAGGCCATTGAGAGTTTCCGCAGTAAAGAAGTGGCCGCATCCAAGTACCACGATAGGTGCTTTATCCGGGTCAATCTCTCCATATGTCTTCATCTCAAGGAGGTCTACTCGGGTGTCGTCTCTACTAGCACATGTGTGATAATAGTCTTTATAACATATTTTATCACTGATACCTGGGCATTAGTGCCCGTATAGAAGGTTCTTAGGGCAGCGCCAATTGCAAGGGAGGCGGACACATGGTGCAGCGTACGGCATCCTATAAGTACCCATACACTTACAAGACCAAGTACAGCTCTTAATATATGGTGCACATGGTTCACAGTATCGTAAGGTACAACGAGAGTGTGAATAGCGAACCTGTTTATTATTAGTATAATTAATCTAACTATATTAAGAAGAGGATCTCAGGCTAGCAAGGCATGTTTGAAAATTTATGAAAGCAATAAAACATCAAATTCTCGAGAGAAGTTATATGGCCCAGTGACAGAAGTAGCTTGAAATGTCTTACCTCGCAAGGTAATAAATAGAGTCTATAGTTAATGCCATCATAACAAAGTTTCTGACAAGTGTAGTTGCAAGTTACAAAGCGCCGTCCGCAAATCTTTATACACTTTCTGTATTTAATAGTAGGACTATTATTAGCGCTTTTCTTATGATAATGACCACAAGAGCCGGGATAGCAATACCCGCAAGGTAAGTTTGCTTCGCATAATACAGGGCAGCTAAAAGTCTCCGAAGCAATATCCCGCTAATATTGGGTTTATATGATATACCCGTAATCTGGTACTCGCTTCTCAACAAGAATATCACACTTGATCTTACTAGTATCTTGTAACCAATAGCAAGGAACACCATCTTTTAAATAAGAGTACGGAAGGAATACATTGCTTAGTAGTATTAGACAAATACCGTAGTCTTCGCCGCATATTGCTTTCTAATATCCATAGTTATACGGGATATGGAGGCATTAACATGGCTGGGGACAGGGGAAGACTTGGTATATACTTTCAGAGTAACACCTCGCCTGGCAGCAATAACCACACCTGGAAAGACGCCTGTAGCACGCAAGTTGGCATCCTCCTTCGGACTTAGTCTGGCAAAGTTATCCGGCTGGCGGACTTGGATCTCGGTATTAGGGTATCGAGGGTAACAGAGACCTAATGCTTTGCCTACCGAATCTGTCGCCTGTAGTATTCCAAGGACTTTGGCCCACATGGGTATATTGGAGTAAGTGTCGGTATTGCCAATGAGGTAGACACCGTAGTGGTCGCGTAAATTATGGCTTCCGGAATATGTAATAAAATCTCGTTTAAAGCGAACGCAAGTAACATCAACAGAGTCAAGTCCGCGATATATAGACTCCACCACCCAATTCTTAATTCTCGGGTTAGATCTCAAGTATAATTGATATGGCGAATTGGGCTATTAGTTTGGCCTATATAGATTGCATATATAAGAAATATAGGATAACGTGCACTGCAATTTTAGCACCGTCAAGGCAATTGCAACCTCTCGCTAAACTTTCCCCTTTCGCCTTCATATTACAGCAATACAGCGATATTAGTAACAATCGTCTAACGAGCCTACCGACATAAGTCTATGGTTTTAGGGCATTTCGCTAAGAAACGAACCCCATAACTATTTTGGACACTTTTAATTTATATTCAGAATTGAGTTTAAAGGCCTTCTAAACTCATTCTAGCTTTTGTTATTTTATGCGCTTGAATTATATAAGGTTTTAATCTATAGTTATCGAGAAATCGTGAAGTGAAGTGCGCGACTTCGGTTTTTGCGATGCCTGAAAACATCGCTAAAACCATAGACTTATGTCGGTAGGCTCGTAAATTGCATTTTAAGCGAGAGCGCAAAAAGGGTCGAGAACGCCAAAACCACGAAATTATTTTTTACGACTTCTCAATAATAATAGCCTTAATTAAAACGGCAATAAGCTCAAATTAATAGGGGCATTTGGGGCTTTCTTTAGATAAGAGGTCTATTTGGCTAGAAGCAAATTAATTATATAATTTAGTAAATAGCGATTTTACTTTTAATTTTGGTATAAAATAGTATTAATTTATTAGCCACAGTTCCAAACCTTATTAAAATAGTCTAAGCTCTTAGAGAGAATAAGGGAATATCTGGGGCTTTCTTTTAGTAAGAGGGCTCTTTGGCTAGAAGCAGATTAATTATATAATTTAATAAAGGGCAGTTTTTACTTTTAATTTTAGTATAAAATAGTATTAATTTGCCGACTATAGTCCCAAATCATATTATAATAATATAAGCTCTTAAAGAGAGTAATAAAACACTTATATAATCTATTTAAACCCGAGAGTACTAAGTCTAGAAGTATGGTTTAAAAGTTATTTAGAAAAGGAGTTAGAGGGATACGAAAATCGAAAATCGAGGGGCTGGGCTTAGTAAAGCTTGGGGTATAAGGCTAGAAAATCGCATTTTTGCCCGATCTCAAATAACTTAGAAATTATAAGTCCAGAAGAGAACTATAGTAGCTTAAATTAATCGTACTAATACCCTCATCTATTTTAATTAAAATTATGGAGTTCTATTAATAAATAGTAATATAGTTAATATAATTAATATTATGGGTTTGGTATTCCTGACCCTTTTTGCGCTCGCGCTTAAAATGCAATTTAAACAATTGTTTACTAATATTGCTATATATATAAAAGAAGTCTCTTGGCCTTGGCAGCCTCTATACTACTTTTGTAGGTGTCCCGCTTAATGCGTCTAACTCCCTGTCATACTCGCTTTTATAGCACCCCCTAGGAAGGACTGTATGGATTCGGCTCAGCTATATAGTCCACTTCGAAGACTTTAATAATCAATAGTTGAGGCAAATTCTCGAACTCAAACTTAAAAAGGAGGGACTTGAAGCAACTGAGGAAGCCAAGAATGTAGCGATCGGTCCCATCTCGAGGGCTCGCAACTGGCCCAATTTTGGCAATACTAATAATATAGAGAACCTGATCTCTCGTACTAAAGCTCAGGAACAGAAAAGACAGCCCATCTAGGGCGCAATGAGCCAGCAAGCGGAAGTTTTCTTCTTACCATAAGATTTCGACGAGAATTTTAATCGGACTATAATATAGCTCTCCGGAAGCTCTTTGCAGATGTAGCGGGCTGCGAGATAGTAATTAGCAAGCTTGATATATACTAGCAGATTGCGACTAATATGAGAGCTTGTAGTATGGACTTAAAGTCGCGTATTTCATTTAATTTCGTCTTTACAAGCCCGTTAGGTAAGATAGATATAAAAACAATGTGCCCCTGCCAATCCCTGCAATATCCCTGTTTTGCTTGTAAGTATTCCTAAAATATGGGTATATACCCAAAGGGAAAATGACAGGAGGCTGACTCTAATTAGAATATATAAGTACCCTTTCTGGGTAAACCCTATAACGGGTACTTATATAATTGAGAATTGGATTCTCTTCTAGCCTCCTTCCCCTATACTTTGCAAGCTAATTTTCATAATTTTATTAAAAATAAGGCTTTCTTTTTTGGCTATTCTTTAGCCTCCGGTATATATATAAAAGGTGGGCAAGACACACGTCTCTCTGTCTCTTACTTATAATCGCTTAGGAAGTATATCCTTAAGAATATATATATATATATATAAGATATCCTTTCGTTCGCTGAGATATTACTATATTAGTGGCCGTATATAAATATCCCTAATTCGGCCAAAATATAATCCAAATTAGGGATATTTATATACGGCCGCTAATATGGTAATATCTTAGCAAATAAAGGAATATATATATACTCCTATAAGGTACTAAAGGCGCCGAATGCCGTATCCCTAGCCTTCTAAGCTCCTAGTATTAGTAGAGAATATACTTTAAATATAGATATACTTTATATATAGATATGTCCCGTATATAGATATGTCCCGTATATAGATATGTCCTGTATATAGATATGTCCCGTATATAGATATGTCCTGTATATAGATATGTCCCGTATATAGATATGTCCTGTATATAGATATGTCCCGTATATAGATATATTTTATAGATAGTTAGGCTCTATATGCCATAAGGTGCTAAAGGCACCGAACGGGGTGCCCCTAGCCTATTAAGGTCCTAATATTAGTAGAGATTCTAATATTAGTAGAGAAATAAGCTTTAGAACTTCCAGAACTAGTACTCTGTCTAGTTATTATAATACAGAACCCTTCTCAGAGCCCGTCTAATAACTGATTTAGGAACCGGAAAGACAACTATTACTCAAAAGATAGGCCAGGTATTCTATAGTATGGGTCTGTTATCGGCTCCTGAATATCTTGAGCATTCGGCTTCAGACCTCGACACTCCGTATGTTGGCCAAACCGGATCGAAAATAATAACTATTTTAAAAGATGGTTTGGGGAAGGTCCTCTTCGTAGATGAAGCCTACAGATTAGGTAAAGGCCAGTTCGCAAAAGAAGCCACCGATGAGCTGGTTAGTAGTCTTACTCAACCCCAATTCTTGGGCAAACTCGTTGTAATACTCGCTGGCTCCACCAAAGATATGAACAGGCTTCTCAAAGTCAATCCAGGTCTCTCAAGTAGGTTTCCAGAGGGGCATGTATTCCAGAACATGACGGCGGAAGAGTGTTTGACGCTTCTTCAGCACCAGCTAAGAGTTGCTGGAGTTGAGTTCGTTCTGGAGCACCGCCAATCCGACGGTTACGGGGACATAATTAAGCACTTCAACAGCCTTTCCTGCCTTCCAAACTGGGGCAATGGCCAGGACGTCGAGACTTTGTCCAAGGCTATCGTGGCATCTGCTTTTGAAAGCGCGGAGTCCGCTTCCACGGCACTGACGGTTTCCCACAAACAATGTCTGACGAGAGACAATGAGAAAAGTCTCGTAATCCGGTTCCCCCATATGTGGGAGCTGCTCGAGGTAGAATCAAGGGAGGACCACGGTTGAGGCTCGGCGGTGCGGAGAATAGGGTTTGGAGTTGAGGACGAGGAAGCTCTGATTCCGAATTAGTAGGGAGAGGATTAATCAAATTTGGGAAGGCTTTGATGTCAGTCCACTAGTTGGTGTCCGAATTTGTGGCGCACTAACCAGGCAAACACTAAAAATCCACCCTTTTTATAATATTATAAATATATAACCTTATAATATCTTCCCAAATTAAATATCCTATAACTTTAAAAGCCTTATAATAATCCTATTAAAATAAATTCCTATAAACCTTATAATATAGTTCTTAAGTTTTAGTTTTAGTTTGCTTATATTAGAGCTAAACACTCTTATAGAAGAGTAGGAGAATTCTAAAATGTTGCATAGCAGCTGCAGGTTGATCACGTGTGTTTATATCACGTGACAGAATTCACTGAATTTAGCTCCGGCTGTCCACGCTACGCTTCACTTCCTTTCTTGTCTAATTATACAACTGTACAAACCGCATTTATTGCAACACAAAATCAATTTGATTAATACATATTAATAAGTAATATTCTATTATAATTTGAAGAGGTAGAGGGTATAGTTAGTATATTGCGACGCAATTCTATAATTTCTTAAAGCAGGTGACCTTCGCTGGTTTTTGATGAGGATTTCTCGCTCTGAGCAATGCACTTGGAATCACATCAGGGGACAGGAGCTTTTGATTTGATTGATTGGCGGGAACCAGGCTCCCGATTGCTTAGTCGGCGCGTTTTCAGCGGCTGAGTTGAGCAAGAGAAGAACCTCGAACCTTCACATTGCAAGGCGCACCTTAAGGGTGTCCTGTGAAGTGGGTCTAAAGGAAAGGAAAAAAGAGCCTGGGACTCGCCCTAGGACCCCACTGTGTGGGCGACCATGTCGGGCAGTATCTAACTAACAAGGAGAGGACAGCTATGTACAGGAAGTGGTGCAGGGCACCAGGGCAAGGTGGGTGGGTCGAAAAGTGCCCTGAAGTGAGAGAGAAAGTGCTTGGACAGAGAGGAGAGCAGAAGGGGCCAGAGCCCCCCCTTATGCTCTTCCTCGCTGGCGCTCAGACCTCCTCCGATCTTCATAAAAGGCCAGCGCGTCTCGAATTCGGACACCCCCTCACTGGTGGTACCAAATTTTTTCAAACTGCCGGGCACTAGTTCCATGATCTGAGCTTCCGTCCCGTATAAAAGGACCGGCTCGCGATATTGCGTTGGACTCGGGGAGTTAGAAAGTCACAACTTCAGATGGCAGTCTCAACTTGGCATTGAGTTGCCACGGAGCTAGGGATGGCTAGGTCATGTCGAAATAAAATACACACCACCCCGATTTCTCCCCTTGGTGCCGGAAGATGGCGTTCAAGTGGTCTGCAGCCAAGAAGCCTCGCTCACTAACTTTCGCACGGTCTCAGTAGCGAACAGTTCACGAGTTCCAACCAACAGATCACCCCGCAATGCCACCCCCAAATCCTTTACACAAAATGTCGATCTGCAGTAAGCGCCGCAAACGGTCTGAGCGATCACAGTCTAAACCTCCTTCGGAAATTGAAAGAGCAAGGTTCAACCACGCCGCGAGCACGGTGGTCGGTTGTGACTAGGGACATGCTTGTGCATGGTGGGGCCACTCCCCAAACTCAACCTCGCACCTCGAAACATGTTCCTCTTCTTGTTTGGAAACCTTCAGCTTGTTCCCGTTTTCTTCGACATCAGCAGAATACCATGCTCGTCATTTTATTGTTTACCTTGAGTTTGTGTTGGCGGCAGGGCGCGGCGAAAAATCTGACCCTGACTGATCTCATCACTCAAACGCCAAAATGCGCGGTTCGAACTTCCTCTCCAACCCTTGGTTGTGAGATTTCTGATAAGATTCACAGCTTCCATGCATCCTTAATAATATTTTCGCAACTGCTCTCATCGATGTGCAAACCCTCTCCAACGCGTTATGCTCGAACACAACACGATTATCACATGTCTCGGTTTGCGTACAAACATCGTGCACATGGCCAGACCAAGTCAATGCTTCTAGAGCTGAGAGCAAATTTTGTGCGGGGTTCCCTATAGAATCTCGAAGCAATCATCTGATAGTTCTGGCGGCTGTTTTGTCGGTTGTGATATTTCCCATTGTTGGGCTGAAATTGTGGATGCGGTGGACTACCAGCCACCGGCTATGGGCTGACGACTACACCGCACTTGTTGCTGCTGTAAGTATATCTCACAATTCTGAATGTTGATACTGATCTAGAGGTACAGATATGCCTTGCCGCTATAGCTGGTTGCGATATTGCGGGTATGTTTTTCCGGAATATTCATGACAACTTGCTAAATGTTTCAAGCCGCTTCCATGGGTCTTGGTAAACATTACTGGAACATCAACCCTGAACATTACACACCCTTATACCAAGTAAGTGTTCCACTTCCATACTTGAGTCAAGTCTAACAGCCTTCGGATGTTTTACGCTTCCCAAATTATATATGTTGCTGTTCAAGTCTTCGCCAAAACGTCGATTCTCTTGCTTTACCTCCGAGTATTCACACATTGCTGGTTCACAATAGCTTGTAACCTCTGCATCGTATTCCTTGTGCTACACGGCATCGCCTTCACCCTGGCAGTCAGCTTCCAATGTAAACCCGTTAAATCTCTCTGGAATCCTCGAGTCACAGGAAAGTGCATCAATCTGACCGCTACTGGGGTCGCCGGCGCCATTATCAGTATCGTCGAAGATTTAGTCATCCTTATTCTCCCAATACCCGAGATCATAAATCTTCAAATGAACAAGAGCAAAAAATGGGGCCTTGTGTTGCTGTTCGGCATCGGATCCTTGTGAGTTCCTATTTCCATTTATATTGACCGACCAAGTTCAGTGCGTGTCTTACGAGCGGTATCAGACTAAAATACTTTATGAATTTTGGAAAGAGTTTGGATCCAACTTGTAAGTCTCATCCATATCCAATCTTGATACTCTCCACTCATAACGCCTAACTTAGGGGCGTACATCAATGTCGTAAAATGGTCGATTATCGAAGAGTTTACCGCTGTTCTCTGTACTGCTTTACCCTCGATGTGTGCCGTGTTCAGACATACCTTTGGCCTTCTCACCGACGGTCTGCAATCTCTCACTGGAAGTTTTACTACTCGTCGTGATCATTCACAACCTTCCGGGGACAAGGCTAGTTCCTGCCAGTCATTGACAATACATCCCAAGCATCGATACCCAAGTTTAGTGGACTTAGCCCTGGAAATAGGGTGAAAGATAGAGGTAAATGTACCAACCGACCCAAAGCGAGAATCTCGATTTTTAGACAGCTAAATGGGAAAAGAAAGATTTGGCATTCCAGTGATGGAGAAAAACGCGGATATCTGAGGTTCAACGCCAAGCGAAGCATTCATACTTGGGTGGCCATCTTCTAGCCCCATCGCAAGGCATGCTGGGCGGGGCAACACATGGAAATGATGAGCACGGCCATGCCTCTGAAGATGAGCTGTGAAAGGAACTTTGTGGAGCAAGGGAGGGCAGGCCGCTGGCTGAATAATTGCCGGGTTGCCGGCACTCGACAGCTTCTAGGCGGGGTATGGGGGAATGAGTAAGGCAAAGGATCATTCGACTCGCTGAGCATAATACCCTGAGCCAGCTTTGTTTGTCTCGCGGGAGCTGAGGGCTCGTTGGGAGTCATAGACGGAACACTCAGAGCAATGTGATGTGGTTAGGGAAAGAGATATAATCCAAGATGTTTTTGCACCACACCTCAACACCGCTCTCTCCTTTCCCACATCGCATGGAGACGTCAAATGCCCGTTATCTCTTCAATCCAAGCCAGTTGTCGCACCCACAATGCGATCATTGCTTTTGGTAATGCCGAACATGGGATTATTAATAAGGGGAGGAAGAGCTCATGTGCTTCCATGTATTCCGACAGCTGCATTTAGCGATATTGTTTATTGGTCTCCTGGACTTTACCTCCTTCCGCCCATATTTCTCATGGATGTCGAAAAGCGGAAGGAGGGCAAGAAAAACCCTGAAGCTCAAAAATATATTCTGGAAGCCCACCGGAAATTTATTTGTAAAATTCTTGACAGAGCAGAGCATGAAATCCGGTGGAACGGGGGATCCCTCAGGCTTTTTTAGTTTACTCCAATGGCATCGCGCACTCACTTCTCACGCTCGTTGCAAAAATCTCTTATTTCTTCGCCCCCGCTATGAAGTGCTTCTGCAGGAGCATACTTTCAGCTTTTTATTGCCGCCGCTGAGCTAATTTTGTCTCGAAAGGCTTTTGAGCATACACCACCTTGATATAGTGAAAAGAATGTACCCTTCGATTCTGCGCTGCCGCGCGTACTTGAGTCAGAAATATATAGACTGCATCAGGTGACCACCCCATAACTCTTGTGAGCGTGGCCAGCGCATACCCATCGAGTCCAGCATCAAATGCCAATAGCGTCAACGTCCCCAGCCATTTCAACTTCGGGTCCTTAGACCAGCCTCCTATCGGTGCTGTGTACACTTTCTCAACAACACCGACAAACCCTGCATCTTGTATATCTTGCTTCATGTAGTCTGATATCCGGAAGGTTTGTCCAGTGATCCGACCAGCCGTGGTGAAAAAGTCGGAAAGTGTGACCAACGGGTTATCGGGCTTGATAGTCCCATCATCAGATTTAACATCGATCGATATTTCTATGTGCTCTATATAGCCGCCGGGTTTGAGATGTCTGTAGGCTTGCTTATACAGAGCAGGCCAGTCGGAAATGGATCCAAACAAACCTCGTATATGAACAAAATCAAGGTGATTCGGCGGATATGTCCATTCGTCCTCAGCATCATCGATAAAGAATTCGCAATTTGAAGGGACAAAATCTGGCTGAATTGGAGAAAGATCTGTACCATGTACAATCGCATCTGGGTACTGATTGGCGAAATCTATTGCCCAAATTCCTGTCCCTGTCCCGACGTCTAGAGCTCTTTCAATGTCTTTTGGTAAGGGTGCCAGATGCAGCTTTCCGTCAAGGAGCATGAGAAATTTGTGGTGTGAAATATCAAGGCTTTCGTTCTGTTGATCATCATTGGGGGCCCAGTACGCTCCATCTTTGAATCCATGGTATCGCCGCCCGTTTTCCCAGCGGTAGTTCGTTACAGCTGAATCAATAGACTCCGTATCGCTATCTTCAATGTCTGAAAAATTAGTTGAGAGGCCGCTATCGACCTCGACTCCGGCCTTGGCGTCGGCTATCGTAGCTGAATCATTGAGTGGTTCATGGTCAATGTTGGGGGAGATGCTGAAGCCTGAGTTTTGAGTGAGCGAGAGTTGGTCCACCAAGGCCATAGTGATCTCAAAACCAGAGTCTGAGTCCGGAGTTATCGGTCTCCCTTTGACGCTGAACTCGGCGGTGGCAGCAAGAGGTACTATGGGGATCGGAGTATTGTCCCGAGCAGACGTTGAAGGTCGGGAGCTAACATGGGTTGCTTGGAGGTGGGAAGTCTTGACCGGCGATTCGAAAGAGCCTTTTAGCCCTTGATCAAGAGCCTTAGGTCCCATTCCATAGCTTTGGGACCCTTCGTCACCCGCCGCTTTAAAGCTTCTGTGCCTCTCTAGCCTCGGAGTGCCTTGATCGCTCGAATCATGGGTAGATGGTGCTAACGGTCGCACCTGCCCAAATTGGACCAGGTTTGGGGGCACGGCAGCATCGTGCTGAACGTCGAGGAATTTATTTCCAGATGTGACGAATCCGACAAAGCTGTACGCAGAGTTCTCTGGCAACAGATTCCAGATGGTAACTGGCATGCGTAGCAGCACGAGGGTCGAGAAACTATCATAAGTCCCTTCGATTCGAATGCCCTTTGCCTCCGGAGGAGCATTACGAACCCATTCAATCCATGCTTCCAAATCAAATATGTCGCTGTCTAACCGGATGGCAAGCAGGACCTGGGGATCGCGGTCCCCACAACCTTCAGCAGTCGGGAAGCTTGTACCAGTGGAGCTTTTGCATTCGTCATCTGAATCAGACAGCGGGGGCGACGTTTTAGATGAAGAGTTTATGCTTGGTGTCTCTTGATTGTAGTCTGAGCTGGAACTAGACGATGTATCTAAGAGACTCCCCAGCACAATGCTTCGACGAGGTCGTGTCTCACACAGGATGCTATAGATAGGCGTCCTTCGAGGCTGCCGCTCGTATAACAGCCGCCCTTCGGCATTCTCGATATAATTCCCTTCCACATCAGTTGATAATTGCGGTGTCCAACATTTAAGCCTGCTTAACACTCGGGAATGCAGTTCCCCGATAGAGAATGGTAAACCTTTGGAAGCCATGGCCAAAATATCCGTAAGGGCTTTTGTGAAGGAGTGTTGGTCCACCTCTGCAGCAATAGTCTCATACCCGCATGCCGCTATCACCTCCACGACTCCGCCAGTTCGTTGTTGGCAGTCAGTTGTTGGCACAGCAGCAGAGTGACAGCAATCCAACAGGAGCAGAACATCGGCGTCGGCTTCTTCGAGCATGGACTGTATACCTCCGGACGGTATTGCGATTGAAGGATTGTCTCGGTTCCTAGACTTCATAAGTAAGGATGGTATGGCATATTGGCAAACTTACGCAAACCACAAAGAGGCCTCATTAGACTGTAGAGCTCTTCTTGCATGACCACCATAGTATATAATTAGGAGGTTGTCCTTCGCGTCAATATCCAGGAAATCTGAAACTCGACGCTTGAGAGCCCTGTCAGGCTTCGAGCTCGGAATTTGATATTCCTGCACCTGGAACTTGTACATCTCCTTCAATACACGCCGAAGTCCTTTGATCTCTCGTAAAACGCCCAGATCATCGTCCACCCACGACAACAACAACACATATACCTGCAAGTACCGAACATCGTGGCGTTTCGGCCACACTGCTTGCACGGCCTGGTTCAGGTCATTTCCAAGTTTGTGGATGTTTGAATGACTTTCGGTCAGGGCAATGTCGTGGGTTCGTGGAGCAAGATGGATGAAGCCTTCCCGGAATACATCCACCTTGTTCCCGGGCAACTGAAGCTCAGGCAAAATCATTTCGTCGACACTCGTTACATCGGTGACGCAGCTTTCTTCCAATCCACCTGCGTTGTTTTCAGACCGCTGAGGCTCAAGCAACGCAGACAAGTCAGGAAATGTTATTTCGATTTCGTCAGCAATCATTGTACGGACGCATCTATCCTCGAGGACAGCTGCAATGTGGCCAGAAAGTTGACGATCAGGGAGATCCATTGTGTCGACGATTATTATGGTGAAAAGTGAGAGCTGAGCCGGTGTGACAACGTCGCATGCTTGATATTGACCGAACGCTTGGAAGTCGGATTCGGGTCCCTACTCGTGCGATTGAGCAACCGTAGAGATCACAAAATACGAGCCGCAGGTAGGTCTGCCCATGTACTAGACTTTCGCAATGGCACCAAGATGTGTCGAGGTCCACGATCGAAGAGAGTCCAGAAGCATCGTTCAAGGTGTGGAATCTTTGGTTGGAACTCCAAGCCTAATGCTCCAAACTTCACAAGGAACTAATTGTCGAAGTCTGAGTCCAAGTATCGATTTTCAGGTGAACTCGAGAACTTGACTCCATTCGCCGAATCAAGGGCTGACACTGAGAGGCAATTCCACTGTCACTGGAGTCAAGCTGAACGGGATGGTTGATCCAATTCGTACTCCAAAGTCTGTGATACCATCAGAACCGGGAAATGTAGTGTCATCACAGGTTCGAAGGTAACCAAAGGCTTTTGATGGTCTCTGAACCGCCGAAGGCTTTACTGCGTCGGGTGGATGCAAGAATGGCAGCTCAATGGCGTGTGGATGTGAATGCAATGTCCGGACTATGTCAACGAAAAGTGCGAAATCTTGAAAAGAGAAGGGAGAGGTTAAGGGAAACGTAATTTAAGGACCCCTGTGATGAGGCTGGAGGCCATCGGTGACTGTCTGGGAAGGTGGCTGGTCACGTGCCAGTGTTTAGTGGTGCCTGTTTTGAACTTATCTCTAATAGAGACTGATACGCCGCTGTAACTCTTTCTAGAATACACTTCCTTTTTGATTCCCAAGCCTCGAGGCTCGAATGACGCCATTCCATATTACCCTCCAGTTCAATTCCCTCCAAAGACACCACAATATCCAGACTCCGCCCTGATGTAAAACGCGCCATCCTTTAAAAGAACTACAAAACTTTATCGTTCGATGACAGCCGCAACCGAGTTGATGAACGCCTGATGTGACTCATCTTCTGTAATCAACTTTTTCGCGGGCTTGACCTTTGGTATGGGTGTCGGGTTTGTGGTTGGCCAGAGCGGATTCGGATCCATCTGATGAGTCTTCTCTGCTTCTTCGACCTTCCCAACTGCGGGAGCTTGCTCGGCGTCTCTGGGAAGACGCATAGCTAGAAGAACGTATTCTGCCCTGGTTGTCTTGTCCATGATCTCGTCCATATATCTCCGGACCTCTTCTTGAGGAGCAACAACCTTTTGTAGAGCGTCAAGCTGCCGACCTTGGTGTGCGTATAATCGGATCGTGATCGGTTGATAGTAGTCGAGCTCGGGATCGTATGTGGGAGAGTCACTGCTGCTGCCTTTTCGAACAATTAGGAATGATGCAATAACTTGGCCACCAGGAAGGTATTCCAAGATGCTGAATTTCGGGAAGAGGAATCGGTCACCAGAGCCACCAGTGAACTCGAAAACTACACCTGAAATATCAGGTTTTGTAGGAGGAAGAGGACCTTTCGACCGCAGTGCTTGTGGTTGTTGGTATTGAGGCTCGGGTCTCGAGGCAGGCGGAGTAGGGGTAGGGGCTGTTCTGGGTAGAGGAGCGGGAGTGGTTGTAGTGGTTGGAGCTGGTCGTGCTGTCGCATGTCCATTTACTGGAGCTGGGGCTGTAGCAGAGGGTGGCAGAGGTTGAGGTGGTTGCGAAGCCTGTGCTGCCGCCTGACGTGCCTTTTGTATCCGTGTAAGCTCATCAATGTGGCTCTGAAATTTCTTCAACTCTTCAGGTGTAGCTTCCCCATTTGCAACAATCCGCATTAGTGCCTTCAGATCTGGGTCCGTTGCAGCTCTCTCCGCCAGCATTTGGATGACAGGATCTGTACTCTTGCCAGCCGGAGCTGGAGCAGGCAGTGGTGCTGACGGCGCAGGTGTATTTTGGGCATGACTTGCCGGAGGTGCAGGATGGCCATTCGCCGGACCGTTGGTTGGACCAACAGTGTGTGTATTCACGGCAGGTGCAGGGCTCGTATTCGTCATTTGCACATCCTGCAATGTAGGAGTTGGTTGAGGAGTAATTTGTGTAGGAGCAACTGGCTTTGCTTGGACCGGCGGAGGTGTAGGAGGTGGCGGAGGCATTATTCCGCCAGGCGGGCCATATTGAATGATGGGACGATACATAGGCTGAGCAGGAGGGACAGCCGGACGAGGATTCGGGTCCTTGATAGCATACATAGAAGCCTCAAATATATGCGGCTCAACGGTGATCGTGCATGTTCCCAGCTTCGTCATCGACTCCTTGAGGGGATTATTCGGAGGCTGCTCTATAGCACCCTTTCTCTTCACCGGCTTCGTCCAGTACTTCTCGAATATGCCCTCGCTCAGCCATTTCTGTCGTGATCTGTGCAAGGAATCTGGCAGAACTCCGCTGTGCCACCAGTCAGTTTACCTACCCAAGGTAGGACATGCAGACTCACCTCTCAGAGATCGACTGAAACTCTTTTGCCGGCAGATTTACTGGTTGGGGCTCATTGACAGTAGGGAGTGCTTTGCCCGGTGCAATGCTCTTGGGTAAGCTCTCTTCGAGGGGCGGGGAGGGCGCTGTTGGCGTTGGTGTTTGCGTGCGTTGTTCTGGAGGAGTTGACATGCGCTTCTTGCTGACGGATTCGACGCGCGCAGCGCGGGCAGGAAGTTTCCTCTTTCTCTCCATGGCTCTGGTATCGGTCTTCAACCGGTCGGATCACGTTGGGTTGTGACGCGTCGCGGCGAAGGATTTGTGAGGAGGATGATGTTGCGAACTTTAGACGAAGCTTGATCGATCTCTCTGCTGGAACACCAAACCTCGACAGCCGAGTCTTGTGTTTGGAACCAAATCCGCCTCAGATTGCCCGCACTCGATTGGCGCAGGATGGATAACCAAAAACAGCGTGGGAATCGAGAGTGAATTACGTTTGGAGATCTCTGGATTCGTGAGTTACCTTGTTGTTGGACATTTCATATTGTACTCTTCACGTGAAGCTGCCTGCTTCAAGTTTGCCAGGTTTCTGGCATGTGAAAGCTATCTAGGCTGCAAGGCAGTCTCCTTCGACCTCTGATATTTCTTTGTGATCCTCTTTGTGTCTATCTGGGCTTCGCTGTGCAGATTTCTAACGTGGCATCAGTTGGGGCTGTCCGCCCAAAGATGGCGCCTTTTGCCCCAGTCTTCAAAAAGGCCTACTTAATTGCGCTCGGTCTGACTTCTTTATACATCCTGGCATTAATAGCTTTGACCAATCCATGGCTTCAACGGCAGTATGTTGTTGCTCAAGTCCTTTGAAGTAGATGCTGACAAGCCGCCAGTGTGATTTACGTCCACAAAGTCCATACAACCTGGTGGCATGACATCAACAAGCCGGAGCAGTTCGGATTTGCAAGTTAGTATCTGCGAGTTCATGGATCCCCAACGGTCTCTAACATGCGACTCAGAGAATCAGATTACCCCATTCAACTTCAGTACTCCCGATGGGGAGACAATTTATGCTTGGCACGTGATGCCTCTCGGGCTCTATGCTAAATATGAGTCTGAGATCTTACAACAGCCGTCGGGATGCGCTGAGGATATCACAAAGACCAAAGCCTTTAGGCTTTTGAGAGACAACCCCGATTCTCGATTGATCATCAATTGTGAGTTTCCAACGATGCTCATGGCTAGTACTGACCTTGCTTAGTTCATGGAGTAAGCTCCTCCCCTCGAGCGTCATAATGTCTGCTAAAGTAAATAGAACGCCGGAACAGTCGCACAAGCCTGGCGCACTGACTCATATCGTGCACTCTCGGATGGTAGCACTTCAAGCATTCACATCCTAGCCATCGACTATCGAGGCTTCGGCTATTCTACTGGATTTCCGACTGAAGATGGCGTAATCACAGATGGGGTCGCCGCGGTTGACTGGGCATTGCAAGTTGCCAAAGTTCCCTCGGACCGTATCGTTATCCTTGGCCAAAGTCTTGGGACCGGGGTGACAGCTGGTGTTGTTGAGCGCTTTGCAAAGAGAGGCATCGATTTCGCTGGAGTTGTCCTCGTGGCTGGTTTTACCTCCATGCCGAACCTACTTACTGACTACTCCATCGCTGGTTACCTCCCGCTTCTGTCACCTTTCAAGTCACATCCTGCGCTACGAAAATACCTCATGAGTTACGTTGTAGATACTTGGGAGTCCGCGGCACGTTTAGCCAACACCGTTCGGCTGAGCAAAAAGATCAGGCTCTTCATCATCCACTCCAAGGATGACCACGAAATTCCATGGACACAATCCGAGGGGCTGTTCGCTGCGGCAGCAAATGCTACTACTAGCAGCGGAATGAATATAGCTCTGTTTGAAAAGATGAAAGCCAGATCGACGATCGATATGGGTGATGGAGCTTTCATCAGCACCTGGAAGGCGAGTGAGACTAAGATTATTCGGGAAGAGATTGTAGCTTATGGACGTAAGTTTTAAACTGCAGGTTCGCTGTGCAAAGGCTGATTTTTGCAGATCATAGCAGAATTTTGACCTATGCCCCAGTTGCTCTGGCAGCTTTGAAAGCGTTCGGCTTGGACGAGGGAGGTGTTTTACCGCTGTGAGGAATTTGCGAGGTTGCTTCAACCCTATTGTATGGATGAGCCAGACCTATGATAGAGATGTGTAATCAAAGAGCTTTGAAAATACATGTTTGTAAGAAAATTTATCTAGATTCCTTCGAGAGGCCCGCGCACGTGACATGCCACTCTTAGCGCGGAATTGGAAATGGCGGGGTCGCTTCAGGTGTTCCTAGTGAAACTGTGCCTGCTTGGACACAACAACAACAACACGAAGCCAACATGGCAGACGAGTCCAAGATTGATGACCCCAAGGGTAAGCAGAAAGCCGCGGAAGAGGCAATCGAGGAGGCCAAAGCCGACCCATCTGCCAAAGTCGAGTCCGAAAACGAAGAGGAACATGGAGAGGACACGGAAGCAGCAGGCACGCCAGCCTCGTGCGCCACAGCCAAAAAGAAGAAGTCGAAGAAGAAGCGTATAAAAGCTGCACTGACCGGCGGATCGAGCGAGAGTACGAGCAGTGGTGGTTCGAGAGACGAGATCCCGAAAGCCGTCGGCGGGCTCAGCAATGACCAGATCTCCGATATCCTGAAGATGAACCCGGCTCTGGCAGAACAATTGGGTGTTGGGAATGACGGAGATCTCTCGGGGTTGAAGGTGACGGAATCATTGAAGAGGCTGAAGCTGGAAGATATCATGACCGGGCTGGCGTCCAGTGGGAAGAATGTGAAAGATATGGCGAACTACAAGTTTTGGCAGACACAACCGGTTCCAAAGTTTGGTGAAAGCTCGACGGAGGTTGAGGAGGGCCCTATCAAGGTCTACGGTGTGGAGGCCGTGCCAAAGGAAGCTCCTCCTTTGCTGGAAGGCTTCGAATGGGTTACCATGGATTTGACAGACGACAAACAGTTGGAGGAGCTGTTTCAATTGCTCTATGGCCACTACGTTGAGGATGACGAGGCTATGTTCCGATTCAATTACTCGGTATCATTTCTCAAATGGTAAGCACTCAAGCCTGGAGGTTTGTACAATGCTAATAATGCTAGGGCTTTACTTTGCCCAGGATGGACTCCAGAGTGGCACGTTGGTATTCGCGCAACTGCTTCTCGCAAGCTGGTCGCTTTTATTTCTGCAATCCCAGTCTCATTGCGAGTCCGAAAAAACATTCTCAAAGCTTCGGAAGTGAACTTTATGGTCGTACACAAGAAATTGCGGTCAAAACGGTTAGCACCAGTTTTGATCAAAGAGATCACTCGCCGATGTAACCTTCTCGGAGTCTTCCAAGCCATTTATACTGGTGGTGTTGTATTACCGAAGCCTGTCAGCACCTGCAGGTATTTCCACAGAGCGATAGATTGGGTAAAGCTTCATGAAGTCGGGTTCAGCCCTCTTCCTCCAAACAGCAAACCTCAGTATCAAGTCCGGAAATACGCTCTTCCTGACCATACATTCACCAAGGGCCTTCGAGAAATGGAGTCTAAGGATATCGATCCCGTTTTGAGTCTATTGAAGCGATTCCTGGAAAGATCGGAGATGGCACCTATGTTCACTCGAGACGAAGTTGAACACTGGCTCTTGCACAAGCAAGATGCACCTGGAGAGCAAGTGATCTGGTCCTACGTCGTTGAAGTAAGTCCTCCCATCTCCACTAAAAACTATTGCTAACAAGACCAGGACCCCACCACCAAGAAAATTACGGATTTCTTCTCCTTCTACGTCCTTGAATCCTCCGTCATCAACAACGAGAAGCACAAGAATGTTCGTGCAGCCTATCTCTTCTACTACGCCACCGAACACGCTCTCGTTCCCAAACCCTCAAAATCTGAACTTTCCACGCGACTGAACGAACTCATCAACGACGCCCTGATCCTCGCCAAGAAATACAAATTCGACGTCTTCAATGCCCTGACGCTAATGGACAACAACATGTTCCTAGAATCACAGAAATTCGGACCTGGAGATGGACAATTACACTATTATTTGTTCAATTATAGAGCGAATCCGATTGCAGGTGGTGTGGACAAGAAGAACAATATTGATGACAATTGTAGCGGGATTGGAGTTGTGATGCTGTAGTTTGGTTGATGCACATGCTGATACCCATATCGTACTTCCTATCATGCTTCACATGCTTCGAATAAAAGTAACTCCTCGTCCTTAACCTCCATTTCTTAGTTTAATCTTGGCTTCGTCCACAGTCCACAGTCCACATCCCACGTGATGGATAAAGCCAATCTCCCTTGTTGGAACTGAGTGTACGCTGGTATACTGTAGTTTATATACCGGATGTATATATAGAGTGCTTACCCCGCGTGAGCTGAAAAATCAAGTCGTCAACCTCCAAAACATTGCAACATCCCTCCACCTTGATCCCGAAACACACTCACTACCAAAAATGACCACTGCAAACAAGTTCTGGCAGATACCACTCAGCCGCACGTGTAATCCCCGCTCGTTCGTATAAGTTTGAGGTTAAGAGAAGTGGATACTGGCTCCTCAATCGAGCTAGATTCCCGATGAGGACAAGTGGAGCAGTCACCCGCATCCAGGTGGACGCTCACATTCGCGATGTGCAACAAATACCTCGTCTTGTGATAGAGTTTGGGTTTGGGGGTGGATGAAGGTGGAAGTGGAAGGGAGAGTGGAAGGTGGAGTTGAGATTAATTGAGGTGTTGGAGATGCATGCTTGGTACCGAGGTATGTTGGTTGAAGGAGGGAGCGGTGTGGTTTTCGGAGACGAGGGGACCTCATTGTACGAAAGTTCACTGGAACATTGATGCGATGTGCAATGAGACATTAGGGGTTGAGCGAGGAGTGAATCGGGTGTGTGTGGGTGTGAAGACCGGGTGAAAATCGTGTTAGCTAGAAATCCAGTCGGAGAATGAGCTTCGTTCAAGCCCAAGCTCTCATGTTACTTTGGAATATTGGGACGATGTGCAACAACAGATCTTGAAGCTCAGTCCGCTCTTCTAGATGGTAATGCTATAGCGTCTAGTACCAGGGTCATCCAGCCCCTTCTTCCATCTTTATCATCACCATACACAACTAAGTTCGCATCTACTTCTTCCCCTCCTTCAACTTCTCCGTCTTCAAAATCAGACTCTCCATCATCTCATTGTGCCACTTTGCATCCTCAAGCATAAACACATGTCCAACCCCCTCCTTGATAACGCCCACTCCCGGCTTAAGCAACCCAATCAGCTTCCGGCCATGTGGAACACTAATCATATTATCCTTCGTGCCATGCAACACCATAATTCTCTCCCTTCCGATCTTATCGCCCAACGCTTCCAGCTGTTTCGGGCTCTTATAATGCCATCCCGCAGCAATGGCTTGCATCATAAACCCCTTCTTAGGAAAGCCATCGAGGTCCAAACGCTTCGTTACCTCTTGGGCGGCGAAACGCTGATAGTTGGTCTCGAACATGCCGTACGAGCCGGAGGATGGGAGCTCGACGTTGGGTGTCGAGGCATTAGGGAGTCGCGTGTCATCGGGGGAGTCAAGCCAGGCGTTTGAGAAGAGCATATGGGCTGCGTCAGACACGGACCTGTCGAGCGTTTTAGGGAGGAACATGTTGACTCTTGTGCGCAAGTTTTCGACGAACGAGGTTGTGTTCTCGATTTGTGCGGCCGTGGAGATGAGGCTCAAGGAGCAAATACGGTTAGGGGCCATCAAAGCCTGAGGACTTGTTAGAACCGATAGCGGTGGACTTGAGTGACCGTACGAGTTCTTGGGCGATCATCCCTCCCATGGACACGCCGGCGACGTGCAACTCCCGCTCGGCTGTCCAACCTAGGTGATCGAGAATTTCAAGGACATCTTTAGCCATCTCACTGGTTGAATAACGCAGCAGTGGTTTGTCAGATAGGCCCATTCCTGTAGAATGTATCAATATCAATCTTTGTGAAGCGGAACATGTGACTTACCTCGATTGTCGAAGACCAAAGAGGAATACTTGTTTCCTTCTTCGTGCCCGAACTTCAACGTCTGTCTTTGCCATGCAGTCTGCATCAAGTCAGCCTCCTATCATAGCCTGCAAGGAGTATGCTCACTTTTCTAGAACCTAATCCCATTATCCACTGCAGTCTGTCAGCTTATCATGCAACACATATTTACATTGGCGACGCAATGCAACTCCGGCCTGGTAAGCTACATACCACAAGCTTAACGGGACCATTTCCATGCACTTCATAATGGATCTTGAATGGTCCACCTCTTCCTTCGCCAACAGGGAGGTACTCGCTTTTCGTGGGGGTCAGCTTCCATATGGTGTCCGGATAAGATGGATGAGAGAGGATTTGGGCGACGTCAGGACGTCCATCTGTATTTGCCCTTGGAGTTCAATTAGCAAAGGTGTCGCAGTAGGGGCATAAGGGCTCACATTGCATTACTTGATGGAAGAAGAGGCGAACGACATTGATATTCAAGGGTCAAAGTGTTTTAAGTATCTTGAGCCTCGGTCCACTCCTCGCTTGTGGATAGCGTCGGGGTCAGCACACGCCGACGTCAAAAGGAACTCTTCCTGCTTGACGAGTTACAACCCATTTTCCCATCTCTTTTTCTTGAATTCGATGCTAGCATATCTCGTCTTCTCATGTGGATATGCCACTGTGGGATGACAAGCGCATCAACACAAATCACGTGAACAAGGAAGCTATCAAGGACCTCCTCAGTCCCCGACCTTCTCTTCGCCCGAAATCTCATGATCTTCTAACCTTCCCTCTCATTTCATCTCACCGCCAAATCCGCGAGGCTTGGCCTGGCGAAGTAGTCTTCTTTCGTATCCTACAGCAACCTTCCTGGGGTAAAGAGCCGTTCTCCATTATTTCGGGCCAGCTAGCCCCGAACTTTAAGTTCACATTACGTTTCAGCCTTCGACCCTTCCTTTTCTGTCCTCAACATCTGCAAAACTCCCGTCTTGCGAACCTTCGTTGTTCGTCACGATGAAGGTTGAGTCGGTGACCCTCGAGCATCACCAGAAGGAGGAGAACCTCGGGATCGGCGAAAGCACCCCTAGGATATCATGGAAAGTGGTGGGCGACGCCCCAAACTGGATTCAGACTTCGTATGAGATTGGTATCCTGCGAGATGGCAACGTCTGGGCTACCTACCAGGTCGATTCTCCCGACTCTGTCCTCGTCCCTTGGCCATCACGCCCGCTGGGGTCTGGCGAACTGGCCCAAATTCGCGTTCGAGCAACAGGATCGAAGTCTGAAACCACGGAATGGTCTGATATCGCATCAGTTGAAACTGGCTTATTGACACGTGGTGATTGGACAGCCCAGATGGTAGCAGCAGAACAAATTGTTACGGTTCGCGGAAATCTGCGGCCAACATATTTTAGGAAGTCATTCGAATTCGCCGAGGACGTTGACAAAGCACGCCTGTACATCACATGCCATGGGCTTTATGAGGCTTACATCAATGGTGTCAGAGTTGGAGACCACGTCATGGCCCCAGGGTGGACGAGCTATAAACATCATCTCAGCTACCAGACATATGATGTTGGTCACCTGCTCAGAAAGGGCACGAATGTGATTGGGGTTGAAGTTGGTGAAGGGTGGCATTGTGGGCGACTAGGTTGGAATCGCGATGATCGCTATATCTATGCGGATCGACTTGCCGTGTTGGCTCAGCTCGAGGTTTCCCTCAGCAGTTGGAAAAAGGTCACTATTGGTTCTGACGAAACTTGGAGAACATCAGGAGGCCCCACTACATCGTCGGAAATATACGATGGAGAAGAGTATGATGCAGCTTTGGAGATTCCCGGATGGTCTACGGCTTCTGTTAACGATGAGAAATGGTCATCTGTTGAGAAGATTGACTTTCCAACAGCAAAGCTGCAAGTTCCAGAAGGACCTCCTGTCAGGGAGACCGAGATTGTGAAAGCTCAGAAGGTTATCAGAAGCCCAACGGGAAAAGTGATCCTAGACTTCGGTCAGAATCTGGTTGGACGTGTACGTGCCCGAACTTCCGGACCAAAGGGGCAGAAAATTGTCTTCACCCACACGGAGGTTCTAGAAGATGGAGAAGTCGCCACTCGTCCACTTCGCAGTTGCAAGGCAACGGATTCTCTGAAACTGGGCGCGAAGTCTATTGTTTGGGAACCCAAATTTACATTCCATGGATTCAGATACGTTCAAGTGGAGAACTGGCCATCACATGGTGGCGAGCCACTTCTCAGTGACATCGAAGCTGTTGTCATTCATACCGACATGAAACAAACAGGCTGGTTTGAATGTTCGGAACCCATGGTGAACAAGCTGCATGAAAACATCCGTTGGGGTATGAGGGGAAATTTCGTCAGTATCCCAACTGATTGCCCTCAACGAGATGAACGATTAGGCTGGACAGGCGATATTCAAGTCTTCTCGCCAACCGCGAGCTTTCTGTACAATACCTCTGGAATGTTATCCGGATGGCTGAAGGATTTGGCAGTCGAACAAATCGAAGACTTCAATGGCGTAGTTCCCTTAGTTGTACCTTGTATCAAGCCTGTGGAACTCGCCTTGCCAAGGGCAGCCTGGTCAGACGCAGCCATAATCGTTCCGTGGGATTTATACCAAGCATTCGGCGATCGCAACATCCTCCTCGATCAATACGAAAGTATGAAGCAGTGGCTCGAGAAAGGGCTGGATCGTCAACCCAACGGCCTGTGGAAGCCTGTCTTTCAATATGGTGACTGGCTTGACCCGGATGCTCCGCCAGAAGCCCCCGCCTTGGGGAAAACAGATCCTCAGCTCGTCGCCAATGCATATCTGGCACATATTACGCATCTCATCTCGAAGGTCGCAGGATTTTTGAATTTGCCAGGCGACGCCAAACAGTGGACTGCTGAAGCAGAGCGAATTAAGCAACTCTTCAATGAAGAGTATGTAGCTTCCAAGGGCCATCTGCACTTCGACTCTATGACAGCCCTCTCTCTTGCTTTGTCATTCAACTTGCTCCTACCTGACCAAGTCCCCTCTGCAATCAAGCGACTAGAGCATGTCGTCCACTCCTCTAAATTCAAAATCTCAACCGGTTTCGTCGGCACACCGCTCATACTCCCTGTTCTCACAGCCGCAGGCAAGACACAACTAGCATACCGCATGCTCCTCGAGAAATCCTGTCCCTCCTGGATGTACCCAATAACCATGGGCGCAACCACGATGTGGGAGCGCTGGGACAGCATGTTACCCGACGGTTCCATCAACCCAGGATCCATGACCTCATTTAATCATTATGCTCTTGGATCCGTCGGTGCATGGCTGCACGCAACGGTGGGAGGAATCTCACCGGCTGAGCCGGGATTGAAAGTTGTGCGTTTTGAACCAGTGCCTGGTGGGACGATTACTTGGGCAAAAGTGAAGTTTGACGGCCCGTATGGGGAGGTGAGGTGTGAGTGGACGCTTGAAGGGAAGGTGTTTAAGATGAAGGCAACTGTTCCGCCGAATAGCACAGGGCAGGTGAAGTTGCCTGGTCACGAAGAAGTGATTGTCGTTGGATCGGGGACCCACGAGTATGCTGTTGAGTATACCCTGGATCCGTGGCCACCAAAAGCGATTTGATTTAACTTACATGGAAGAGAGTGGAAAGCAGAGACATTGGTCGCTCTTCCATCCTCGCACTCATCCGAAACACAGACACGAAAGTAAAGGGGCAAAAGTTATCGTGAAATCAAGTACTATACTTTCCAACCACATCCTCTCGTTCACTTGTTCACTCGTTCACCCGCAATCGAAAATGAGATCATGACCAACACGATCCGAGGTACCTCCCTACGATCTTGATTTGTAAGTGCTTCTAACCTCCCCTCCGACCCCTCATTCTCACCGCCTGACACATCGCTCTCGGATCGGGCCCGGAAAATGTTTGTTGCATTTCGCGATCGAAATTCATTTATTTCGAGACACTCCCACCAATGAAGCCGCGTATTAGCACCTCCTAGTCTCCGTCTAGAAGCTAGGATTGGGTGCTAAAACGTTGGTAGGTGCTTAATTCGCGGGTTATGATTAGGTTTTAGGTCTTTTGTGGGGGTGTGGACATGTTGCTATTTTTGGGAGAGGGGTGGGTGAGCTGAAAGGGGAAGGTCGGTACTTTTTGAGGGGCAAGCAGTGATGGGAGACGTCATCGAGAATGAAGTCTTTTTGATGGATTCTGTTTGATGAAAGGAGGTTGGAAGCTGGAAGTTGGAATATCAATCCCGCATTGCATATTTATTTGTCCGTCTTCGTATCAATCAATTGCGTTTAGTCCGCTCAACGATGACCTCCAACAACGTCTCTCCGTTCATATGCGAGACCAGTCCAGAGAAGACTTAAATGCTGGCATCGGGTTTGCATTTAATGCATGTATTTGAATACAATAAACGTTTGGTGTAAGAGCGTCTAATATCGTCGAGTAGCTCACCTCAGTCTCCGTTTAGAGAGTTGATTACTCCCGCGCTACTTGGAATCTGTGACATACATTATTGGATCTGTTGCCATTTAAGTTACAGCTCTGGAAGATAAGCATTGATACTGGGAAACTGAGTTGGCTGTGAGTGTCCCCAGACCTGTTTGAGAGAGGACAACGGTTGTGTTGAGAGCCTGGAAAGCCCGACTCCCAAACCTAAGCTTCTCGTCCCCTGAATTGCTGGAGCGGAGCGGAAAATGACCCGAGAGGTACAACCACTGTAGCTGCAGGTATGCAACAGCTTCAAGTTGGGACGAAAATAGCCCGAGATCGACGTCAGCAAATCTTATCTAGCCAAATTTTCAATTTTGACTTCAGAAAACAATTTTAGTCTTCAGGGTTCGAACTCCGGAAGGAACGGAATTCCGCACTTGCGCGGCAGGGGTAAAGCGGAGGTGCATGCCGGGGTAGCTCGCTCAGCCGTGGAGGGCTGAACGCCTCCTGGGCACTAGAAAGCAAGGTGTCGGATATGAAATTGTTTTTCGATGGGCGCAGCAAATACACTGTTTCGAAATCGGCTGATGGGCTTGAGGGAATATTGTGTACCGAGGAACTGAGGACAACTCACATGTCGAAGGACTATGCAAAAGTGGTCTCAAATTTCGCGAGGTGGAAGCAGGGGAGAGCAAAATGAATGAGAAATCTCTCAATTCAAGCTACCAAGCAAATTATAAAGGTAAGTCCCCGAGGTATCATCCGCATCCGCAACAAAATCGCAGCAAACCAGGTATCAATGCCTCTTCCCATCCTCCCATCACCATCCAGCGGGTATCATTTTCCCCAAGTCAAATAACTCGACTTTTCTTACTGAGGAGCAGCGACCATGGAAGAAGGCGCAACGTAGCCAGCAGAGGAGGAGCCGGATTGGCGGGCAATGACTTCCTTCTCAACCTGGATCAGGGAGCAGCAGGCGCAGCAGGCGGAGAACAGGACATCGGTGACGAGATCGCCCTTGATGTTGTAGGTCTCACGGGCTTCGAGACGCTTGAGGAATTGGAGGCTGGGAGGTGGAATTAGTCTCTGCAGGCAGGGAAATTAGAGGGAAAGTCGGTGATGAACTTACACATATCCAATACCGCAGAAGGGGAAGATCAAGCACTGGGAGTGTGTTAGTACTGCCTAATATCGGGAAGAACACGGGACGTACGTCAACGTTGAATCGGTTGTAGTCGGTCAATGTTGGGTCTCGCATGCGGTGCGCCAGTTTGCCGTAGACGAAGCAAGAGCAGAAGGTTGCCTTGAGGCCTGCACATTTGTTAGCGGATATAAAAATCTTGCTATTGACTGAACTCACAGAGGTTGTCTGGCCCCTCAAAGCAGTTGAAGATATCATCGTGCCACTCCTCAGTTCCAGTCTGAGCCTGGAGCTTCGACAAAGTTGGCTGGGCTTGTCCAGCTGGTTGTTGGGAGACAACAGTCTCTGGTGCCTTGGTTTCGCTCATGATGAAGATTAAAAGTCTTGTAGTCTAAGTTCGGAATGTAGGGAACGTCTGCGAAGTAAATATCTGGAGATGAAGGGATTTTGAACGGCTGAAAGAGAGGAATGCAAGGAGAAAAAAATCACGGGGGCCTAAAGCCTTATATCGATCAGCAGGCACACTGAATAAGGTTCGAGAGCTCGAACCACAATGATCGTCCGGTAGTGACCAATGGCAATCAAAAATAAAACGACCTCTCATCTCCACGCGTGACGGGAATAGAAGCACTAAGCGGGAAGGGGAAACAACGGTCCACGTTTATTTGCTGCGAGTCTACGGCAATCCAAATATTTGACCGATGCATCGCAGCTCTCTCCTGGCCAACGGCACCTTGCACCAGTCGATGGAGATGAAGGGGCCAAGCACTCCACAAAACCGTCAAAATGTCTCTCACAAACACGGGGGAGAGGTCAGGAATGTGCGCCCATTTCAGCCTTGCTCAAGGATGCAGCATTGAAATCTCCCCAAAGCTGAGAATGTGGCGTCAGCCTCATTCCTCTTCTAGCGGTTCGCTTGGAGCGTTCGCCCGCCTTGAAACACATACTTGCTTTTTACTGGCTATGCGGTGAATCCACGATTGTGACCTGTGTTGCGAGAGGATAAGGACGGTTGCACCCATGTACTACAATGCCGACCCCATGCATGCCACCAGCCGTGGTTGTGAGACTTCCATAGGTCAGAATTTTGAGGTGTTACGATCTCGAGGCACCGGAAGGAGTCAGACGGGATTCTGTATTATCTCCTGTCTTTGCTCAAGATAACGTACTCAGCCTCGACCTTGGTGCCATTGCGCAGCACTTTTGGTGGTGGTGAGAACTCGTCTTTTGCATAGCCCAGCTTCTCATAGAACTTCACTCCACGAACATTGCGGGTAAAGCAAGTGAGCATTACTTTCTCGGTACCGGGGATCCGCGCTGCAATCTCGCCCACAAGATTCATGAGAGCCGTGCCTAATCCAGTTCTTGACTCGTCAGCGTTAAGCGGATCAAGCGATACGGCTGCCTTACCCTTGCAGAGCTGGAGAGAGGTGTATTTCGTAGCAGTACATGACTGGGCACCCATCCTCGTATGTCGGCATTAGTGACACAAAGCCCTCGACTTTGCTATCCCGTTTGACAAGGAGGTATTTGAGATCCAAGAGTTTCATCTCCTTCCGTTTGGACCGCGGCTTCCAGCCATCTTTGGAGTTTTTGTAGTCGGTTGAGCTGGTGAACTCGATAAGATAGAAGCAAGCTTCGAAATCTGGTTCTGAGAGTGCCTTGGCCGTTTGGAGTGAGACTTCATATTCGTCTTTGGTCCTGGGATGAATCCATGTCTTCCACTGTTCACTATTTGATGTCAGGATTTCAGCTGCTCAATCCTGGGGCGGAGCTATGAGACGTCTCCGAAGCTGCAAACCGTCGGAGAGGGGGACTCACCCAGGAGGAAGATACTCGGTGATGAAGTCCCCTATTGATTTCAAATTCGCGACCTCAATGGGATTAACCTTCTTGGAAGGCATTTCTCGAAAAGGTTGAAGATGAGAATCGAGGAAAACGCGTCGACGCGTGATTTAGGATGTTCGCCAAGAATAGCCTCCGCTCCGCTCCTCTCCGCTGCTATCAATTTCATCATCACTTCGAATCTTCCATTCTCAACACTCACCAAACTTGAGAGTCCCGCAGATGCAATGCTCGATGCTCTTCCTGCCTCGATCATGCATTACTCGGACTTTTGCCTCGCAGGCTAAGAAACGCCCAAGGCGATTGGATAGAACTATTTCCCTCGACCATGTCCGTCTTCGCACTCAAGCTCTGAGATCTACCCAGGACCCTTGCTAACAGTAGTTACAGTTCCTCCAAAGGGGCAGAGCCTTGTCCCTATGGCGCACAATCATCCGCGGTTGTCGAAGGATATCGGATCCCAATTCTCGTGAAGAGACGCTCCATTTTGCAAGGGACGAATTCAAGAGGAACAAAGAAGTCAAAGATATTGTATGTTCTTCCCTTGGATTGGGATTTAGAGGCTAATTCAGGCTTTATGGCAGACCCAAATCCGGTATTTGATTTCGACGGGCAAGACACAGTGGGAGAACATGGAGAGATATATTGATGGGTTATGATCATGGCACGAGCCAGCAGACCAAGAGGAAGACTTTGGGTATGGAGCGGGATATTGAGCAGTTCAACCTCTCCTTCAGGTCAATACCTCAGCACCATGACAGCTGCCGTTGTCCTCGACCGAACCCTCTCCCATCCTTGACATATCCATTGTATTTTCTTCTCTATCCGTGACATCCATCTCTCCCCAAAGTCCCAAACGCCAGCCAATGCAATATCGTATGGTATTATTGTACAGCTCATCCCATCATCCCATCTTCCCCTTCCAAATCCCACACCTATTTTCCCTGCCGCTGCTTATGCTTAGGGTTCAACGAGCAAATAATATAAACATGTCCCTTCCCACTCTTGCCACCTTTTCTCCTCACGCTCTGCATTCAATCAGCCTTTATCCCCCAATTCCATCCCTCCCCATCCCCAGGAGAAAACGTACCTTACAACCCTCACACAACTTCTTCACCGAACTCCTAACCTTCATCCCCCGCACTTGCTCCTGTATTCCATTTGTAGATGACGGTATCAATTGAGGTCTTCGTAATGTTTGTGACGTGAGGTTTGTGAATGTTCGGGGTGTGGCAGCACGTCGAAGGGGTGACGAGAAGGAGGGGAACAACACGCGCGCTGTGCGCAGGATGGTCGCGCTTGGTAGCATTTCGCAGACTCTTTCTCAATTGGTAATTGAGGGTGGGAGTTTAGCGGACGCACGGAGAATTGTTGTGGGACTGGAGCTTTGTTGAAGATATGGGTTGACAGCGAATTTTTGGAAGCTTCGAATCTTCATGCCTGAGACCTTAGGCACTGACTTTCAACGAAGGAGTTTTGAAGAGAGGAGGAGTGAATTGTGAGATAACAAGAGCTTTCTCGGAATGTGGAAGCTAGGTATGACTTTTCAGAGAATATCATCTATCTATGGTCATTTTCCCTTTCTTTTATCTATCCCCAGATCCAAGGAAAGAACTCCCAACACCCGCTAAATGCGCCGACTCTTCAAATGAAACCCCCAATGAAACTTCTCGAACAGATTCAAGAGGATTTAACTCCTCAAAAACGTCCTAAAAACCTCACTCTCAGTACAATCTTCCCACGGATACCCAATCCGCCTCAAAAAGCTCTCTAGCTCTGTTAACTCAGTATCCGGGCACACGATCCCCGTCAACACCTTCCCAATATCACTGCCCGCATTCCTATACTGGAAAAGACTGATATTATACCTCGGCCGCAGCGTCGTTAAGAACTTCTCCAGTGCTCCAGGCCGCTCGGGGAAATTGAACATGTATAATCTCTCGTGCGGAACGCCAGAGCGGCCTCCCACGAGGTACCGGATGTGTGATTTTGCGAGCTCAGACCCCGAGAGGTCGGTGGCTGTCATTCCCGCGCTGGAGATGCGTGTTAGGAGGGAGGAGAGCTCGTCGTCACGTTGGGAGGCGGGGGAGGTGAGCGAGATGCCGATGAGGACGTTGGCGATGGCGTCTGTTGCGTAGCGATAGGAGAACTCGGTGCACATGTGTGGCATTATTGCTCTGATCAACTCGGCAAATGATCCTGGCCGTTCGGGGATGCTGACACTTATGAGAGCCTCTTTCTTTTCTCCTAAGGCTGCTCGTTCGGCAACGAATCGTAGACGGTCGAAGTTCATGTTCGCGCCGGAGGCGATTGCGACGAGGTTTCGGGAAGTGTTGGATGAGGGGTGGGAAGCGACGTATTTTTTGAGGCCGGCGACGGCAAGGGCTCCTGCTGGCTCAACGATGGAGCGGGTGTCTTCGAAGACATCTTTGATTGCTGCGCAGGTTTCATCGGTGGTGACTTGGATCACTTCATCGACCACCTCTTGACATAACCTGAAGGTCTCTTCGCCCACGGTCTTGACTGCTGCTCCATCCGCGAAGAGTCCAACATCGTTCAAGACTACTCTTTGCCCCTTGGCTAGGGATTGTACCATAGCGTTTGCGTCGTATGTTTCTACGCCGATGATCTTGACGTGTGGTGCTATGCGCTTGACGTACACTCCTATTCCGGCAATCAGGCCCCCTCCCCCTACACAACAGAAAATAGCTTCCAGTTTCTGGATATTCGTTTGTCGCAGTAGCTCCATACCAATTGTCCCCTGTCCTGCAATAACATACGGATCATCGAAAGGCGGGATATTCGTCAGCCCATGGAGCTTCTCTAAACGACTACATTCTTCCTTCGCAGCATCGAAATCCGCACCATTCAAGACGACAGACCCTCCAAGCCGAGAGACATTGAGATGTTTGATAGAAGGCGTTCCTTCAGGCATAACAATCGTAGCCGGAATCTTGAGCTTGCGTGCCGAATACGCAACGCCTTGCGCGTGGTTGCCAGCAGAACAAGCAACAACGCCTTTCCAGCTAACCTTCGGATCCAAGTGTGCCATCTTGTTATACGCGCCCCGCAACTTGAAGCTAAAAACCGGTTGGAGATCCTCTCTCTTTAGTAGGACCTTGCATTCTAGTCGATTACTCAGGTTGGTGGCGGGCGTGAGGGGTGTTTCTTCGACGACTTCGTAGACTCGCGATGTCAGGATTAGGCGCAGATACTATTCAATCTCAATTGTCAGAGTTGATTTGATGAATTGGAGGGAGGGAGAGGACAGACGTCAGGATAGCCATTAGGTAGTATAAACTCATCCGGCACCACGCCCCTGATCTTGTTCCTTGGGCTCTCGCTCGGCGGTGAAGGGTTCGTCGAATATTCCGTCAGGCTCAAGGTATTTCGGCTCGGTGTACTGGGTCTGCCATTCTCTGCTGCCCTTCCATTGCCATTGCCATTGACCACTACTCCGTTCTCCATTTTGCCTTTTCCGTGTGTGTCCCGAGTTCAATTGGAGAAGAGGTGCTGGTGTGGGGAGGTGTTGAGGCACACAGGAGCGAGTCGCAGCTGAAAACGGAAAATCTTAGTGGGGTCGTCAATTTCTTTGTTGACGGACGCGGTTTCGGAGCATCACTGAAGCCTGTTGACAGGGGAGTTGTTCCGAGCTTTCATCTCCGGATTAAAGTTCAACCATTATTACCTCACCACTCTCCCCTCACTCTTCCGCGTATCCTAACACAAACATCAGTTCATTGATTGCATGTGATCAAGATGTCAAATACACCACTACCCTCGTCTTTTGACGGTGATAAGTACGTTTCCCTCTCCTTCTTAGCAAGTAATTGGACATGAACTGATTTGGGGAACAGTGAGTTCTACGAGGAAAACCGCTGGCAGAAATTCTCGCGGCGGTTGAAAGAGGAGCCTTTGATACCCTTAGGTATGAATGCCTGCCCCTCCCGCAGATAATTTACTTTGCTAAGAAGATCTCAGGATGCGTCCTGACCTGCATGGCCCTCTTCGGCGCCTCACGCTCCATCCGCGCCGGCGACCACAACCGCACGAACCGCATGTTCCGCGCCCGTATCTATGCGCAGGGCTTCACACTCGTTGCTATGATTGCAGGCAGCGTGTACTGGCAGTCGGATCGGCAGAAGCGGAAGGAGTTTGATAAGGTTGTTGAGGAGCGGAAGGCGAGGGAGAAGAATGAGGCGTGGATCAGGGAGTTGGAGGCTAGGGATGAAGAGGAGAAGGATATTAGAAGGATGAGGGAGGCGAGGAGGAGGGGGGTTAGTGTGGATGTTGTGAGGAACGAGGATGCGGAGAAGGGGGCGAAGAAGATGGAGGAGGGGAAGGGGAAGGTGCCGGACCAGCTTGTGGAGAAAGGGGCGGGGTCTGTGGTGGAGGTTGAGACAGAAGCGAAGAAGAAAGGAGTTCTTGAGAGTGTACAAGAAATGGTCTGGGGCGGGAAGAAATAAGGATAACTGTACAGCTGATCTGGGGTTGGGAGTTATTGGTTGGGAGCTTGGGTGTATCGGAGTGTACAGTACTACTGGTGGCTTGCAATGTAGAAAACGCCATTCAATGTTTATCATTCTAGTAATATTGAGGTTTCGAAGGATTGTGAAAATCAGGGACTTCTTCAAGTCCGAGGAATGGGAGCACACTTCGCTACCCAGTCTTCTCGCGGAAGAGAAAATTGTCGATCTGAGTCGTGTATGGGCTAACTGGTTCAACCTAGGCCCAATATTATATATACAGCTTTATCCAAGTCTATCCAACTCCCCAATCCCATCAGAAATCTATCCTAGTTCATCGACCCACCACTTCTATTCCCACCAATTAACCCCGCCATCTCAAGCAGCGCTCTATCAGCCTCGATATCCCCCGTCCCCAAATTCACCTTCCTCCTCGCCTCTGCCTCCCTCTCTTCCCACTCCCACCTCTGTCTCTGCTCTTCTTGCTCCTTGTCCCCACCGCAACCCCAAACCTCCAGGCTTTCAATCTCGAACCTGTCTTGCCAATCACTTTTCCTGCTCTGGCTGTTATGAAATGCTCCTCCACCACTCGTATAATTGTGAGTGAAGACTCCGAACTCGAATGAGGAGTCGAGCATTAAAGAGACAGCGCCAAGAGATACGTGAGGTGGAAGGCCGGCTGTAGGTTTAGATTTCGGATTTGGAGAGCCAAATGCGATGCCAGCGTGAGAAGTTGAGGATTTCGTGAAAGAGATATAGTCTTTGTTTATGGTGGAAGCGTGGAAGACTTCATGGACTGGCTCAAGTTGGAAGAGAAGTGTATCTGTGTCACCGATACACTCTTTGTGGGTCTGACGCCAAGGCTGGGAGAGGTAGGCGCCGAAGACGACATGGCTGGATTTGCTGCTGTCTGGGAAGCGCTTTGATGGGAGTGTGTCTGAGAATGCTCGTTCTTGGCCGCCTGTGGGAGGTTCTGAGATGCGGTTTCCTGAGACCAAGAAAATAGTGGGAGCTCGCCAGTTGAAAACTTTGGTTTCGAAGCTTCCCATTGAAAATCCGGCATCTCCTCCAGAGTAGAGTAGACGGAGCCGCCTGAAGAGTGTGTCGCCGGGCATGAAAAATGACAATTGTGACAGAACATTCAGATCCAGGATCTCTCCTATTTGTGGTAGTAGTGGCTGATCTATCGTTGGGTTAGGAGGCGGCAAAGGAGTTGAATCCCTTCGTTTTGTGAAGTCGATATTTTTGGAGAAAAGGAAGTGCTCAAACAGAGCATTGAAGCCATTGAACATGAATGGTAACGAAATGGGTATCACAGTATTAAATTGATGAATTTTGACTCCTGGAGACTTTTCAACATTCACAAATGCGCCTAGGATATTGTCCGCAGTTCTTCGGAGACTTTCAAGCTGGTCTCCTGATAGCCTTTCGGCGTGTCGAGCAAGACTTTCTTGCGTTCCGAGGGGTGCTATTAAGAGGAGAAGCATTATGAGCTTCTTGAGGTTGTCCGAGGGTATCGAAGCTTGTGTGATCGGTGCGTCGCCGTGTCGGAAGACTTCGATGGCGTCTAATGACTCCAGCGCAGCCAGAGCCAGATCATCGTCATCTTCCACTTCTTCGTCGTTCGCCGCAACATCCACAGTGAAGCCTGCGACATGACTTCTTGCAACACCTGATCCCTCGCCCTTATGTGTGTCCTCGTTCGTTTCAGGATTGCCCTCATCATTATGGGACTCTCCTCGGTCGTAGACTGCCAGACTCCGGAAGAGCAGTTTCGTTCGGTCCCGGTTCCCCTTCTTCAGCACCCGTTGATACCTCTGCGTCATTATTACAACCACCATTACCATCTGTTCGAATCCTAATACGACCGGCGCATCTTGACCAAATGGAAATGCGCCGAGATATGAGATCATCTGGAAGATAATCGAGGATGCTCCAAGAATGTCCGGAATCTCGAGGAATCGTGCTGTCGTGTCTTCTTTGAGGTATGCAATCGAGTCCTGGTGATCCGCCAGGCTCTTAAATACATCTTGAAAGGAGTAGAGTTCGAGGGGAGTGAAGCATCGTTTTGCGAATCTCAGTGCCTATGGAAATCAGCGGCGTGGCTTGGGAAGAGACCGGTAACGTACAAGCTCATGGCTGACCTGCGCCGTCGTGAGATGCGGCCCCTCTTCATTGGACTGGCCTTGTCCCATGATGGGAGGTGAATACTGGCATAGAATGAATGTCCCAAGACCAGCTTGAGAAATGTTGATTGCCAGCAAGGCAGGGAGGTCGGCTTTGCCCCGCTAAATTGACGAACTCCGCCAAGTGGCCTTCCTTTCACAAGGCTGCGCTTCCCTCCTTCTCCCAGCATGCAGCCATGTCCCAACACTCTCAAGCTGAAGCTGCTAGGTAGCAGAGTGTGTCGTCGGCTTAAGAGTCTTTGAGTCTCTTGTGTGTCCTATCTTTCTTACCTTCGTGTTTGCTTCAACGTGTTCTTTCCCCATCCTCCAATTTTCCCTCGGCTGTCACGTCGGGCATCAAGCCAGCTCCGAGAAGGATCTAGATAAAGCCCAAGGCAGTATATACCGCGCGATTATCCCAAGAGCTGCATCGTCCAACTGAAGGTTTCAGGGCTGTGTCAATCGCATGCACGTGGCCTTGGCCTGATCGACTCGGTGAGCCGAACATTTCCGTTGACTTGAAACAGCGACTCTTGGTCACCCATTCCAGAAGCTTTCTCTTGTCAGATGCTTATAAATGTCCTTAAGATATCTCAGAAGGATCGAAGTCCATATTCTTCAGACAGCCTCTCACTGAAACCTTGGATCCCTATCGTCTCAAAAGGTCTTGTCGAACTCTCTATTTGAGTAGCCAATCCTGTTGGGACACGTTCAGAATGGTAAGTCTGCCCTTTGCCCCGTCTGGGTGATGCATTGGGATTGCATATTCAGGCGGTCAACGCCCGGCTCAGAGTACCGCCCTCCTCATCTGAACCTCATCCTAACGCATCACAGCCTCAACACGACTCCAGCTCTCGTCACGCAGGGCATAGTCACAAAAAGAAGGAAGAGTACGTCTGGGAGTGGTTCTGGGCTTGTGTATGATTTCCTTTATGCTTTTGTTTTCGCTGCTAATTGAACCAAGTGTAATTGCGCTGTGCACGCGGGTCTTTCGACCACCATCAACGTGGAGTGTCCAGGATGTGCTCATGTTCGATGTGAATATTGCCCCATGGAGAGTGCGCAAATTCTCAAATCTCGGATTGTCACACGCAAATAGACTCCTGGCTTGCCGGGAACGACGCAAAAGGGTGCGTTTAGAAGCGGTTCCATTCATTTACCCCAGAGCTGAAGCAAAAACACGGGGCTAGGGCCTCAACTCGGAGTATTACCATCATGGATAGCTCTAGGCTTCACAGCAGTCAGTCAAGACGATACGCATTCATATGGCAGCCAACCTTCTCGCAGCGACAAACAAAATCGTATCCAGCAGAAAACAAACACAGGGTCCAGAGGGTCATCTATCCGCCAAATAGTTCTGTTCCTGTACCAACTTCCGTTCCAGTCTCGAATGGCGATATCGAGGAACTCTTCGTTAACAACAAATATCAACACGACGTCGATCGGTACTTGTACCGAAAACTTCAAATTGGCAGATTTCTCCAGGCTGCGGATATCGAGATTCTCAGAGGCACTCCACAGCAATCACTATCGAAGCCAAAGGTGCTCTTAGATGACCGCAATAATGCAAGTGTCACACGATTACAGCAAGTTGGTAATTGCAGGCTGTTTCGAGGTCCGTTGAACGCCCAGGAGCTTTTTATAGAACTTTCCCAAGACGTATGTTGTCAAATATTGCAGGAAAAAGTCGTGAAAGACCGAAATTGCTAACATTTCGTAGCGATTACCTGAGACTTCAGACACACCCACTATTATACCCGCAGAGCGACGATTAATGTAAACCTGTTTTTTCATGTTGAACCGCTTGTCCTCCATTTACTGATTCGCTAGCTACATCACCGATATAGATCCGTACTGCGCTCTTGCCTTAGCAGCGACTGCCTCGACTTCACAAGCAGCGTTTCTCAGGGAGTTTCTCAGCAAATGCCTATCCTTCCATCCCTTCGTGGGAGTCGATATTTGGGTATGAGAGCTTTGTGCAGTTCCTTCTTTTTTTAAAAATAAATTTTAAATTGTTTTTGACACACTCATTTTGGTCTAGTTCTTTCCTTCCTGTACTTGCCTCATACAAGCACGCTTTCGTTAATCTCTCTGTTATATTGCAAATGTGACGATACTAGTTCATTCATAAGCGCTGAAATCGTGTAGGCTCCATCCCCTGATGGCGCTGCGGCCTTTGCGCTGGAGTTCCACTTACCATATTACGCTTGGCGACCGATGGAATTCATGATCCAAGACCCTCGGAAAGTCAGACGTTCTGAGGAGGTCATGTATCTCCCAATTCAAGGTCATGCCTCACCATCATCTGATGACATACCCGAATACATTTACGAATCCCAAATATCTTTAATGGTCAGCGGAATCGATGACTGGGTATGGACAGCTTACTGCTTCGTCGACGTATATTTCAAAGGAAACATACACACTGAGAAAGTGGAGCATTATTCCACCGACGCTGTCAACAGAATGGATCCTCACTCATGCGCAAAGCATGCGGCAGACCGACCAGTATGGGACCCTCGAAAATATTTTTTGCGAGCTCTTTCAGCTCGAATGGAGCAAGTCAGGGAGGAATGGGAAAACTCAGTATCGCTCTTGATGTTTCAGATCGACCCTTATGTTCGTGGAAACCTGCGACGAAGAAATTCTGAGACTCACATGGGAACAGATCCACTCATTCCCACCAAGCCGTACGAAAACGAAGACTGGCGACTTGAAGATCACGACAAAAGAGGCATTTCGGTGGACTATCATAACCTTACGGAAGTTTTCAAATCTCCTTGCAAAGATCATCATAGCGTGGGAAAGGTTCGATAAGGGCGAAAAGCAATATTTCTACAATCCTCAATCTGGCGAACTGGCGGATAGCCAGTGGGGAACTTATATTTCCTCGATTGATAAAGACGTCAACCATTTACGAGACCTTCTGGGATCGCTCAAGGACCAAACAAAACTGTTTGAAGATATGACCACAAATGTAGGATGAACTTGCGAACTTCAGATGGCAGTGTGCTGACTCTCTTAGCTTGTTATGCACGCTCAGTATGCGGAGACTTGTATTGCATCTCAACAGAGCAAGTCAATTCAAGCCCTTACAAATATCAGTATTGTAAGCATTTCATTTACATCTCTGTTTGCAGTCATCCTTGATGGTCTGAACTCTTGACGGGAATGAGAATGAGAGCACTTCGTCTATTTCTTGGGACAGAGCAGTGCAAAGGCGACATTCTGTCAAAATTGTCTATCCTATCCCCAAGTGGGTTATTGAGATCATGTCAAAACGTCTCCATCACTTCAGTGACACCTTTTTATCCAAGCCACACCTAGAAGTGAACGTGCATGCAACCTACCTAGCTGACTTCCCTCTAGCTCTTTCTCCCCGCTACACTCGCAGCCACACTCTTCAGCATGCAGCCAATTCTTCCCAGTGGCGTGAAGATGAAGGACTTCCTCTACTTCTTTTCCCTCCTCTTCATCATCACTATCCTACTACTTATTAATCCCTCGTATATAAATACTTTCGTCCAGTCGCTGCGGAACAGGCAAAATTGGTTGTGGGCTAGGCTATCCCGGTTGTTGGACAGAGGGCTCATACGGCATGCAGGAGAAGATGAAGATTCTGGGGACGAAGATGAGGATGGTGTTGAGTTGCTTAACTTGAACGAACGGAACAGACGGACTGGCTGGAGGGATGGCGGAGACGTGTGATCTTGCTGGGCTTGGTACCAAAAAGTTGTTTTTGCTTTTACGATGTGAACGCCATTGTCACGTGACTTGCGCTTTGTAGGTAATCAAGACTCCAAGACTTCAATCTTATACGCGACATCGCAAGTCAGAAGCAATCACTCACGCATACCCACATAAGCCAATGCCGTCAGTACTCCAATGTTTGTTTGGCATCATGACTCATTCAATTCCGAGCACTTTCAAGTCTCTCGGCACGAAAGTGCTTGTGAATTCCACTTCAACTTTGCTACTCCTCAGGGTCATCTAAACTCAGCGAGGAGTCATCAAACTCATCATAAGGCTTTGAGATGTAATGCTTCTAAAGTCAGTCGATGGGAGTCAGCCATCCACAAAGAGACTCAAATGGCTTGGGATAGTCACTATCATCAGTCCATTGATCTGGTTGGCAATCACTGAGGGGTATATATTGAGATCTTGGGCTGCTGGTGGAGATGGAAGGATTATCTTTTCAATATCTTTTGGACTCAATTCTGAATTGGAACATTATTGTCAGGTCTTTTCAAGACTCCACTCACATCGACTCGGAATCCTTGAATTTTGGTCATGGATAGATCTAAGCCAATTGCAACGAACGGGACAACGAATGAAGGTGGAATGCACAACAGCGGAATAGAGGAACTTGCGGCTGAAGTCGTAGGATGCTTTCTCTCTTCTGAAAAATGGTGCCAGCTAACTGGCAACAGGTCAAAGGTGTGCTCTCGTCTAGGAATGACATCACTCCATCTCCTTTGAAAGCCTACGCCGTCAAGGAAAATCGAAATCTTAGCCTCTTAGGAAAGACAGTCAACCCAGAGCTTTACATCCATGTGGATCATTATCTCGTAAACGATATCGACAAGAAACTGGCTGAATTCCTAAAGAATTCTGCTTCTTCAAATCTCGATGACGAAATAACTGAAGTCAAGCGTTTAAGTGACAAGATCTCCATTCATCGATCATCAAGCACAACGGGGTTGAAGAAAAACGAGTTGTTCATTGGCCACTTCGACGACAAAGATGTCATGGACATTGGAGAGTTTCATCAATTTATACGCCACGTTGGAATATTCAGAATATTGCACAATGGAAAGTCCAGCCCGGCCGCAAGGAAAGATCTCTTAGAGAAGAAAAAGAAGATCCATGATAAGTTTGAGCGTGGGCTTACTCCTATTGGTAGTGTGCCCAGCTCGAAGTGGCAATGCGTAAGTCGATTCTCAACCTTCCCAAGCTCGAACGCAGCTAACAGAGGTTAGTGCAAATGTGAGCATAGTAATACAGACAGCGGAGATCTAGTTCAGCGATGCGGAGGAGCTATATGCAAGCCAGAGCATGAGAAATGCGTGCATTGCCTCACTGTTTGAGAGGCAACTGTGGCGACGAAGAGGCCGCATGTAGATAGTGTCGGGCTTTGCTGAAGGTAATTGTCGGTTAATCATTTGCTGGAGCTTTAGCAATACGCCACAAGGGATTTCTAGTTCTTGATTTCGAAGGCCGTCGACCGACGAAAGAGGTAATGTTTTCCTGGCCATGCTCTCATAACGTAAATAGCGCTGGGACTATAACCTTTAATGCAGTGGCCTAGGCCTCATGCAGCTTGGCCACGGGCAAGTGACGCCGTAACTCCACTATAAGTTTTAGCTGCCGTAGTGACTAGTACGCCCTTCGCACTTCACAGTGAGTGACACAAAATTTCCCCATGTTCTTCTTTTTAGGTCTGGGAATCAGAATGTAGTCGATCCGATTCTTGTTTCCTTGATTGAGATTATCTAAGGAAGATAGCAACACCATGGCTCGAGATGCAACAGAACAGTCCACCTCCCACGAGCTCACCGTACCTCACCCCACTTCCACACATCCAGCTCCCCCACCACACAATCTCCTCCAAGATCATGAACCAAGCATAACCTCCCGCTCAAGAAACGACTACACCTTCCCAGAAGGCGGCGCAAGAGCCTGGCTTGTAATCCTTGGCTCCTTCTCCATAATCTGCGGAACATTCGGCCTCATCTCCTCAGTCGGGCTTTTCCAAGCCTACTGGCAAGTCCACCAACTCTCCTCCTACACCACGCGAGACATCGGCTGGATCTCCGCCGTCAACGTCTTCCTCAACCTCTTCCTCGGAGTCCAGATCGGACCATTGTTCGATAGGTACGGACCAAGATGGTTGGTCCTGGCAGGGAGCGTGATTTATGTCGTTGGCCTGGTGCTTCTGGCGCAGTGTGTCAAGTACTGGCACTTCATGCTTGTTTATGGGGTTCTCGGTGGGACGAGTAGTGCGTTTTTGACCACTACTGCACTTGCTGTGGTGGCACACTGGTTTGAGGCCAAGAGGGGGATGGCAAGTGGGATTGCGTTTGTGGGGTCTAGCGTTGGAGGGATTGGCTTTCCTCTGGTGTTGAAATCAGCTCTGGAGAATCTAAATTGGGCTTGGGCGATTCGAGTGGTCGCTCTCATTGTGCTTGTGTTGATGGTTGTCGGGAACTTGTGCATTCGCGGACGACTGCCGCCAAGAAGGAATGGGGGAGCTGTTGATTTGAAGTGCTTTCAAGATCCTAGGTTCTCTTGGGCTACTATTGGAGTTGCTTGTAAGTGTTCTCGTTTGACAGCTTCCTCGAAAGTACGAGTTGTCACGTGAATGTCTGCTGATAGAAGTCAGTGTTTGAATTCGTGTTGTTCGGAGCTCTTGGGCTACTGCCAACTTACGGACTTCAGCAAGGTTTTAGTAGTCAGACGAGCTTCAATATCATCGCGATCTTGAATGCGTAAGTCGGCCCTTTCTGTTGCGGACTGCCCCCTCCCCACCCTTCCTTCCTTCGCTAATCTTGCTGGTTAGCGGTTCTGCGTTTGGACGTTCATTTTCAGGATACATCTCTGATAGAGTCGGGCGATTCAATACCATGATTATCACGCTGACGTGGTCACTGATCGTAACATTCGCCCTCTGGCTCCCAGTCGGCAACCACGTAGTTCTCTTCTATATCTTTGCTCCCCTTTTCGGATTTGGAAGTGGCAGCATAATTAGTATGGCTCCCGTTTGTATTGGCCAGCTGTGTAAAGCGGATCAATATGGTCAATATTACGGGACGAGCTACTCAATTGTTGCCTTTGCGTAAGTGCCGTTTTGAAGTGAAGTACGATGCTTGCTAACAGGTGACAGAACTCTGATCTGTATCCCTGTAGGAGGAGAACTCTTGCCTACGATTGGAAGCGTGGGATTCGTCACAATATTTGGAGGAATTCTCGTGTTGTCGTTGGCCAGCTTTCTTATGGCTAGATGGGCGTGCCTGGAGTATCGTTGGAAATGGAATGTGAAAATTTAGAGGGTTCAAGATGGTGCGATTCGATTGAATAATAACTCAGAAGTCGGGGCATCATTCTTAAGAAAGGCTTATGATCAAATGAGCAATGTGTTAGTATCATTTGAAGAAGAGTAGTAGATTGACGTTTTAATTTCAGAAGACTTTTGAGTAACCCAATCTGTTGTTTCTGTCTTAAGATCCACACGAGCAAAGAAACTCCACCTGAGATCAATCCTCCGTCCTGAAAGTAGACTCTCCCGTTGACCTAGGATTTATGCCGAAGACCCTGGTAGCGGGGCACAGGGATCGCGGAAGTATTCAACGTTGCACAGATAGGTAATAGTCCTACAAAGTGAAGTTGGTCAGGGTTGCTCCCTTTGATATAGACACAATTTGAAAACACAGCACTGCAAAACTTACGGATAATCAGTACATTGGCACAAACAATTGTAATCTGTTTTAGAAGTGCACTTCGGTAGTGGAGGAGCTGTGTATGTAGGTTCCGGAAGCTGGTGATCGGAGCATGGGTCCCGGACGTAGACGACGCAACAATCGAACGGACTATTGGGCCATGGTTATGGTTAGCAGTGGGTTATTAATCGAAGAGACAGGGAGAAGACAGGATTCAGTGACTTACGTTCCGTCCGCGCAGTAGGATGTGCAGTGTGGCTTTTTGCAAAGTGCACGCTGGTCCAGGGAATCTGGAAGGCGAATTGGCTTAGAAGGGACCAAGAACATAGAGGTAAGACTTGCCAGAAGGGTGAGCTAGTGTGTCGGAGAGAAACGAGAGAGCAGCCAGAAATATTCCGGTGAAATGCATTTGGGTGTTGTATGAGACGTCGATGCTTCGGCAAAAGTCAAAAGTGGTATGGGTTAATGATACAACCCAAATTGCGGCCCCAAAACTCACTCTCTATATATAAACAATTTGCCTTCTCTTCAGTTGGATGTTTTTGATGACCCGATCCGAAAACTTGCAGTCGCAGCGCCTGATCAATTTCGACGATAAAAATAAATACGAGGAGGCTAATAGGGTTTTCACATCCGGGATTCCGGGGTAATACCAATATCCGTGTAGCCAACGAATACAGCTAATTGACAGGATCGCTTACCGTGCCAAGGGGGCTACAGCGTTTTAACTTAGCAGCCAAGAGCCGAATCGAAATCCAAAGGATGATAATTCGGAGATTGGTGTCCGATGACATGCTTGCTTGGTGTTAGGTGTCAGCTAGCCACCCTCTTCCAGCTATGGTGATGGTATAGGTGATTTTGGTGCGAGATCTCTGTGCTTCTTGACTGATTATGATGCAGCAGGGAAATCTTTGCTCCGAGGACTACCTTACAGAACGTTCTTCATTGTGTAAACTTTGTCACTAGGAGTCCAGTATTTGCAGATATTAACATCACACCACTAAAGCGACCTTTGAGGACTTCCTCTTCGAAGTCCATTCCATCATATCTTCCCCACCAGGATCTAAGAAGCACAAATTCCCTAGTGGCGACCTTGAAAACTGACCCTTTCAAGTACCTGTGCATACAATTTCTACTTGAACTACCACTCAGCGACCGTCCTCCATCCATGGGACCACGCCGCCCTCTCCAGTATGTAGAAGTAGCCACAACGACTTTTTGCGTTGCGCTGCAATAAGAATACCAGTCTGCACAGAAAATCAGCAAGAGCTAGCTCACCGGTATTAGATAAGGGCGTACCATTCTGGTATTGACAGACCGAGCCAGCACTAGAACTTGCTCCGCAACTCGCTTGGAAACCGTTCCCACCACACTGCCCCAATTCTGGGACCGGGCATGAAGATGTAGCAGCCGCGGTGGTCGCAGTTACGGTAATCGTCTTGGTGGTTGTGCTCCTGTCGCCAACGTGTTAGATTCAATGGATTTGCGCTGTGTTGCTGGTGGCTTACTTTGTGCCTGTTGGAGGATCTTCGTCAACGGCCATAAAAACAGGAGCCAGTAGCTGAGCCCTACTATCGCTTAAGCTGTCCCCTACTATTAATTAGCGCAGATACCCTTGTATTTTCCATAGTAGGGTTTAGCTTCTTGCATATGCTCGACCTTAAGATATAAGAGATACTTATTTTACTAAAGGAACACTATCCCTCTCTTCTTTTACCCTCCTCCAACCCCGGCCTCCTACGAACGGCCCGCCAGGCATACTCCTAGCATATGCTTGTTAACCCTAACCCATAGGGCCTTTATACTCTAATATATTACTATGCGGGGGCTCTCACCGCCCCCCAACCCCCCCGGGACTAACCCGAACCCTAAGCCCTGACCCTAAGCCCCCTCGCAAGCTCGGGACTAATCCGAACCTTCCTAGCCCGTGCATATGCAGGGCATAAGGAGAGCATGTGCCAAACTATAGTAGGGACAGCTTAAATAAGCGAGGATATATCGAGCAATAGCTTAAGCGATAGTAGGGATCAGCTAAATAAACGAGCATATGCAGAGTTTGATAGAGGGGATAGCTTAAGCGATAGTAGGGAACAACTAAAACCTCTAAAAACAGTTGAAGCTGAAGTCATCTATATTCCATTGGTGATCAGAATTAGTAAGATCAAGGGATTTGGTAATGGCATACCTTAGGGAGGGCTGTTACGGTAATGAGTGTGATAGCCTGTTGGTTAAGATATCTGGTTAGTCTCGCATATCCTGCTGGGCGAGATAAGGCAGGTGGGAAAGCAACTCGAACCATGGAGCAATGAGACATAAGGATGCCGTGTTTTAATATTGAAAACTTACGTTGGTGACAGTAACAGTGACTTGCTACGCAGGTTGTTAGTATTTTATCTACTCCAGTGGAAGGATGTTAACAATTGTACTCACCGGGAATGCAACGCTCAAGAGGACGAGCGGAACTATAATGGCAGAATTGGAATGGAACATAGTGGCCTATTTGACTTGGATTCGTTCACAGATGCTTTTGTTCAGAAATATAAGACATCAAATAATGCAGGAAAGGAGTAAATGTACGAGACATTGAATAAGTCATCAGTTCCGCACGTGGTTCCCTTGCCTCGCTGTTAATTAGCCAAGTTAAACAGTATAAAGATGTGTGTGTCTTTCCGGATCCGAGCGAGAACCTGGCTTATGTTATGATAAGCAGGGGTATCGTATAACGATCTAGTAATGAGAGGCTGAACTGTTTTCGTCATCTATTACTCGTAAGTCGTAACCCATGGACTTGTGGTTCGTGAAGCGAACAGAGTCAAATCCATATAGCATGGCGCGCTCTATTTCGAGAACAGCTGAGCACCCTAAAGAGATATCGGGATCAGCGTGAAGCAAACCATATTCACGACAAATATTCAGTATCGTGCCACCCAAGTTAATATGTCATAATGGGGTTGAGAAATGGCAAGGATACCTTAGTGCCTACCTACGCTGCTCAAGCAAACGCCTCACTCAAGTCATCACTGGCTGTTTTGAGGAACTTCCACCTCCATTCTAAATTTGAGGAGCTTGCAAAAGTTGTGCAATTAATATATAACAATAGACAAAACCCTGTCAAAGGCTTCGGAGCTCCAAGAGAGATTCAAAAAATAGCATTCTCACCTAGACCACAGGAACCCAAGAAAGCTCTGGTGCAAACTCGACAGGAGCAAAACCGCCTTGGCTGCATAAATATATTCGTGTTAAAGTGCACGCACATGTTACACAACCAAAGACACGCGCTGCCAAGAGCATAGGTTAGATATATCCGGCGGTACAAACGTACATCGACGAGTATACTGCATCAACCCGGATTGGATAAATATCTTTCAGGGCTGCGAGGATAGAAAACTTCCCACTCGTCTAACATTAGTTCGGGATCAATATATCTTAATACTAGGAATGCAGCAAGCGAGCCCGCCTAATTAATCTTTTCCACAGGCGGCGAAGGGGCGCCGATAATGAGGGACTTGGCAGTGGGAACTAACTATTCTTCCGGGACACTCTCGCAACAATGTCAGTCTGATAAGAATGGAAAACGTGACTAACAACAGGCCCGGGGATATTATGGCATAGAAATAGAGAGAGTATGGACATGGTCAGAATACAATGAGTAGGCATGGTTAGATGTGCGAACACGGGATAGCGGAGGAAGTCCGATAGCTAGAACACGAGAGCGAGGCTCGAAAGAAACAAGAGCACAATGGGCATAAGTTGTTGGTATAAATGAGACCGCTTAAATACTTCGAGTAAATTATCTGTCGCTAGGAGCTGGTACGTGACCTGTTGGAAAGGGGCTGTGACTCCTCACTATAGAGCATTTCAACTGGAACGTGTAGACTTAGAGCTACAGGTAAGAAAACGTGCAGCAACCATAGATGATCAGAACAAATTGAAAACTCGTTGAACGACAAATACTGTACGCTGTGACGGAGACCTGCATCTCGCTTTAGCTCAAAGAACCTTGAAGTTCTGAACTCTTATTTTGCCCTCTTCCAGACTCGTTCTCTGCGCTTCAAACTTCGCTCGTGCTTGAGCCGTCGCCGGATCTTCATTAGCCAACTTGCTGAGTTTTTCTGCGTTCTTGTCTCCATACAGCTTCTCAGTGACATATTGGGGGTTGAAGAGCCTCAGAGGTCCACGTGGGCCCAACAGATGTCGCTCAACGACTTGGAGGGCAAAGTTGTCGATGAAACGGTACAAAGCAACATCGTAGTAAGCCGCCAAGCTGTCGTGAGTATTGAGAATACCAACGAGTTCGGCGTGCTTGTAGATGTAGGAATTGATAACTTCGTCCGTGTTAAGAGGGTTGACATTTGTCAATTCCTTCGCACCAAGTGGTCCAGCATTTTTCTGATTGTTCGCAATGAATGCTTTGGCGCAAGCCTGAATTCGTTGGTCATGGAGGAGTTGTTGCTTTTGCCTCTTGGCGGGTTGAAGGGTAAAGAGGTGACCCTGATGTTCATTTTCAAGGAGGCGATCCATTTCACTCCTCGCATCGGCTGAAGCTCTTCTGAACTCGTCTTGCAGCCAGATCAACAACCTGGAGCGGAGGAGCTCATCTGGGCAAGCTTCTTGGAAAAATGCCATGTTTATCTCCTCTATTGTTGCTTCCACCTTGTTAAATGCTTGAGAGGCGATTTGTTCCCAGTTGCTGGTTTGCTGCCTCCACAGTTGATCTTTGACTTCGGGGTTGACTTCGCCAATATCCTCTTTAGCACGGTAATTCTTAATTGCCGAACTTATCCATGCGTAAGTAGGCGATGCCCTGATCGCTTGGGTCCATTCAGACGGTTGATGGCGTACGAAAATTTCTGCATCCAAATTGCCAGTGCCGAATGGCACATTGAGGCCCCCAACCGCCATCGACTCTTGGAATGATTCAAGATCGTCTCGGATGAGCTTTCTCGCAAACAATTTCTCATCCGAAAGGACTTCGTAGTGTCCATTCAACGCCCCTTCGGCCATAGCAGAGTATCGCGCTGCAATCTTGTTTACAAGCGTAAATTGAGCTTGATTGTCAGTGCGTGGCTCCCCAAGCCTGTCGATCTCCTGAATACATTCGTCCAATTTGTCTTGAATATCACATAGCATTGCTGGGATGCTCTGTTTCAAATGCCGATTACGCATTTGAAGGAGAGCCTGCTTCAGGTGATGTCTTCCGAGTTTGTTTGCGTCAAGAGACTTCCAGTCGTGTCCGGAAAAGAAGCTCTTCTCAAGCTTGTCCCGCTCGTCATTGCTGACATCCAACTCAGAGGCTCGACGATTTCGTAGACCGAACCAGCCCTCCTTGAGGTAATGCTTGGATTGCAGGGGGTCATTGCGGATAAGATCAAAGACCTGCGAAATATAAGACCAAGTAGGTCAAGCGAAGACGGAGGATGGACATACCCAGTCGTGAGACTTTTTCTGTTTTGTGTCGCATTTGTTGATGACTCCGATGACCCGAGTCTCTTGATCCGGTAAGGTCTTCAGCAATTGGAAGATCTCCTGCCTCTCGGTGTCTATGACGTCAATCACAAGCCTACGACCGTTAGTATACGGCACGCAGAGTTAAGAGTGTTGAGGTCAAACATACACAATGATACTCCGTGGGTTGTCTAGATATTTCTGAACAAGTTGTTTTGCGGTTCGGTATTCCACGTGAGAGTCATCCCCTACGGAATGTAAGAGAGCAGCTCCAACGAAGGGTAGAGGTGAACTTACCACGGATGAGACCAGGAATATCAACAATGGCAAAATTGGTTTCATTTGGCCCAGTCCTTGTAATGCGCAATGTAGAACTACTCAGACGGCTCGTGCTTTGTTTGCGTGGGCTCTTTCTGAACGTATCGCTAAATATCATGGTTTCTGCCTAAGCACCACGTCATTAGCGGTTTTGATAGAGAATATGCTGTTTCGCACCTGCATAAAGACGGACTCCATAGTTGACTTGTTAAGTTCAGCATTGCCATCGAATCCTGCTGGGCTCCAGGCGGACAGAGCTCGCTGTCGATCAGGAGATTCATTATCGGCGGGAATAATTTCGAATTTCACAGTGGTGCCTTTGTTTGGTGAAGTTCTCTGAAGAACTATTTCTGTTGCAAATTTGGTGCACATTTTATCGTCAATAGTAAATGGTATTTCAGTCACAGCCTGGAGAACGGAGCTTTTCCCGGTGCTCTGGTCACCGACAACTACTAGCTATATATTGTCAGTATCGCGTGTGGCAAAAATCATCGAATAATTTACTTGTGGGAGGCCAATGTGATTCGACACCCCAAGTTTCTGGAGATCATCGATGAGCTCCATTTGTGCTCGAGTCTGGCTGTCCTCAAAGTCATATCCAAGTGGGTTACCTGGAGACACTTCGATGGACCCAAACGAGGTGTTTGGAGAGAATTCATTAGATCCAAAGGAGGTATCTGGAGACACTTGGATGGATCCCATGTTGTGTTTTTGCACTAGTGAAGTGAAAATATTTTTGTAGAGATGTCCTTGCCGAAATGACTTCTTGAAAGATGACTCGTTAGTGGGTTTGTAAAGAGAAGCCTATAGTGTTTTGACTTGAAGGATTAGGAACGAACTGTTCTGCAAATAATGAGGGAAAGGGTGGCTCGTCATTTATACTTCAATGAAGCTGTCATGGTCGAAAGCTGGGCATGGACGAGAAATCGTGGAGTTCATATCCGCCGGCCAACGATAGCTGCTCCCATACTCCCATTCCACAGGAATCCAAGAGTTCCAAATCTGCAACACCATATTTCCAGACATGTTTCTAACAGAATTGAATGCAAGGAGAGACAGTTCAGGTGTTCCAAAACACCCCTGAAAAGAAGCCCACCTCGGACGATTTCCAGCGAAAGATTGGGGAAACTCTTGTGTGACCTTCCCCAAGAAGACAGCCGAGCCAAGATCTGAGACAAGCTTCGTCGGTGGATATGCTCCTACTGGTTCCTACGCGCACTGATGGGGCTGATTTCCTGCAGCCCGACCTCACACGCAGAGTGACATTATCGGCCAGGCGGTTCGCTGAAACAACTGACAGTGCCGATCACTCGGATAGCGCTTGGAGGGCGCGCCGGGAACTGGGGAACCTATGGCAAGAAGTCCGCACTGCTTTCACATGATTGTGCCAAGTATGCTTTGAAACTGGTAAGAAGCTGGAAATGTTGGTGTTGGAAGGAGCCAGTATTTGTCGCGGCGAGAATTCGGAAGTCGGCCGGTGATGCAAGCGCTGGGAATCTTGTAACGCGGCCCGCGGTGCCCCTGGGGCCTTGCCCGCCGGCCACGCCTCTCCGGATCTCCCTCACATGTGCAGCAGAATGTAGGATTTCCCCATCCATGCCGGATCAATCGAGGTGTGGAAAATTTCCAGGGGAAAGTTTACGGCATAACGTGACGGGATTACAGAGCATTTGAGCCATCAACGCTCTTTAGGGTCTGTTTCTAGCACACTCAACCACTCAACAGGCCTGTAATTGCAGACTATTACAATAAATGCAAGCTATAAGCTAGGGACAAGGGGTAGCTTTTCAGGGCTTGCGCCCAATAGATAGGGGCTACTTTACTAAGAAACCCTCATAAGCCCCTACACACCGTCCGAGAGCTGTGGTTACCCCGCTAGCAGCGCTATTGCCCTAGGAGATCTCCCATAGTCTTGCAGTGTCTCACAACGCCTCTATAGCATATTTAAGGCATAATAGCTAATCATAGGGCCGGTTAGCGGACTGAATCATTCAATATGTACCCTGTGGGGGATTAATTGTCCCAAATGCCCTGTATTCCCGTCATTTCAGGCCGCAATTTTCGCATTGAAGGGGGGTTGCAGATCGCAGATACGAGAACCAATGAAGTTTGTTTGGCGGAAAGGAAATCAGCCTTGCGACGTATGCGAGATCTGTATCGGATTATAAAATACTGTCCGGCCAAGTTCAAGATGTTGATTACTATGGCACACAGGAAACCCGGGAAGGACAATTACTCACAGCCCAAATCATTGGGCACACTTGCTACTTCCCCAACCTTCCTCGCGGCGCTTCATGGTGAATGAATCTGGGACGAATTGAAGATGAAGAGTTGACTGACCGGTTTGGCTCTTGCCCAACGATGAAGATGGCTGTCACAGCAAGGTTCCAGCACTGCCGAAAAATCGACGGCTGGGCTACATGTCGACGCCTATCGCTCAGGGTGAATCGTGGCTCCTCCCATCAGAATATGCACGATAACAGACGAGCGAACTGATATCGTGTACTGTGAGGACTCCCTCATCTGCCATTATGTTGATGGAAGGATGAAGTTGTGATGAGGTTGAGGTTTAGCTGACGAAAAGCTTCAATTCCCAATCCAGCTCACATGGCCGTATCGGGGGAAAGAGAGATGAAAATAACAAATCACTGGATTCAAGGCTGCTCCAACCTTCTAAAGATTAGTAAGTATGCTGTTGTCGAGTACTCCAAAGCTATCAGCTCAAATCAAATCTTTGTATGATGGGTCACGTGGACGAGCCTCCCTCAACCCCCCCCCCCAGATTTCAATTATCAACACGACTTATTATGACGTACCATTCTCCCGGAGGATTGCGATCTGAGAAGATTCTCTGGTGTCTAGAATGGCTAAATAAAGACCATCGAATCATGCTCGACGATGTTGGCTGATTCAGGAGCCTTCCGGGGGGAAAAGTCACGCCACACAATTGCACAGTCGAACCATATCGCCAGGAGCCGCGAACATCACAACACATGACTTGTAATTTTTTCAAAATACAAAAGCTCGAACATTCCCATTCGAACCAGTCTTCAAGAACTAGAACCCTTGAAATCGTGGCCATCTATCGAACACAAGCCCAAACAAGTCCTCCAAACCTTCATCCGAAACCCAAAACCAATCAGTCAAAACACCCAACACATACATATCACGATGTCCGTCATAGCAAAAAATACAGCCCTCGTCCTCCTCGGGGCCGTCGGTGCTGTAGCAGCCGTAAACGCCCTCAAGCCTTCCAAGACAGCGGGAATTGCAAACGCGATGAGAACGCAGCTCGATCAAATCAACACCCACGTTGAACAGGATAGATCGTAAGTTCTCTTTTATCATGAAGGAGTGGTCTAAGTGGTGGGCTAATAGCAAACTTGAAGCGATACATTCCTTGATCGAACGGAGATATTGAATGATGTCAAGAGGAGGAAGCCGTGGAACCAGACGAGTGCTGAGCGGGAGGCGATGAGAAAGACGGGAGACGGGGACTGGAGACTGAGGAATGAGGGAGAGTAGGTACGGTGGTGGTGTAGGGTATGAAGGATGGCGTTGGGAGTTTGCTTGGGATATTTGGGAGGCGATGGGATAAATTATGGAAAAGCATCTCTGCCTAGATTTTGAATCTTCCTGAAGGTCAAAAGACGCAACCGCATGGGGCACACTGTACACAAAAGGGAATTCGAAACACATCAAAGAGAACACACCCGAACTTGAACATGGAGACAGGGATTCTCGAATCAAGAACCTCAGGTCCAGTTGCGACTCGCGACTTCGAGAAAGGGTGAAGTGGTCGCGTGCAGAACTTCTTGGAGGGAAAGGGTGTCTGCATCCCACTAATTGCCATCGATTCTCACGAGACCCATGCTCAAGGGGATTGCCAGACGAGGAGAAATTTATCGAGGCCGTAATCTGATACTCCATTCTCCGACTGTCAAGCATCCATGAGTTCCATGTTCAACTCGACTGCCCAGCCAGACCAGACTAGAGCCGACCTCAAAGAAAAAGCGAAAAGCGCGAATTATGACCCATCCTATCCACCCATGTGAAATTCGTGCATTCTCAAGGAAGAACATCTCTGCAATCGTGCCAGATCATGTCACGCAACTAGGTATCTTTCCGCCAGCAAACGCGTCCGTAACCATCCCCGAGTTCACCTGAGAGAACGTACATTAGCAATGGTACATGTAAAGGTGACATTCAATGTGCACAGCTTTATCGTGCAAGTCAAGGGGAGAAATACCATTGCGCTCCAACATCCGGCCCAGCGCGTCCGTCGCAACCACCTCACTTCTTAGGAGTAGCCTTCGCGGCGCCGCCCTTCTTTCCGAATCGCGCCTCACGGGCAACAGCAGCTCTGGCTCTGGCAGCCTCCTTCTTTGCCTTCTTGCTCTTCGCCTTCTCGACGCGTCCCTTCGCCATCGCGGCCTTTGCAGAAGCGTTGACAGCCATTGCGGAGATTTGGTTGAGAGGTGACGGGTGAGCGTTTACTTAATGTGTTTGGATAAAAGGGTGTGAGAACTGGAGGGAGTTTGGGCGAATTCGATGTTGGTTGATGGAATCGATGATTTTGCGAGTTTGTTGTTGATGGAGGGTTCGTCCAAGGGACGCGACGAGGTTGTTATGCCATTTATGGGACCTCGCTTAAAAAGGCGCTAGCCAGCCTTCTTAATTCTCCCAGATCTATCTTTTCTATCTCTTACATCTTCAGTTTCGGCATCTGTTTTACTTTACTAAAGTTAGCGAACATAAAGTCAATTTGTTATGTACTGGGAACTTTGTTAGTACGACTGCGGCTCACTTTCGGCCCAAGTTCATGTGGATTGAATATCTTGATCACGTGGAGCCCTCACGTGATATAATCTGACCTTTCCTCTCTTGCTTACTTTAAATTTGCTTTCCCAGACGTATGGGAACTCCATGACACATATCTCCTATTGCGGTTAGACTGCCTATTTTGTCCGCTGGGAGGCTTCATCTTTTGAATCGAAGTCATACTCAGCAAATCCGCAGATAGCCAGCCAGCCACCAATGCCACAATTGCCACAATTTGTCAAGTTCCGCTCCGGCTTAGCAATGCTCAGAAGTTGGCTCGATAATCACGACATACTCTATCAGTCTACCACCCTACTTTGATATAAACGAATATAAAGTCGATCCGAAGCTTCACCAATATGTCAACACCTTTTCATACAATCAATCCAAATCCAAATCGTCCAAGTCTCCACCAAGATGGCTACCGCAGAATTTGAGAAGGTACCAACCCCACCCCCCCCCCCCCCCCCCCCCAAGACAGTTCAAGTTTAAACATGAAGCTAACTCAAATATGAAAAGACGGATATCCTCAAACTAGCCGACCAAGATGGCCGTAGGTGCTGGGGGAGAACCCTTTTCTTATTTTTGACTGTCTCGAGATTTTCTCCCGAGACGATGTCCCAGTTCTCCCGGAATAACCTTAATCGAGTAATCGCTGGTTCCCTCGTTGCCTAGAATTCCGCCGCAAAGTCTCTCAATTCCGGAACTTCATCTCCTCAGATCCAAGCTCCCCCTTCCCAGCCGAAAAAGACCGCTATGTCGTCTACATAAACCTCGGATGTCCATGGGCGCACCGAGTCAATATCCTGCTGCACCTCAAAGGCCTGACCTCCGTGATCCCAATAATCATCGTCGACTGCCAGCTCGTTCCAAACGGATGGTCCTTCACCGGCGACGACTACAGCGCCACAGCCGATCCATTGTACGGCTTCAAATACCTTCGAGATCTTTACTTAAAAGCGGATCTCGAGTACACTGGCCGTTACACGGTACCTTGTCTCTGGGACAAGAAGAATGAAACCATTATCAGCAATGAAAGTTCTGAGATCCTTCGGATGCTGTACTCAGAATTTGATGCCTTCGTCCCAGAAGACAGGAGAGAGAGTGTCAAGCCATTGCTCCCGAAGCACCTGCAGAAGGAGATTGAAGAGATGAATGAGTGGGTGTATAACACTGTGAATAATGGGGTTTATAAAACCGGTTTCGCGACGACACAAGAGGCATACGACGAACACCTCCATGTCCTGTTTGCTTCTTTAGATCGGTTGGAGAAGCATCTGGAGCAGCCAGGACATTCGCCGTTTCTGTTCGGTGAGCATATTACGGAGGCGGATATCAGGCTTTTCACTACGATGATCAGATTTGATGCTGCTTATGTTACGATCTTCAAATGTAATTTGAAGATGATTCGATATGAGTATCCGAGATTGCATGATTGGTTGCGGAGAGTGTATTGGGATGAGGGAGAGGAGTCGAATTGTGGTGCTTTCAAGAAGACTACGCATTTCGATTGTGTGAGTTTGTTCATTTGACTACGACTCGACGGATTCGAGGTTGACTTTTGCACAGATAAAAAAAGGCTACGTGTCAGCGACCAAGGCGCCGAATGCCATCATTCCAGCTGGCCCACTTCACAATATTCTCCTGCCTTGAGATTAGAAAGGAGTTGAAGGAGCTGTACGATCCGGAGCGGAGGTTCTGGTTCTGTGCTCCTCTTTGTGAGTGATTCTTTGGTGAGAGAATTTGAGGACCTTACGAGGAGAAGATGATAGATGGTGCTGGGGTAGTGACATGGCTTTGACTCGGTAGGTGGCAGCTGGAGGAGACAGAAGACTGATTATCAGACCTGTGAAATATGAGATTGAAGATGTGTTCTCAGCCTTGCCAACCTTCAATCGCCCCAAGATAGACCTCGAAGGTGTTGGTCGTACAGCCACAACTTTGTTTGAAAAAGTCAAGTGCGACCGACCCTACATGATAAGCTTCGACATGCAGTCAGCTTCAGCGGCATCATTTAGTCTGACCTTTGATGTCGGTGTTGATCTAAAGGGTTGCTATCTTCGTTTTGTACTGACGGGTTGAGGGAAGATATACAGTCTTGTATATTTTGGCAACAGCAACATTAAACGATTTCTGGTCAGACCAATATCATTTGTACCTTCCCAGAGTTGTTGACGGCCCGGAAATTGTCAGGCATGAAAATATCAAGATGGATGAGCCAGTGACCATTCTGAGATTTGGGGACACAGTGGGGGTCTTTGTCGGAGGCCGCAACCTCGTTATATACTGCTCGGGTCAGCTGCAGCGGCGAAGAAAAGTCTGAAAAACGACAGAAAGATGTGGGATCTTGGAGTGTTTGTTGAGGATGCGTCCGTGACGTATTCGGACTTCAAGATAAGCGGAGCACTGTTACTGTATTGATCAACCTGTATAGCACATCATGAAATAAACTTTTCTGTAGTCTCAGTCGGATCTTCTACAACAACATGTTGCGCCCGTGCAGCAAAGTGATATGTTCTACTCCAATGTTGAAGATTGTGCACTCAACCAATCGAAGTTTCCCAAGTCCAGACGTGCTAAGTCTTCGAAAGGGTCGAAAATGCTCGCATAGTAGGTTCCGCCAAGGTGGCTCGAAGCAACCGTGAAAATATCGTCCAAATCCGCCGAGAGAGCCGGTTCCATGCCCTTGAAGATGGCGAATTCGAGACAGTTGACAGAATATATCATGGGCTCGCAAGCCTTGCTCATGAGACGTAGAGTCCACAGATATCGGTTGAGATTTCCTCTTCATAATGTCCGCTCTGAGTCAGATCGCGATTGTGACGAGATGCAAAGTGATTAGTGATCCGATGAGGGAGAATCCGAATGGAGAAGCTGTTATTGTCAGAGAATTTCTATAAATGACTGAAAAGTAAGCTGACTAACGTGCTAGAATGCTTCGAGGTGATCTGGCCGAAGACTAGAGACGAAGGCGATTATTGCTTCAGCTGTCTCATGAGCCATTTGTCGGGTATAGGTTAGAATGCCAACACCTAAACATAGCGGTTCAAGAGCTGTAGGTCTGATCAGACGATACGAGAGTGTGATCTTGACTGTAAAGAAAGAAAGGTGAAGGTAGCCTTTCCACTGGTGAGCACGCGTTATGACTTCGGTCGGGGAATTGGACCAACCATTCGGACAAAGCCAACTGATAACCTGGTAAGCCACCTGCAAAGAAGATGGCAGATTATTCCGCCACCCGTCTAACTGACCGGTCTTATCATCTCCAAACCTAGGGCAATTTTCGGGCGCGATAGCTCCGAAACACCCGAGCCTAGGGCTTGATAGAGCTTCATTTGGAACTCGATGACCTGGACTGCGCACGTTACGTCTCTTTGGAACCGCTTCTGTAAAGGCACAGATATCGCCCCGCGTTTTGCAAACGGTACAACTCCCGCCACCAGCGGCAGTTGCGTTCATGACGCAGCAAGCTTTGTGCTTGCGGCATGAGTCGCATGGTCTTATGGCTCGACAAGATTTTGCATTGATGTTGACGAGTATCCAATTTTGAATCCTTTTGATCTCGAGAATTCTTGAGATATTGTGGTTTGGTACCGTCCTCCGTCGTGTGAAAGTATCGCGTATCGAGGAAGTCGCAGGTTTTCCCGAAGTTTAACCCCGCCCCCATTTTGACGGTCGGCTGACAGGAAACCCCTCTATTCAATGTGACAATTACATCAGTGTGTCTACTAGTCATGGATCGGATATGCTAATTTAGTATTCCAGGAGTGTTTTAATAGGTTTGCAAACCAGAGCAAGAGATCTGTGTGTGTGTAATTTTACTAGCACGCTGGCACGCTTCGGCAATATTCCACTATTCTTCTGGATAGAGTTGCCTACTGTTGAAAATCAGGGGCTGTGCGCTCTGTGGCCCACTTTTAAGTGGAGTCGTAATTTCCAGAGTTTAAAGGAAGCTGAGCTTCCATAGAAAAACACAACAATCAAGCTTCATTTCAACACCTACTTTGGAGCGATTTGACAAACACGTAAATAAAAGCATTCCAATCTATCTCACAAGACACACTGATATTTGGACACAGGTATGCAGTATCAAACCAATCATTTACGAGTTAGGATCAATCCTTCAAGCCCCTTACAACCACCATAGTACCGTCCATCCAAATTGTGGTTCTTCCATTTGACTATGCGTCAACCAAATCAAGAGAAACGTTTGACGTCTCAAGTCGAGGAGGATGCACATGGCAGACTTTGTTTTCGCAACCCACTACAGTAACGGATTCGATGTGCGCTGCGATCGCTGTCTACCCGCCTCAGACAGGGAGGTTGTGTCCCCACCGCCACAAGCAAGCAGAGATCTAATACATCATATCTGGGAAAGGAATTACGACCACCTAAGGAAAAGGCCATCATATTGAGAACGGGAGTGTGGTCTTTTTTCCGGGTAATGCCGAACATGGAATTGTTTATAGCGGACAGAAGGAAACTCTGGTGTTTCTAGTGTTCCCGACAACAGTATTTGGCGCTGTTGTCTATCGATTCTCAGCAGAGCAGATGACAAATTGGCAATGACTGTAGACTTGGCCTAGCTGTCAGAAGCACTATCCCTGCGCAGCTTGAGCAAGATACATTAGCTCTCATAATACACGTTTTGATTTCTTTGCTCTCAGCCCGTCACCCTGGTTAGACTTATCCTTTTCTCATTTGGATTTTATCAAGTCTTCACGATGATAGTCTGCAGTACTTGAATTCCCGTGGCATGATACAAGTCAATACTTTCGCAGATATTATCTTACATGAACATTCAGAGATAAACATGCAAATAAACACTTCTTTAGTGACTGAGAAGCCGCTTGCCTTCCTCCAGTGAATCCATTTCCCTTTTCAGATTTTCACGTCTTTCCTTCGACGATGCGTCTTCCCCAGCAATTTCTTCGAGTTGTTCCGGTGTCAGTGAGGCGACGAATAATGACGAGAATATCCGTAGAGGGCTGTTCTTCCCATTCAGCAGGTGATAGTCTGTTCCTTGGGTACAGATTGCATCAACATAACGCCTACGTGCAATCTCGTAATACGCTTTGAGTATGCAATAGATGTCATTGACCGCATGTTCTGTATCGCCCATGGGACCTGAGAGCATGACATCCTCGAGCCTGACAACAGTGCCATTGATCTCTTGACCGCTTGCATCTCTTAGATTGTCTGTAGCAATAGAGGATTTTGACATGGCCGCGCCGAGCCTCTCCAGCCGAAACTTATGCAAATTTTCCTGGAAGCTTGGGTTCTTGGTCAGAGGCGTCCCATCAAGCTCCACTTCGAGAAGAAACTCGACATGCTTTATGGCGACTTTATACTGGTCGATAAATCTTTCGAGAAGGATGGCCATAAGCCCAGAACGCGTGCGCTCTTCCTGGCAGACGTGCTCCATCAGCTTGCAAATGAAATCATGGACGTATATAATGATATCTGCCAGGTATTTCCTCGTCATTGTACGCCAATTGTTGGACTGCTGTTGCCATAGGGTAGGCAAAACTGAAGGTGAGATGACTTGCAGGCCGCTGCCTCTAGCCTTTCTGTACTCGTGCTCGATCCAGTCGAGAATGCGACGATGCTGTGGCTCTGGAGCATCCCCCTCATCCGGAAATAGACTGGACAGTTCAGGGTACTTATGTCGCCCTGCATTTGACTCGGTGCTCGGAGTCGCAGCTACGTCAGCTTCATCGTCGCTGCTATTACGAATGGATTCGTCCTTTTCTCCGTCACGGCCAGTAGTGCCAATATCCTCTCCACTCTCATTATCATCGATATCAAATTCGACGGTGTGACCATTCTTTGCCAGCTCAGCGGCGAATTTATCACTTCGATCAACGACTAAAGTAGGCAGCCTCTTTGCTGGTATCTCAGCAAAAATCGGATTGCGAGCATAATAGGCATCCAGTGCATGATCGGTGATCTTCTGGAAGTTGGTGGCCATGGTTTGCAAGTAAATCTGTTGTTGCACCGTCGATTTACGATCTGCGCCCATTGCTTTGAGTTCTTTCCTGCAATTATCGAGCCGAGCATTAATCTGGTGCCTGACATTTGGCAATTCACGGCGGGTGATGTCGACCAATAGCTCTTGGAGACGTTTCTTGAGTGCATGAACTCCGACGTGATCCCGATCTAGTGAGGACCATGGTTCTTGGGTAAAGAATTCATTTTCTGCCTTGTCTCGTTCCTCCGAAGAGCTTGATTCCTGAAGCTTGCCCCTGTTCCGGAGTACATAGTATCCAAGCTTCAAAGGATTCTTCTCGCCTTGAACGAAACTCATCACCCTTTCTTCTGTGCCCGGGTCAATCAAATCAGGCTTAGTGAGACTACTTGTCTATTAGCTTATAGAAACAGACTTAGAACAAACGCTTGCTTACACTCCTAAAGTTCTAATGCCTTTACTGTCTGCCTTTTCTGCCATCTTGAGGATAGTCGTATCAGCAAGAGCTCTTGTAACATTTCGATTCAGTTCAGCATACCGAGAGTATTTCCCAATTCTCCTCGTCCTCTCCTGCTGGCAGTACTGCAAGTATGATAGTTCGCTTATCCTTAATGTAGGATTCTACCATCGCCTTGACAAGTGTCATGTCTTTGTCTGTGGTACGGCCGTCCACTGCACGACGAAAGATTCCCGGGGTATCAATGATACTGAGATTCTCTCTTCTTGGACCACTTAGCTCAACCTTCAAAATATCTTCTCTGAAAGTCGAGAGATCATTTCTGTGGGCTTCTTCTGGGTTTCGAATGCCCATAACAGTTCGAACCTATTACTCTATTAACAAGGTCAAGGCTCTGTGTGGACTATAAACTTGACTGACATCTTTGAGGATCACAGCAAACTCATCGCCACTGACGGACTGAAGATATTCCTTTCTGTATTTTCGAAGTTCTGCTATCCGTTCGGGATCGGACGATGGTGATGGGATAATGGTCACAACAGTTTTCTCCTGCAATGCATTCCGGAAGGTGATCTGTGTTGGGAAAGTAGTACAAAGGTTTGGATTCCTTGGGAATGGAAGTTGCGTAAGCGCCTCCAGTACTGAACTCTTGCCACTATGCATGTTAATAGTGCTCCTGTCAATACTTTTAATCTGATTCATTTGGCCGTATACCTAGATTGATCTCCGACCACAACCAGCTATAGGCAAAATGAGTCAGCCCGCCGTCAATAATGGCTTTATTACCACTTACTTGTGGAAGCCCGATATATTGGGAAACACCACATTCTCGGAGTTTGTCTATCTTATTCAATTCCGCTGCGCTGGTGGTCAGCTGATACGCTGTCGGTAGGGTGTCCATTTCAAGCTTCGTCCCTAGAGAGAGAGGTGGAGCATTTGTCAAATCATAGAGCACTGGGCTCGATAAACCGCCACCCAGTCTCCTTTTATAGAATAAGCCAGGACACGTCTTTGTGCTATGTTCCTATTATCGCAGATTCTATAACTAGGACCTACAGATTTCGGAGGAATGAGCGATTTGAGAGCATGAGACACTGTGGTTCCCTCTCGCTAGACGAAACATACGGGGAAGGCATATTAGAGGTTTCTAGTTCATGAACTGGGTTAATCGTGCGGCCATGCTCGCACTAATATGGACCCCTGTCATATTAGTGCGGATACGGTCACTTTTTTCCCTAAATAAAAAGAATCTAGAATTTTTAATAACTTCACAATGTAACACAGGATCTCAAAAAATTGTTTACGAAAAGGTATACTCGACAATTACGCAATTTTAGCTTCTTACTATTTTTTATTTTTGTGAAATTGTAGAAGTTACTACAAAAGTGACTGTATTGCTGTAACAAAACCGTATCGCTGATACGCAGGGGGGCTTTGGTGCAAGTCCTGGTGCACGAGTATCGGCTGTGGTTGCTCACCTTTATTCGTAGGAATGACACCCCGTTGCAACACCTAGGAGTGTGATGGCAAGGTGCAAAACTCGACACAGAATACCACCTTCCAGATTCAACTCCTTGCATATGCAGAATCTTAGACAACCATGATCGATTTCCAGCTCTTCCGATGAACACCACATCATGATTAATGAGCAACTGCAGGACCGGGGCATGAGGCTTACTAGGGATGTCTGTCGCCTGGAGGCATCCGTCCGATACAAAGGAGTTATCTCCGTATCCAATTATTGGGTATCAGGGACATTTGGCACTGATCCCCTGTTTTTTTCTAGCTAAAGCCCTGGTAAATGAGGGGTAATAATGCAAGACTTTTGTGCAAGAATAGGGGCTAGATCCAAATCACGTATAATTAGCCGGTGCTTCTAAAATCGTGATATCTTTACACCGTTCTATTACCCATTCGTACCTTCCACAAGTTACCACTGGTGGTTCGCGAAAGCGATCTGGCCGTACTAGCGACTTGGCCAAGTATTTTACATAGTAAATTTGTATGGGAGGTACTTTTGGCTGACGGGTCCATGCATGAAGTTTGGCGAGGAACATCAATTTGGTGGTGGCCAAGTCGCTACTGAGTACGGAGGTATGGCCAGATCGCTTTCATGAACCACCAGAGGTAACCTGTGGAAGGGACGAACGGGTAGAAATTTCAGGAAAATACAGCCCTTGCTGTTGGGCCAACTGTCACTATCACGAAACCGTCCGCGTTCCAGCGAGTTCAAGGATAACAATCTAACTTGCATTCGTCTGTTATGGCACGGCTCATTGATATTTCAAGGAGAAATGGCGCAATACTTTGCGACCGAGCACTGTTTCATTCGGGTCCAAATCTGGCCGTTTTCCCGTGCCAACGTCCGTCCGGCGTTCATTCGACAGAACCCAACCGCGCTCGGAGCCGAAGCCGAAGCCGAAGCCGAATTGTGAGGTTACCTACCGACAATGACTCCGTATGGCCGTCTATTATGTACCATCGGATTTGATGCGCCACCCTGGACTGTATTTGTTGCATTAAGGAAGGAAAACGTCGCAGTGTTGCTTCAAAACAAGTCCTGAATTTCCTTTGAGCTTCGCTCGACGACTAACAACTCCAAGTCACGGTTTGGGATTTTCGACCCTTGCCTAATCGTTGCGACGGATCCTCTGTAGTGAGGTTGAAGATTGACTTGCTTTCTGGATGGGCTTGCAAAAATACGAGTCCTCGTTACGGAGTACTTTCTGTATATTTGTCCTTTCCCTTGCGGGGGTGGGGGGAAGGGGGGTTTCTCCCCATCGACGAAGGAGTTTGCCAAGCTGAGTATACATCTTGATTCTTCACTGACTCATCGATTAGCTTTCAAAGTCTGAAAGAAATAATTTGAAGAGGCCACAAATTGCGTACCTGTATATAAATACACCCTTCGAAATCAAATTTAGTACCACTGTGTGTGTCTATGCGTTGTATTATTGACATTATGAGGCTTTCCAGGAGTTAGGAATTGGAAGAAGATTTTTGTTGGGGCGGACAAGGTATCCACAGTATTGCCCTCGAAATTTTTGAGGTGGTTTTTGAACAACCCGTGTTAAGGCTCCGCCATGTCTCTATATAACATTTCATTGATCGTTCACAGCTTGTACTACTCTCTCCGAAAACTCCTTAGATACGAGGGTCGGAGAAATCCTCCGTTTGACGAAGTCGACCGGATAGCGGGAAATTTTATGGTTGTTCTCAAAGACCTTCTTCCCCGAAGCTTCAGATCTGACCACTCTTTTGTTTAGATTAAGTTCAAACAACGTGACTCTGCCGTTCCATGATTCTTGACAAATGGCGCCTAGGGTCGGACTTTGGAAATTTCTGCAATTTGCTGAATACCGGTAACTTGTTTTCCTGTTCGTTGTTCAGAACCATAAAGAAATAAAGAATAACCGTCGATACGACAGATTACATATGATAGGGCCATGCAGACGGAGCCGTCTACGGAGTAAGATCTACAGATTTATCAAAAACCGCAAAGCGGCCCGAAGATTCGAGAAATTTCACTGCATGATATGAAAATGACCCAGATCATACGACATATGTCGTATCTCGTACGATACATTTTGACTAGCATGGTCTTGGTGAGTTGTCAGCGAGGCTAATATCATAATATGCACGTCGGACTTTGATGGTAAGCTAAATCCTATAGATCCACAGAGTTATTTAAACATGAGAACGGTTGAGGGTCTTAATTGCCCCATTCGACCCACCATTATCTAAACTGGGTATAACTTACTAGAAAATGAAGCGCGAGTTGGGGCCTTGCATATTATTCGATCAAGCTCGTGGGGGCCACTGTTAGTCGGCAGCTCCATCATGCGGAAAGCTGTACCGAATGTTCTCACCGGATCGGCGTCGGTTGTAAGTGCTTGAAAGCATAACGGAACTTTGTCTACATGAAATAATTTTAAAGTCCTCTTAATTTCTACTCATGTACAGGACTGGAAATGAACTGCCAACCTCATCTCAAATTCAAACCTCTAAGACGCCTCAGTAGCCGATACTGCCATCATCCAATTTCTGGAAACATTATGTTATTCCCTCAGCTGATATCGGGAACTTCTCGACCTTGGGTTTGATTTTGTGGTCAACAATGAATGGCAACATCTTTTTGATCTCCTCGGAGCTGGAAGAACAGCTACCATGTATCGACAACTCCTTCACAAAAAAACAGGAGGTAAGGAAACTCAAGCCCCCCGTCCGTAATAGTGAGTACTGTACATAGACATGCCCAAACGGTGCCATCAAATCAGCGCACCTGTGATGTAATCAATCGTCCAGCACGATGCTTCAGTACACTTACAAGCGTAGGTCAATTGTTTTTTGGAGGTTGGAATTGTGGATTTACTGACCCTATGATGATTGGCGAAACTAATTCCCATTCCGGTGAAAGTGATGGGAGACTGGAAAAGATTTCAAAGCTTACATGAACGCATGAAAGATTGATAGGCAGCTGCAAAAGAAAATTCTTCTGACGCTCGCCCATAATAAGAAAGTGGTGGAGTAGCACGTTTGCTGAACTGTAGGCGAAAGTTTATTGGTGGACAGGGGGCTTTACGGGAGAGGACCCACCATATTCCCAAAGGGGATAGGCCTGATAACTTGCAACCACATCACAGAACATGCAGCCAGCGTTCCAAATGCATGTATCGGATGATGCTGTCATGTGGAAGGCTGATTTCTTTGAGCTTGCTTTAGTCGGTGTTTAGGCATGTCAAAAGTTGCAATGCATGTTGTCCAATATTAGGCTAGTTGGTGATCGATAATACCCCTCTCTGCACTAGATACGCAGCACATTCACAATATTTTCGTATTTACAGAAGATAATTGTATCCAATTGTCCTGAAGCATCCAATAGAATGGTTGCGGCGTGCCATGATTTTGGGTGTCAGTCAATGTTTGTAAACACTCCATAATCCGCTGGCCGTCCGCCTCACATGCTCTCTCCAAGCACCTCCTGAACCATATTCCGTCAGGACTCCTATCCTGTGAAGCAAGTGCACCAACAAAGAGCGCCCAAACCAATGCAAGAGGATTTTCGTCGAAAAGGCCGCCTCCAAGAGCACAAACGGCGGCAATTGAGATCTTCAATTGATTTACGGCTGCCTTCACCAACGGATAAGATGGCTCCATGTTTCGTAAAAACGCATGGGAATAAAGTAAAGCTCCTGTTGCCACCACAGTCGAGATACATGGCGAGGCTGTGTGTATGTATTTCAAGATCTCGCGGTCTGAGGCTAGAAGTCGCTGCCCAATGCTCACGCGCTCTTCCAACGACATGCTATCTTTTGGTGAAGCGATTAGCTTTGTTGCAATACCACATAAGTGGGTGACTATTTCGTTGCATGAGAAGTTCAGAGGTGAGCTGGAGTATATTTCCCGAGGAAGTTCTGTGGGCTCTTCGAATGAAAGTTTGGTGCCAGATAGTTGCGCGTGAAAGTTGTCAGTCCTAGTCAGGGGTCAGCATAAGAGTGGGTTTAGAACAGAGAAAGCATACGCCTTCAATAGTCGGGCGATCAAGCCTTCATATCCCAAAGAATGGATGCCCCGTCTACCCCTGATCATGGCAGTCAGACCACGGAAATGAGTCTTGGCTTCTTCAAGGTTGCCAATTTTCAACTGCAAGTCACCGAAATTAGTCACCCCCTCATCTTCCTGCTTTTGGTTTTGTGTAACATACATTTACATTGGCGAGGCATGCCACGGAGGCTATCACTGCATCATCGACACCACCGTGATTTGGTGTACTTAGGCGGGGACTAATCTTGCTAATAGCAAGCCCTTTCAACCTGATAACAGATTCCAGATTCAAGAATTTTACAGAAAGACGCTGATGATTAAGTAGAGCCCAGTAATAGAGCGTACTGGTAAATAGCGCACCATCTTCAAGAGCATATTTAAGCCATCCAGTCTCGGATGCGATAGTGCACATCAATGGTGAGTGAGTATTCAGAACTGTAAAAAATGAGCGATAATGCCGCTGATTCGACAGATTACATTAATGACTTACAATGATGTAAGATGAATTTCATGTCTGTATTACCAAGCTCGATAGGTAGACCAGCAAGTCGGACCATGTCGTCGATTCCAGCGAATAACCCAGGGTGATCTGCATAATGCGTATGCATCTGTTTCCCTTGACTGAATGCGAGGCTAGTGAGCATGCCATCATTTGAAGCTAGTTTTGGGACCGAGTGGATGGCAACTCACAGGTCTTTACTTTCGAGACGTCGAACTGGTGTGCGATCTAGTTTCGGGGTCCGTTTTCGCTTTACCACTCTGTCCATGACATGCATCTTGATCCTTGATTTTGTAGCTGGTTTATGCCGCGCTCCAGTTTCCTCGATGAATAAGAAGTCATCTTCATCCATGTTCCTGGGTTGACCGCGGCGTTAAATATCGTACTTTCTGCTAAGCTTTGCGCAGAAGAGTGAAAAATTCACGCCCAGAATGAATCTAGCTAAATTTGAGATCTATCCTTAGGTTCGCGTTGCAAGTTCGGAGAATACCATGTACTTTTGGGCTTCTTATGAAAGAAATGCGTGCTTTGTAACGCACGAAGGGTGAAAGTGGGCAAGACTTACCGCTGTCAGGTAACAGCGATTAGAAATCATTTTCCACGACTTAGTTCCTGATAAGCAAGGAAGTGTGCGAATTGGCCAGTAAGGAGATGAGATTTTCTGCATGCCAATCCTGTATCAGTAATCAACCTGGCTCAACCCGCGAGATTCAAATACATGTCATGCGGTTTCTGATACAATTTCAGAGCTGGACTAAATTAACTGCTATGATGTAAAATCCTATCACTTAACTTTCATAGCCAAGAAAAGGCGACCCGCACGTATACAATATTCCATTAATGATCACCTTTGGCAACCAACACGGCTCGATACCTCACAGATCCTGCCTTCAACTTTTCGATTGCTTTGCTCAGTCCCTCTTCCGACAATGGGAAAGTTTCAATCGTAGGTTTGATTTTGTGACGAGCAGCAAATTCCAGCATGTCATTGTGTACTCCGCGAGAAGCAACGAGGTTGGTGCGGACATTGTAGCCGTCGAAGAACATTTGGAACGAACTATTCCACTTGAGAAACACTGACATATGATTTGGGGAAAGAGAGTGCACTTACGGTAGGTCCATCGGTCCGCTAGGTTCAGACAAGGGGATAATGGTCCCTGTACGTGCGAGAACTGATTTTATCAGAAACCTGTAGCTGTCAGTTTATATATTCTAACATCGCGAGGACCACGCGGCAGAACTCACTTGCTCCAGTCAGGATATCTATTCGCCGTTAGAACAAGCACATCGACAGGAGCCGCTATCTTCGATATATCATCAAGAGGATGGAATTCTTCTGCTCCAAACGATCTCGCTTCGGCCTCCTTGTTCGCACTGTGGCTGAAGACAACCACACTTGCACCGAGCTTCGAGGCAAACTGGATTGCGAGATGACCCAGTCCACCAATTCCAATGATTCCCACCCTCTGAGAAGGCTTCACTATGCCTACCATTGCCCCGTACACAGTGGCACCCGCACACTGCAACGGAGCAGCGAACTCGCTCGGAATGGCATCCGGAATCTTGTGCACGTAAGTCTCCCTCCCGATATAATACGGAGAGAAAGTTCCGTTGTCATAATCTCCCTCCCCAAAGACGACTCTCTCATAGCACCAGATATCTTGTCCATTCAAACAATATTTGCAGTGTCCGCAGGAGCCTCTATGGTAGCCACCTCCGACACGGTCGCCGATCTTGAGCTGAGTGACGGCACTTCCAATTTCTTGGATGATGCCAATGCCTTCGTGACCAAGTGCAATTCCGTAAGGGATATAGGCCAGATCGGTGCCACAGAGACTGGAATGTGTGACCTTGACGAGGACATCAAACGGTCCCAGAGTGGGGACTTTGGATGTAACACTCTTGACGGAGTTTTCCACTCCGCGGTAAGTGATTTGGGCGATGTTCGACATCTTGAACTGAAGAAACAAACAAGAGTTTCCGATTTTCAAGGTAAGAATGCGATCGGAACCTTTACGGCTGTAGAGTAAGGCTGGGAAGAATGTACCGGAGAAAAAGAATGAATGCGAATTGAGTATAAAGTGAATCTCGGTGAACCTTTATAACTCACAATCTCAGCCATGGTTCTCTCACTTGAGATTCATCATTGCCGGAGTAGTAATCATGGTGAGGCTTTCCGTGTGCAGGGAGGTATGGAACGTATGCGGGATGCTGACTGTGCAGGACAGGCGGCATACGAAAAACCATGTCACTGAAGCTCAGAATGAGGAACAGGAAACACGGAAGACGATTCCGCCAAGGACTTTTGACTAACATTACCCGAAAGGGAAAGTGGTGGGGTCAATGACAAAGCGGGGTCGACCTCACGCCAACCTCTACAAGAGAAGTCGATGATAGCTAGAAGCGGAACCTAATTGGGAAGCGATACAGAGAAATCATAGATCAATTTTCGTCAGGATAGGAGCGGAAGAGAACAGAATTGTGCTTGACAAATATTCAGTCAGAATGTCATTGGATTCTTTGATCAAAGCCCCGGGGTAGCTCGCCGGTTCCCAACTAATAGATCATTAATTTCTAAAAGTCAATAGGAAACTAAGATGTGGCTCGGTTTATTCCAATGGCCATAACGTGAGACATGCTGAACAGCTGAAGCTCCTGCACATGAGTGACATAGAACATGATGGAGGATTTGCCTCCACTGGTGTAAGCGCCTCTGCAAATTATCGGAACAATCCATGCTCAACAAGACCCCAGGCAAACTTTGGCTCAAAAAGCAATCCCCACCCCAAAGCGCACAAACGGCGGCATCTCGTCCAAATTCCCGCTCTCATCTCACATCCAGATGAAGGTCTCATCCTCTTCGAGACCAGCTCCGGGAAAAACTGGGCAACAGTCTGGGATCCACCCTTCAACGACCTCTTCGCACACATCGAGTCCACAGCCGACAATGAGATTCACGCAGCAACATCTGAGACAGGACATTCAATCAATGAGGTCAGAGCTGTGATTCTCGGATATTTGTATCTCAATCACGCTGGTGGTTTCGGATACTTTGTGAATACGGATGCTGAAATATACGTTCATGAGTCGGAGCGTAAGCATGCGCTTTACTAAGTTGCTACAGGGAGCGATAATGTGGTATACATGCCGCATTACGCGAGCTTCAACCTCAACCTGAAGCTTTCAACACAGAGTTCTTGAAGATCTTTCCGGGGTTGCAGAAGCGTCATGCCCCGGGGCATACACCAGGATTGCGTGTCATGCAAGTGAACCTCCCGGACAGCGAAACATGGATCTTCACAAGTGATCAGTATCATACCAAGGACAATTACAGGCAAAGTCATCTACAAGGCAAGCCTCACGAACGACTATCCGCAATCGATCTTGCTACGATTTGCTAACTCGCGAAGGATGGCATCCTAGAGGTCATGGAGATTGGGTTCATTCAAATCAGATGGTTCATATGCTGGCGAGGAGAACGAAGGCCAAGCTTGTCTTTGGACACGATAAAGAGACATTCTTTTCGTTCAAGCATGCGCCCAGCTATTACAGCTAGAGCAACGGGAAGAGGTATCTTGCAATTCTAGACTCATTGTAACAACGAGAATACTGTCCTTGATAAGACGTGTTTTGTGAAGCCACTTTGCTAGACGCATCCTTGGTCGGTTTTCGCCGATAGGAGTAGAACATCGAATGGATAGAACTGGAGCATCTACGTATCATTAGCAATGGAAATTCAAATTTATATATAGGAATTGGACTAACAAGCCGAAACTCGCAGGGATCGATTATTGTGAAGTTTGCTGCGTTGAGATTGTCACATGACTTGCAGTATGAAAAGGCAGTGTGAGAAATGAATAGATTAGATTAGATTAATGGCTATTAATCTAATCTATTCATGAAATTTTCTCATTAATCATATTCCATTCACGAATTAATTAAACTAATCATGAATATTCATGAATATCTTGATTAATGTACACGTGATCGCAGCACGTGATAGGCTAACCTAATTAGGTAAGGATCTGGCTCTAGTGCTACCTTGCTCCTAGAGAGAAAAGCTCGCTAAGGCAGTGCTAGAGTAAGAACCTTACTTAACTAGGCTAGTGATTATCTGACGCGGTCACGTGTATATTAATCAAGGTATTCATGAATATTCATGATTAATTATTCTAATCTAATCAAATTACATAAGTATCACGTTAATCAAATTCTATTCACGCTATTCATGAATATTCATGAATTAATTAATTAATTAGATTAATTTTTTCGCACACTGTGAAAAGGGGCTCGCTTGCAAAATCATTTCGAAGCTTTTGACACCCACTTATCGTTATCTCTTCGAACGCCCTCATTCCAGACTAGGGAATCTGTAAAGCGATTTTTCACCGGCACCTGACGGGTTGCTGAGGTTGTGGCGCATTCCCTTGGCAATGTGGGAAATCAAACAGGCAATTTGCTAAAAAGAACCTTGCCGCGTTTGACGTCCACCTTGTGCGCTCCCTTGTCTGGGATGAAGGCACCACAAGAGATACGGCATGATGAACTTTGGCCAGACTTCCGGCTGTTGGGAATGAACATGGGCTTCGGCAAACGCAGGAAATAGATGACGAAGGGAAGTAGAGCTCGTGATTGTACGACAACGAGGCAGACAATCGTTCTATTGGTATTCCTACACCTCAAATCACCCCTTCCATTCCCGTTCCCAGTAACGCCAGCCATGCTTTTCCTCTTCTCGGGAATCACACTTTAATCCCAATACTTAATCGCCCCATCCAAGCCCGCGGTAACAACCTTACTACTCTCCTGCGGATGCCACTCTAAACACGTAACCGCACCATCACTCGCCTGAAACTTATGCCACATCTTGCAAGTCTTCCAGTCCCAAAAGCACACATACCCACCACTATCTCCAGACGCCACAAACTGCCCATCAGGACTACACGCCACATCGATCGCATAACCGGCATTATTATGCCCTTTGAAGACTTTCTTCCTGTTTTGGCGGAACTTGTCGTTGGCGCCGTAGACGAAGATATTGTTGTCTGAGCTTTGGTAGGCGACGTATTTCCCAGATGGGTGGAGAGAGGCGCGCGTCATGGGGTACATGTGTGGTTCCGCAATGTACTTGATGGGCACCGGGATGTTGTAGTCCCAGGCTCGAAGCGACTTGTCGTCGGATGTAGTCATGAAACGGCGGTTTTCGTCAACGAAGGTGATGGTGTTGATGGCTGCGAGATGGTGGTCGTATTCTTGAACGATCTCTCGGGTCCGGACATCGAATTGGATGATCTTTTTGTCGGACATACCTGCCAGGAACTCGTTCGAGTGTTCTGGTGACGGGTTGAAGCGGACGACATGCGGTGTTTTGCCAGTCGTGAAGCGGTTTACGCATTGGCCGGTCTCGGTATCCCACAGCTTCATCATCCGGTCGTATGACGCTGATAAGAATTGCGTCCCAGATATGTTGAAGGTGACATCCGACAACGCCTTCGTATGTCCCGAATATGTCCTCAATAACTCTTTCTGATGATAAACATCCCAAATCTTAACCGTCGTGTCCGCACTCCCCGAAAGCAGTAAATGACCCGACCCAGGAAAGAACCGCAGTGCCGCAATCGGTTTCGTATGTCCCTTCCAAACATGCACCATCTTCTTCGGCACATAATTCTTCGCACTTCCCGGTTCTTTCTTGAGATCAATATCCAGATCCTGTGGGACATGCATATACGTCCGGCCCTGATAATCAAACTGCTTGCTCCCCTCAAAAACACTCGTCTCGTCACCCATCTCCTCGGCCTCTTTCCGCTTCGCAATAGCCTGCGGTAAGGCCGGCACCACCGCTCCACTCTCAATAACATCTTCTTCTTCCTCAACCTCCTCATATTCCTCATCACTTGCTAACTCATCGCCCTCTTCCACGTCGTCGTACTCCACGGTTTTGTACTTAGCCCATGGCCCGACATAAGCATTATCTCCCTCAGCAACCGTCGCATCGCCCTTCTTCTGCCGCTTTGCACGTATCCTCGCCGCCTCGGCCTTCTCTGCCACGCCCCCCCTATACTGTCTATCTTCACCCCGTTCTACGGCTCTGTGCTGAGTTCTGAAGGTATGCTCGCTCAAGTAGGTTTCCTCTGCGAAACCGGTAAGGACGTTTTTGCGTTTTAGAGAGTTGACTTCGTCTTTGAAGGGGTTAGCGGGGCCTTGGGCGGGCCGTGAGAGGTCCTGTGCTGTGTATTGGACGACTTCATGGTCTGCACCTGCTGCTTGGCGGACTATGAGGGCGTTTTGAGGCGCCATGTTGGGTGGGTAGGCGCCGAAGTCTGCCATGGTGACGGTTGGATATAGGAAGAGCGTCTGGTGTGTTGTCAAGTGTTGCGAAGGCCTCACCAGCACAGGAGTTGGAGTTGGCTGAGGCGTCTTCAATGTCAGTTTATTTCTGAAGTCGGCGCAAGTCAAAATCGCTCTAGCGCCAACCTTAAATTTTAGCTTGGTATGTCTTGCACGTGATCGGTTTCCGAGCTGCCAGCGAAGTCCACGTTTCTCGTCACCAAACCAGGGAACAAAAGCAAGCATAACTCCGTATTGAAAACATGCCGTTACCGGCAAGCCAGGTATCAGGTATCTATCCATGCATGACCTCAACAAGAAGTCCCAACTATGGAATTGCCCCATCCATGCCAAGCAGCACACCAACGAACCACTCCGACCCTCATGTCTAGTTCGTTGAAGATTCGAATCCCGCAACCTTATTATCCTGCCCAGTTCCAGCTCCTGCTGTACATCCATCCCATGCGATCACTCTGTCAAAGCAAGCCCGCTCTTCAACCAACCAGCTCTTTGCAATGCTAACGACACATCCACCCAAATTATGTCTATTTCTCCATCTTATATTGACGATTGATGGAGGAACCAGTCAATTCGATTCGTCTCGGATCAAGGCAACGATCATCGAATAAAGGTAGAAGAAGAACATTATGAGGTGGAAACCTAGTTTGATGAATGATTCCTGACATCACTGTCAGCCCCCACTCTTGCCTGAATGTTCATCTGAGAATGTTTATACCTTTTTGTGTACATTGAGCTTCCTGAAGATCTCAGTGGCGTCGAGTAAATGTGCGTTGTCCACGATCCTGGTAATCTGTCAGCAAGGCTCCTACAGTTTCTGCACGGCTCCACAAGGCCAGAATGCCGCTAGAAGTGCTCGAGGCAGGTAGACTTCGGTATTGAATAAAACATACTTCTTCACATTAAACGCTAGGAGTGGCAGATTGAGCAAAAGCGCAATCCAGTACCCGTTGATAAGGAATAGGAAAGTCAAGAAGCCGTGCACAGCGGCTTCAGGGACAATATAGGTGTTAAGACGGTTGCAGAGATCGATAGGGTTAATGTAGTCACTGTTCACCGTACCAGATTAGCCCGAGTCCATTGCCATGAGCATGTTTTGCTTCCCCCATAAGCTCTGCACAGCTCCTTATCGTCGAGGACACCGCAGCCAGAAACTCGGGAGCTGGCTGGAGGTGGAGGTCAGAGGTAGAAACTCACCATTCTAGATCGCTATACATGATCGTGAAGAAAACTTGCAGGAACAGGTTGACGGCATTGATCAGCACCGCCAACAGGTACAGCCATGCCTCGCCGGACATCATGATGTTCGTCTCGGAGCGCGTGCGTACGCGCTTTCCCTTCCAATATTCCTTTGCTTCTTGCTTTCACTGCTATCGCAATGCGACTTTGCCCAATACCCGATCTTGACCGTAGGCGAAGCTTGAAGCTCGGAGGTAAAGGATTTTCCGCAGGCTGGGTGCGCCGCTGAGGGGTGACGCGACCTTGGCTTTGACACGGACTCGAGGCTTCGGAAATCGAGTTTCGGTGCTACGAGGAGATGGAGACAGGGCGGTAAGGGGATTCTCGAAGCTATCGGTCGCAGAGTGGCAGTGGTGAGAGGTCGGACGAAGGCGCAGCGCAATGATGAAATGTGAGGCTCGCCTGCGGAGCTGTTTCGTTGGCACTGCCGTCAAGCTTCGCGGGCGCCACCACTGATTGGTCGATTATTAATCACATGCTAGGGGGATGAGTATCGAGTCCATCTGACGTTTCCTGGCAGGACTCGAGCAGGAGTACAGATATTTCACTTCATAAAAGACACGGTGTTTGTTTGGCAGGATGTGTCCGGATTTTTGGTTCTCACCAACAGGTAACGTAATCATACATGTCTGCCTTTTCAATGATTCAATTCCAAATTCGTGGGTATCATTGCGCTCACGCGACTATTGTTTCTCCGTTCGTCTCAACGATCGGCATGGGAATGGGTCCGCCAGGAGAATCCGGGAACCTCGCAGTCAAGATCTCCACCCCATCAGCTGTCACTAGGAGAGTATGTTCTGCCAAAGATTAGCTCCCAAGTCCATCCACACTTCAGGCAACATACCGAATTGCGCTGTCCTCTTGCCATCCTGAGTAACACTGGTCCAGTCGTCCGGCCATGTCTTGTCCCTATGAGTGCCTAGAGCAATCATAGGTTCAATCGTGAAGCACATCCCCTCCTTCGCAGCTCCGACAGCCTTGTTTTTGGCATAATGCGGAATGTTTGGTGAGCAATGGAACAAGGTATTGATACCATGCCCACAATATGTCTTGATGACACTGCAGTTTTTCGACTTGGCGACTTTTTCTATGGCGTTTCCGTAATCTCTGAAAAGTGCACCTGGCTTCACGAGTGTGATGGCCGCGGCTAGAGATTCTCGGGCAGCTTCCACAACTCGTACCGAGTCCGGATCCGCCTTTGCCTTCTCGCCAACATAGTATGTCTCGTTCAGATCACCATGGTATCCGCCATGGTATAGCGTCACATCGATATTGAGGATATCACCATCCAGGAGAACTCGTTTGTCCGGTATGCCGTGGCAGATAACTTCGTTCGGAGATGTGCAGACTGATTTGGGGAAGTGGCCGTAGTTCAGAGGTGATGGGTAAGACTGGAGATGTCAGCGGCTAACAATCCAAATATGGAGAAATCCTTACATCTCTCTCTAAGCAAGCCTTGTGTACAACCTCATCAATATAGTCGGTGGTGACTCCAGGTCTGACAGCGGCCGCCGCAATATCCAGCACTTCTCTTGCCAGTCGACAAACCTTTCTCATTGCATCTTGCCCCGCCTTGTCCAAAATATCAATCTTATTCCTCCCGCCGAACGTCCGCTCGCTGTGTGGGATCCCATCTTTCCAATAGTCGGGGTGCGTTATGGTTTTCGGTACCTCTCGACGTTCTGAAAGAGGGTAGACGGGTCGCAAGGAGCCGGTGTAGGGGAAGGTAGGGAAAGGGTCGTAGAGCCCGGTGTCTGGATCTGGTTTAGAGACCGCATTTGGGGGGAAGAGGTTACTGAGGAAATTACTCTGTGATTTATGAAGAGCTTTGTGTGTGCCCTGAAGTAATTGTCAGCCTTGGCTCACCGATGGTGGGATTTGCAAATCATCGAGGCCGTTGGTCGTGTGCCTCATCGCCAGCAGAGTTTGCAGATGGGGGCATATCATGGACATACCCAATTCCTCTTGAAACAGTCCTGCGAACAGAAGAAGCTATCTTTTATGCCCAGCTTTAGGCAGGTGGGACATTGGAGAGAACCTGCATCGTTGTCGCAGTCTGCGCCGCTGCACTTGCGCTTCGCAGCAGCTTCGGCAGCCATGATCAGACTGTGTTATTGCAGATGGCGACCGAATCTCGAGACGAGGTTGAAAAGTAAAGCACGAGGCTATGTGATGAGAAGTTCGGTGTACGGTGGGGCAAACAAATCAAAGGGGAATTTTGTCAGCCGCGTTGAAGGAAGGGCGCCGTGGGTGTAGAATTTCGGGGGTGTGTTTAGTTTCCGAAGCCGACCTCATCCGATTTGTAACAGTCATCGATTCTTCTTCCTTGCCTCTCTCATTCAGCAAACAACTTTTGCAGGATGGCTGAGCATAACAAGATCCAGAAGACCATTGTCGTTGGGGCTGGTCCTGTGGGAGCTCTTGCAGCTTTATATACTGCTCAGAGAGGTCATGATGTTGAAGTCTATGAGTTGAGAAATGGTGCGTCTCTCTCCTGGAAATGCCCAATCTTTCTCATTGTCAGACACCAATAATCTCGTTGAAGAAGAACTTTGATCATCAAGATGAGCAGTCAAGCTCTCCAAGGATTTGCTGTTTTTGCTCGCTTCAATTTACTATTACTTTTGGAGTGATTCCGAAGATTTCATCCTTTCGTCCCCGTCACGAGACCAGGTTGGAGGAGCCATGGCAGACAAGTGCTCGTAGCTAACTCTCCTTACTATTACTGGACAATAATTCGCATATGTTGGGGTCATCAATTGCCGACCTTCGTCATTCCTCGTTTTCAATAACCCAAGCATTCTGGTTCTGACTCCCTCAAGATCTCCGAGACCCCTCCACGACCCCCCTGAATTTCACCAAATCGATCAACCTAGCTCTTTCCGAACGAGGTATTAATGCTCTCAAGCATTCTTCCCGACCTTCGCTCCTGGGGAAGATCTTTGCTGAGACCGTTCCCTTGGCTGGACGAATGATCCATGGCAAGAACTCGGCTGGCCAGCTCACTGAACAATCCCAGGCTTACGATATTCATGGAAGGGTAACTTCCAGTTTTACAATTCTGAATCAGGTGCTAATGCCCTTAGACGAATTATGCCGCCGACCGAGGAGGACTTAACAAACTGCTCCTCGACGAACTGGAGACAATGCCAAACATCAGATTCTTCTTCAACCATAAACTCACCGGCGCTGACTTCAAGAATAACAAAGCCTGGTTCACACGGGGCAAATCCACTCCCGGAAAATGCGATGAAGAAATTGAAATCGACTTCGACTTCTTGATCGGTGCAGATGGAGCACACTCCGCAGTGCGATATCATCTGATGAAGTACACACGCATGGATTACCAGCAGGAGTACATCGACACTCTTTGGTGCGAATTCCATATTGATGCGAAAGAAGTGCTACCCGGAGAAGACCCAGAATCGAGGTTCCGAATCGACCCGAACCACCTACACATCTGGCCCGGCAAAAATTTCATGTTCATCGCGATCGCAAGCTTCGACGGCTCCTTCACCTGCACACTCTTCATGCCCTCTGCGCACTTCACTCACCTCTCCACTACTCCTGACACCCTCCCTGAATTCTTCGACACCTATTTCCCAGGCGTCACTTCTCTCATCCCACGTCAAGATCTAATCGCTTCCTTCACCTCCAACCCGCACCTCCCCTTAATATCTATAAAATGCTCACCCTTCCACTACTCCTCTTCGGCCGTGATCCTCGGCGACGCCGCGCACGCAATGGTCCCCTTCTACGGCCAAGGAATGAACGCCGGTTTCGAAGATGTCTTCGTCCTTTTCAAGTTCCTCGACAAATACTCACCCCTCATACCCACCACCCCTCCCTTACCGTTCCCGACATTTCCGACCCTCGCCTCATTTCGCGCAAAGGCCCTTGCCGAATACTCGAAACAACGGACTGAAGATGCGCATGCAATTAATGATTTGGCGTTGCAGAATTACAAGGAAATGCGCGCAGATGTCACATCCCCGCTCTACCTCGCGCGCAAATGGCTTGAAGAGAAGATCAGCGTCTGTATCCCGAGTTTGGGCTGGAAGACAAAGTACTCGCGGGTGAGTTATGAGAATGAGCGGTATAGCGAGGTCATCAGGCAATCTGAACGTCAGGGGAAGAAGTTGGTGGCGGCGCTGTTGGGACTGCTGGGGATGCCGATTGTTGTTGGGGGATTGGTGTGGTGGGCGCGGTGGAGCAAGGGAGGAAGGATGTGGCTGGGGAGGTGGTGGGAGAGGGTGGTTGGTGGTTAAGGTTAATGGGGATGGTTGACGAAGGGCTGGCGAAGGGTTTACGAAGTGAATTCGCTCTCCACTCTCGCAGCTTGTGGGTTTGAGGTATCCCTAAAAATGAGAAGATGACGAAGGTGGTTTGGGGTCAGCATGATGTACCTCCGCTAGCTAAGCATCGAGAGTTTTCGGCACACGACTCATCAAATAGCACATAAAATCACCTTCTCCACCCCAGCTCGCCAGGCCAAACATCACTCGTCCCAGCTCTACGGACCAAAATCTCCTATACAGTTTGATGCTGTGCGATGTGGCTAGTAGGCGAGTGGGCAGGCCTTTACTATCAACCAATCGAGTCCCCCACTTTATGCCAAGATGTCACAAACTGCGCAGAGCAGGGGGTGAGGGGGTTAGGTTGCAGTGCCGCAAGTGTATAGATGGATAAGGAGGTTCTCTGTGCCGCATGCGGCCCAAGAAGGAAGGTCAGAAGCTTATAAATCGGGAGTTAGTGAGGCTCGACAAGCGAATATACGCAGGGGAGGGGATGCATGATCGCTTAACTTTTTTTTTTTTAGCGAGCTCCTGAACCCCTATTGCCAAGAATTAAAGAGAGGAGTGCTAGAGAATTTCTGCTTGCTATTGTTTCGCCAGGTTCATATAACTCTTTTCGTGACGCTCAGCCAAATCTCACTCTCAACCATTTTGCTTCCATGCGTCCCATTGTCTTCCATGCTGGCCGTGTCACTCTGCTCCTGTCCTTGTCTTTCAACCAGAAACAATGCAGCTGTTGATGGTCTTATTTTTTCTGTTGTGCCCTTGACCGCTCTGAATTTCCTTCTTGTATGGAGTGATTTGCACGAAACAACCTCTGGTTTCCAAATCAGAATTGCGTTCGCCTCCCTTCAAGCGAGCAACGACTTCCTCTCGACAGATCTTTGGCAGTTCGAACAATCTCCATTGCTCGTTATTATAATTGCCATTCTCGGACCCTTTAATCTTCCCCACGCGGAAAGTGATTATACCAGGAACACTTTTGAGATAACCAATTTCCTGCCATTTCTTAGTAAAAGTATAAAAAGAAACATACTTGTTTCAGGCTGCCTTCCAAGGAATCAGATTCAAACAACTCAAATAAGGCAGGAACTCTTCATTCTCCCAGAAACTGAGGGCGATGAACCTTAATTGCTTTTCGACGCATCTTTTCAGCAGGCCCCGAGACCATTCGTGCTGCATACTCTCGCACGTTGTATCACCTGGGTTCATCAAACACAACCCATCGTACTCCCAATTGAAGTAAGGTTTGGGCTGAGTGGAAATTGCGAACAGAGCGGTGCTGCGTTGGGTGTTCTCGACACTGGTTCCGAAATCCGACGTGTAGCGCTTCAATGCTTCAAAGCGGGACACTCTTCAAGCACCCAGTAATGGTGGTGGTGGGCAGAAGCTGGGGGAAAAAGCAGTATGGGTGGAAATAGGGGAAAATGCCGTGGATTTCTCCGCCATGACGAATCCAGAGATCCAGGTTGCGGGTGACATTACAAGCCTCCTTCCAGATTCGGATTCGAAGTCCGGGAGCCAGCTTGGGGAAACAGTTGAATGTACGCTCTTCGGGAGGTTCAATGGTTGTCTTCAATTCAACTTCTGGATTAAGCCTGGTTTTGGAATCGGAACTGGAACCGGAGCTAGATTGTACGCTCTCACTTTGGCTGTTGATGTTTGCTGACGCATCTCGGAGGACTTCGAAGAGTTGTTCCAATGGAGATTCAACAGAAGGAAGGGAGAACATTGTCGATGGTTGCTTTAGAGCCAATATGGTGAAATTCTTGTCTGCGTTGGGTGTCTCGATAAAACCCCTCAAAGGTGAGGCTGAAGCGTGCTGAATGGGGTGGATTCTCCCGCACAAATTCGCTCCTCTATGCTTGAATGAGTTTCCAACCATTGGTTAATGTAAGGAAATACCTAGCCTTACTGGTGCAATTGAACGGTTGTGGCATTGTTGGTACCGGCTCTCAAACCCATGGAGTTGTAGGATTGCACAGGAGAAGAAGGTTGGAAGCTCGCGAAGAAATATAAGGTAAATCGAAGCTCGCTTTAGCTTGGTCGCCGCTTTCGAGTAACCCAGCTATAAAGAAAGAGGTAAAGACAGAGAAAGCGAGAGCAAAGAAGTGGATATGCCCACTTTTTGTCCTGTGAGCTGAGCGTCATTCAAGACTCGCCCTTTCCCCCTGTAAATCACCTTTCCAGGCGAGGAAATTCAAATTCACCCGGCCTGGTGGGATCTTCAGAAAGGCACGAAGATTAAAGTTGCAAGAAAAAACAAGGTAAAAAAACTACGAAAAGCAAAAATCATTGATATCTTGAGGCAATATGGACAGACTGCAAGATTCCGACGAACTTCGTTCATGTTGCATGCTGATGTTCCAAGTCTAGCCATGTAAGTTCAAAGAATTAAAGCTCAACGAGAAGCAGATATCCCAGATCTGTAAGAAATCCCCTTTGCCATAGTCTCATTGCAAATTCGGGGTTGTTCCCTGAGGAAAGTAATGATCCCAGTCATCCCCTGGTTGTCATCGTAAGATTACATCGTTGTCGAAGCCACTCTCCAGCGAATCTCTAAAAGCCACCACCCTGAACCAATATCTCATCATATTGTGTCAGCTCAACCCGGAAGCGGCAGAACAATAGCTCTGTAGGTCCTGATAAGCGTTGCTGCTTCACTCGACTGCTCATTGCTCTCTCGTCGATCCTGAATGTCATACCCAAGCTCCTTGCAAAGTCGATCCTCTAATTCTCCCTTTCTGGAACATTCAACAAATCGAGCCCCCAGCTTATATATAACTTATATCTTTATATCTTTACTCAATTGTATTTTATTATTTTAATAATTAATATGCCTTTTAGCTAAGTTAAGGTTCTTTTATATATTCTTTAGAAAAAGAAAATTGCTCTTTTATAAGATTTATTAAATAATTTCTTTCTTTTTAAATATTATATATTATCTTTTATTTATATTTAAATAATTTTTTTAAAAGAATCTTAAAACAAGGTATTTTATAATTCTTTTAAGAGGCTATAACTTATTAAATTAGCTTGTTTCTTTAATAAGTATTAAGAAAGACTCTTGAAGTTATTTTTTACTTTTAAGAAATAAAAGAATAATTAATTATATAATAAACTTGTTTATATATATATATATATATAACCAGATTAAAAGTATATCTGGTCTCGTGAGTAATTAGTATGAAAGAAGAGAGTTTGGATACAGTATTTCTAATCGTGTATAAGCTCTAGTTCTCTTGGCTACTTTTGTACAGAGACTTGTATGTCTTTACTTCGCTTCGATTCTGGTGGTATAGTAGAAATTGGGCAGTAAAAGCAGCATCCGAGCATCTTAAGTCCATTGGTGGGACCCTGTGCTAGTGTATAACCTACGAGAATCCACTTAACCTCTGTTTGCTGAGGGGGGAGTAGCTAAGACTAAGTTCTAAGTTCTAAGGTTAAGGTTTTAGGTAACCTGGCTGGACAGGGGTTATCGGCCTGGATACGCGTAATAAAACTCTTTCCGTACTGGATTCATTATTGACCTCTACTCTCAGAATCAAAACTGGATTCAAAGAAATCACTCACTTACTTTGGAAAATTGACCATATGTCGAAATTTTGACAGCAAGTCAAGATCACAAGCCATGAGACTTGAGCGATTGATTTCTTCTAAGATGGGAATACGTCTCATGATCTTATCAAAGGTTTAGTCGGGATCAGGAGATGAGAATAGGGGGCGGAAGTGCTAAACTAGCTCCCGCGATAGAGCCGAGATGTCTTCATTTCATCGACATCCAGAACCTCTCCTCTCCCATCTCTTCCCACCTTCCCGAATGGAAATTTGACATCTGCCATCCTGGCCCATCCACCACTTGAGGCGTCTCAATTTACATCTCTTCGGTCTCTCGTCCGTTTCCAGAGCATCTCTTCCGTGCGCCACGTTCCGAGCGGGATCGCTCAACCCCAAGCAACCCCCTTTTACTTCATCAAGCCCCATCTACCCCACACTCTCCTTCTCAACCACTCCCGTAACGTTACAACAATCCTTCAGCACCTGTCCCCTTCGCCTCATTTTCTTCCGATTCTGCCATCTTCTGGCGCGCGACACTCTTTCCTTGTCTCAATTCTAAGGACTTGATTGGTACATGCTCGCTTCGGCACGGGCCTCATTCCCTGCCCCTGGCGATCTCTCTTCGCACTCAAGACGCGACGTTACCACGCGACGCGCACATTCCTCTGTTTTCTTGAAGTGCGTGCATAGGGCGACGATCACTCCTCTTTCGTCCTCGCTCGGCTCTTATCACAACGTCGAGTCTACATGTCCACAGTTCGAACGAACCTCTCTGCCCCTGCTTCGGACAAGCGGTACGGATCTTAGTGGCTCCGCAACCCTTCGACCAATGGGGAAGGGGACGCCTCTCCTGAGTTCTCAGTGGCTGTGTGTTTCAGGGTGCGGAGATAGAGAGCGATGGGGAGATTATTGAACCTTCCAGCCGCCGAAAGGAACGTACCCAGCTATGTACCTTGACCTCGAGGTACCGCGTGCCTCAAAACGGCAAGTAGCGTCTTGCACATGAATCCCCCGTGCCTGACCGGCCTTCCAATGCAATGGTAGGGGTTCTAGAACCCCAACCCCACGAAAGTTGCAAGATGAGTAGGCTGATGCTACCACTGATTGGTTTGTTCCCATTCTTTTCATTGTTGCAAGGTTGGGTGACATTAACGTGTTTGTGTGCCGAGGGAGACATCTTTTTTCGAGATATAAAGTCTCATATAGCTCCCCATATAAGACTTCCTGCAACCAGCATCAATAACTGTCCTTCATAAATCGCATCCAACAGATGCTGAACGATCATTAACTGTATATTCGTTAAACATTACATTTCAATCATGTATTTTACCTTTGTGCTTGCTTCTTTCACAAGCTTGCTTGCATTCATTCCTTCCGCTTTTGCAGGCTTCAGCTCCTCCTCTAACACCAATATCGCCATCTATTGGGGTGAGTAACTCCTCAGGATCATTCTGTGTTCTCACTGACTCTCGGCTAGGACAGAACTCTTACGGTCAGGGGACTGGGTCCCTTGCTCAGCAACGGCTGTCTTATTACTGTGCAAGTAAGTGACTTCAGTCAATATGCATGATTATTGAATACTGACATTCAATAGGCACTGAATTCAACGTGAGTTTTGCTGTCGTGCTCCGTTTGGAATGCATTCCTCATGATAACTAGATAATCCCCCTTGCCTTTCTAATCACCATTGCCAACCCATCCCTAAACTTCGCCAATGCCGGCGACAGCTGCACTACAATCTCCGGCTCAAACCTCTTCTACTGCCCTCAACTCGAGTAAATCTCTCACCCCATCACATAACGCCCCTAACACCCCCCAGACAAGACATCGCAACCTGCCAATCCACTTACGGAAAGACCATCCTCCTATCCATCGGCGGAGCAACTTACTCAGAAGGCGGCTTCTCCTCCTCTGCCGCTGCCGTCACCGCCGCAAACAACATATGGTCCATCTTCGGGCCCCGCACCTCCTCTTCATCCCCACGTCCTTTCGGCTCATCCGTCATCGACGGCTTCGACTTCGACTTTGAGTCTAGCGTCTCAAACATGGTGCCATTCGCCAACCAACTGCGGTCCCTAATGACCGCCTCCACCGTCTCTACGGGGAAGAAATACCTCTTAACAGCCGCACCGCAATGTCCATACCCCGACGCCGCAGACGGAGCAATGCTCGCTGGCGCCGTCTACTTCGACGCCATCTGGGTCCAATTCTACAACAATTATTGCGGCCTCCCCTCCTTCACCATCGGTTCCAGCACGCAAAACAACTTTAATTTCGCGACGTGGGATAATTGGGCGAAGACCGTGTCCCTCAATCCCAATGTGAAAATCATCCTCGGTATCCCTGCTGCGCCTGGTGGAGGCAGTGGGTACGAATCCGGCAGCACTCTTGCCAGTATTATTGCGTATTGTAAGGGATTTAGCAGTTTTGGTGGGGTCATGATGTGGGATATGAGTCAGCTCTATTCGAATCCGGGGTTCTTGGATGCGGTGAGCAGTGATTTGGGATTGCCAGCTTCTGGTGGGGGAGGGACTACGACGAGTGCGACTGCTACGACGCTTAAGACTGTGACGAAAACGACGACGACGACTGCAGCAACGAGTACGGCGACGGGAACGGTGGGCCAGTGGAGCCAGGTAAGTTCTAAGGAGGCCAAGGGAAAAAAGAGTGCTGACGTGAATGGACAGTGTGGCGGAATTGGATATACCGGCTCGACGGTGTGCACGCCGCCGTACGTCTGTGTAACGACTTCGGTTTGGTGGGCTCAGTGCCAGTAAGCTAATTGAGCGAGTGATGGGCTTTGTGGGTGGCAAGAAGGGACCGTCGTTTGATTACCAGACGGTGGGACTTTTTGCGCAACTTTTTTATCGTGTTCTCCGTCTTTCCTTCTTTGTATATATTCTCCGCGAAGTTCCGGCCTTCTGCTTTCCTTTTGCACATAGTCTCGTCGATATGTATTTACGGGGGGGACGCTGAGATTCACTCGCATAACATCTGATTGTTTCGAAAATGGTTTGGACATCGTAATTTATTTTACTCGATTTACATAAACTCATTTACACAATAACAAATCCCGTAAACGCCGAACCTCGCACCCTTTATCAACGAGTGGAGCAATTCAACTTCCCCCTCTTTCAAGTCAGCAACATCCTCAACGCCTCAACCAAAACCTTAACATTATGCTCTCCCATGTAAATATCTTTCGGCTTCTCCTTCGTTCCCATTAATTCATGCACCGCCACCTGCGCACAGCGCACACTATACTCAACCGTGAACACTGTATCCTTCGGAATCTCAACAAACTGGCCCATGAGCGCCAAATTCGTGCTCCCCTTTGGGACAACCTCTGGCCTATCGCCATGCTTCCTTGTCAAAAACTGCGCCGTTATATACGGCATCATGCACGGGATTGTGATGGCGTTCTCCAAAGTAGGCTGTTCGGGGAAATTCAGGTGTCCAAGTAGCTCTTGGAGTATCTCAGCGCCGGTGCATTCAGACATTGGTTTCTGGATGATATTTCCCACTTTGTCAGGGAAGAGTCCGTAGCCCCAAAAGACTTGCACGTTTTCAGGTTGATTGAGGAAGTGAGGCTGGTGAGGGACCACGATGCTCATGAGCCAATTGCTGTCTTTGAACGTTACCAATGCTCCTGTGCCTGCTTTATTGCCCGTTACGACTTCTAGTTTCTCCAAGAATTCCGGGGTTTTGAGCGTGACTGTGAAGGAAAGCCAATTGCTCTCCGGAATCCGAGTGTAGAAGTTCGCGGGATTGCCAAAAGCTGAGGAGTGGGGGTTAAGAGATGGGTTTGCGAGGGAAGACCATAGCTGCCAGGCTCCGTCTGGGGCGGTCAAAGCCTCTTCGGCGGCGGGGAGGGGCTCGGGGGGCGTGGCGTTGGTGCCGAGCGAGGAGCAGGCTGTCATTGAACCGAGGGTGAGGAAGACGAGGTCGTGGGCTTCGACGTGAATTACGCCTGTGGCGCCAGTCTTGCTTGATGCGAAGTGGATTTCTGAGACGGTGATGGCGGGGCCGGGGTAGAAGGAGAGAGAATTGACTTTGATGTCTAGATATGGTCAGCTCCGTGAAAACTTCTGGGCGAAAAAACGAACCATAGAGGAATTGGACGCCTTGAGCTTTGAGATAAGTTTCAATTGGGAGGATGATGGAGTCGTATTGATTGTAGGATGTACGATCTACTCCTGTGAGTGAATTGATCCTTGGAAACTCTTGGATGAAGCGGTGCAGATACCGCTTGAATTCCACTGCACTGTGCCATGGTTGGAAAGCAAACCTACTTGCTGTCAACTCACTGAATGATGAAGAAGGTTCGGTTGCTTACATTGTATCCCACATATACCAAAACTTCGTGTCGAAGAACTCTTTAGTAAAACATTCATTGATCCTCTTCGTTCCCAACTGCTTCTCCGTCTCAGCAGCAACACGGAGTAGATCTGCTCTCTCCTTCGTATTTAAACCCATATGAGAAACATCCACGATCTCCGGTCCCTTCTCGCCCTTTGCAATAAGTCTCGCATGGGCATTCGTCTTGTTGTCAGGTATGGCATTGAACTCATCGAGTTCCTGCTTGACGGTCTTGGCTGAGTCTTTCAGAGACGGAACTTTTGAAAGCAATTCATAAGTGCAAAGATAGCTGAAGTTAAGCATCCGGCCGCTGCGTAAAATGTACCCAGTTTCCGCAATTCCAGCTCCGTCCATTGATCCACCTGGCAATGGGCCAGACTCGAGGATGTGGATTTGACTAGCAGGCACTTTTGCATCTTGGATAAGGTGAACCGCTGCTGCGAGGGATGCAATACCTCCGCCGACAAGGTAAGCATTTATCTCTTCGGGCTTTCTGACCTGCTGGCCCTCATGATATGCGTGAGGCATTTTGAAAGTTGGTGTTTTGGGTGATGAAAGTGGTTCAGGTATGTGTTTATTAACATACCCAAGTAGTGGAAAGGGATCCTTTTCTTTTAAGCTGAAAATTTTTCGAGATGTGGTGATTCAAAGGTACATCACCTGAGCCTCACCATATACCTCGCAACCACGTGTTGGCGCAAGTCGTACGATTTTTCACGAGCAAACGGGAACAAGACAGAGTATTGGACCATGAAACGTTGAAATTACGTCATAAACTACATGTCGATAGGGGGGGAAAATAATTGTCCGAGGAAGCCGGTTGCTGCGTACTATAAGTCGGTTTCGACTGTTTCGCCCCGCAATGCCATCCCACTTCGCATGTCTTATGAGTAGAAACGTAAGTCAGGAATGCAGGTACTATCATGACCAGCTTCGAGCGGTAGGGTATTTCTGTAGAACTTCAATTATGAGTTTATGTGACCCCTCAGTCCGTACTACATTTAATTGATCTTGGGACGAAATGTTGAGAAAGTGTTTGGGGAGGAGGGGTTGGTGTGGGGCTAAAATATGTTGTCTCACGCCCTGAAGTACGCCACCAGGGGGATCCGCAGTGCCCCTGCATCAGATCATTTCAGGGGATCTTGCAGCACGTGATACCCTAACTTTGCCCCCTACACGTTGGATCAGCTCAGCATTGGGAAAGAAAACACGGAAGCTCTCAAACAATTCATGGGGGGTATGCGGAGAGCGTTTTTCGGTTTTGATCGTCACAAAAACATATTTGAAGGCGCTGCCGGAAACGGTCGCGCCGTCTGAGACCTTATTCAATAGCTCCTGTCTCTTCTTTCTCAAAAAACTACAGTCGACGACTCAATTCTCAGTCCCAGCCATAAAATGGGCATCTATGTCATACTTTAATCTTATTTTCACTTCAACCTCACCTCCAGAAAAGCCGTGTCTTCCGCATGTCACACCACTCGTCTTCCTTCACGGATGCCAACATTTAGACGTCTACATCAAGTGAACAGATAATTCAAATATTGGGGAAGCACGTAATATATCTTGGCATTCGAACAAGTGGAGGAGTCAAGAGCATGATGCAAGGTTATTAATGTTCCTAGCTTTCTCTACAGTTATTTTTGAGTCATTCCGAGAAAATTCATGCGGCATCGACTGGCATAGCCGCCGAACTTGAAAATGGCGGTGCGGGAGTGCTTTAGGCCTCTACCACACCGTGCTCCAGACATTAAGAGCGCAATATCTTTTGCCACATGATGTCCAAAATTGAACGCCCGACGCCAAGGCCTGGCGTGGGCGTCAAGAGAGGGAGTTTGATGGCTTGGACTGTAATATTTCAATTTCCCCGCCGACACATCTCATTCAACTAAATCGGCATCCGGAAGATCAAAATCGTCTTTATTATTCTAAATTATGAAAAAAAAAATCTCTATCTCGTTTCCTCATCTTTTGGTTTTGCCGCAGACTGCACATTCCCCAATTTCTTTAGCAGTCCAATCTTCCCAATATTCCTCAACCCAAACACAGTCACCAACAGTGCTGTCCCCATACAAGCAACACAAAACCACTCCACCGCCCTCAGTCCTTCCAAAAATGACTGCTTCTGCCCTACTCCATTTCTACCCCACTTCTTTTGAACAGCAGACTGAACAAGCGAAGTGATTGGTAGGAGCATCGATCTGCCAATTCCCGCCACTGTTTGGAACATTGCTCCAGCAACACCTTGATCTTTTCGAGGCAGTGATTGCGTTGTGAAGAGCCCGAGACAGGGGTAGACTGTGTCCGCTCCGAAGGCGGCGAGGGCCATGGCTGGCATGCCGTAGGCGAAGTAGCTTGTTGATGGCGGGATCGGGACTGCGAAGAGGAGGTTGGCGATTGTTGCGCAACCGAGACCGAAGATTAGGATGTAGTTTCCTCGGATGCGGTCGAGGAGATAGCCGGAACCTGCTGTGCTGAGGACTGCGCTTCTGTTAGCTTCGATGGAAGATTGGAAGGGGGAATTTCACTTACTGCCGACAATGCCGAGAGGTATGTATCGAAGTGTCGTTTGTATTGGTGATTGCCCCTGATAATCTTGATAGCTGTTGCAAGGTTAACATCTATTCAGCCTGACAGTAGTTGATCCAGCTTACAAATAGGTTGAATATATAAGAAAATTTGTGAACCCAGCCGAAAATATACAGACAATTACCATCGCGGCCGAAAACCTGCCAACCTTAAAGACCGATATCCGCATGAGTGGTTCCTGGCCAGGGTCCGCCTTTTTCTCAAGGTGATGCTGCCAGAGGATGAATATGACTAGGAAAAGGAATGATACAATCAGGACAGTGATTACGAGTGGAGTATCCCAGCCTAGGGAAACGCCTTCGGATAAGGCTATGAGAAGGAGAAGCAGTCCAGAGGTGAAGAAAAATGCGCCAATCCAGTCAACATTAGAGGCTCGGGGATGGTCGGCAGTGTCGTTCTTCCTGGAGGGCTCCTTTGGAATAACGAATATTGATGTTACGCCGGCGATGAAGGCGGCCCCTGCTATAACGAAGAAGACAACTTTCCAGTTGGTCCACTCGGAGATAAGTCCACCCTAGGTATGCCAAGTAAGCGCGGTACAGTGAATTAGAGAAAGATCACTGACTAAGATATTTCCCATGACCTGACCAATGGGTGCTCCGCCAGAGAAGAACGCAAAACTGTAGTTCTTCACACGTCCTGGTGGTATCGTGTGTCCAATAATGCCAATGGCGGTGGGTATTGTGATTGCAGCTCCCTGATTCATATCAGCAAATAGGCTCTTCTCGTTTGAATTTATTCCTTACAAGTCCTTGCAAAGCTCGCATAATATAAATGCAAACTTCAACGGGAGAGAAAGCTGCTCCGAGGGTCGTAGCAGTGATCCAGAAGCACCCAAGGATGAACAAGAATCGTTTCCCGTAAACATCAGCCAGTTTTCCGCAAAGGAGGAGGAATGCTGCAGAAGTTAAAGCGTAGGCAGAGACTATCCATTGCTGTCTGGTTTCAGGGATGTTGAGGTCTCTGCTTATAGCTGGGAGGATGATGACTACAGATTGAGCCGAGATGGTCTGAGCCGGTTAGAAGAGGGGTCTGGGATGGTGGAGAATAACTTACATTTAGAAACGTTGCTCCCGTTAAAACTAACACTAACGGAGCAACTTGCTTTATCGATACCTCTCCGGCAGTACTCGCCGAAGTGTCTTGAACGGAAAGTGGAGCCAATTCCTGCATCATCGCCGTTTGCACATCGGAGGGTGGCGAAAGAGCCTTCTTCTCTGCATCTGAAGATCCATTATCGTCTAATTGATCGGAAACCATAACTTCACTATACATGAGAGCCAAGGAAAGGATGCTCGAAAGGATAGAAAAGTTGGTGGGAATTTGAAGATATTTCAGAGGTTGCCATCCAACTCCGTATCCGTACCTACCCCCACTTCCGACCCGGCACCTTAATCCGAGCGGGTCCAGCGGTTACCAAGTAACCAGTCGGAGGCATTTTTCTTCTTCGCTGAGAACCTTTGTGGATTTATCCCGTTGCCATGCACCGAGATGCCGATATCGAGACTGTGTTGCGTAGCTTAATGTGACTCGGGTTAGTGATGGTTAACAAATGTGGCTTGCAGAGATCATTCAAATGGTACGGAGGCCTAAGACCCCTCCCTGTAGGCTCACATCACCATTGCACTTGACATTGCGCACTGTACATTTTATACTTCATTATCTCACTTCTTAAATTGGGCATGGTGGTATTCTGGCAAAGCAGCCTGAGAGCGTCGGGTTTGACCGCAATCACAAAAGATCTCGACGTAGCGCTGGGGGTTCGTCCAAAGTATAAGCTACCATGCAAGAAACAAGGGGCCATTTAGAGCGCCTAAACCACTGGCATTTGGCTTTTCAGTCCAAGCGTATTCAATTCCGTACAGCTCCTGGCTGCTCAGTGAGATCTCAGGCTCGGCTAAGCATAGTAAGAGGTTTATTATGTCGTCGATAATCTTTCTATTCGATAACTCGGTCGAGAAATTCAATTCCCTGACGTGCTCAGGGTTCAGCTCAACTTAAAGCAGCGACTACTCCGGTGCGAAGACGGAAATGGAATTTTGTGAGTTAAAGTTCGTCGCAGGCTATACAGGTAAGAGACGTTGAATGAGTGCTTGACAGCTTGGAGATGTGAAGTTCGGTATGCGGGAGGCTCGGTCGTCGTTCTGTGTGGCTTGGGTGGACAGTGGAGTCAAAATCGATTCCCTCCTAAACATCATCACGGCATCTTGATAGGTTCACAGAGGTGGCTGTATTCCAGACTAACAAACATTAGTAATATGTATATTTAGACAACATAGAAACTATAGCTTATTCGCCAGGGGCCCAAAAGAGGATCCCCTTGAGCATGATCCAGCTGACTTATCAGCGTGCTCAGGGCCCAGGGCTTGACTAAGGTTAGAGTAGCGACCGCTCATGTCCAAAGGCCGAAGTGGACTTTGGAGAGATCCAGTTTCGGCGCAGACTATAATAGTAAATTGCTACGAAAATTAGCCAATTTGCTGTAGGAAAGGTCGTGTTAGAAAGGTGGGGCTGTTCATTGTGGGCCTCGGTAGGCTAATCATTTCCAGCTTGACCGAATTCAAGTAGCAACTGAGAAAGAGCCATATAAATACTTCTACACCAAATATATGAGATTTACTCATGATCCTCAAATCTGGACTCAGTTCTTGGGAAACTTTAACTTCAGCTTCTTCCAGTGAGATCCAAGAATCAATTAGCGACGGAGTTTCATGGGGTTCATTGAACTCAAATCATACAATCATCAATAACTGCATAACAGGGGATCATTAAACGTAGCGTAGAAACACTGTGTCTTGTCCAAAGCTATACTATTCTCCCTTTGAGTATAAAGTAATCTAGCCATGGCCAGCGCAGGATGCACTTTCTACTACTCCCTTGCATTTCCCACAATTCCGGCTGTCTCAGACTCATCAAACGCATCAACAACTGTGCTCTTAAACTTCCTCGCTGACACCTTCTTTGCAAACAATACATCCAGCTCATCAAAACTCCTCCCCTGCGTCTCCGGCAGACGAAAGAATCCCCAAACAAGCATAACAAACGTGGTCCCACCCCACACAAACCCCGTATAGCCCTTCAAATTCCACTGTGTCGGATTCATAAAATATGGCTCTAGGGCATTCGCCACGACTCCAACAATATAATATGCGTTTCGTGCGAGGCAAACGGTTTTCTGCCTGAGGCGGGTGGACCCGACCTCAGCGGGTACGCCCCAGCCAAGTTGTCCGACGGAGAGCTGGAAGACGAAAGTCCAAACCAGGGTAAGCACGGCTTGCGTCATGCCGAAGGAGTGTTTAGACGTGTGTACGTTGAGAATCCCGATGAGCATTAGGATGATGCACATGGCTGCCATGCCCCAGAGGTAGATGGTGCGACGACCGAAGTAGGGCATGAGTGCGAACCAGGAGATGAGAGTCCCGACAAGGGCCATGCCAGTTCCGCCAACGCTAAGCCTGTGCGTACAGAATCAGCCTTGTTATTCTTGAAGCTCAGACTCTGAAGAGAGGGGAGGGTGGGCACTTACTTGTAGGTTGTATTGGAGTCCAGCCCTATCTGCTTGAAGAAGTAGGTGGAGTTGTACGCGAAGTTCCCTCCACTGAGAACCTGGGCTGCGAATATGAAGCAAGCAATCTCCGTGCGTCTGAGCTCAGTGCCCTTGAAGCAATCTCTGTAATGTGTGCCAACTGTTAATTCCTTCTCAAGGTTATCGGTGTAGATGATAGCAGCTAGCGTAGCTTTTGGGTCGATGGGGGCTGATTTTCTCTGCAGGCGACGGAGAGAATGTTCTGCTTCGTCGAAGCGACCCTTGCGGACTAGATGCCACGGCGATTCTGGAGCGAATAAAAGGAGTGGTATGAGGAAAGCAGGCCAGACCCATTGGATTGCGAAGGGGATTTTGTAGCCCCATTCGGTAGGGTTGTTGACGAGGCCCTTCAGAACTCCAGCGGCGATGAGCTGACCGATGATGAAGCACCTTGGACGCATTAGTTCGGGAAAATCTGCTTAACATGGAGTCGTAACAGAAGCAAAGCAAGTTGGCAGGGAGTACTTACATATTGGTGTAGGAAGTAAGATAGATTCGAAGTTGGAGTGGCAACACTTCCGAAGAATAAGCCGGTGCTGTAGATGCGAATACGCCCCTGAGTAAACTTGTCAGTTGATCTTCAATCATCCGAAATTCGGAGAATGTACCACGGCAGACCACAGAGAACCTCTCCAGCAGTCAGAGTGCCAATGTTAGGAGCGAAAAAAGTAATGAGGACAAAAGCAGCGAGCGCAACGAGAGAGCCCAAAAGTGTTCTCTTCTGCCCATACCAATCAACGAGCCAGCCATTGAGCATAACTCCAAAGAAAGCGCCAACACCGGAAGCATTCCCAACACCTGATTGCCAAGGAGCTGTGAGAGTATAAGTTCCGCCATCAATGTCCGGATAATAGTTCCCGTACTTCTTAGCAAAGGTGGGGTATGCGAAGAAGTTTCCAATCAAAGAGACATCGTAGCCTGTGGCTGGTCAGCTGAGAATTCTGGATGTGGATGTGGGGTGCAGACCTTCCATCACAACGCACATAGAAACCATGATGCTCCAGAAAATGGCCATTGGGTAGTTTTTGACGCACTCCACAACCGAGAGCGTATGTTCGATCTCGGTGGCTTCCTTGGCCTGCTCGATGATCTGAGCCTCGCCCATCTTCTCGTTGGGAGAGGTGATGGCCTCGAGGTGCGAGGGCTGCACCGCCTTGCTGGTCTCTGTTGGGAGATCGGACATCGTGGATGTGTTGCAGGTTGACTCTGTCAAGCTTGAAGTCTCGTCAAATAGGAAGACGAAGTGGACTTCAAAGTCGGAAGAAGTTGCTTCTGGGCGGGCATCAGGGTCGATTTATACACCCTGCTTGGAACCCAAAGACTCTGCCCATGCGAAGACATCGAAAGGCGTTGCGGGGAACACGATGCTTGGGATGCTAGTTGCTTTCCTGGAAAGCTGCCCATGGGGACTGTGCCGCGGGCTGTGGGGACCCAATATTTTCGCCATTTGACTGGGTTTTCCGATGAGTCTCGGCATGTGGATTAAACTTGTAGGACGTTCATGAGTCGAGAACACGCGAAAGAAAACTTTGTCTCAAGGACTGAAGTCTGTATAAGGTGCCATGTCCGCCGATTCCGACGCCATTGGCCTTGAGAGGTCGAGTCGGATGGCTCGATGCGGGGTCGACCGCCTTTGCCTGTCGATGCCGCCTTTCCCGCCTTTCCCGCTCTTTGTCCATTGTCCAAGGGCTCCTGGTGGCGGGGCAAGGCTGCAACCCGCATGGTGATATCTCAATAGAAAACCTGCAATGGCGAACAACTGGACGTGATCGGAGGAGCTCTGTAAACAGCTATCCGAACGTCCCTTTTTACTGGCTACGCCCCAAAAAAAAATTGGACCAGGCCAGCCTCTTTCAACGCAGCAGGCAAGGAAAGGTAAGTTAAATTACAGTCCATTGGTGAAAGAACCTTAGTATCCTCGCTTCTCCGATTCAAATAATCACATGCAGTTTGTTATTCCGCCTTTCGATCTCCACGGCAGTGTGTGAAAACCTACCAATAGTGAGAAAGATGGGGTCAATGCAAGGGAAGTTCAAGTGGATCCATCCCACTCCAGCAGAGCTTCCACGTTGGGGGAGCTTCTGATCCTCTCCATTGCGTATTTTCTTCCATCCTGTGCTATCAGTTCTGCAAGATCTCTACAACAGGACGTTCAGATTCTTTGCTTTCCTTCTTCCAATTTCCATTTTGCTTCAATTCCACTGCGCACGGTATGGCATCACTGAGCGTTTCCGTCATTGTAGGACTTCTCGTTGGCAGCACCATTGGTGTCAATAACGGTCTCGCAAGAACGCCTCAAATAGGGTGGGTAAGTTCCAAGAAGCCCAAATATCCTCTCGTCTGTTCCAATCCATCCCATGGCTGCGCTGACACGCTCGAGAATAATTGGAATTCTTTAGGCTGCGATGTATCCGACTCATTGCTCCTCGACACATCCGACAAGCTCGTCAGCTCTGGCCTCCGGGACGTAGGTTACACATACGTTGTTCTAGATGACTGCTGGTCGGCCGGACGTAGAGACTCAGACCAATGGCTCCTTGCAGATCGGAAGAAGTTTCCTCGCGGTATGAAAGCGGTGGCTGATGACATTCACGCTCTTGGGTTACTTTTCGGGATGTATTCCAGTGCTGGGGAGATGACGTGTGCGAGGTTTGGTAGGCGATTAATACCCGATGAGGAGCAAGTTTCGAAAGGTGCTAATCATTCCAGCTGGCTCGTTGGATTTCGAGAGTCAGGATGCGCAGGCATTCGCATCGTGGGGTGTGGATTATCTGAAATATGACAACTGCTATCATATGGGCAGGTTTGGCACGCCCCAGATATCGTACAATCGATACGATGTAATGTGGAAAGCTCTGAATGCCACAGGAAGACCTATATTGTATAGCTTATCCAACTGGGGAGAAGATTATGTCCACACGGTGAGCTTCTTTGTCCTTATTACACAAATGGCTGCAATGTGCGTGAGGACTGGGCCTGAATTATGAAGCTGACGAGCAATACAGTGGGGAATGTCTCTTGCAAATTCGTGGAGAATGTCGGGCGACATATACGATGCGTTCACTAGGCCAGACGCACTTTGCAGTTGTGGTGATGCGAAAGATCCGCATTGCATTGCACCAGGTCAGTTTGCACGTTCTTCCATGCACTCTTCGAGCGTTCTGACAATGCGAAGGCACTCACTGCTCTGTTTTGAGCATAATGAACCGAGTCTCCGCATTCTCAGATCGTGCACAGCCCGGAGGCTGGAACGATCTTGATATGCTCGAAGTGGGAAATGGAGGCATGACAGATGATGAGGTAATAACGTTCCAATGATTTGTGAAAGAATTCCGGGAAATCTGAGATTAATCGATAAATCCAGTACAAAGCGCATTTCTCCATGTGGGCTGCATTAAAGTCGCCATTGCTCATGGGCCATGATCTGCGTACAATGTCCCCAACAACTCTCACGATACTCAACAATCCAGCAATCATTGCAATAAGCCAAGATCCACTTGGCCTCGCTGTTAATCTCGCACTTCGCGATACGAATGTCAAGAAAGACAAGTATGGAATGGGCGAGACACATTTGTGGACTGGCCAGCTCGCCGGCGGGGATCAAGTCGTAATTCTGTTCAATGCTGCAGACCAAGACATCCACATGTCTGCATCGCTGGAAGAAATATTCTACTATGAAGGGCCAGAAGGTTCAGCGCCACAGGCAAAGCAAGCTTGGGATGTGTATGATTTGTGGGCGGGGAGGATGGACATCGAAACGGCGCAGAAGATTCTCGTTGATGACGATGACTTGCGGTCCCGTGAGCAACTTTTGAAGGAGGCGAATTGGTACAATTCTAGTGCGATGAGCTATAAGGAAGGCCTGAAATCCGGAGACCCAAGACTCTTGGGGAAGAAAACTTCATCTATTGCGGCAGGTGGGACCTTGAGTGTGCTGGTTAAGAGACACTCTGCAGAAGCTTTCCGTTTGAGAAATCCAGGGGAAAAGACAGCGAGGTATTCTATGGCGAAAGATGAGCTATAGCTCCGAGTCGGACGTAATGCAGACACGAAGGAATAAGACTAGACGTTATAGAAGCTAGGCGAGATGCGATAAAGGGCGTCTGGCGTTCCTGCTATTCTGTCAATGCACTCCTTGACTTGAGCACTACGCAAAGAACACTAGAACCAATTTGGAAGCCTTCTTGCCAAGATCTTGAAGTTCGAATGACGCAATAAAGTGATGAACATGATGCTGTTGATGGAGTATTCCGACCAGCATGGATAGATACAGACGACGGTGCATTTAGATAGAAAGAAGTTCATGTAAACTCAGCTGGGGCTGACTAATCGCCGGGTAGATTAACCTTCCGGTTAGAAGGGTTCACCAGCCAACCGCCCAATCACTCAACCGCCCAAAAAATAGTTTTACTATTATAACCACACTACAACCACATCCCAAAATGAAGAAAATAAGTTAATATTCGTGATCTACGACCTCACTTTAGTCATTCCACAGATTTTTAGAATTTTCTGAGCCCTTTGAAAATTTTCCAAAACTTTGCTTGGGCGGTTGTCTGGTGATCCCTTCTAGAAGGGTTCACCCACCAACCGCCCAAACCTACTTCCCGCCCAAGCTAAAATTCAACTTTAATATTAATTTATTAATTATTAATATAATTTTATACTTTGTTAAGTTTTTGTTACCAAATATACTCTTTAATCACAATTTTATTTTTTCAAGTAAAAGTTATTATTAATATTACTTATGAAACTAAGTTTTTATTTATATTTTAAGAATTTTGAAGCAATATAAAGAATAATTAAAATAAGTCCTCTTATAAAATTTCCTATAATTATGAGAGACAGTATTAGTAAATAATAGAAATCAATTTTTATCAATTTTGGTTAATTATTGGTATTAGAAACAGTGAGAGAAAAATCGATTTTTTGCTTGGGCGGGAAGTGGGTTTGGGCGATTGGTGGGTGAACCTTCTAGTTCAGATATTTCTGCCTCGAACGCCAGGCCACATTAATTTCGTGACGCGGGGTACATACTCCACATCTCCACCTCCACCTCCACCTCCACCTCCACCTCCACTTTGCTCTTTGAATCTGACAAGGCTCACAAAGGTTGGGGGCATAAAGCCGGGTTTGACACCCAAACCTCAACAGCTTAATGTCTCGGGAATTTCGGGGAGATCTCTGCTCCATGGGTACTGCATAACTGACGGTGACCTACGAGTACTGCCGAGGTCCATTATCAGTCACTCGTTTCCCTTTGGCAAGCTTCAAATCCAACAAACGGAGGACTAACGCCATGAGGGCTTTAATTGCTTGTTCGGCATGCAGGTGAAGTATCTCTGAAAACTTCGGAAGCTTGCTCACCGGCTCCTAGATCACGCAGACGAAAGTGCCACACGGAGAGGGGCGCGAGCACCTGCTCGTACTGCGATGAACGAGGCTTCAACTGCTATCGAGGCGGAACACCATTGAAAGCTCGACGACACGAAAATACTGGGATGGCTATCCAAAGTCCTGGCAGCGAGAGAGCCGAGACTGGAATGCCTTTTCCTCCGTGGGAGCTGTGCTTAGAGCTCGTCGAGCTTTATTTTGATCTCATTCACGACCAGTTTCATTCCCTGTTCCATAGACCCAGCTTCATCGAACAGGTCAGAAAAGGGACGGCTCCTCGAGTCCTACTTTTTGCTATGATGGCACTATCTGCTAGGTTTGACACTACCAACTCTCTAGTTAGCAAGTGCTAATACTTCCCAGGTTCTCGTCAAATGCAGCATTCTCAAATATTCCGCCGCGGGATCGTTGCATGCCATACTATGATGAAAGCACAAGACTTCTTGATCTACGAGTCAATTCTATCACCACCATTCAAGCTTGCGTGCTCCTTGGCGGTATCAGCACTACTGAAGACAATGCTATTACAGAGTCCGTCTACTACACGGTGGCATGTCGTATGGCAACTTTACTGGACATCGCGAGGAAGCCAGTACAAGATCCGCTAGAACGAGAGGTCAACATCAGAGGTAAGTTTCCAATGTGTAGCGTTTGTTCAATGTGTTGATCATACGAGTATGGTGGACCCTATGCATGGTAGATGTCTGGTCGTCACGAAGTATTCGTCTTCCGCGACAGATGCCTCACATGGAGGGCCTTCCGTTGCCAATCGACGAGATAAGTTTTCTCCATTGGCGTCTAGAAAACGTAGCACCCGACCATGGGGATGATTGCTCTTCGTCTCTTCTCGCCCAAATGATAACCTTGAACCGCATCCTCTCTCAAATCAACGACGCGATTGCCGAAACGGCCGCTGGAAGCACCATCACTCTGGTGGTAGAGCAAACTGTGCAAGACCTCTCACAGAAAATGGACGACTGGTACGCCGCCCTCCCCGAATACATGCACGACACTCCCGAGAACCTCCAACGGTACGCCTCCCAAGGTCTCGGGAGAATATTCGTAGCTGTCTACTTGGGCTACTACCACTTCGGACAGCTGCTCTACTACCAGCTTCTTCACGAAGACCGCCATGGCTCCGGAAACCATTACTACACCAACAAGTGCAAGTCCTTCGCCGCAAAACTCTGCACCATAGTCTACGCCTCGCACGCTACCCCGGGATGCGAAGTCTGGTACAACATGGTTGGACACATTCTCGTGATTGCGTAAACTGTACAGATCCACACATTGCTTTTTGACACTGACGAAGCGGTCATAGCAGCCGCTCGCTCGCGGCTCGAACAGAACTTCACCATTCTGATGCGGCTGCGAGATTACTGGCCTATGCTAGAGAGTTGCTTTGCCCGGCTGCAGATTTTTCATGAGGTTTGTAGACAGAATATCGACTCGAGCTTTCGGATGGATATGTGGATGTTGAAGTTCTTGAGCGAGTTTGCGGAGCCCATTCGAGTGAAGGAAGATGAAGAGCAGGAGGGTATGGTGGGATTGTATTCAGTGGAGAATGTTGGTGTCAGCCCGCAGGATTGGGTTTAATTGATGGATAAGGGCTCAAGCAAAGACTCTCATCTATTTAGTATTGGTCATTGAGTTGATGAGATCAAATAGCTGTTGACAACTTAGTGTTGCCCAGCGCGCAGTGCACATTCAAGAATACGTTGTGGTCAGAGACAACGCTACAATTTCTTATATAAATAAGCTGAAAAACTTGCCTCTGAGGATCTTTTCCGGGAGTTGTCATGTGGGAGGACGACGTTGTTCTGTGGTGAGCTATCTCGAACTGATGCTGCTCCCTAGCAGCTCACATAGCCTCATGGCTGCGCAGCAACATTTTCGGTTTCTGACAAAGCCGAGAAGTGCTGGTTGAATTTGTACAATGGAAATGAAGAATTTAGAACTTGTTTAGCCAATCCTCTACATTTTCAACCAACATAGACAATGCAATCCATAACAACACCATAGCCCCCTTGAATATCCATTCTACAAAGCGTCTAGATTTCCCACCCGAAGCCTGTATCTCTTAATATATTGGCGCAAGCAAAGAGTTCCCAACGCTCCTATACCGTTCACTCGTTGGGGACGATTCCATGTGCGGAACCCCATTTTGGGGCGTAGAGGCTTTCGGTGGAGGGCCAGACACATATTGGGAAAGTGTCGATGCGGATCCCGAAAAGAAAATAAGTGGTTATCCGAAGCTGCCAAGGAGGAATGATATTCAAGCCACTGGTAAAGGTCCGTAGAAGTATATTCGACTCGGAGCCTGACATTTTCCGACGATAGACTTCCAGTAGTATCCGGGCCCGCTGCCGCAGTATCAGCGAATCTGAATAATGATTTTTGTCTCGCCGGTATCTGGAATGGTGATATTATTCGAGGACTACTTTGACAACTTGTGGCATTGACCGCGACTTCCAACTCAAAAAGAGCAACATCCGTTACCGTCCTGGTCGGGGGCTTCATACATGGGCCAGATGCATTTTCTTGGTGCAATAATCAATGCTAAAGACTGCGTAAAGCTTATAATTCTAGTTCCCGTGATGGGAAGTGTTCAGAGTGGTCCAGCAAGCCTTGTTGCCTAGAGGTTGACGTATATATTATAAAAAGAAACCACCAGTAAAAGGATACCATTTTGGACACCCTTTCCAAGTCTTGATCCGTTTGGGTAAGAATGGAGCGCTACAAATTATAGCACGGGCACCTGAATTGAGGACCGCCACCGGGAGCTTTGAATCGAAATGGGGTATTGTAGATGAGGAATGTTACGAAGTTGCAATCTCCCTAGATTACCCACATATTGCAGGTGTCGATGAAGTTACTTTCGCCCTGCTTGTGGGTGACAATTACTATGATTACGGGAAAGGTTGGTTTGGTCTCATTCAGTACAAAGCCAGGTTGAATACTTTTCAAAGGGCTGGAATGCTTTTGCCTGAATGATTTCAGAGAAGAGTTTGAAGAAACTAGCTTAATAGGCGTGTAGTTTCTACAAGGGATTTGGGTTCTTACAGCTTTTCCTCGAGAACATGGGGATCGATTGAGGCTTATACGATTTCAAGACGAACAAAGGAAACGGCACTTGGTTCTCAACGTCCCAAGTCGATCAGGGCAATTTTAGACCCCCATAAACTCAAAAGGTCCTACATTCAAAATCTACCCACGATGTGTCTTTCAGAAATCTAAAATCTCAAATGCCAACATACTCTCAGTCTAACCAAATGTCTCGCATTGACCTGGGTCATTGAAGAGGGCTTTCGTTCTTGTCCACCGCGAGGTGGGATAGAATTGTTGTGTTGCAATCAAGGACTGATAGTTTGAACGCTCCTCGCAAGAGCATTTCGCGCATCTTCCTGAGCAGCAGCCTCTTCTGTGCATTTCTTACACCTGCAAGCCATGCCGAACCATCCCATCAGTTTTTTTCTCCTCTCAACAACAGTCATACTAACCCCATGAGAGCCAATGTAGCTGATGCATAACTCTTCTCCTTGCTTGCAGTCTCTCGTCGCAAACATAGTGACCTCGCTGCTAGCTGAGTCATGCCTCCAATCCACATTGGGACTACAGCTATGATTCAGCATGCTGTACAGCCCGCTGATACTAGTCCCGGGCCAGTCTCCGAGAGTTTGGCCGTGCTTGTTATTTTGTAACCTGCATTTGATAGTGTGCAGAACCCATGTATCATACAAAGGGTTGGTGAAGATGTTGATGCCGAAAGTCTGGAGGATTGAGATCGGCATCTGAATGTGGTCTTCGAAGTTGAAGATTATCAGATTTGGCTCCTTAAATCCGTAGGCCGGTGTGAGTCTCACAAGGATTTTGCTTTTCAACGGGTGGTCTGTATCCTCTACCTGACTAATCGCTAGGACTCTCATCAACAACAGAGCATCAAGTGCGAAGTCAGTTGTTGTAGTCGCTTTTCTCGCAGCGGTATAGAGGTAACCGAAATCTTTTCCGCAGATTGGGCTATGGAATGTCTCGATAGCAACATCGGCACAAACTTGTGAGCAGTAAAGAACCGAACAGCAAGTATTCCAGAAGTTCTTGACGGGACTTGCGCAACAAGTCGGACAGCCGGCAGGGTCAGCGTCGATACCCACGGAACCAGAAGACATCGTGTCGATCAAGATAGTTTCGCCAGCAGTGATATCCCTCCTCGCAATCGCACCAATGCAATCATCTTCGGTCGTTGCCTCGCTCCCTTCCCCAGCCGATGTGTTTCGAATCGTACTCCGAACCACCATACAATTCGTCGAAACTCTTCTGAAGTCTTCTTCGATTCCCTTGAAAACAACCTCATCTCTGACTAAGAACTCTTCTGCCATGAATGGATAAGGAGTGGGGTATACACCCCCATTCATCAACGTAGTTGTCATCTGATCCTCATTCATATGCCCCTCCGCCACTGCCGTCTTCAACACTTCCTCCCGCTGGGCATACCAAGCATCCGCATTCGACACCTCACTTGGGAAGAACTCATCATCCGGGAACTTCTCCACCGCTTCGCGGCTCATGCGCGCATAGTCGCCACAGCAATTCGCGGCCATGAGTCCCTCCATGAGTTCAGTCCAGATCTGCAGCTCCAACCTCTTTAACATCTCCTGGACCTTTTGAGAGAGCAGCTCCGGCGTAGAAACAGTGTGGACCCATTTCATCCATGCAGGGTCGGTGGTGTGAAGTTCATAGATCTTCTTGCGGAATGCTTTGCGCACTTCGTTCCCAAGGACGCTGGAAGTTTTTTCAATGCCGGCCTCGACTAGAAGACGCGCTTTGTAGACGTCACCGAGAGCAAGCTCTGGGTAACCGAGAAGGCGAAGACAGTTTCCACGGTTAAGCCAGGTTTCCGGATCATACGGGAAGGAGGCGAGGAGCTGGGTGAACTTGATCACTTCTGAGCTCTCGCTTGCAAATCGCTAATTTCGCTTATTAGCGAAGGTGAAAGGGGGGTACTATGCACGCCAGCAAGCGGAGTCCCAAAGCACATGGACAACGAACATTGTGGTCCAGAGATATCGGCGGGGCAACCTCGCATGCTGAGGATAGACTGTACTGTCCAAGTCGCCACGGTGAGTCCATTTCGCTGCTGATGGTCGAAAAGCTAAGGTTAAGAGAACCGATCGATCTGACGAAACTTTATTGCCTTCTTTTGTCCAACACTACTATTCTGAGGATGCTGTTGAGGTCCTTTGGGGGTGAAGCGGTAAGTTTGGAAAAATTCGGTACATGTGATATTGGTCAGCAGGAATAAGTGGACCCCTGATTTTAGGGGTCCAGCCCGCATAACGCCACTAAATGCGGCTAAAAAAAGCCCTGCATAGCTGCCACGACCGACGCCCTTCCAATAACAGCAACAAAGATCTGTAAAGCCATGACAAATTACGCAGAAGTAACATCCTCCAACGAATCATTTTTTTTGAATCTCACTATAAAGCGACTCAACCTTCTCAGTTGCCTTTAATCACGAACTGTATAATTCCCGCTCAACCATCAAAAATGTCTACCTCAAACCAACAACCAAGTACAGCGCTTTTATTAATCGACATCCAAGATGGCTTCACACATCCAACTCACTGGGGACCCTCCCGCAGCAATCCTTCATTCGAAGCGAATATCAAATCTCTTCTCCCTATTTATCGCGAGCTTATATCCTCCACAACCTCCCGAACCCAAACTTCACCCCACAAAATCATTCATGTCGCCCACGCCTCGAAATCGGCGCAATCTACCCTCCACCCCTCAAAGCCGGGATTCGCCTTCCAATCCTTCGCCACCCCTTTGCCTGACGAACTCGTGATAGCGAAGAACGTGAACTCCGCATTCATAGGCACGGATTTGGAAAACTTGTTAAGACAGCATTTCGACGGGGCACCAGGAACGCTTTGGGTAGTAGGGTTGACAACAGATCACTGTGTGAGCACATCGGTGAGGATGGCCGGGAACCTAGGAGTTTGTGATGGTCTAAATGGTGAGAAGGGAGATGTCATTTTGGTGGAAAATGCTACAGCTTGTTGGAAGAAGAGTGAGGATACTCTATTTGATGCGGAAATGATTCACGCAGTGCATGTAGATAGTTTGAAAGAGTTCGCTAACATTGCGAAGACTGGGGAGGTTGAAAAATTGTGGAAGGAGTGGATTTCCGATGCTAATCAAAGAAGTTGAATGAAGGGTGACGATATGAGGAGGACCACATTTCTCTCTGATTGTCTGTGACTGTGTTGGTGGTTCAGTTTGTCTTACGTAGCGTGTTTCCTAGAGGTAGCGAATGGAAAAGGGGGGAGATCGAAGCACGTGAAGCGGGTAATGGTTCCCCGAACGATATTACACGATCATGAAAAGAAGTTGGGTGCGAATTTCTCTCAACTGTATTTACGTATTTAATCATAGCTCCTATAACGAATGGCGATAAATTCACTGAGTAAAGAATGTCAGTTGCAAAAGAAACGGTGAATTTTCTCTCTTTAAAGAGCTAGCCCTGAACGTTTCTCGAACTCTTCCACGTCCAAATTGTCCACTGTTATTGACGATCAAATCATACCACCTTTGCTTCCATTTTTTTCAGTAAGGCGAATATTACAACATATAAAGGAGCTGTATTTGGCTAACGAGCTGTTTTATTTCGGATACGAATACTCTTCGGGCAACGCTCGCAGACTTTGTGACTGCAAATTCGACACTCCTTATCTGTGAACGTATTGCCCTTGAATCCGCACTTAGTTAAAAATTAGCTCTGCACCTATCAAGTATTGCACTGCTTACTCTGCATCTATCATATGGTACCGGTGGAACTGAGCTATTGCCGTAGCGCTCATCTATGTATGTGATTTCAGAGGGCTGTGTTTGAGCCTAGGATTATTCAGGCATGTATGTAAGGTTTAAGGTGCTTGTGGTTAACTACAAAATTAGTCGAACCTAGAGGATTGGAATTAAGTGGTCATCGACTATAGAAATCACCATTCGAAGCGCGAGTGAATGGCTTATTCGTGGTCCTTATTGAATTTGACTGTTCTAATAAAATGAGTAGATTTTACAACAGAACATAATGGCGTGGTATCCTAATCTCGGCGAATTATAAATCCAGCTTTCCTCGTTACTGGGAGAATAGAAATTAAAAATAGGCAACCGAAGCACAAAATAAGCTATCCCTTTTTCCTGCTCATGGTTGATTTACTCCCCTAGCTTATTCTGGGTTGGACTGAACCAAACTATAGTATAAAGCATAGACACCCCTCGAACAAATTTCGTGAAGCGATGAGTAGTGGGACCCTTCTAGCTTGTTCTTTTCCCCTCGCCAGCCAGAAATTTTTGAATGCTTCAGAAGCCCCACCTTTAAGAACGGACACCCCATCGCTGAAAGTTCCACAAGAAAGTAACAATTGGGTCTAGGGAGAATGGCTTTATTTGTAACTATATATTATGCCCGAACTTTTGCATATATTTCACACCGCTCTATTCACTGTTCTACCTGGTCTGTCGTCGAGGGGCGCAATACCCCGCAACACGGTGCAACAAATACAACCGATACGAGTCCGAAAGGTTTTCGTAGGGTTGAATGTTACATCACAGGGGTAAGCTCCGCGTACGCCACCAGCGAGCTTACATCGAGTGACGCGAGGATCTAGAAATCCGTGACGTTAAAATATGAAAAGACATTTAGTGGCTTTTAGTCTTCGAAATGGTTGCGTTATCCGTCAAGAGCCGATTTGTATCTGACAAGATGAGAGTCCGTGTTCGCCAGCGAGCAGAGCTCGAAATAGAAATCGGCGATTGATTAAGTGAATGTATGGATTGTTACTACGCTGTGATGGTTTCAATTATAAGAAGCTCGACTTAGTATTTGAAAGGAAGGGGTTCCAAGACGATACGAAGTGGAAGTGGATTAGGAAAGGCGGCCAGCTTGACAACAAAACTAAAAGGCGGGGTTCGCTTGAGGAACGGGCAATCGGCGATCACATCCCCATATTGCTTAGCGTTTCTCACATGCAAGCAATCCCGGGATTCAATCTGTCAGATGCTTTAGCCGTGGTTAATTAGAGAGCTATCAATGAGAGGAAGGTGAAGCTATGTACAAGAGAGTGAGGAGAATCACATCCGGCCAAGCAGTTAAGCCTACCGAGAGCCGAGGGGTGGGGAGTGAAGCACGTGACACCACAAGTACCATCTGTCATAATCGCATTTCGAACCATCGATCCTTCTTCACGTTTTCCCTCATAATTTCTAGCACTGGAAACGCCAACGACTCTGCGAAGTCCAGGCAAAAATTCGTCATCGGAGTGTAGAGCATTGATCACCGATCTAAGGTTCAAATAAGTAACTAAGCGATCAAGTGAGGTTCCTGCTAATGGAAGACTTGAATAGCCTTAAGATCTTGTATATGCCCCAACAGTGGCACAGAAACCGGCGTACTGCAGCAATGCCGTGAAATGAACTTCCTGCTTCCGCCCAAGGTCGCTGCCTACAGGCGCGAGAGCATTCTAAAAGGTCCAGTTGGACCGAGAAGCATCTCGTAAAAGGGGTTCCTCTCGAACCATATCATGGTTACAGTCGTGTGCTAATCTCAAACAAACCCTTTGGAATGATGATGAGTACTCGAGTTGTTTTCAGTTGAATCTTCCACTTCTCTTATCTCCCCCCTCTCTGCACTCGGTTTCGGTGACTTCGGTGACTGGTCAGTATCCGGTATTGGCAGCAGAGGTAGCGGCTTGTCTCGTTCTGTGCGTCGTAGATATTCTGTGAGTGAAATTATGTGCCTGATGGATCCTATATCGTGTTTGGTCTCGCTGTCCTTAATCTCAACCTCAGTCGTCTCAGATGTAGCGGTTCTGGAAAATTGGTGCGTTTTGGTGCCAATAGTAGTCGGCAGCAGAGAAACTGGGTTCCCTTCGTGCTTCCCCTCAACAATTCGAGATGGGATGGGTTCGTCATCAAACGACTTTGAAGGTTGATTTGGAGATATGCTGTCGGAATGTGTTGGTGGGCCGAGTATATTTGGGGAAAAACGGATAATGCCAGCGCGAATTGCGGGCATGCAAGCGCAGAAGATGGCAGTGCTCGTTTCTAACGTCGACCAAAATGTAGTCGGGATATTGTCCCATGTCGGATCGGCAGTTAGCCCGAATGTTTTAAGGCTGTCAAGGCGGATCATCGAAGTAATACAGACACTGAAATTGGAAATGTGTTATCAGCGGAAGACCAGGAGGAATGGAATGGCAAGGTGGACTAACAAGCTCCCAACTCCGAACATGGCATACATTCCTATCTTCTTTCTCCCATTGAGCTGAAGATGTCGGAGTTCGTTCATAGGGAGAAGAATAATTATGATATCTTGAAGAATGTTGATTATAGCATTGGCCCAAGCCACCGAGTTGTAATTGACGCATCTGCCTTTCAAGTCTTTTCTCCAAATGTAAATAATAGGATGGCATTGGAAAACCGTGACAAGAGCAAATGCTATTCCACTAGCCGCACAAAATGCCATTGTCACCCAGCAAGCGATGCGGAAGGATTTCTTGGGAAAGACGCGGAGATAGAAAAATAGCAACGACACTTTGATCAGGCCGATAGTTATGACGTATAATAGCTCGCCGATATAGACTATAGAATATCAGAGTAGTTAATAAAATATGAGGGAACGTGACGAACACCAGTACAAAAGCTGAGGAATAGAGCCAATTTCGATATCCCATACATGATTGCCAAAGCCGGCATTCTCAACTGCTTGACTATTAGCTTCAACATCGTCAAACACCATGGGCGAGAGCTGCGGTTACGTTGTACACCGAAGTAAGTGAATAGAGCTTCTGAAATCTAGATCCCCGAGGTTAGAAATCCTCTTCTGATAATGAATTCGCAACTCACAACAGCCCCTGCAATGAACAAGTCATCTAAACCCATTGTCTGGTGGAGAGAAATCCTGGTAACAAATCGTAGTAGCGCTGCTGTGTTCGTAACTACAGTGGTAACTATGGTCATGATCCTGATCTTTCTGTTTTGTGATTCATAAGGCCTTTGGCAGATCACAGCCTGGATTTTGCTAAGGGCTATTAAACCCGTCCGGTTAGTTGGTCGGTCTCCCCACATCGAGATATACGTACACAGGGTCTCAGCCAAGGTGCAATTAGCCAGCATGCAAGCAGATGTTGTTTGTACGAGTCGAGTACTGGAACATTGGCAAGTGGTGTTTGCTAAGGAGCACCCAACCGAGGGTATCGTCATTTGCAAGCAGGTTATCTACACGAATAATCAGCAATCTGCTTCCTTTCATCTTCAAACATTAACATACCCCACATGGCGAAATCTGCGAAATCTCTTGTGCAATGAGCGACGCATTTTGGGCAAGGACGGTAGGAGCAACGAGCCAAAATATCGCCAGGGAACTAGACAACTTCATTGCGACGAAGTTATCTCCATTAAGATACCGATACAAGGCAGAATCTATCAAGCTGAGAACCTGCAGCTGGTATCGGGGGGCGCGGGGAAGACATAGAACATGGTCAGGATGCGGCCGAACTGTCGCAGAACACGCCTCGTGCTGAGATGCAGGTGAAACCAGCTATCATCAGCCACTTTTCTGAGTTTGCGGGAGACGGCAGAGCTAAACTCTGAGCGTGAGTTTACTGGAGAACGGGAAAGACAAACTTTTGTACCTGCGACACGGCGGACATCCTGTGCCTTGCGCTGTGACAGCGGTTGTGCGTATTTAGACTTCGAGTTTAATCCCTTTTGGGAGGGAAATCCGGAGCCAGCGCTATGACTTATGCAGCCACTCATTTTCAACACATCAGAGACTGGAGAAAGGTTTGATATCGATCCGACGCACAGCTGCTTGAAAAGGTCGTAGTTTCGCGTTAACATTGATCATTGGTACGACTTCGTGGAGCGCGAAGATCGAGCTTTCTGCCAACCGATCCCTTTTGGACAGAGATTTGCAACCAGAAGGCGATCGCAGGCTTATGTGGCTTGAGACAGATTAGAGTTCGCCTGCGGAAGTTCTTACCGGTCTCCGTAAGCCTTGTGGTACGGGGAGCAGATTGTCGGCCGCGGAAGAACCATCGCTAAAACCCCACAAATATTTGGGTGTGTGAGGCTGCCACTACGGATTGCGCACAGCTTCCCCTTCCTTACCCATTATTCTCTCCGAATTTTCAACTATTCGCACGATGAATGGATATTACACAAAAATCTGCTGTTTGTACAAAAGATATCATAAAATCATTAAGAGTATTCGCATTGCCTAAGTAAGCAATACCTTGTTTGTCTCATGAATCCCGTTTAATTATAGTCGGATAATCCCTTCGGTCTATAAGTCGTTGTCTTGTTATTGTACTAAACCAGTAATAAGGCTATATTGTTCTAAATATATAAGGATTGAGAGCTAAAGAGAGCCGGAGGGTTGGGAAAAGAGTGAAACCTTTGGTCACTTGATAATTTCACGTGACAAATGTGGTTGTTGGTAAATTAGGTTAAGCGTAAATTTGAGTTTCGGAACCTTTCCCTTATTATACATTTAGGCGACGTATGCCTAGTTTATCTTTATGGCTGCCGCGTGGTGGCATGGAGATCAATGCCGGCCGCAGCATTTTGTCGGAGTGTGGGGAGAGATCGCTTTACTATGTAAAATACTTGCAATCACTTTCTTGGCCCATTCGCTTTCCCGAACCGCCTAGGGTACTACGTGAGACGTACGAACGGGTAATAATTTCTCCCAGCGGTTCCAGAAGTGTTCCCACCAGCAGCCGGTGAGAAGTGCCGTCCTCCAAGATCAAACAGTGATTCGTCAAACAATCGGCATCCGGAATGCAGGGGTGACGGCGATCAAACGATCAAACACTTTCTCGGGGAAACGACACGCAAACACAAGCACAGTTGGTGCCGTCGGGTTGGGTGTTCGCATGGCATTGTCCCGACGGATCCCACTGGATGGAGCAGACCTTGGATGCGTTTGAGGTCGAGACTCGCCCCTGGTACTTCTTCTCCTGCGTAATGCTGTTGCGGAGGGCAAGCTGAATTCAGAACGGCATTGATCGCGCACCCATAACATACTGTATCCTCAACACACTACGCCCTCGGTCTCCCCTTTGGCGAGCTTCCATCTGTCGACCTTCTCTCCGATGCGGACTTCTCCGACATTTCTCGGCGATCTTAGAGAATTCACTAAGTCAAACGTTCTCAGCCTACGCAACTTGCGCTAACGCTTGGGGGGTTTGAAATGTGAAGAATAATCTGAAAGAGATTGTTGATTGCTGAAGACTTCGAGGCGAATCGCGTTGTATTCGTTGTGGTATTGCTTAATTTGTTAGAAGGAGGCCAGGCCAGAAGCGGCTGTGATAATCAGCATCAGATTCAGAGATTAGCGAGCCTTGATTCAGGGGCAGTCGAGGCTTCGGGCTACTGACTCGCTAGAAACAGCGGGCCTTCAAATATTTTACAGTGTTCGTGACCATTTTTTCCCTTCGGGATTCTTTTCAGGCTTGGCAAAAATACCGGTATCGATAGTATCAATACTTGCCCCATAATTTAATTATTATTTAATTATTCTTATTTACTATTATTTTATATGACTTAAAAATTAGAAATTTGTAAGTATTGAGAATACTAAGAATTTGGTTTAAATAAATATATAAAATAGCTAAATCTTTAATAAAAATATTAATATTTATTAAAATTGTGATTTTATGAGTTTTGCGATCCCGATAAGCTTATCGCTAGTTTTTTTAGCGTGCAGTCCCTAAATTTTAGGCAGTATATCGCTAAATTAATTTATAGGCTAGAGGCCCCTAAATTTTCGCGAAAATTTAGCGAGAAGGTATCGATACCAAAATATCTGGTATTTTTGCCAAGCCTGATTCTTTTTCAATGCAACTAAACATATCAAAAGGCAATAAATATAACGAAATATGCTATTACCAGAATCCTAAAAGGTAATAACGTCATTATTCAAGGATATAGAAAAACTTCTCGCTTTGCTATATCTCTATCTCCGCGAGATTCCATGGCTTATTCACGACCCTTTCTTCACGACTCCCGAGAATCGTGCACTAAACAAATCTCTTCTTTTCTGTACTACTCTTCCTATCAGGCCACCTAGCTAGGGTGTTGGTCTGGCTGTTGAAATAAGGTTGATTTGAAGAGGACCACTCTCGGCTCTTGAACGGTTCGGCAGTTGCGGCAAAATGTGTCGGAAACACACCCAGCCACTTAAGCAAGGAATGTTGCAAAGAGGGATTAGGGAGGATTTGACATGCTCGGATTGGTCAATATGATGTTGACAGTCCATACAAATTGGTGCTGTGGACACATATTGCGATGACTCTAGACCGGCACCTATACGGAAACCGGCATCGAGAGGAGATGTTGCTGTCATGTCTGGCTCTTTAAACAATGCGACCGTTGAAATTTCCTGCGAATTCAGCTGCACTTTTGTGGGTGTTTTGCTGACGATGTCCAAGATGCTTTACTTCTTCCTCGCCTTTGCAGTGTTGGCTCAAGCGATGCCCAGGGTGGGAGGTAGTAGTCTCCTCCGCTTTAGATGCTCCCAGACTGTCATCGATCGCAATCTCGTATGTTGAAATCTCCTAAAGTTGTACTTAGCAAGTGAACCCTAGAGAGAGTCCGTCGCCACATGTTCACCAAGTACGTTTCCGATTTCGCCAAAATCTGGATATAACGACTTTATTGCAGATAGTTGGGGAGTACGTGCAGAGAGAGTATCCTTCCTACGGTGGTGCTGATGTTAAGTGTGTCAAATGAGTAGAGCAGAGTAGAGTAGTGGGTCCTACTCATACTCTACTCAGCCAAAACATATCCTACTGTCACGGCCTGGACAAGCTGTGGAAGCGAAATGTGGGTGTATTGGTGTAAAATGTAAGAATGATGGTGCCCTAATGGCGGTGAAGAAGCTATAATAGCCGGTTCCCGCTATTATACATGCCTGTGCGCAGCACGTGACACCTACTTATACTCTACTCAATACTCATTGAGTATATACTTAAGTAACTTAAGTAGTTTGAGTATTCCTTTGATACACCGCTGATGTTCAAAAGAATACCTTCAATATCACGATTCCATCGACCGATGTTCCATTCCTGCCAGTTGCACCTCGCACACCTTTTCGGAGGACTTGTCTAATTACTGGACGGCGAATTTATATTTCAAGGCATGCAATGGGACTTACAAGAGGGCTCCACAGATTGCCAACAGACAAAATAATAATGGAGAATCTGGGGGCGTTGCCGTTTACTGCACTCCCCCTGGTGCTGGCAATACCACAGCTTTTAGGCCAGTAGGCTCTCTTCAAAGAACAAATAGCACGCCGCTGGATGACTGAATGTATTGCGCAGGGGTTCAGTATACTCGTTGGCGATCCGATGCGTCGTGTGGCGGGTGCGGACCCATCGATGAGAATGTAGAGCTGCTTTCGATGCTACACGAAGCCCAACTTCAAAGGCGATGACCTCTCGCCATGTTGCTTATCCTACCGCTGGTCTCATTAGTTTCGCTTTTAATGGTGGAGCTTGCCCCTCTACATATCCAGTTAAGATCCCACGCGTAATGCTCGAAGTAAGCGCTTGCAGATCCCTTCTTTGTCGACGAAGGAAGCGGTCTCGGCAAGAATTGGCGTAGAGCTTCAAGGTTAGCCGAATAATCACATATTAGTTCTGTCAATTATACAATCCAGGGCAAGCATTAACTTGTGTCAACCAATAATAGATTGACAGGGATACAAGGCAATTCAACGATAAGAGTATCTGGCTTGCGGAACGGTCACAGCCTTTTGCCGTTAGCACAGGAGATCCTTGAGTTATCTAGCATAGAAAATAGTAGTGAAACTTGCCGCTAATATTTCTATAGAACCCGGTATGTGTTGAATTGGTACTAGCTTACTAGTCCTTCCAGTACCAGGTTCAACTACTAATATTAGCTTTGCCACTCTCATTTATAATGGTTTACTATAGAAGCCTATGGAATAGCTCACTATGGAAGCTCAGGGAACGCTCACTAATATATATAAGTCATCTGATTTATCAGCTGATTTATAATATACTGGAGGAAATCGCCACCCACTAGTGGGTATATAAGAACTGTACTTTAGATTCCTTCCTCTCCCTTTTTACTCTTCACTCTCCTGTATCTAGTCATTTTGCAGATTGTCAACCTCCAATATATCGATTTATCACCAATATATCGATCAGATTCCAATAGTATGGCCAGCATGGCGACTGTGTATTCGGGCAGAAGGGTGATGATCTTCAGAAGGCCATGGATATAAGGTGCTTCGGAGGCTGTGCTGCCCTCAAGACACAAACTTACGCCACAGCGAACAAGTGCGCTGTCCCCAAACCTGTGAACAAAGATACGGGAGGACGTAGGCCAATGCATAATTTATTACATGCTTTCCGGCACCGAATAAATTGACAGGGCTGACACAGCGCCCGGGAAATGGGCAACTAGTTCAGTAGAGAGAAGTCATGATACAAGCGAAGTAGGCAAGAAACGTGTTCATATCGTTCGTAAGACAACTTGAAGGAAAAGACTAGTACCCTTAGCACAAGGCATTAGCAAATCCCATTGATTTTCCCCCCTTGAATATTGAAACCCCCACCGTCTTGAAATTGCTGTTTGGCGAGTCTGGGGTAGCAAATTCACGAGAAGGCATTGCCATGGAGCACCAAGCCTCTGCAATCTCCAGAATGAACCATTTCTGACTAAAACTAAGCTGTTGTGTTGTGTGGTCATGGAGGTTTATGAGAGCGTGGATCAAAGTTCAGTGTTCAATTTGCTGCCTTAACTTTACAAAATCAACCCCGGAATAGGAAATCTACAGGCAAACAATTGAACCCAACTAACTATTTCAAATTTGCAACCCAGTTTTCCAGAACTCAAATGTAAGTAATTTTGACTTAGTTCGTGCCTGTCAATGACTCAGAGGCCAATGCTGTCCCATTCTGAACCATATTCTGGAAGATAACGTTGGTTGTATTCGGATAAACTGGAATCTAAGCAGCAGTGGTCCGGAGATCGCGGCATAAAGTATCTGGAATACAGGGCATTTAGAGGCTTTTAGGCCCTCTAGCGTAAATATCAAGGCAGTAAACTCGCTATAAGACCCTATATTTCCAGGCCCTTCCTCTAATAGTAGCATTTACGCCTTCAACAAGGGTTACCACACCTTTTCAGGGCTTCTCCCTTGTACTTACAAGGGAGTCTTCGCTAAAGAGGCCTATAATAGTTGCTTGTTTAGTATCCGAGCACTATAGTTGCTTTACTAATAGCGCTATAACCCTAGAAGATTTACTTATCCCATGCGAATGTCTTATAGCGCCTTTTTATATAAGTTTAGGGAGCACCACCTAGAGTTATAGGGGCTTATAGCGAGCTTCTGCCCTAAATTCACACCCTGTAGAGCGCCGAGGGTCAAAGTGCCCTGTATTCCCGATACTTTACGCCGTTGTCTTCGTACAAATTCTCAGCCTCCCTCGATTCGGATTTACTACCCAACCTCCTCTCTTCGACTACTTCTATGATCCTCTCCCAACGTCAACTCTTCAACCCTCTTCATCACGTCATCTAACGTCCAACATATAATTAATTTCTCAATCTCCTCAGCTTTTCAAGTTTGCCAGTCCCCTTTGAAACCTTGCTCTCTAAGTCTTCCTCCTCCTGTCAACATCAACTCATCAACTTCATTCCATTCATAACAACAAATTGCCGTCACAAATATTGTCATCGAAATATTCCTAAAACTATTGGCACTTGTGGAAATACATGTGAAACAGTATCCTGAGGACGCAAGCATGATAGAGAAGGAGGCCGGGGAGTAAAAAGGGGGGATCCAGCTGGAGTACGACTCATTTGAGGGATTATAAGTCGATAATTGGGAGATGAAGCAGTAGAACGAACAATTAGGGGCCGACCCATGGAGCCGCGGAGTAAGAGCGGGACTTGATAGATTAGGTGGACCATTTGGATTTGGAGCAAGTTCGTTGAGATATTACAAGCATTCAAAGGTCATTTTCAATGTTCCGAAGTCCTTACCATCGTATAAGAGCGATGGTCCTCCTGCCTTTTGAATCTTTTCCCGAGATATGGGACTTTTATATCTTCTAGACGTGTAATGCTTTCACATATTCATTTAAAATATCTCTCTTAAATATAGTGTTTCCAATCTCCCTGTGACTAGTCTCTCCTTACTGTTGGCGGAATTTCCTTATTGTATTCCAAGTCATGTTTCAACCAAATGTTGCCACTAACAATAGGGGCCCGGCAATGCGCCATAGTACCTCTGAATTAAGCGACGCCCCCTATTCCGCCTCGCAAAATTTTGCAATCTTATGAAAACTTCGCAAAACTTCCCCAAATTGTTACGCATCCAATTAGAGTGTGGTACAGAATCTAACTTCGCAAAATTTTGCAGGAAAGTCTTCAGCTTTGCAATGCACAATCGCAGCTTGGAGATATAAGAACTGAAGATTTCTCCGTGCTCTCTCCTTCATGAAAAAACTCCAATACCCGAATACAATCCAATTTCATAACCGGAATAATTTGCCTATCAGGAGCTTTGTCCTATTTTTGACTCAAACATGATTTATTCAGTCCCACCTAGTATTTTCGATCAAGGAAATGATGAAATGGGTTCGGCCGGGAAAGGAAGCGACCCCCAACCAGTCGATCCAGGTAATACACTGCCTTCCCTGCAGGTCTCATTCTAATTGCTCTCAGGAGTTGGCAACTAAGATTACAATTATGATGGTGCTTCTGGACTGGGGTGTTCTGAGAGTTAGTGTAAACTCCAACATGCCGCGAAGGACGTGAAATATCTGACAGAAATACTCCGTTTCCAGACCGCGGGTTACACATGTCTGTACTTCCCCCAGATCTGATGTCTTGGGTTAGAAGCACGGATATAAAAAGCGTGGAGAAAGGAAAGGGAAGGAAATCTGGGGTTGAAATCTATGCAGAAATGGGTAGCATATTTCACTAGCAATTTACCTTGTCCTGAGAAACTCGTTTCCAGAATCCTTGTCCCTCCATGATGCCATTGCTTCTGGCCTCTCGTTCTCTGTCTGTAAACCATTTAACAATAGTTCACCACCCATATTGTGATCGAAGGTAAGCTGTTCAGATGGAGAAAGGATTTCCAAGGTCGCAATCTGGTCCACTTCGGGCCCAGGTGAGGCCGGACGTCCCAGGGAATTTGCGGCCTCATATCCCCAAAATTCGTCAAGTGAACCTTCAGCAAAATCAACGTTAAGGCTTAATGGCGGCCAACCGCGATGATCAAAAGCTGATTCTGGCATTGGTGAAGTGAGGGGTTCTGATGTAGGATTTAAGTAGTCGGCGATCAGTGCATTCATACTGGGCTCCGAGGCGGCCCCCGATGATTTATTTGAATCCATGCGTTGAAAATCTCCAGAAAAGTCTTCAACGAAAGGATTGCTTCGGAATCTAGACTCTCCGGACTTTGCGGATTGAAGAGGTTGCTGTTGATCATCTTCACCAATCGAGAATATATGGTCGGAATTTGAGGATTGAGGCTGACCAACGTTCGGAGGATCAGCTCCTTCTTCTTGGTTCGTGCCAGAGCGTTGAAGCTGGATCGATCCGCGAGAAGTAATCTCTTCTTCCCAGAGTTGTCGGAAATGGTGCACATAGCGTTCGTGAATTCGTTGTTCTGATGGCAAGAGCCCCTTGCTGATATCATCATTAATTCGACTCTTGAGCTTCGAGAGATATTCTTCAACATTGGTTGCTTGACACGCTACATACACCGGCGGTGGCTCTCTCCCTAAAGATCATTAGATGTCCTCGGAATAATCTTTGAATTCCCTGTGCTTACATGGGTTCGAAGGTGGCTTTACACCTGGGAATAGGATTTGCCAAATAGCGTACCATCTTGAAGTATCATTGATGCGCCTCCGACCTTGAGCAGAGAGCACAAGTTTTATCTCATGCCACTGACCATCATTGATTCCCTCCTTGAGATGAAGTGACCCTTTAAGACATGCGACAGGTTCTTGGTAGTGATCTTGAAGCTCGTTGTGGTTTGGGAATAAACGGTAGCAACGATTGCATTGTGGTGGCCTATGAACGGTTTCGAAGTGGCGTCTAGATAATGTGAGCCTTTTGACAGATTAGAGAGTATTCAAAGGCCTTACTTGATGCGACGTAACTTTTCCATACGACAACTAGAGCACATTGCATATTTCTTGTTCCAGGGTCCGTAATTAATGTGATCTCGCTTGTGAAAATGGCATGCAAAGTCAGGGGGTTCGCTTGGAACGTCAGCATGAACTGGGTCGTCTCCTGGATCACCAGGGTCCCTGTCAAGGTCGGCAGAGGGACAGCTCTCGTTTATATCACTAGCACCCTCCTTCTGGTCATCGGCCCCATTCTCATCGGCACTGCCATTTCCGTTTAAATCTGAATTCCTATCAGGTTCTCGTCTGGGTCTTTTGTTGGAATTGCTGCCATCCCTGCGTTCATTCGAATCCTCAGAGGCACGCCCATGCTTTTGTGGCGAGGAGCCGGAAGATGCATTTTGATTAGAAGGCGCGGATGGAGAGCCTCCCGAAGCTCTTTGCTTACCCTTGGAGCCCCCACCTCCCTGATGACTTGTGTAGTCTTGATCGATGGGCTCTGAGAAATTGGGAATCCCGGCATCAAGATCAGAATCCAGGAGATCGTGAATTTTAGGAATCAGACGGGCAGCAAGATCCAGGTCTCCTCCTAGAACCGAAACCAACCGGATGTCCAGCATCTGAATTACATCATTGATTTCCTCGTCATCGGATCCTGAGTTATCTGACTCTGCAGCCCAACTATCTAAGTCGGTGGCATTGTCACTCGATTCTTCACGCAGGCTGAAAGGGCCAGTAGAGTAACTCGACTGAATTGGTGAGCTGGGTCCGGAAGGAGGGTCAAGAGAAATTGCAGCGAAAGCACTCAAGACACCCTCAGGTTGACTCGGCTGCTCCACTTGAGCAGGAACACTCAGAAACCAGGAGTTAGTATTTTCGATATAGGGAGGGACATTTTCCAGATACTTACGGCACCATTGACAAAGGGCCATGACGAACATCTTCTGTAGCAGGAAAAATAGGCGCCAAATACCCCACTACCTCTCGGTGACGAGTCTTAACATTTTCCATAGGACAATGATCACAGCGGATGTGATCGCAGCCAGGACAAGCCACAACAATTGACGTTGACATTCCAGCGTGGGTTGCGCAATTGCAACAAGCCCAGAACCACTCCAAACCGTGTTTGTCTTTTTTCCCCTCCGGCATAGCAGCGGTGATTGTATTTCCAGGTTTGGGGATGGGGGTCCCGGGTCAACAAACTGACAGGCCTAGAAAATCTCGTCGAAGGAAACAGAAGACAATGGTAGACGGTCTACCTCGGTACCGTATACCTCAGACAGCTGAAGTTGCTGACCAGAGATAGTAGATGGTTGTTGAAAGTCGTGGGCGCGGTTGCATTGTACGAGCTAACTCGTAGGTAAATGTTTGGTATTCCAAGAAAGAAGTGCCCCCTGACATGCAGAAAATATTGAGGAGAAGTGTGAAAATTGTCAGAGTACGAAATCGGACCCATCGCTCTATTCACGCGATGTTTGACCTTAGAGCTCACCAGAGGCAGTTTGCAATGGATCGGAGAATATTTCTTGCAGACAGAATGCTTGAGGAGACCCCAGTCGAGCTCGCGAAGTTTTGCGAAGTGATGCGGTCCATCATCCGCAGGAGCAGGATCTAAGCGAACAAATAGGAGGCAGCACAATAGGAAAAGCGGGTATCAGGTGAAGACATCATGTGACGAACACATCAACAAATGGACCGGAGTCCCGGACCAGGGGCAGGATCACATCCGTAAGTTATATTTTGGTTGTCCGAGATTCTTCAATGTCTCAAGATTGAAACTAAACGTCGAAACAGTGAAAACTGTACTCTCTTATCGGGAAAAAGTAAAACGACACCTCCCGGGTATCAATTAGGCGTATTAATAGATTTTAAAGTTTTAATAATGCCTAATTAGTTGTTTGTACTTGCTTAAGCCTTTCTCTCAAATCAGATTTCCTAATATAAGTATAAGGAAGTTTATATATAACAGTCCTAGTTTCTGGGTGTAGGATAGGCGAGGCAATTATTATATGAGGCAAATAAGTTCCAGGTACTTAATCGCTAAATTTTCAGGCTCTCTTAAGGAATTAAGTTGTATACGAAGATATTCCTTCCTCTTGTCCCGCCCAGAAGTCTGTTTATTAAGGCCACGACTTCCCACTCCAATAATCCTTTTACGGGACGGCAAAGGCGGACAGAATTGATCAGACTACTGGAAATTATAGGGGCCTGGACAGTTTCCAACCAATTGGTCTCGGTGAGAGTTATTGTTCGGACTGAACTATGCAGATTTGTACATCAGATCAAGCTGCTCGTCCATAATTCTTGCGGGGCATAATATATACAAACAGCCATGAGGTAGGAACAATCTCGGGAGGTCTGCCCGTGAACTTGCATCGGTAGTGTGGGGCGACTCTGAGGTAATTTGCCGAGAAAGCCCCCCCCCAAAAATCATGACTTTTCCATCGACTCATGTTAAGGAGTTGGTGACTGTAGCAACTGAGGTTTGAAAGTTATGATGTCTATTAAAACGTTGAATTAGTTAGTGCTTATGCAATGAAACCTATTCGATGTGCTGGCGAGGAGAACCTAGGTGCCAGAGGATGTAGCGATATTTCAATCTCGAGATTGGGGGTGAAAACAACACGGGAAACCAGAGGGCTTCTTTGAGTAAAGGAATTACAATCGTTCTCCTATTCTTCTTTCCAATATGCTATAATGAGAATTTTTTTTACAACAGGCTAGCTTCAAACGGGGACAAAATCTCTATTGCAGGTCTTTGAGCCACTCATGCATGCGTCAGGGATTGCTGGGCCAATGATGGTCCACTGCAACATCTCTTAAATGAATGGAGGCGCAAAAAATGGATACGTGGGTTGTCATCTTGACATGAAGTTGCTGAGAGGTCTTCAAAGTTCAAATAGGGGCAAGAGCGAGTCCCCATTGGGATTCTCCAGTCTCCTTACAGCCCTCGAATTAAACTAAATCGGCTTCTTCCTTTATCCTTCATCTATTAAAGACTAAGTTAGTACCATTTTTACTACTATATTACTTTTCATTGCACGTTAATTAGCATTCCTTTCTTTGATTCTCTTCCTAACAGCCGCGCTCTCCTCCTCACCTAGCCCCAGCACCTTCCTCATCACAGCATCTATACCATCGGGGAACTCCTCCATACCCTCTGCTGGCGTGAATTCGATGATGCTCATATCTACCCCCATAGCAATAATCGCAGTGCAACCACTCTTCAGCTGCTCCATCTCATACGCTCCCCTCAAAAACATCAAAAATGCATTCTCAGCTGTCTTCATCTCCGGAGTGTCCGCATACTGCCCAGCTTTAGGCATGCTTAATCCCCCTTCACTATTTGCGTCAAACGGCGGAACAACAACCATCTTCATTGCGACAACACCGACATCGCCGTCTTCCCTTTGGCCAACGACCATATAAACCTGAGTATCGGACGTAGGAATAATCGCGTCACCAGGCCGCACATCTTGGATCTTTTTGTTGTCGAGAGGGATTGGCACGGGACAAAGACCGAGGGTTTCGATTATGTGGGGAGGTGGGTAATTGACCTCTAGCCAATGTCGAGCTGCTTCGAAGGCGCCGAGTCGTACTACCGCCTTGAATCTCTCGGGGTGGTCCCGGCCGACGTTCGCCATGTGCGCTTTTACGGCCTCGAAGGCAGCCTCTGACTCGAACGGGTTGGGGTTGATGAATTCTCGGGGGCCTTGCGCTGGGCTTTGAGTTTTCGTAACATCCTTCTTTTCTTTAGGACGGGGCCTGCAAAGCAGGCAGCGGAAGGGGTTGGTCATGGTGGTTGCGGAGAAGTGGAGTTTTCCTTGAGCTGCTGAGGAGAGAGGTGGTGACCTCCTCTACTTTTATATATCTTCTAATTGTAAATGATGGTGGTTTGCAAGAGAGTTTCGTGTTGTGATGATGCCAAGGTAGGCTGAGTCACTTGGTGACCTTGTAGAGATGCTGTGCCGCATGTCCAGATTGAATGTGTCAATATTTTTAATTTTGAAGTGGATGACTCGTATTTGCGACTGGAAATCCTTGGTGGTAAGAAGGTAGGAAACCGGATCAAAAGTCGTGATACATGCTCATACCATACCATGTGGAGGGTTGGATACGAGGCCATTGTGCTATAAATTAGGCGGCGAAGCCATATAACTCGCTAGAAAAAGGGGTAAAGCTCTAGTGGCATTAGGGACCACTGCCCCGTTGACTTCCCCCTTAAAAGGAGAAGAATGAAGATGAAAGAATCGGTTATAATGAGAAAATTTAAGGTATTATTAAGCTAGTGAGCGCAATTTCTTCGATGAGAATTCCTATCACCCTAAGCAACTTGCTTTCCAGGGTACAACCACCCTCATGCAATAAAGGTTCTCCGTTCAGAGTCCCAGGGAAGCTCTCAGCGGCGGTAAGGACCCGTGAGTGGATCGCACACATTTCATAAATTGTATAAACCCTTGACTCCTCATTGAGTCGTCGTGTCATGATATCGCCATGACAGACCATTTGCAACTTGGTGGAATAACCCCACAAACAAGGCCCCAGACGCCTCAAACGGATATTATACCCAAGTACAAAAACACACCTATGAGGGAGAAGTCCTCTCAAAGGCCGTGGAAGGAAGCAAAGCTGCCGGACTCAGCGTCTCCGAAGCACGAAACCGCCCCATCGAACCAGCCATCCATCCCTTCCCATCCATCCCATCCTTCATCATCGTATCCGCGGGACTAACATCACCGCCACCCCTCGAAGCCTCCTCAGTCGAGATGAGAGATTCAAAGTGCATCGAATCCGAGTCGCGAGGGATTCTGTGCACGTTTTGGAGATGGTCTCTGACTTTGTCTTTGCGGCGGAATTGCCGTTTGCAGATGAAGCAGGTGTGTGGTGTGGATTGGCGGTGCACGCTATGTACGTGGCGGAGCATGTCGCCTTTGCGTTGGAAAGTTACGTTGCACGTGCTTATCTCGCATTTTAATCTCCTATAAGTGTGTCTCAGAATGTAAAGTTAAGAGTTGGAAAGAGAGACTTGAAATCCTACCCTGTGCTTGGTTCCGTGGTTTTGTGTCGCACAAAAGAAGGGCGATCGGTTGATGGCGAGCTTGTGAAGGCCCCATTGTCGCCGCCATCGGAGTATGACATCGAAACCCACGAGTCAGACCTGATTATTGATGAGGATGTTGTTGGTGGGGGCGGGGATAACGAGACCAGTGCAGCATCTGATATAGGAGAAAGGAGAGTGGAATCATCCGAGGGTTGAATATCTGTAGCTTCCCAAGTATGGCCCGGGTGTTGACCAAATCCTAGAAATTCATCTTCGACTTCGAAGAGCATTTCCTGATCCTCAAAAATGGGGCTTCCCGACTCCGGGTTATTCATATTATGCCATGTTGACATGTCTGTGAAGTCCATAGAATCCCAAGCGCTGCTACTTTCAGCACCTTCTTGTGGCTGGATATGCGATGATAGTGAAGCCCCTTCACCTGAAAGCTCGTGAGCTCGACGACAATGCTCCAGCAAACCTTTCGCCGTTTTAAACACCGTTACCCCAAGTCCATCAGGAGAAAGAACTTGATAATAGCAATCAGGGACCAAGCATTGATGCCACGAGCCGCAATTAAAGACATTGTCTTCCAGCGTCTCCCCGCGCAAATACAGCTCCGCGGTATCGTCTTCATGCCAGAGGTTTGTTTTCCGCGGATTATATTCGCATGACTGGATATTCCTCCGAGGCAGTGGATTTCCATTCTGTGCCCCGTTTGATTCAAGATTCCACTCCTCGAATACCGCCTTTATTATTACACCGATGGGCTGGGCATTCCGGGGACGTCGACGGCGCTCATTTACAGAGTGCGGTCCGTAGTGTCCATAATTCTTTATATGCTCTTTCACCTGATCCACCCTAGCGAAGCATTTCTTCCGTCTGCCTGTACTCGCATATTTGCAGCCGTCTACGGTGCAGTGGTAGTACTTTGTGGGGCGATTTGTATCTCCGTGCTCGGTGTGGGTATGCCGATCGAGGGCCTGTCGTTGAGCAAAGCGCTTGTCGCAACCTTCTGCTAGGCATTCACATGGCAGATTATGGGTGTTCCTATGCTTGCTATACTTTGTGAGCTGAACATTTCACGCCTATCGCGATGGAGGACTGACTTAAGCTTGGAGAGACTGGGGAAAGTCCGGGCCTTGCAGTCAGGACATGATAAATTCTGTCCTAATTGACGGTCATTTGGCTCGTCAGATGCCTCTCCATCAGAGATCTCATCTATGCTGTCATTACGCATGGTGCGCAAGGGCACAGCACCCGGTTGGGCTTGTTGAGCTTCCCGTATGTTTTTTTTGGAAGTTGTCAGTATTGAATTGCGGCTCCTCCCGCGAACGGACGAACTACTTGCGGGTCTTGGGCGGGGCTGGGAAGATCTGTGGCGGTGTTTATGTGGCTTGACTGTGGGACAAAGCAGGCATTTCTGCCCCTCTTTTAAATCAGAATGTATGGCAGTGGGCTGTTTTTGGACACTCTTGAGATGGTGTTTATTCGTAAGGTAAGTATTGATAGATTTGTCATTCGATTTCTCATAAATATCGTGTACAGTTGAAAAGCATGAGTGGAAAGATTCCGACAACCCTTATGCTGGTGCAGGACACGACGCCGCATGTTGTATGCCAACTCCGTTAGATCCTTAAGCACCGAGGAGCCAAAACACCGGACGCCAGACTAGGCCCATATTATAATGTAACATATCCCAAACCTCAACCCGCCGTAGCGCCTCCCAAATTGCCCAAAAAGGTGGCCAAAACAGCACAATAAGTGGCAGTACCAATAAATATTTCCTGAAATGACACCTCGACAACCACAGATATAATTATAGAGAAGGCCAAAACGAACACTAGGACAACGGCTAACATACAGGCTTTGCTCATTGAGGTCAAGAGGAAAAGAATCACCGGGATGAAGAGGACTGAGACGGCGAAGAACACAGCGACAAGGCGAGCGACGGCGTTGATGCGGGATTGAGAGAAGAATTCCACCGAATCATCTTTTGTTTCATGCACGCGACTGGCTGATTTGAAGAAGCTCTGGTAGGGTCAGGATGTTAGTATTGTGTTGAGATTGAAACGGATGAAGCTGTCAACGATAAGAGTTACGAACCTTCACAGGAGAGTTTGAGAAATTATGAAGATAACGTCGAATGGAATTTTCAAATTGGTTCGTCCGGGGAGATACCATAGATACGAAGTCTCCTGGATGGAAGATCCAGTTGTATTCACCCATGTCGAGTGGTTGGTTCTGCCAGATCCACTTGAAAACACTGTGGTGGTCACCGTTTGGCGTTGCATCCAGGGATTTTAGGCGATGGTGGTTCAAGAGCAGAGCGTCTAGGGAACATAACATGTCAGTCAAGCGTTTGACGGGCCTCATCTTAGATGATATCAAAAAAGAAGTCAATGGAGCGTACCGTATGCAAGAAGCTCTTTTTCTAGCTTCTCCTCGAGATCTCTTTTCGTAGTATCGAATCCTTCCTCGTGATACCGGGTCTTCAACCGAAATTGCGTGTCAGGCCCACCTTCGTCATCGTTCTTATCCAGCTTTTGGAGCTGCGTCTCAAGATCTGTAATGTTACATTCATGAGTAACAAGTAATCGCGAATGAGCATGGCCAAATCTTCGGTATATCGAAAACGAATCGCAGCTTTCTAGAAATGCTGCAACCCTTGGCCACCCATTGGGATATTTATCATCTATGGAACTTGTATCAGCACCATGGCAGCTGAGGCTGAGAACCAAGGATCGGAAAACTTACAGCATTCGAACTGGAACTGATCATAGCCTGGCTGTAAATCGGCCGGAGGGGGTCCTCGTAGCTTTTCCGAACTTGGCCTAAGAAATGACAGACGAGGCAACTCATTGAGGCACCTTGTTGTCCAGGCTGTTGTGCAAGACCCTGGTGCTGATATAGTTGATATATCTATATGTATTAGAATAAGATTTATATAAATATGAATAATTGTGACACTTACCTTGACGAGGCAATGGTCTCCTTGGATCATCCACGAAATCTTCATGAGAAGGAAAGCCTACCAGTGTGCTATCGGAACTACGCAGTGAAGAACGGAACGAGAATGTCTTCTTGGGTTCCTGGGGCGGCCTAGCCACGGAAGGGTCTTCGAGGCCAATCTGAAATCCTTGCTCGGCCTTATCGTAGGGATCAACACAAGATCCATCCGAGGACGAATGATTCAGTCTCAGAGTTGGTGCAGAGGCTTGCGACATCGGGAGATTGACATGATTGCATTATGAGTGGCAAAAGAGTGGCGAAAGCAAGGCATATATAAGATCTCTGCTCCTCACAGCTCACCGACTAAAGAATCTTTTTGAGGCGTTCAGTCAGCTCCCCTTCCCTCCCTCAGCCTGCTTAGGCTTCCAGGCTTCATTGTCTCAATATCGATGTGGAGGACTCAAGGCAGACTGCAATCATATGCGTAAGACGGTGACGTTGCATGCACAGCCCTCAGTAATGCCCCGCTTGAATGCGGTTACCAAGCCAAGTCATGCAGCAAGCACACCTCATGTATAAGTGCAGACACAGCTAAAGAAGCCGCCAATTCCAATGTAGTGGTTTTGATGGTAGTGGGTCACGTGCCTCAAACCAATCACCACTCGGTGTTTTGATTTTCAGCCTCTTCTATGCTTGGTCATGGCATTCCAGGCGCAATATGAGAATTGATAGCCCGATACGAAGCCCCCATGTCGAACGTGTGGGTCATGCTTCCTCTGAGTGGTCCATCCCAGATATCCATCCTCAAAATCCATCCCTAGTTTTAGCTCGGCAGGGGCCAATGTGGCGCAGAGTGGGAAAGATTACTGGCGAGAAACCTGATTTGGAAATTCGCCCTCGCCCTCCACGTGACAGCGGATGGGACTCCCAATGGGTCGCTTCTTCAGAATGCGAATATGATAGAGAGCAGCCCTCCGTGTATTGAGCGTGCTGTGCTTGGCATTTTCCTGATAGGGTGTAAAAGAAGGAATCCCGGTGGCTCGTGCGCGATGACTTTAACGCAACATAGCGAGCCTGGGGCGACGCGTATCATCAGCTACCTAGCCAAAAACAAGGCTGGAAGCTGGGGAGAGATGGGAGACACTTTGAACTGTTGGAAGATTCCAAGATCACAGGCTTGTTAGCCCTGATATACTTAGCACGATGTGATCTGTACACCAGTGGCTTGCCATTTCAACATGGCACTGCCATAACCGAACCTCAAAAGAAAACCCCCAACATCCGAGCAGTTTTGGAGTCAACCGAAGGATGAGCTTGCCGGAGAACCAGAGGACGACCGCAGGAGATTGCTATCGATAAATGGAGAGCGACAGCCGGAAAAGATCGTCTTATGCGAGAATCAAAAGCTGATGGGATAGACCTTTTCCAAAGCTGCTGCTTCTGAGTATCAATTTCCCGCAGCATCAGTCGAGACTGCTGCATTCCGAGTAGCATCATGTCAGAAAACAGGGCAGGACCAAGGACACCAGAACCAGCTCAGCACAATCCCCAGGATCACCAATCACTTGATTTTCCCGTCATGCTCGGAACTAGAGCAAGGATGCCCCAAACACATTCAAACGTCCAATACCTGTTACGCTTGTTACAGAAGAACATCGCTCTCCGTCATGGACGAAACGACGTTGGAAAACGAACCGGACTACAATATTTGGGCGTCACAGAGTTGCGATGATGGTCTTCAAGCCAACTCTGCGTAAAAACAGGACCTCGCATAGTGAAGTAGTTGGTGAGTAGGAAGACACCGACAAGGACGGAAATTTGAATGAATGCTGACAACGAAAGGGGGGGAACTCAAGCGCTCTATCTGCTTTGCCTCCTGGCACTCGCTGCCCGTCCACGGCGAACTCGTGAGCGCGTATGATGCATCGCTTCGCCGACATCGACAACCCTCGTGACCTCCTCGACGATACCAGTGCAAACGATATCTATCTGGGGAATAACAGGATGAGCATCATGGCGCAGAATATCCAGCCGGACCTGGCTCTCACGGGCGAGCTAGGAGGAAACACGGAAACAACTTCTCGGATTTTGGACATCGTGACTGGCGTGTCCAATCAAAAACCGTCTCGACGAAGGTGATGGACCGGATCAGATCCTCCGTACGAGCTTTCAACCTTCCTCGTCTGACAAAGGGATCTGCTGAAGCAACCACGTCACTCCACTGTCAAGAGCCCCGAGGAAGGATTTCTGGAAGCGGCCTTTTCGTGGGCTGGGTCTCTGAATCTTGTTAGCCATAGCTTCTCAGTCACACTTCTCAACCCACCCTTCACAGGAGAAGGAGATCAAATCGGTTCATCGCTCCTTCGGGCAGCCTCGCCGCGGCTCCATCAACTCCGTGACAACTGGGCTAAGTTTTTGGTTGAGTGGCGACTTGTCGCTTCTGGCCGACTCTCCAAATGGAGTTCACAGCCTGTTCTGGCCGACGAAAGGAGTTCACAGCCTGGTCGCCACAATTTGGAGATGCCCCCAGATCATCGGTTGTTTGCCATCACCGTTCTCCTACCGGTCTCTCCGGATGGCCTGGAGTCACCACCGCCCACAGAGATTTCTATGAAACCCGACAATGGCAAAGGAAGATGGCGTGATGATGTCGACCCAGGACATTCACCCAGCGCTCACATGGGGAGTTGCTTGGCGTGGAAATGTCGGTCAAATACATCCCAGGCCATAGAATCGGCTGGAGTGTTCGCCAACTTTCGCTGGTTTCGAACCATGGAAGAGGATGTTGGAGGTGAAACACATGACATCGTGGGGGCGAGGGCCGGAAAAGGAGTGGCGAACTTCGGATGACACCCACCTAACCGAGCCAACACTCTGCTCACTGCACACAATGGGTCCGCTTCATTGTCGTGAAAGCCTCAGATCAACCATTTCGCCTAGCCTCCGGTTCGGCTTTTGACATCACTACCTTCGATTTCTCCGCTCGCCGGCTCGCCCCCTTAACATTTGGGCCACGCACCGCCCACGTGAAATAGATGCAGTACGCCCTTTCTGTTGGCACGCCATGGCAGTCAGCCACTCGATCAGCGATCAGCAGTCCATGGACCCGATTTTCTGGCCCTCATTAGATAATCCTCTTCTTTGATGTGTTTCACCGGTTCTCGAATTGGCGGAGGCGAGATGGCGAAGAGATTTTTTTATAGTGACATCGCCGTGGCGATTGTCCAAGCTTGGAAAATCTACAAAATGACCCACTCCTCTCAGCCATCTAGAGTACCATTTCTTCTGGCAAGAAGTGCATCTACAGCAGCAACAAGCATCAGAAATCGAGAACATGTCCTACACTCGTGGAAACTCTCATGCAAACTCTTTTGGAGGCAGCGGGGCCTATGGGGTCTACAGGGATGCTACCGTGAGCACTGTTACGCCGCCACCCACTGGTGATCTTTGCTGAACCCTATCTAGACGGCCCCGTCGGGTTTGAATTCTGCGAATGGATCTCTGGGTTTTGTTGGCACGCCTGTAGGGGAACTCCCCTAGTCCGAGTTGAACATTTCTGATGGCCCTTCAGGACGCTTCATCCAACCCGTATCGGGGCTCTGATCCACAAGGCACATCTGGCTATGTTCGAGATGGTCGTATGGCGCCAGTATGTACCCCAAGGTGCTTCAAGCATCTCAGTTCCATCTCGTTGCTAATCTGTCACAGCAAACCTTCTCGCGACCCTCTTACGCGAAGTGGCAAACCGCTCAACCGTAACACAACTTCTCAATGTCCGTTCTTCGATCTCGAACTTAGCCACCATCCTTTCTCGTTGATCCTACCCTCGAATCGACGCATGGTGGTGGTGGAGGGCATAAGTGGTGTCATCGGTGTTGTTCGGGGCGTTTAGACTTGTAGAAGGCGTGAGTGACATATGGGTGGCTGTTTGCTTCATAAATTGATCTTGAATTCGCTCCAACACTCCTTTCTCTCCACATTCGCTATTGTGCTATCGAAAACAACGATTTGTAAATGGCCAACCCCAACTTTCCTCGTTCAAAAGAAACTGGTCGTCGGTTTAGACGTTCGGTTCCTGCATCCACGCCTCTTGACGTTGCTGGGCCCACCAATATGAAGCCCCCCACATGCAAGCCTCCCAACTTCTCAACGCTGTGTGGGTAAGAGTCACCACCAATTCACTGTAACTCGCCAATGATTATCATGCTGCAGGGTGCCCCTGAGTAAGACGACACCCCTTGAAGAGGACTCCGCAGTTAGGCAGAAGGAAAACGGAACGGCCCCTGAGGATATCTCAGGCTAAAATATAAACCGAACCTCCAGGCATCCGCCATCCAAAAGAACAACCCTTGCAGCTGTTATCGAAGGTCGAAACTCATTACCCCGCCAAAAATCCCTTAAGGCACATACCCCTCCCCCCCCGGCGCATCGCAGGTATGACTCCGTAAGAGCCAGATTGTCTGATTTCGAAATATTAGTAGAAAACCTTCCTCTTTCAACCAACATCTTCTCCATTCATCAACCAGTGCTCCATTAATCAGCCAGTGTTGCCATTATGGCCCCTCTGCATGTAACCTGGTGCGCAGGGGGAAACCTTGAGTCCTCAAGCGAGTTGCGTAACTACCTCGCCTCGACACGTTTCCCATCAGCACCGACTGGTGAGCAGTCAAACTCGTTTAGCGACAGCCTCCGCCCGCCCCCTATTCACACGACAGCAGAGGTTTATAATAGCAGGTCGCTGGACTGCTACCCATCCCTTTTAATAGACTAAGAATTTAATATAGCACGAAGGTTGCCTGTAGTGAGGCTGTTAATAAGATGGCTCAAATGCACAGGAGGGAGGGAATGGTTAATCGATAGGGAAGGTTTTTGATGCTGAGTCACGAGACTACTACGAGGGTGCCTAGTTTTCAGCATGCTCATTCCTGAAAATCCGGGCACCATCCACCAAGTTTCAGCGCCTAACTCGCTAAAATATAGCATACCTAGGAACCAAAAATCGACGAAAATGCGGTAAAATAGAGCCTATGTGGACAAAGCTTCACAAAAAGAAAAAGCTTGATGTCTTCACGGCGTCTTTAGTCATCCCATTATGAATAAATTCGTTGTATCGTAGGACATATATTAATGGCATATCTTGTGTAATCAAATGATGCTGCCGCCAAATTCTGAGTTCTCCTGCACGAGCAGGAGCACCTGCTCGGTGAGCGCTCGAGTCACCTAGGACTGAAAAAGGTTGTAAGTTTACTAGCCAAATAGAAAGCATAAGAGAAAACGTGATGAGTGATAATGATATTGTTCAAAAGTCGCCTGCAATCATCTTCATTACAAGTTCGGAGTCCGGCTCCGTGCGGGCCTCCGATCTCGAATCCGCCTCTCTAGCGAGCACTACAATGGGGCTAGGTTATTAAGGTCAGGGGCCAAATTGTGACTTAGCGCCAGGACCAGCTATACACCATTAAAGACTTTTATCATGTCGAAATCGTTCATGCAGATCAACAGTTTTCAACACTTCTCGACCAAATCCACCTCCCCTACCGAAACCGCGAGACACCGAATACGAATCTAGTTCCGAAGCACTTCTATCTTTCAGACTGAAATCCCATGACAACATCTTCATAGTCGAATGACAGAATATAGACATAACCCTACCCGCACCCAAGAAGACGTCTTCCAATGTACAGCTTTCATCACCGCCTCATTTCCCAAAAGCGAAACCACCTTTCCCGTCTCCACGAAACAATGGCACCCCTCCAAATCGCCATAATCGGCGAAGGTATCGGCGGCCCAGCAACAGCCATCGCTCTCGCCAAAAACGGGCACCAAGTCCCCATCCACGAGCGTTCTACCTCGGCCAGCGAAGTAGGGTACGCCTTCTGGATCGCGGCGGAATCTAATTAATGCTTGAAGTATCTTGGAATCAACACAATTTCTCAGGGGGCTGTCTCTTCGAACAATGTCCCGACGGTGGACCCAGACGGCAAAACGACACGTTTGTTTGATGGGAATAAAGATGGAGAGAGAAGGGGAAATGAGACGTCGGTTTTTGCGTTTCGAGCGCAGTTGGATAGGCTGTTTATGGACGCTGCGGTTGAAAGCGGAGTGAAACTTAGGACTAGGGTGGAAGTCAAGGAGGTGGATGTGGAGAACACCCCTTCGGTTCTGGAGGGTGGTGAGAGGATTTCTGCTGATCTTATAATCGGTCCTGATGGTGTGCATTTTGTAGTTCGGCTAAGCGTTATTGCCAGCACGAGATTCTTTCCATATTAAGTCACAGGACACAATTGCTTTCGGTTCATGGTGTCGAAGTCGACATTGCAAAGGAGGAGGCCATAGCAACGCTCGTTGTCGGGGATTGCCACATGTTCGGTTGGAAGGGAAACGACAAAATGACAAGCGGATTCTGGTGCATCCTATGACTCTTGACATGTAGTTCAATGTCACCCGTACCTACCCCAGGGAACCGTCCGACCAGGAGGTCACAGACGATAATTCTGCTGCAGTCGGTAAGTCATTCTTATCTGGAAAACTCTTCAACCTTTCGGGCTTGCCCTAGTATACGATCAGAAAGCGTCTTTGGAAACCGTTTCAAAGGTCGACAGCGAGTTTGAACCCAGAGCACGGCGACGGACGACTTCTCGATCTTGCTGATTCTGATGGCTTCCGGATCTGGAAGTTGATGGAAATGGTCCATATTTCCCACGTGGAGTCAAGACCACACCTCTCTTCCCCGAAGACGCTTGTCAAGCGTTCTGTCTCTCTGTATTCTCAGAAGCCTCAATGTCCATTGAGATTGTACTCACTCTCGCAACTCTCCTCTCAATTGATGTTTCAGCTGATGAGGTACTAAATCGCCTGAAATAATATGAAGAGATTCGAAAGTCAAGGGCAGGAAGAGTAAGGGATCCTGCGCGGGCCATTGCTAAATGGTTGGAGGATCGACAACTGCTGGAGGTGTATCACGGCTGAAAGAGCATGATACCGTGGGATATGGAAAGGAAGATCCGTCGAAATACTTAGCGTCAAAGAAGTGAAGATTTGATACAGACTGTGGCACTTCGAACCACAATGTTGGTGCTATTACACCACAGCCTCTGCTAGAAATATTTTGTGCGACAAAGCTAAGAAACAAGTAATGCGGAATGCAGCCGATGTTAAGTCAACATTTCCCATGTGAAACATCAATCACGAGCCATCCCGCATAAAAAAGTCAGTTCAACAGAAACCATACGATTTGTCAATTCCAAGAAGCGAAAGCAAGCTTATGCACCTCCACACAAGCTCCAAAGCCACCGCGCCGTTGGCACATGCCATTCTTAGTGGTGGCATGGTATGGGCAAGGTGGTTGGAAGCGAGCCAGCTGGAACACAGGTTGCATGGTACGCCTGCAGTGCTGATTAGGTTCGGCCGGCAAATCGAATCATAACTGCAGTGCATCCTCTCGCGTTCCCGACCTTAGCCAGTGTGATTGCTCAGTACTGGAAGGTGCGACAGAACCTCTCCAACTCGGGAAAGCTGACCTCATGCATATCTCACCATGCTTACTTCCTCATTTAACCTCATCTTTCATACCCACCTTACTATAATCCTAAAGCACGTTCCTTTCTTAATATTGTACCTTCAGAGTCTTCAAAGTCGCATTCACCTTCTCTTCCACCATGGCTGAAAATCACGAGAGTCCTCCCGAAGGCCATCCCGAAATCGACTGGACGAAATGGGAGCCAGCCGGCGAAGGCGATGGTATTCCATCTCGCTTGCACTCATATCAACTCCATTCCCTCCGTTTCGTCTATCCCAAGATCGACCTCACTAACACCACACAGTCCGCTCCCCCTGCCCCATGATCAATGCACTCGCAAACCACCACATCCTCCCGCACTCCGGCCACGGCATCACCAAAGAAGCCGCCGTCGCCGCCCTCACGCAGTCCATAAACCTCTCCCCCACCATCGCCACCGTCTTCGCCTCCGTCGCTGTGACCGCCAACCCGGATAAATCCGCTCACTCTTTCGACCTTGACCACGTGAACAAGCACGGATTAATCGAACATGACGTCTCATTGTCCCGGAATGACTTCTTGCTGGGGGATAATCATTCCTTCAACAAAGAGATTTGGGAAGAGGTTGTGAAGACGTATGGGGAGGAGACGGAGACGAGCTTTGAGAGTGTGAGCAAAGCTAGGTACGAGAGGTTGCTGGCGGTTAAGAAAGCGCATGAGGAGGCGGGGAAGGATTTCCAGTATGGAATTAAGGAGTTTGTGCTCAGCTATGGCGAATCTGCTCTCTTTCTCGGCTTGCTGGGAGATCCAAAAGAAGGGAAGATCCCGGTGGAGTATTTGAGGGTTTTATTTGGTGAGTGGTCCTAGGTGATGAGCAGGAAGGGGGATGAGTACTGATAGAGGATAGAGGAGGAGAGAGTTCCGTTCAAGGAGGGATGGAGAAAGAGTGAGAGGCCAATTACGCAGGGGGATATGAATCATATGATCTTCAAGCTGATCGAGGGGAATGAGCATAAGGCTGCCGAGGCGGGAGAGGTGGGTTTGGGGACCGTTCATGCGGTTACGAGTGCGGTCACCAGTCTTCTCCCAACGTATTGCACTACTATGTGAAGAGCGGGTGCTAGGAACAATTTGCTCGTTGCTGCGAGAAGATTCGAAGAATGGAATCTCAGGTGCTGAGAGTCAAAATGGGGACCGAAACGTTGACCGTGCAGAGCTTGAACATAGCCGGGGTTCTTACTCAAACTGACTGTTTAATTTACCTGTGAATTGAGAGACCAGGAACCAACTCTACACCATCTTTCTCAATTTCAGTGATAGTAACTACAAGCCACCCCCTTTGCCATCCTCCACACCTCGTCCAGCGCTTGCACCACATCATCCGGCAACGAACCTTTTTCAAAATCCAGCAAATTCTTGTCAAGATGCTTCTCACTACTCGCCCCAATAATAACCTTATCGCTACTCCCCACGTCCAACCTGATATGATACATCAACCACCGCAACGCACTCTCCACTTCCGTCAAATTATGTTTCCCTGCCACACTTCGAATCAGATCAAGTGCTGTAAACATACTCTCATTCCAGTGCCTCTGCCGATAACTCTTATCCTGGCTCGTCTTTCCATCAAAGCGGCTCCCCTCCTCAATCTTCCCGCCTCCCTCCGAAGCCTTCGCGACCACCCTCGAATACCAATCTGTAAGATACCCGCCCGCCAAAGCAGACAACACATAAAAGGCCATGCCGAAATATCTCAGTGCTGGCAATTGTTCCGTATCACTGGTACGGTGTATCGCGTTATACACACCCTGGCAAATAGTCGGTCTTCTTGAGCCATTCTCGATGCAAACCTCATTGATATAAGCAACTCCCCATGCCATGTAATTTGAGATTCCGAATCTGTCAAACAACCCTCCTCTATATATCTCATCTGTCGCCTTGAAAGTCTCTTCAAACGGCGTGCTGCGGTCCGGAGCGTGGAGATACCAGAGATCCAATTCCTTGCACTGCAACGTCGCTTAGCTCACTAGAAGGTACCTTCGTAAGTCCGCCGCGGAAATGAGAGGGAGTTTCGCCGGGGACTCCTCCGAATGAGGGTAGGATTTCGTTCCCATCCCCAGATGGCGCTTTTGCAAGTCGAGATTGCCCAGTTGCTCTCCAGAGGAACCACCGCCGTAGACGCGTGCGGTGTCAATCTCGTTGTGGCCGTGAGACTGGGAATAGTCGAGGATGGCGGAGGCGGCGGGGAGGTTGTGGATGCGTGTTTGTTCGACGCCTGGAGATGTGAGCACAGGCATTCAAAATCTGATAGAGGGTGGGGGGCGAACCTGGCTTGCTCATAGTCATGGCGCGCAGACAATAGGCAATTTAGTTTTGAGGGGGGAGACATGGTGCTGACTTGGGAAATGGAGGCGTCGACGACGTTCATGAGGTTCTTGTGAATTTGTGATCAGTTCTTCGAAGTGGGATGGGGTGCTTGTGAGGCCGTATAGATTGGCTTGAGCATGAGCCGATCACCTGGACTTAAGGTGTGAGTTGATACAAATGCCGATAACTCCATTGTTGAGTTGACGCTTCTCGATGTGTTTGACACAGGTACAGTGGAAAGATTCAAGCTTCCGCTTTCGCAAGCATGCATCCTCTGGAGAATCCACACACCTGGAGTTTATTATTGGACAGTAGCAGAGTGGAGACCATAAGCAGAATGCGTAAAGGTTGGGAACTGCCCCCGCTTATGAGTTGTGACATGGGAGGTCGGATCTGAACACTCCGGACGCAAAATTGTGAGACTTACACCATCATTATATTGAGCCAGCACCAGAAGCCAGCAATTAAAGAGTAACTGAAAGAATAACCGTACAGCGCGGATATAACATTAGTCTAAACGGGCCTGCCGCCTTCGGGAAATCTATAGAAGCTTCCCAACGTCGAGAAATCAACAGATGAACAAAAAGTCGAAGACGCCTCTACTCAATCCTTTTCTTCCCCTCTTCCGCATTCGTGTACCTGGCAGTACTGAGACCCCTCTCATGTCTTGCAACCAAACCACCAATCACTTTGTCCTTCCGAACATTGCTGATGGCCTCCTGGTACCCTTCAGTGGCCCACGGTCGCGGGTTGAGCTTTGGCCAATTGACCTACTAGGATTAGCCTCCAATATTAAAAGAATAAAAGGGGAGGGACTTACGTATAGCATCCCGTTCCTGATGATGAAGTTCGCACACCAAGCTGCGACGACGAACCAGAACAAGATGAATATTCTCACAGGAAGGACAGCAGCATCTGGCAATCTTCTTGTAAAGGACCCGATGAAGACAAAGAATAAACTGAAGGCGAAGACGTAGGGGATGGATTGGACGAGAAGCGGCCGTTGGTCTACGAAGAGGAGGTATGAACTCGTGGTTGGTAGATAGGCCCCAAGGAAGAGATCAAAAGCGTCTTGCTTGGGACCATCAGTGAAGTTGTTCCTGAAGTACCGGGTCATTGAATTCCGTCCATCTTGAAGAAGACCTGCTTTTGTGCGTACACCAGTACGAGTGAAATCGGTCTTCAGCGCTCCAGTTCCAGAGTACGACGTAGACACCACATCTGCGTTGTCGGCCCATATCTTGCGGAAGAGAACTTCGAAGGCTGGGTCGGATGTGAAGGTCTCGCCGCGGGAGAGAACACCCAGGTCAGTGAGTTGTCGGTTGAGGGCCGTACGAGCAAGGATGCTTTGAACAACATTTGTACGATCAAGACAATCCATGCAATTGGTTCGAATGACACTGGTCTGATGATTGCGGACTTCAAGGCGGCCTTCGAGATCCGCGGGCATATCGACACCACGGAAGTACTGCTGTCTTTCTAGTGCGTCGTGGAGCTGATCGACTAGAAGCTGTACTCGATGCCATTGCAAGCCCTTGGTCTCGTTATGGAAGTCGAAATAGACATAGTGCAGGCGATCGAATTCTTGCTGGCTAGTGCTTGATTCGACGAGATGGAACTTTTCGCTCGATCTACTGTCTTCCGAAGTGCCCTCAAAAGGCGAGGACACAAGCATCTTAATCATTTGCTCATATGCCTCTTTCACTCTCTGCTCTCGGCCCTTTTGTTTCACAAGATTGACGAGGTAATTGTCCCCGTATAGTCGGATTTGCTCGTCGAAATGCGCCTGGGCGGCCGAGACTGCTGTCTCCACACCGCGAATCTGCAGCTTCGGGGTATAGTGCAGCGTGTTGACCTCGGCCCAAAATACAGGCACACTTCCTCTGGTCTGAACGTAGGACATTATCTGGACTTCCTTTCCTCCAGATCCACCAACCTTACCATTCTGCATTCCACCACCACCAGCAAAGCCGCCTAAGCCACTGGTACTATCATTCAAGATAATGATTTGCTCTGTCTCATTGAAATTGGAGACATGACCTTGCTCATCAATTCCCCTCGAGAAGTATCTTGTCCCAGCTCGGTGCCGTGACCGCCGAGTAATCAAGACCAAGGTGAGAGGAGTCGACTTGACCCTGGTTGTAATAATCTCCATCATTCCAAACATAACAGGAAGTATATAAGGATCCACTCCGGGCTGCTGGCCATGCTGATGTCGAGTCCCCGAGGTCCGGAAATCGATGAGATCGGACTGGACGAACTTGTTCCAGAAGAATCGATCATCTGCTCTCTCCCATAATGGCACAGAAGGGTCGAGTTGTGATTGCCTTTGAAATGTGTTTGTGATGTCGAAGGAGTACGAGAAGTACATGGGGGAAGACTTGATGAACGCCTTAAGCAAGGCTAGGTAGGTGTCCTCGTCCTGATCGTGGAGGGGTCGTTCTCGCAGAGGCAGGAACTCGGTCGCAATGACTTTATATACCATATGTCCCTTCAGTCTGCCCATTGGCTGAGCTTTGGTAATGACGATGATGTATTTGTCTGGGTTGTAATCAACTTTTGTGTACAGATCGGGCCTCGCTGGTAACCCTACCTAGCCGTAACTTGATCATGCCCAAAATCCCGGCGATGCTAGAGACACGCTTCCCTCCCAATAATGTCCCGTCGTTCAAGCGGAGATCTCCTGATGGGCGGTCGACAACGAGTGTTGGGGCCGATGGCGAGGAAGGCGAAGTGAAGGCGTAATGCGATGTGGAAGCATGGACGTTGATGTCCCGGAATGGTAGGGAAGCCATGATTGCGAAGATGTGCAGACCACAGTAGCTAGGAGTGCTATGCTTTGTCTGCGGCTGTGTTCAGACAATCATGGGCAGTGGGGTCTGTTGTGAAGCTGGAGAGCTGTCTTTCTCAAGTTCCGAAGCCTTGCCCTGTGAAATTAAACAAGGGCGGCTTTGACGGTGCCGCCTTAAAGGCTTGGCACATGGCTTGATATTCACAGGGCAATTTCATTCCATTTCTCCCAGGTTGACAGTTTGATGGAAGTTTACATGGCTTTGTCTTTCGTTCGTTTTATTAAAAAATATGCCCCATTATTTTTGCGATATACCTTCTTGGAGTATCATAGATTTGAGAAGTTTGACAGTGCCTCTCCTCACAAAGCCTCAAGTGGAAACTCAAAGTCCCAATCCCTCTCCCACGGCTTGTTGTAATAGATGCCCTTTGCAAAGGCAGAAGTCACCATGTCATTGAAATTTTTGGTGCGGCCTGCACCCCCATATTACTCGACATGATCCAGTCTCTAATTTCTGAGCAAATTATCGTCCTTGTATTGGATACCAGCGTCATCCCACCTGCTATTCTCATCCTTGACACCCATCTTGAAATTCGTCAGCCCCCTCAGGGTAGACTGACTTGGACCAGCTTCTTTCTGCGCAGGACTACGACTTCTTGAAAGGGGCCTTTTCGATGCCGCCGCCATGTGAACCTCTCAATGCGAGGATCCCGAATTTCTTTAAACCCTCGGGATCCTAGTTATCAAGGAGGGTAACAGCGGCATCGATGGCCGTCGCCTTGTCAGCGTTGACTTCTTCATCGAAGCCTCGGGTGTTGACTAAATGAGCGTGACTGTCTGGAGTGTCTAGAGGCAGTTCGGAAAGTCGTCGATGAAGCGGAGAGGACGGCGACTATCTTTAAGATCATCAAGCTCAGAGTCTTCCTCCTCTGAGGATTCTAGGTCTGACAAGTCGGCGTCTGCACTATCTTTCGCCTCGAGCCCATGCTCCAAAGGTTCCACGGGAGCTCTTTCTGTCATGTTGTCTGCTTGCAATCGAGAAACCAAGGCTGTGAACCCGAGGGAATGAGACCCAATACCGAGAAATTTTGTATCAATTCCAACGGTTCGACTATCAATGCTGAAGTCGGGACCGGGATGCGTGCGTAATTGTGGCTGAGTCACGTGTGTCAACTTGAGCGGTGCCTCTCTTGTTCCCAGCGAAACATCGTCACCTCCATCTCAAGCTGGGGAAAACAATCCACCACCTCAACGCCATCGACGCCTCGCACCCACGCCCCACGGCCGCGAACCTTCACGGCAGACATTGTGCGACCCATCCACGCTATTCTGAACAACTCAGCTTCATTCCAAGATGGCTGCCAGAGGCCCAGCAGGCACCCGCGGAGGGAGCACTCGATTTGCACAGTTCAAGCTTGTATTACTGGGTACGTTACCTATCTTCGGTGAAGTAAAGCATTATTTAACTGTACATCTTAGGAGAATCTGCGGTTGGAAAGGTACTTCCCGTTTGCGAGGAGGCTTCGTGTCGATGCTAACATATGAAAAGAGTTCACTTGTACTCCGGTTTGTTAAGGTCAGTCAGCTCAGCCAAAATATTCTCTATGGCCTCTTCTAATCACCAATACAGGACCAATTCGATGACTTCAGAGAATCAACCATCGGTGCTGCCTTCTTAACCCAAACGATATCCCTCGACGACAATACAACCGTGAAGTTCGAGATATGGGACACTGCTGGCCAGGAGCGATACAAGTCTCTCGCACCCATGTACTACCGAAACGCCAACTGTGCTGTTGTGGTCTACGATATTACGCAAGCTGTAAGCATACTTGTTAACTGGGTCGATTTGGCAATGCGGCTAACGTTTCCGGGTCAGTCATCTCTGGATAAGGCAAAGCAATGGGTAAAGGAACTTCAACGACAAGCCAACGAAAATATCATCATTGCTCTTGCTGGCAACAAGCTCGATTTGGTCGCCAGCCATCCGGATAAGCGCGCGATTCAGACCGCGGATGCCGAGGCATATGCGAGGGAGGCAGGACTCTTATTCTTCGAGACCTCAGCGAAGACATCAGAGAATGTTAGAGAATTATTTACGTCGATTGCGAAGAAACTTCCCTTAGACCAGGCTGGGCCGAGAAATCCAAGAGCCGGAGGACGAGGCGGTGTTGAGTTAAGGAGCGAAGCGCCAGGAACGAACGCAAACGGCGGCCCCTGTGGCTGTTAGGGGAATATGTTGGAGATGTTGGACAAGGAGAATACAGGCAGAGGAGGCATTAAACAAGTCGAGGTTCAGCTGTCTTTACGGCCTTTCATATGAACAACTCGCCTCGGACACAGCTGCTCTTTCGTGTTCGGGGCATCAACATAGATGCGGTCATTCGGACCACTTACTGGAGCAGTCTTTAATACCTTGGGGTGTCTTTGTTCTGGAAGCAGGATCGGCAGCGGTATGCTTTTCCTGCATATGGCGTGAGAGGCAATTTTTTATTTACAGTACTTCTTCTGCGGCATTTCTGGGTGTACGATATGCAATAGAACGCATTAAATCACTTTGGAATACGGAACTATGAAAATGAAATGTGAAAGTATACTGCTACAGGATTTGAGCTTTGATAATATTCGTCGCAGGTGAGAGAGACATCGCAGCCTTGCTCAAATCTTAGCCGGCGCATCATCGCTTGGCACACCGAAGCTTGACCTCGCTGCAAGAAAATGGTTTCTGCCAACCTCACTCGCTGTCAACAATCACAACCTCAACATCTCCTCGTCGCTCAACGCAGCCCGTCATGCTGCGCGCCTCACTTCGCTCGTCGAGGGCATTTGGGTACAAGCCCAGTGTAGCCAACGCTGGGCGTCAATGGCACGCGGTACAAGCAGGCCGGGTGGCCTCGGGAAGCTTGGTAGGAGCTCTGATGAAATTGAATACACTCAATTAAGAAGGAAGATGAAATGCTAACTACTTTATGTGTCTACAGAGAGGATACACCGATGGTGTTAAACCCAGCATCATCGACTCAAAGCCTATTGTCCTACCAGGATCTGCCAGCGCAAGCACATCTCAATCACTACCCCCGGGTTCTGTCGCAACCTCGAAGTTAGCTTCAACATCACCTACACCGGCCACTCCAAGCTCTACCTCTTCGATCCCTCCCCAGAATGTCCCTTTGACACCTCCTCCGCCTCCTGCCAGCACTCCTCCCCCACCACCTCCGCCCCCTAAGCCCCGCAAATTCTTCCGCAGGTTCTTCACCACAGTGTTTCTTCTCACGGTATTGGGGTACGGTGGAGGTGTATACTATTCAAGGGTTAATGACAATTTCCACGACTTCTTCACGGAATACATTCCATTTGGAGAGGATGCCGTGCTTTACTTCGAGGAGAGGGAATTCCGGAAACGATTCCCCAGGATTGCGAACCGGTCGGCGACTCCCAGGGATACTGGAAAGGAACAAACTATAGCCGCGAAGAGTGGCGTATCATGGAGAGTTGCGGAGGATAGCACTACGGGTGGCAGAAGACACTCAAATGCCACCAAGCCAGACACTCCTAAGCCCAAGGAAGCGATAAAAACTCCGGAAGAGACGAAACCAGAGGAGAAGATCACGGCTGTTGAGATCGCTAAGAAGGAAGCAAAAGCACCTGAACCCATCAAGCCCATAATTCCTGATGGGAAATCACCCGAGTCACAACCACCGGCCAAACCCGGTCATCCAATGATCACGGAAGCGGCAAGTGCGGCACCGAAGACAACAACTCCCGTCTCATTTGTGGCCCCCGAGGTTGATCAGCCGTCAAAGTTCCCACCGGAAGTCACTCGTATCGACCCGATCAATATCAAGGATGCGAATGAGCCTGTGGTCCAAGATTTGGTCAAAATTCTCAACGATATCATTGCGGTTGTTAATGCGGACAACTCGAATACCAAGTTCTCCAGCACCATTAACAAAGCGAAGAGTGAACTCACCAAGGTTGGAAGCAAGATTAAGACTCTGAAGGATAATGCAGAAAAGGACGCAGCAGCCAAGATCAAGGCCGAGAAAGAGGATTTTGACCGTGCTGCCAAGGAGCTGATCCGCCGAGTTGAGGCAGAGATGGCACACCAGCAATCAGAATGGCAAGAGGAGTATCAAACCGAACGCCAAAAGATCAAGGACAACTACGATGAAAAGCTGAAGGCTGAAATCGAGCGAGCAAAGGAGGTTCACGAGAAGCTCCGCCAGAACGAGCTACTCGAGCAAGCCGTCAAAATGAAGCAGAGATTCATCCAAGAAGTCAAAGACCGCGTGGAGGAGGAGCGCAACGGCCGCCTCGGCAAGCTCTCCGACCTCTCCAATACAGTCACCGAGCTCGAAAAGCTCACCACGGACTGGAACTCCGTTGTCGACTCCAATCTGAAGACGCAACACCTTCACGTAGCTGTTGAAGCCGTCCGCACTAATCTGGAGAAGAGCCAAGTCCCTCGCCCATTCGTCCGCGAACTCGCAGCCCTGAAAGAAATCGCCTTAGATGACCCCGTCGTCAACGCAGCCATCGCATCAATCAACCCTACCGCCTACCAACGCGGGATTCCCTCCTCTGCCCAATTGGTCGACCGTTTCCGTCGAGTCGCCACCGAAGTGCGGAAAGCGTCCCTCTTGCCTGAAGATGCAGGCGTCGCCAGCCATGCGTCGAGTTATGTCCTTAGCAAGATCCTGTTTAAAAAGAAGGGTCTCGCGACGGGTGATGATGTCGAGAGTATCTTGACGCGCACGGAGACTTTCCTTGAGGAGGGGGATCTGGATGGTGCGGCGAGGGAGATGAATGGGCTTAAGGGGTGGGCGAAGACATTGAGTAGGGATTGGCTGGGTGAGGTGAGGAAGGTGTTGGAGGTGCAGCAGGCGCTGGACGTAAGTCCCTTCCCTAAAATACCCCGTTCCTAATCCCCTCCTCTCAGACTATAACAGTGTTGGCGAAGTGTGCTAACGTGAGAACAGGTAATCGCAACAGAAGCTAGACTACAGAGCTTGAGGGTTGAATAGATGAAAGTGGGATTCCCTTTGTACAGGCATGGGAGAGGGAAAGGGTCTAGATGACGCTAGCTTGTATGAGATAAGTTACAAAATAGATGTGTATTGTATTCCAACTTGTTCTTCTTGCGTGCCACCCGCTGAATCTGAATGTTCCGCCCACTTGTCGGACAATTTGGGCAAGCGCCTATTGAACCGAATAATTCGTATTGGATTTTTGGCCATGCAGCTTTTCCTGGGCTCTGTCATTTGCACTGAGAGAAGCTCGAGATTCCGCTTATAGACTTCCCCTACGATCAGACGACCCATACATGTACCACCAATTGTCAAACCATTTGTCCAACCATCGCAAGGCCGTAACCTTTAATGCGAGCGCGACCACTACAATAGAGACCAAGGCAACCATAATATATCCCACGACCTCTACGTACGCAGCAACCACCAACGACAAGCACATTACCGCCCCCAGCTCCAATACATACACGACAGTCGCGAGACCCGTCGGCCCATCTTTTTTCTCTTCGTCTTCCTCAGCTGATTCATGCTTGAACTTCTGTGCTAGCGAAAAGGAAAGCGAGAGCACGATCATGAACAGCATCCAGCTAACAGCCAGCAGAATTCTCACCGTCGAGAGATCGAATCTTCCGTGCTGTGAGATCTCGTGTGGGTCTTTGATGTCGCTGATGATGAGCGCGAAGGTGATGGATGCTCCGAGCGCGGCTACGGTGCCGATGTTTCTGTAGAAGAAGTCTGCGTCGCTTTCGCTCTCGCCTCCTTTGCAACCGCAATTTGAGCACTTCTGAGATGGGGGAGCATTAGCTTTTCTGAGTTCGCTTGCTAGGTTTTGAAGTGCGTTTTCTAAGGCTGCTAGCGGTTTGGTATCGAACTCCGGTTGTTTGTAAAGTTGGGGTTGTTCTTTTTCAATTTGCTTCCCTTTCGTCTTGTCGTGCGGAATACTGTTCTCGCCTCAGAGACGTGATTGAAATAGAGGTGTGCAAGCGCTGAGCGGCAGATGCTAGGCAAGGCTCACCTTAAGGATTCGCCGTTCCCACCAGCACTGGAGCTACCGTTGGCATTGTGGACCTCGGTGATAGGGGCATGCGAGATATGTGCTTCGGTAGACTTAGTAGCAAGTCGTGAGACGAACATGCCAGAAGAATCGGTCAAAACCGGAAGCATGGCTATAGACTCGACAGCTCGCTCAGCAGCCCGTTCTTTTGCCTCGCCTTCTGCCATGTTGACAATCGGGGCAAAAACCGAGCTGCATGATGGATATCATTCCTATTTCTCAAGTGCTGCGTTGTTATATAGTAGGCTCCTTGGGGACTGAATGGCGGGGTAGCCCATGGCTTGCATGATGCAAGCCGCCATCGGCTCACCTGACTTTAATTGTCTCAGAGTACAGTAGCTTGCAGATTCAGTATCTTCGTTCCGGTGCGCCCAGCTTAGGGCGCCGGCTAGAGCGCTTGGCATGCGTCTAAGGGCCCGTTTGGAACAGATTCTACATTTTGATTGCTAGCAACTAGCGCTAGCTTTTAATTAATAATACCCAATAATCAACGCTAGTATTTGTATCAAGGGTCTGTTTTACACGAATACACGTCTTTTAAAATACTAATAATTACTAATATATATAATACTAGTATTTAGATATATTAAAGATATATTATTATATATAATCCTTAATAATTATTATAATTATAAAGGTTTAATATTATTTCTATTAACTTTAGTTTCTGTTTTTATCTTTACTAATCTATTATTTTACTTTTTTAATAATTAATAAATAATACTTAAAATTATAAAGTATTATATTTTAATATTATAAAAAATAAATATAATAAAAATAAAACTTTATATAAAAGATAACTATAAGTAAATCGAAACTAAATACTAAAAGCAAATATATATAATAAATAAGAGTAATATATAATTATAAATATATTAATTAATTATTAAAAAAAGTTACTTATTTAAAATTATAAAAAAAGCTAATTATTTTATATGTTTTTATTAAATTATATAATAATAAGTATGTTTTTTATTATATTACTATAATTAAAACTATTAAAAGTAATATCATTTTTTTATATAAAATACAGCTTATTATATTATAATATTTATTTTTTATTAAAATATAAAGTAGCTCTTTGTAAGTAACTTATATTACATGTGTATATGGCTTTTAGTAAGTAAGCTGCCTAGTATTAGTAGAGACAAGCTTAATGGCTAGTTGACCCAATATCAATCTGTAAGGCCAAAGTTGCGTTCATGATCGCATTCCCGTAGAAGAACTCGGTACCAGCATTGCCAACATTGACATATGTGTCTTCTGTGAATTTCCCAAGCGCAACCAAAGCCAATAACCAGTCCTTCAAATCGCCCGAGAATGACCCCTCAAACTGCGTATTGGGAAGCATGCTACTGACGGTGATGCCAGTGTCTGTGTTGACATCCTCATACAGCTCCCATGATGTTCCGAACAAGTCATCGATAATTGCAGAGGGACCTTTGCCCCAGCCGATTGGGAGCTGTCCGCCTTCATACTGTAGCCACAGCATCAGCTCTCGGGACGAGTTCGAGGTCGAATCGCCTTTGATATTGTTGGTCATGAAGTCGTAACAGACATTGCCTAGCTTCTTATAAATATAGGTACAGCACAACTGGATGAGACAGGATACCTTTGAAAGCTGTGGTATTGGTGCGAGTCCAATCATAAGTGGTGGGGATAGAACCAATGCTGGAGAGCGTGACTTCAAGGTTCTGAGTGAGACCGACAAAGGAGTATCCTTTTGGGACATTGTTCCTATTTTAGTGATTGGAGTTAGCAGTTGCTCTCAAGGCTGTCTGCAGATAGGAGAAGAGCTCACGTGCTCTCGATATATTCGATGTCAGTCTCACTATTCCAGAGCACTTCCTGGGTTCCACTGCTACTCGTGGTCATTTTATCGTAATAAGTGCATTGGGTGCCCACCATCTTGGCGGCATTGTAAAGCATATTATAGACTATCCATGGCGAGTTCTGGAGAATTATATAATCGTAGTCGCCGCAGAGATCGATGGACGCCTGGGCTCGAGGAACGAGTTGAGAGAATGTGGGAAGAGCAAGAACTGGCCCTATTGATGAGAGAGCCGCCAGGGCGAGGAAATTGCTATGCTGGAAATGCATTTTGAAAAAACTTAAAGAATGTATATGGTAAGATGAGAATTGGAGCTGCTCGACAGCGAGAAGATAGTCTTGAAAATTTGAAAGCACTGGCTTCCCAAACCCTTTAAGAAGAGGAAAATTTATGTCCCATGCATGGAGAAATTACGAGCCCCATCCTCATCGGCACGAGCGATCAGCCACTAGCAGCCGCGGCCTTGGGACCAACTGTGGCTCTCTCAATCCAGGGGCAAGGGAGGAGAAACAAATAACCGGAGTCAGAAAAGGGACAGCAAACAATGAAGAAATATTTACTTGAAGCAATATCTGGAGATGGGTCCCCTGGACTGGAGTTTCAACTTGATTGCAAGCCGACGGAAGGAAATTTGCAGCATTTATATGAAACAAAGCCACGTGACTGCAAAATCCAAGGGGTGTCTGACAACATCCACGTTCGCGAAAATCGGAATATCAATATCCTGTGGTGCAGACGTGATTGAACTCCTTCGAGTTCTTCTCTTGTGGTGTTTCTGAGGCTTGCGGTTCTCTGGAAATTACGCCCCGGAAACTAGAGATCTCAGCACATCCTCGAGCAGTGAGCATTATTTGTCAGGAGCCTTTGGTAGCTTCATGCATATTGAGTATTCGAATTGAGGAATAACAACAAATAACCAAAATAAAACAAATTGCAGAACAAGACTAGCACACCAAAGTTGCTGAAATTCCGATTATCCTCCGTGTCCAAGAACCAAGGTTTCTGTCGCCAGCTTAAGCCTTAGCCGCCAAGGCTTCCCTTCTGCTCTTGCTCTCAGGATCGAAGAAAGGCTTCTCGCCAATACTGACAGTGCGAACACCGTATCTCTCCCCTTGATCCTCGATGTCATATGTAGCAGTATGGAATGTAGACCTGTTATCCCAGATCGCGATATCATTTGGATTCTTCCACTTGAATCTAACCTGCAAGTCATGGTTATCAACCAGCAACCTGCTAAACCACCTCAACAATGCCTTGCTCTCCAACTCAGTAATATCATTGATATGACTGATGTGTCCCCCGACAGGGAAGATACTCTTCCAACCAGTAACAGGGTTCGTGCGAACCACAGGATGCACGGCGGTAAGCTCTCGTCCAACATTCTCAGGGGCACCACGCGGCTTATCATAGATCGTAAAACCACCACGTTCAGCAGCTTCAATGAAACCAGGTTGACTGAAAGTAGTCGTCAAGCCCTCAAGGAACTTCTGATAAGGCGCAGAAATCCGGTCATAAATCTCATACCCACTCGCCCAAAGCGTATCACCTCCAGTCTTTGGCAAGTTCACAAGTCTCAAAGACGAGTAGTCTGCAGGAACAGGCTCGAAAGCAATGTCGGAGTGCCATTGTCCACTGTTCTGCTTCTTGGATTGTGTGGCGATGGACAACTTTCCTGCGTCTTTGTAGATTTTCTTGTTCAATTCGGAGTCGATGGTGCTGATTTCGGGGTCTGTGACACGGTATCCCTCGCGCTCCGAGTTGAGGATGGGGTGGATGTGGAGGCCCGAGGTGGAGGGCTTTCCAGAGGCGAGACCGATGCGTTGGATGAGTTCCTTTTGTAGGTCTGCTGTCAGGTTGTCTTGGGCTCGGAAGAAGACAACTCCGCGTTGGGAGACTGGAATGTGTTAGACTTTCTGGATTTGAGGAATTGGGGAAGAGAATCTACTGGTCAGAGCAAGCTCTCGGAGAAGTTCCTCGGAGTTTGGTGCCTGGAGCAAGGACACGAGGTTGACGTGAGGGTACTCTCTGCCAATCACTGGCGTCACCTCAATATGCTCATCCTGGTCCAAGGATCCTGTGTTCTTCACCCACGGCTTCGTGCCTGCGACTTTCCCTGGATGGATTGCGGTGGTGGCTCGGGCGGGTTCGGTTGCTGAGGGGGCCATGATTGTTGAGATGTTGTCTCTTGCGGCTTGGGTATCGCTTGGGGTGGATAGTTGTGAAGGTGTATGACTTGCGTGATCGTCTTGAGGGAAAGGCAACTGGAAATCATAGTTAAGGCTGTGGAGAAAACTGGAGATATATGTGCAAATTTATGCAGGGAAACAGGAGCTTGGCCTGGACTTTCCCCTCCTTCGCAGTAGTGGGTCAGTGGAAGGCGTTATTTGTTTCCCCGATAGCAAATGGTAACATTTTCAAGTTTTAGATAAAATTTGAGTCGTTTTTGTCACCGATAAGGCCATCTTTGTACATAATATCTTGTGGTGGGGTGAAGGTTGAGGTTGCTTGTCCCTCTTGCCCGCTAGCGAGGCTGGGCGAGCTGGGATTATATTGTGGAATTTTAAGCCCATATCACATCATACATAGAGCCACGGGCAACCCAACATGCTCTGTCAGCAAGTGAGGTTAATCTTAAAAAGTCACCCAATCGGACAGCGTAAACTCTAATTCAATTTAGAGAAAGAACGAAACAAGGATCTGGGGAATGACGGCAGCCATGCAGCAGAAAACGCAATCCGTATTACAAGAGCTTCGATTGGCGAGGGCACGGATTCTATGAACGGAGGATATTAACCCCTATCTCCAGATTCCAGAATAGTGACGCTTCTTTCTTTTTCGATCCGTCTCCCAAGCCCATGGTGCCGGTAGCCGGGTCCGTCCCAACTCGAAGATCCTTTGACTGGGCCTGAGTCTAACGTTTAGAGCTCTCCATTTGCCAGCCAATCGTTACCCAGCCCCTCATGAAACACAACTGCTTCCTGTGGTCCTTCACTCTCAAGAATATATCCCAGCTCACATTTCTCAAAGCTAACTGAAGCAGAAACACTGGCATAGAAACTGTCGTATCTCTTGTTTAAAGCTCCATGGAGGGTCTTCACGTTGCCGGCTGGGTGAATGACGGACCATGGCTGAACACATGTGCGCCCTTTACAGCTCTTGGTAACCATCAACAATGTGTCCAATCTGGGGAGTAGTTTGGAGACAGGAACACCGAGAATTGTAATTTCAGACTCAGATGAAGAGGTGGGGTATATGTTATTCAGTTGGCCAGGATCAGTCTAGTTTGAGTCAGCGGAACAGAATTTGATTTGGGATGCAAACCATATACTGTCAAGTCATACAACTCGTGTTCGTTGGTGCACCAAACCGAATAGTATAAGTTGTACTTTGGTCCCACAACTCTCAATGCTTTGTAGGTATTATTTGGTCCGTAGTCCACTGCAATTACTCTGGTCAATTCTTTGCACGATTTTATGAGATATTTGAAATACATACCAATTTTCCCGTCGTCAAGTGAAAATCTATGCTTTCCTTCGGGAATAATCCGTCCCCAAAACTCAACGTTGACATGTTCCTGTCTCTCCTTTTTGGCATTTTCAAGTTGCTTCTTGTTAAGAGGGACGGGGCTTCCATCTAAACCATCCCAGCCCCATTTTGCTCCCGCAATCTTCAAGAAAGTAGGAGCTAGATCTGTTTGCGCTGTCACGACTTGCGATTCGCCAACTGGAACTCCTGGGCCTCGGACGATGAGAGGGATGTTGATATCTTCTTCAAACCCACATTCTTTGCCAGGGTTGAGTCGGTGCTGGGAAATATGGTACCCATTATCGGTTGTGTAGAAGATATATGTGTTGTGCAGAATTCCAGCATCCTCCAGTCGTGTAACAACACCTTCGACCAGTTCGTCAACGGCTTGAAGAGTTTGTAACCTGGCCCGGTAGAAGTCGTCGTTGTATTCAATCACTTCGTCAGTCAATTTCGCTAGTCGTTTGATCCATGAAGCTCCGCCGGGCTGGTCCCAGTTAGCTTTTGTCTCCGACATAGGGATTTATCGATGAAAAGAACCTTTTCGGGGTTGAAATTTGATCGTCTGGGAACTTTGACATCTGGAAACAGGTGTTTATGTCTTTCGGCCGAGATTGGAGCAGTCATGCGAATCTCTTTCAACGCAGCTTCAGGGGTTCCGGTTACAGGAAAGGGATCCACATTCGAGTGTGGAGCCATTGGTGCCACAGTTAAGAAAAATGGCTTTCCAGACTGGACCCCCTCTTCGAGAAGACCATAAGCTTTTCCTGCCAAAACATCGGTTGAATATTGGCCTTCGTGGCTGACTGGAGGATATTGGTTCCGCTGGAATGAAGCATTGAGATATTGGTAGGTATGTGGATCAAGAAGAAAATCCGAGGATGTCCAACCTGCTGGGTGTGGACTGTTCCAATTCTCAATGGTATGTGCATTGAAAAGCTTCCCGGTATAATATGTGCTGTAACCTGCTGCTTGGAGCCATAATGGAAGCCAGTTTCTGTTAAACCCCTGGGCGACGAATTTTGGGTATCCTCCTGGGATGGTGATTAGCCAAAGCTTGGGAGGGGTTCAAGGACACTCACCATATGGAGGGAAAACATCAGTTACATTAGTGTTGTGGGCATTTCGTCCAGTCCAGAGGGTGACTCGTGATGGGCAGCAGATAGCAGTCGAGCAGTAATGGTGTTTGTAAAAAGTTCCGTGGTCAATGACTTGCTTCTTTAACAACGGCATGTAGTCTACCGAGTCCATGTGAAGATCTTGATCATCAGTTAAAATTACCACGATGTTGGCCCGCCCATCTCCGTTGGGAGCAATTGGCTGCTGTCTCCTGCCACTGATGGCGGTAACCAGCACAGTGACAAGGCCTAGGAATAGCTTCATTATGCTGAGTTTCCTGCCGAAAGTATTGCGGGTCCCAATTGAAGAACAAAATCGCCCTCGGAGAAAAATCTCAAGGTTGTTCCGGGAGAAAGCAAAGAGATGGCAGGCATAGAAAGCGAGCGGGGAACCCCAATTGCCGTCCTGCAGGCGGGCTCAATTTGGGTGGGGTATGGCGTATTGCGTGCTGGAACATATGCGAGCTCGCCATCCCTACGTCCCCAACATCTCGCTCGGCCCCCCTCTTGATAACGGACGAGCTCCGTGTGAGATGCAGAAGTAACTCCGACTTCGGGAGCGTTATCAAGTGACTCGCGCTTCCTGCCTGCAGGAAACCATAAAGTGCACATTCTTTGCATTGACGGGTGACCTCATGGAGAACGCAGATCTGGAGTGGGATGGAATGGCTTTCCAATCTCCTCGACCTACTGGTGTTCCTGATAATGATGATTCAATCAACACATCATCGGAATCCTCCGAGTCAATTTCAGAGAGACGTTCTCTCCTTGGGAAGGACAGCAAGCAGGTTGGAAACTATGGGGCCCCAGAAATCCCAGGAGAGCAACAGGATGTGGTTGCTGAAAATGGTGGGACAACTGAAGTGCAGCATACACCCGGGGCAATTGCTGCTGTCATTAGTGTCCTACTCGTTGGTGAAGATTCTCTTTCAATTGCTCGGTTAGATCTACTAATATCTTCTTCGAAGGTGTCTTTATTTCAAACGCTGATGGCAGTCTTGTCCTGGCCACATACGGAATCATATCATCTGAATTTGGTGCTTTCGGGGATGCAAGTTGGCTGACGACCGGTTTTGCGCTGAGCGTATGTGCAATACAACCACTCACTGGCAAATTGAGTGACATCTTCGGTCGAAAGGGGGTGCTCCTCACCTCCTATGTTCTCTTCAGTATCGGGTGTGGTGTAGTGTAAGTTTCCCAGCACACTTGGACGAACTTGAACTTATACAAGTTTAGGGGAGTTGCGTCGTCGATGTCGCATGTCATTCTTGGTAGAGTTATAAGTGGTTTGGGAGCAGCAGGAATGACTGTCATTGTCTCCATTGTGATCACTGATCTTGTTCCTATACGCCAGGTCGCTGCCTGGAGGAGTTATGTCAACGTCTTCCACATCTTTGGGCGAAGTGTTGGTGGACCCCTGGGCGGATTTTTAGCTGATACCGTTGGTTGGAGGTGGTCTTTTCTCGGCCAAGTACCTCTCACTTTCCTCGCTATTTTGCTCGTGGCTATCAAGCTCCCAGCTTCGGAATCAGCAAAACCTCAACTTAAAGGCCAGCCATCAAAACTTCGACGAGTTGACTTCATTGGGTCTCTGTTATTGGCTTCCACCATGCTCTCGTTGCTTGGCTCTTTCAGCTTGGCAAGTGGAACCTTATCGTGGTCACATCCTCTCGTAATTAGTCTCCTCCTGGGATCCGTTCTCTTGGCATTTCTGTTTATCACATACGAGCTTAAGGTACCATTGGAGCCTGTATTCCCGCCGACATTGTTGATCCAGAGGGATGTTGCAACTCAATACCTCATCATAGCATTGCAAACTGCCGCACAGCTCTCAGTGAGTTCACAGCTCTACAATATATTCTGTTCTCATGCTCCTTGCGTTCTGACAAACACCTATAGATGATGTTTTCCGTTCCCCTGTACTTCCGAGTTACGAAAAACATCTCCAACGCCGAAGCTGGCTCCCATCTTCTCCCTGCAGTGCTAAGCAACACATTCGGCAGTCTCTTCACAGGGTTCATAATTCAACGAACAGGACGCTACAAGCTGCTCACAATCTTGGCATCAACTTGCGCCTCTGTTTCGTACGCATTGTTGATCATTCGATGGACTGGAAATACTTCTTGGCTGGAGAGTTTGGAAATCATGCCAAGTGGTTTTGGTATGGGCCTCGCCTTTTCCGCGACATTCGTTGCTCTGCAAAGCAGTGTGAAGCGAGAGGAAATTGCCATTTCTACAGGAGGTTTGTACACCGCGTCTGCGATCGGGATGGTAGTTGGCATTGCAGCTTCCAGTACTGTGCAGCTGGGTAGTCTTCGAGCTGTTCTTGAGGTGAACTTGAGGAATATCAGCGGAGCCAAAGAGGTGTTTGAGATTTGCTCTGATTTTGAGGTTCATTTTTCTAACTTGGACCAGATTATTGCTGAAGTCATTTCGAATGTTTCCAGTGTTGCGAAGCTGGATGAGCCAGTGAGACAGCTTGTGATAGGGAGCTATGTTAAAAGTCTAGAGTATAGTCACAGTAAGTCATTAGCTCAAGTTGAAGAGAAAAACTGACATTAGATGCAGTGGTATCACTGGGATGTTCACTGATTGCTCTGTTGATCGCATTTACGATCCGGGAGCATCCATTGAATTAGACTATTAGAGACTTATATCCACTGGTAAACGGCTTATTATCCCTCAAAACTAAAGCATAGATTTCCAGACACTGTTAATAAGAAGCAAATGAATAGATGTGAAAATAAAGCCAAAAAGTTTTGATTCGGTCATGTGTACTGAGAAAAAGTTTCGAAGCTTTTTAACACTAAGTGCTAAACACATGTTCGCGGCCATCAGAACCTGGTCTCAGAACTCTACGAGTCATACGTATTTCAACATCAGGGTCAGGTGCGGCAGCCCCTGTACCGGCAAGCGCAGTGTGTCAAAAAAGTAATCAAGGTATTCCGAATATTCATGAATATTCATGATTAGCTTGAATAGAATATAATTACCGCAATGCTTAAATAATTTGATTAGATTAGAATATATAATCATGAATATTCATGAATACTTTGATTACTCTACACGTGACCATTGCACGTGATACGCTAGCCTAATTAAGTAGAGGTCCCGCTCTAGTGTCTCCTTAGCGCCACCTCGCTGCCTAATTAGTGGGTCGAAAGCCTTGCAAAGACGATGCTAGATCGGGAGCCATACCTAATTAGGTTAGTATATCACGTGAGACAGTCACGTGTATAGTAATCAAAGTATTCATGAATATTCATGATTACCTCAATTTGAATCTGATTAGAATATAATTAGTGGGTATTTTTGATGAATAAATTAGATTACTAGCCAGTATTCTAATCTAATCTATTCATTTGACACACTGGGCAAGCGCGATGTTGTAGCCGTTTTCCAAAATTCCCAGCCGTGGCCGGGGTTTCCTCATCCCCTGGACTTGGTGGATTGGTGAAGTCGTTTGCTTCTTGGCGAAGTCTTTCCGCTTCTCCGAGTTGTGTTGCTCTTCCGAAGTGTAAGTTGCGGTAGGTACTACAACCAACGTTGGTGAGAGGATCGGGTAATCAAAACTATTGCGAAGGGGTAACTTACGATGTGGAGGGGCTGGAGCTTTCTTATGTCTCTTCGTCTTCCCCTACCTGGTGCTACCAGCCTTTCTGGCGTCTCACGACGCTTAGTTGGCATGCTCGCGAGAGGAGGCAGGCATTACAATCACCAGCTAGATAAATTCGTGCACTAGAGCAGTTCTCTGGTGTCTCTTCAAGAAGGGAACTGTAAAGATATTCCTCAACAAGAATATCGCGCGACTCATGGAGATGTAGACGAGGGAGGGTGTTGTATAAGTTTGTCCAGGTGCGCGCGCTCCCAAAATTTTGATGTCGGGAAAAAATACAAACTCACTTTGCATTATCCCGGATTGAAAGTTACCACTGAAATTGAATGTAAAGGATTCGCCTTAGCGTTCCCTCCCCTCTTGAAGCTTAGCAACCCGTTTACTACTCTCGAGGTAACAGATTTTGTCCCACGTAACGCTTCAAAACTTTGACACTTCAATAAAAGCTAAAGGTCCATCCATCGTATCAAGGGATAAACTTTATCTTAGTTAATTCCGTTTCCTTAGTTTGATCTGAAGTAAGTCTACGAATTATCTGGACTCGTTAAAGTGTTTGAGTCTTGTTCGGGGGAAAACGTCAATAATACCGAGGAAGAACAAAATACAAGTTCATAATGCTGGTTCGTGACAGATGAATAAAACTGAACTCAAAACTTTCAATTGAAGCCTTGTTGTTCATGGCAGCTTGTTATTTTGACCAAGCAATTCACTTTGAGGGCATTCAAATTTTCTGGGTTAACTCGCCTTGAAAGTGAAACGAAGAGGTGTTTTTTCAATGGGTAGAATTTTAACCTTCTCACCTTATCTACACTCCACAAATTCAATCCTGGCAGTTTATTCAGAGTCTCCCTCCGAAAGGAGGTCCGATTTAGCTGGACTGCCGCCAACCAATCTTCCCTTTCGCCACTCAACCTTGAACAATGGCTTCGAGTCGCAAAAAGAGAGTGGCCAATCCTCCGACAGGAAAAGGCACAAAGACGAAGAAAACTGAACCATGTGAGCTCTTCAGCTCTTCTTCAATCGTCACATTCCTGAAAGACTAACATATGCATAGCTCCACAAGCCCCTAGGTCACCGAACCCCTTTCCCACCAAAGCCCTCATCAAGATCTTCCGAAACCTCGATGCCATCACCGCCACCTCTTTCCGTCTAGTATGCCACAAATTTGAGGATATCTATCTCACGCACCACGCGGAGATATTCAAACACCACAAGCTCCCACTCCGCCTCGAAACCCGCATTCGGTATGCCGACGACACGTCTCAAACCCTGATGGCTTGCTTGAAGTCGTGGATGCCAAAACATCTCGTCTACGACGATTTTGCTGAGAAATTCGTCACGGTCGACAATCTGGGCAAAACATTTCTCCTGGAAATCGATGCGTTGGATCTTGAGAAGAAGGCGAGGCGGGAGTGGCGCAAGACACTGAATGAGGAGAAGCGAAAGCTCATCGACGAGAAACGCGAGTTCATGGAAGCCTTAGATCTGAGTACCGACAATATGGACTTCAAGTGGGAATTGCAAGCTCTGGGGGTTGATAGTATGGATTTAGAGCCTGAGACTGAGAGCGATAGTGATGAGGAAGGCATGCAGACGGCGTTTCCTCGCCGTGGAATCAATACTATTGTGAAGGAGGGTATGTGAGCGTCATGGTATGCTATTAAGGGCAATGATCGCGTGAAAGGCATATCAGATATCGAATCCCAAGAGCCTAAGAAGCACCAACACTGTTTGGAGGCACGTGCTAAACAAACGAAGTGAGGTCTTAGAAAGGCTTTGCGGGTCCCGGTACTCGCACGACAATGAAGAAAGGAAATTAAACTGCTTTTTGTCTCGAGATACCCAAAGTCAATTGTTGAGTTTCTTTATTTTGGGTGATTTTCACGGTACCTGAAGCAGTTCATCGGCTTACTTGCATATTGAACGGAATTCTATGCATTGAACGTTCCTAAGACGTAGGTATGCCAGCGAAAGAAAAATGGCACCGGATTGTTGATCCATAAATCTGATTATCAGCAACCCCGGTAGCTCTTGCATATTGCAACTTTCTATACCCTCACGTGGTAAATGTCCTCCTCTATACATTCCTTCTTCAATCAGGATACTTCAAGAGTATTCCGGAGATTACATTAGGGGGCTCGTCCTCATCTTGAATACTAAACCTCAAAACTTCCTTGAAACCCATCGAAAGATACAAACCCAACCCACGGGTGTTAGCAACAACACCTGTTTTGACCTCCTCACTCTCTGCAACTGCAATGCCCCAACTCAACAATGACCTTGCATGACCACGACGCCAGTACGCTGGATGTATAGCTACTAATTCAATGACCATACGGCCTTGAAAGTGCCTGTTCAAAATATCAGCATCCCCGCCATCGCTTCGGAAGAAAAGAACGTCTGACTTCTCTTCTTGCGCAGACACGGCTTCATAAACAGGAGAACCTGGCATATATTTGTCTCTGCCAAGACCTCCGTCAAACACTGGCCTGTTGTCTGCTGCCAAATCCTCATGATCCATGAATTGCCCAATGTATTTCGACCCAGGGGGCAATTTCCAAGCCGCAAATCCAACGATCACTGAGTCTCCAGCTTGGAAAGCCTTCTCGCCTTGGTTTGTCACTATTGTGGCTCCAGTCTTGCTGTTCTCATCCGGTTGGTACGAATCTTCAACAACACCTAGAATAAATTCTGGGTCTCGGATGATGTCCGCAAATCTTTTCGCAAATGATTTGATGGTATCTTCGGGATATTGAGCGTGATATCTTCGCTCCCACTCAAAAGCTGGCGAATAGAAGAAGCCTGCTGTTGCAACGGCGCTCGTTCGAGGGACGTCTTTGATTGTAGCAAGCCGTAAAATAACGCCGGAGGGTAGACCGATTGAGACCATGATCCCTGGAAACAATAAAAGAAGGCGCAGTGCAATGAGTGAAGAAGGGGAACTTTGGAAATATATTTGTCTTGAATATGAGTCTGAAGTTGCACACCATCTCTTAAGAACATTTTGCCGGCTGAGCTCAGCACTAATTCATTCCCTGCTGATATGCAGATATGCTGCATACAGCGGCCTTTCTTTTGTCACACCCTGTCAAATAGAACCTATCACATCAGATAGAGACTTGGAGCAATTTTCCGATAAAGGCAGGTATCCCAGAAAGCGGGTTCAAATTGCCTTGTTTTTTGTGCTGTCAACATTGGCGACTAGACTTTTTAATTATTCAGGGACATAATTGTTCGGGAACAAGAGCTAGAGAATACGGCCACTATGCGGATGCCAGGCAGAAACGTTTTCGAGTGGCTAACAGCTTCAAATTTCATTACTGCAGTGCTGGTTTACTTGACCTTACAACTGCAACCAGTTTTCGGCGACGATATCCCCATGCCCCCGTGTAGGGTGGTAGAAGATAATGTTTCCCACTATGAAGATAGAATTTGGTGGCTCAGGGACTCAGGGTCGGGTTTTGAAGAAGCCCGACACTGTAAAGAGGACAATAGAAAGGAGCAGCAGTCACAAAGACTCGAAGGACTTAGAAAGGATGGCATTGTGGGCTCAACGCAAGAACTCCTCGATGCTTCTAACTCCATCGCAAACCACACGATATCTCGCCAATGAAAGTTCACATCCAAGTAGAGGATGTGCGTGAATGTGTCCAAGTCATTTCTAGTATACACTGGCTGTCCAGTTTCTGCCTGCTCGGGCCAGAATATAAGTGTCCAGCTACAACTGCATCGCCCGCTATCGGCACATTCCTTTCCGATTATATCAATAGTAAACTGGCGCCAATATACCTTATCTTGCTTTCCCAGTTTCTGGAATGCGTCGAGTCTACCGGAAACAAGATTAGTAATTATCTTCGCACTATTATAGAACTCGAAATGCTCTTGCCCGAATTCTTGCTTGAGCTAGTTTAGTAGAAACGTTTTACCGGATCCGGAAATTCCGTATAAGCCCATAACTACTGCTTTGTTATTAGAAGCAAACCAGTAGTGAGGGGCTATTAATTGATTTAGCTGGGGATCTGTTATTAGGCCCGGTATACTACTTAATATATTCTTATAATTACTAGCCATTATAATAATTTCAGGAGTTTTCGAGAATAATAAATATAAAAGTTGTTGAATTTGTGCACTACCTTAGCTAGCTTACCAATCCTTCCAGCACCAAGTTCAACCACTAATTTAGGGTTCTCCACTCTCATTTGTCATGCGTCACTCGCTGAGCTTACCAAGCTTGCTAGTATATCGTCATTTTGATTACTTTAGATTTATCAGCTGATTTATAATGTATCGGAGAAAGCGGGCTCGGCATTACCGATATCGCCAATAAGTAATGGGGATAAAGACCCTTACTTTGGACACTTTCTCCTTTACTTTTAGACTTCACTCTCTTGTATCTGGTTATTCTACAGACTGTCAACTTCCAATATATCGATTTTCCATCAATATATCGATCATTTTCCAATACCCATTTAGCAATCAACTTTGCAAACTTGAGTGCAAGTCTCCATTTTGAGATACGTTTATTGAGAGGGACATCATCGAGATCGACCTCAGTCCCATCGACATCGCAGAAAGTAGCTGGTAGTTGAGTTAAAACCAAGAGAGAATTGAAATTAGGGTGAGCTGAGAGACTTGCCTCCAGCATCAGTTTCAATAGCATAACCTTCCAAAGCGCCGTTGTCATAGAAATCCAATTCTGCGACGGCCGTCTGGGAGTTGATAGGCAATCAGGTCTTCGAAGTTTTGGGCTTGGTTTGTACCCGCAACAGCACGTGTGTCTATGGCAGTGGCATAAACCAGGTGGCTAAAGAGTGCCAGGGCGACGGCTTGGATGATGATTGAGAACCTCATAATGCAATGGGAAGTGGGACTGAGGAGTTGAATATGGCGGTTGATGGTATGAAGCAGAGGGGATTAATGTGTCTAGAAAATGTCTTGATGAGATGGTGGATGATGTTTGGAGGTGGAAAGCTGGCTCTTTATAGATTTTTTTCAGAGCCCTATTCACAACCGCCTCCCGCAAAAGAACGGATTTTTCGCCAACCCTTACTCCGTCGCTCATTCAAGTTGCCTATTTCAAAGTAGCTTCGTGCTATTTCAGTGACGGGTCATCAGTTAGACCGTTTCCTGTCTCTGAAGCATCTCAAGATAGAAAAATTGAGTTTGGGAAGACTTGCCAAAGGACGTAGGATTTAGAGTAAAAGAAGTAAATCTATCCAATTGAAAGCTATCGAGCACTACTCGACCCTGTGCCAAAGGAATGAGTAAAAGTGGGTGTTCCTGAGCCAAGAGAAAGGAGATCAACCTGTCCAATGGAAAGCTATTAAACACACAACGAGCATCTGCCAAAGGTATGAGTTGAAATGGTTATCCCGTGCCAAGAAAGTGGATTTCTCAACACATACCTTGAATTACACAATCGAGGCAAACTGAAAGCTAGAAGGATTAGACCGTGTGGTCACGCGGGAAGCGGGCGGTTACTGACGAGTTCCTGACAGCCAGGCTACCCCGGAGACCTGCACATTATACCCTAGACTCCAAAGATCTGTGGTTTGCTGCTGCCACAACTCCGCTAAAGAGTACGGGCTCTACGCGATCCCCTTGGTCGATCTGGAGATGAGGAACATTTGTGCGTATGGAAAGCAAGACAAATCCCGAAGGCCAAGACGGAAAGTTCTAATTAATAGACGAGATGAAACCCAAATCGGCCTGCATCAAGTGAGAAGCGGCCTCGAGGCTGAAGAGGCTAAAAATAAAGGTTAAATGTTGCTGCGGCTGGCTGATCCTGCGCTTGCTTCCCCTTTTTCTTCGGCGAATCAACAGCTCCAGACCCCACATTGCCAAGGCTCGAGGGATCCCTGCCAAGAAGCCGCATCAAATTTCCCCCGGAGAGCTCGGAGAAATGCATATCTGTTGTGGTTGATCACTTCTAGTGTAAGGAGAGGACTTTTTAATGAAGCGAACCCGGAGCTCCAGCGTAGACCCTTACCAAAATAATCAACCTTTCCTCGCTCAAATCAATTCCTCACTCAGCCCTCACTCAGCCCTCAATCAGCAGGGAAATTTCTACATAATCATTTGGTTCTACTACTAGGCCTTAACCCTTGCCTGCAAAGTCTCTTAGCTACACCTTCCTTCAAGGATCCATTCACGTGATGACACTGATGTGAGGGGGAAAATTCGCTTGAGCCTTAGGCACACATTTCGCTTAATTATGGCGCTAAGGAGTATTTAGCCTCGCTCCCAAGCTTCTGCGAGCTACACGCTTCTCTTCTAGAAATAATTACAATTCTAGAAATCTCCTCTGTTCCTATGTAACGCGAATTACACCTGGTAATTCGTCAACCTGGTACTTGGTTCACTTCTGCCTATTTCATCTGAGGATCTTCACTGACCAGATAACCGAGACTAGGATTCTTTCTCGTTTGTCGCTGTGAGGGGTTAGCGTGGTTCTAAGCGAAGCGCTAGGAGCGAGCGATTATTTAAGGAACCCTGAAATCGTAGCTTCTTAGAAATCAAGTCCTCTGGACCCTACCTCTCCTCCAGTCGAAATCAACCAACCGGGTCTCATCGCAGCTGACTTTCAACCTCCTCGTTCCATCTTTTCTAAATAAACAATTCGTTACTTTCTAAGCTTGCCCTCGACTCTTTAGAGTTGCAAAGATGTCTCTCCCAGCACCTCCTAAGCAACTGATCCACCAGCTGTCAAACGGAAAGACGGTCTGTTTCGATCATCGCCTCAGACGATGCGATATCTGCTGTGTAGATTTCGCATATGGTGAATCCGATGAAGACGACCCCTATGTGATCGATGACTATCGCGACGACCTCGATTTCGGCGAGGAAGATACAGAGGACGATGGAGAGGATGAACGTGTATTTGTGCTCGGAGGATGCATGGCAAGATTCATGCCGCAATGGGACGAGCAAGTTCTAGGCCCAGCAAACACCTATAAAATCAAGAAAGATTACGACAATCCTCCGAAGCCACTGCCACTGCCCAGCATACAGACCTACCACTGCACAATTTGTCAGCTCACTTGGTTGGTTGGAGAGAGAGGTGAAGCAGCAGCTCGAAATCACCCCTCCCACCATAGTTACTCTCATGAATATAGTGGCACACGTCGATCGCTACTTGTTTTCACTGACGGCGCTTGCTCTGGCAATGGAACTCGTGACGCGCGTGGTGGAATCGGTTGCTTTTTTGGTCCCAGCTCCAAATTTAACATTGGAGAACGCCTTCCAGGCCCACAGGTCCCCACCAGTCAGAAAGCAGAACTCACCGCTGCTGCCCATGCCTTAGAGATCGTTCGACTCCAAATCCTCCCTGCTCGTCGGATCATGGTCAAAGAGGCCAAAGGTGGTCACGACCCTCGTACAGTCTCTGATATTATGCATCTCAGACTCGTTGTTGTTACTGACTCCAGTGCGTACCTTTCAAGCACCTCGTTCTGTTCAAATTGCTCGTTCGTCTTAGATGCTAATCTCTTTAAATCCAGGTTACCTCGTCGAAGGAATGTGCCGAAACTTCGCGAACTGGAATGAGAATAAGGAAGGTGTACTCATTAACAAGGTTGGCAAAGTGGTTGAAAATTCTGCCGAATTCTTGAAATTGAGAGGCGAAGTTGAGAAGCTCAGTGTGGTTGGAGTTCAGGTTGCTTACTATCTCGTGCGCAGGGAGGAAAATGAGGAGGCAGATAGTCTCGCAAAAGAAGCATCGCATGAAGTCAGGCTGGGAACTTGAAATGGACCGGTTCCTTGAAAAGTCCTGCAATGAAGTCTTTTGAGCACACTCCCACAGGTTAAGGCAGATTCACAATGTGCTGCTCAGCACTAGTATATAGTATCCTTATATTAAATCCAGGATTCTTTAACCTTAATAAAAGTAGTAAAGTAAGTGGTAAGAAGTATGCTTTTATAAGCTTTATCTAAGACCTAGTAAAATATATAGAACTCTAGCTATTTTACTATATTATAAGAAATGTTTCATATAATAATAAAAGTAATTGAGGCTTTTATAAGAACTTTTTAATTAATTTATTATTCAAGAATTTATAAAATAAACTTCTTTATATTCTCAAGTATTTAAGCTTAATAAGAAAGCCCTTGAATTTATTAAGTAACTTTCTCTTAGTTCTTAGAATTAATAGGCTTACGAGAAATAAGTAAATAATACCTTTAAATATACTTTCTAAGATTTCTTATAATAGTAATATTATATAATAATAAGAAAGAGTCTAATTAATAATATATATAATAAAGTAAATCTTTATTTTTATTAAGTAATATATAATAAGAATACTTCTAAATCGTGAAAGTCTTTTTTTAATAATTTATAAAAGATATTACTATTTCGAATAATATAAGAAAATAGTTTAATTTAATTAAAGAAAACATTTTAAGGATATATTTAATATAAATTAATTATATAAATAAGTAAAAAGCAAGAAAGAAAGCTATAGCAAAAGAAATAGTAATAGATTTACTTACTTCTATTATTTTTATACTATTTCTACTATTTTAGAATAATTGAAATATTTTAATACTAGTATTACCTAATACTTATTAATACAAGCTAGAATGTTCTATAAAATATTTCAGAGTAAAATATTACCAAGCATGTCTATTACTTATAATAGTATCTTAAAGAGCCTCTAAAAGCTTTTTAATTAATTAATATAAATAAAGTAATTATTTAGCTAGTAATATTACTAAGTTATAATATATTTGATTACTATATATCTTACTTTTATAATCTGCTAGACTATTAGCCTTGATTTCTTGAATATTATAGATATTATATTAAAAATCAGGGGCTGTGCCCTATATAACCCACTTTTAAATAGAGACGTAATTTCTAGAGTCCCAAAACGGCTTGCCAGATACACTTCTCCGCCTCGGGCGAGAATGAGCCACTTGGTGATCGAAGATTGGTCATTTTCTCCACAGCTTGTGCCCGGCCACTGCCCATTGGGAACTGTCATATATGTATCTCCACTTTAAATACTCCCCACTTGCCTCGCACAGTTTCAAAAGCTTGAAGGAAGCTATTGTTATGAAGAAGCTGCAGAGAATCTTTCTCTCCATCCTGACGCCTAAACCATATGAAAATCCAGCTCTGGGGTATGTTTGAAGCCAAGTGCCTCGCCACACATGATTCCGTGAATATAGCCTTCGCCAATCAGTTGGTACTCTGTCTCCTCCTCTGTTGCTTGGTTTTTCCGAAGCACAAATGGCACTGCAGCTCCACCCAAAACACACACTTCATCACCGACTCGTGAATCACCAGGCACTATGCCAACATACCCCATCTTCGTTATGCAAAATGTACCATTCGAAATCCTCTTGGCGAATGCAGCAGCCGTGTTCCAATAATTCCATGTCAGTTCTCGCAGGTTATGGGGCTTCTTGCAGAAGTTTATTATATCCTGCTTTGAGCTGATCATGGATATGTTCTTTCCCAAGTCAGGCGGCCAGTCTCCCAGTGTGGTGTCTCCTGCTATTATGTCCCGAGGAATGAGATATTGATTTGGCGGTTCAAAGTACGGTCTACCTGCATTACCGATGGGTAGCTTCCACTTTAGATCGTGACGAGATTCGCCGGTGGGATAGGACTTCAATGGCTCCACCAAAGAGTAGATAGAGTTAACAAACGAGACAATATCCTTTCTATCAGTTCTTATATCGTTCATTCGTAAAATGGTGTCGAAAGAAAAGCCACGCACTGATAGTACAAACTTCTTGGTCGGCAGTACTTGAGCCCGAGTTGCACGCTTTCCTCCTGCAGAGAAATTTCCTCTCTCTTACCCCGCCAGGAAGAGACCGCCTGGGGGAAATTTCCACGAGTCCAGAACGGGATCCACGAACAGAAGGGGTATGCCTTAGAAGTTCCAGCCCTGTGTAATAGATCAAGTGCTCGTCCTCTGCGCACAAACTCGCTGGCGTATCGACAAACGACATCCTCCAGTGGAGACCCGTAGTCTGGGTCAAATACTTCTCCAGAACAGTCTGTAGCCAGTCCGAGCAAAGCAAATATCTTATCACGCTCCTCTGAAGCCTGTGTATATGCGAAAAGGTCCAGAAATTCCAGCAAATGGTATTTACGGCCAAATATAGCGTCATTGAACTTGATTCTAGACTCTCTCGTGAGTCCAAGTGCATATGCCGGATCACCGTGGGTGAGGACATGGCCTTGATCTGAATTGATTTGCACCTCTGATTGCAGCTTGTCCCGGCAAATTTTCAGGCCTTCGAATAAGTCATCCCAGTTCAGGGATCATCTGCCGCAATTGACCATAATATTTGAGGCAAGAATAAGCTCTTGGACAATCCAGGAGCGTCTGAACCAATTCCGGCTCAGTAACAGATCAATATCTTTCCAGGTACTATCGCGCAAGCTAGGAATGTCTCTGCCGCCCCAGGACACTGGGATAGCTGGCAAACCTTCGGGCCAGATATGTGGCTTCAAAGATATCACCCTGATCTTTAAAAGTTCCTCAATAGCCTGGTGGCTGTTGTGTATTTCTTCACCAAGCCAAGCAATGACTCCTTCAGCAGACTGGAAGATGGTCCGCATCAAGCGTATTTGAATACTCTTTTCGAGTTTCTTGTCCTGGTCAATGCAGATTGCATCCGCCCACAGCATAGCTGGGTGCTCTTTATCTCTAACGCTTTGCAGTGCACTGTGCAGTGAGACGGTGAGGGGGATTTTGCCTTCAGCCGTTCGAACTGTCTCCGGACAGATGGATCGAACGTAAGGTTTCAGATCCGATAAGCTTAATTCTGCCGCATTTTCCAGCGCCATTGCTAGAAGGGTTTACCCGCTAATTATTACCCAAACCCACTTCCCGCTTACGCAAAAAACTATTACTTTGAATTATTAATTATAATATAACTAATTCATAAATTTTATTAATTTTAGTAGTATTATAATTATCTTCTTATCTAGTACTTTTAGCTACTAGTTCTCTAAATTTCCCCTATATTAGAAAACTAGTTATAATATAATGAATTATTCTTCTTCTTTAATACTTCTGATTTCAATTTTCCGTATAATATATTCTTTCTTTAAATTTACTATTTTTAATAACTTTAATAACTTTAATAAAATATTATATAATTAAATAAAAGGCTTTATAAAGCTAAATTAATAATAAATATATATATAAATAAAGATCGAGTATTATAACTATAATAATACTTAAACTTTATTAAAAAAAAGTAATATATTATATAATTTAATATTTAAAAATAGTCTTTAAAAATAATATAAGAGCTTTTATTTATAAAAAGAAATATAAAAGAGAAATTATAATAGAATACTAAAAACAAATATATATAAAATAATAAGTAAATTTAAATTTATATAATTATATAAGAAATTACTAAAAATAATTATAATAAATATAGCTTATAATATTATAAAAGATTTAGAGAAAATTAAAATTAATTAAAAATAATTATATTTTAAATATTATTTATAGCTCGAAATTTGATTTATTATATTATTAAATAAATACTAAGTTATTTTAATATATATAATAACAAGTATTTAATTGAATTTAGTAGCCTAATTAGAACTAGTACTTTTATATATCTAGTAAAATATTAAATAATATATAAAAAAGCATATATAGCTTTAAAAATAGGCATTAATTAGTTTATTTATTAGAACTAGTTCTTGAAATTAGTTATACTTAAAATAAGTTTAATAAGTATTTCTTATAAGTTTTATTATTAAATATTAAAAGAAAAAATTATTAATAATTAATAAATAATTACATTTCCTAGTTCGAAAAAAGAAATAATAATTAATAATATACTTATTATATTAGTCTCGATTCAAAAGAAAAGCATATTAATATAATTATTAAATAACTTCTTTTTCTTTAGATATTAATTTGTGATTTTCTTATAAATCGAGACTAATTTACTAATTATTTATTAGCTATTCGAGTTTATTGAGAAATTAGTTACTAATTTAATTAAGCTCTTTTTGGTATATAATAAAGCTCTAGCTAAAACTAATAATACTAGTTTTAATTATTTAATTAATTTTAAAAAAGCATTTATTAGATTTATAATTAAGGCTTCTCGAAAGTTTAATTTAGCTTAAAAGAATATTATTATAAGTTTTAATAATATTTAAATATATAATAATTTATAAGCTAATAATTACTAAAATAGAAATCTAAAGTTATTAAAATTTTAATTAAAAAGTATAAGTATAATAATATATTATTTCTAATTAAGAAATTACTTATTCTTTAATAATTAAGTAATAATACTTGAACTAATATTAATTCGGGTTTAAATTAATTTAGAGTTATTAATAAAAAGTTAATAAATTAAAAAGATATAATTCTTAAATAATTAACCTTTTTATAATAATTTACTAATTATTTATACTCTTTTTTATTATAATTATAAGTATAACTACTATTTATTTAAGGTTATATAAGAACTTATTAATTATATTAATAAGATATATATTAATACTAATTTAATATTTCTTATATTTAGAAAATATATTTTACTAGCTTCTATTATTTAAATAAATAACTTTAATTTAGAGGCTTATAAATTCAAAAATAAGAATAATAAGGTAATTAAAACTAATTCTAAAGATATCTAATTAGTTCTAATTAGCTAGTAGTTTAATAGAATATAGCTAATAAATTATCTTTTATTTATAACTAGAGGGTTTTAAAATAATTAGATTTTTACTTATTATTTTTTATATATTTAGTATTAGATTAATAGTCTTTTAATAGAGATTCAAAAGTTTTTTAATAGAATTTCAAGCTTATTTCTAAAGGAAATCTATATAGTATTTAATATTATTAATAAGGAAATACTTATAAATATAAGAATTCTTCTTACTTATTTAATTATTTTCTAAAAATAAAAAGCGAAATCTTTATTACTTAATTCCTATTTATTTGCTAAAGATATAAAGAATAAACCTTTAGAATTAATAGACTATTAAAAGACTTTTAAATAAAATATTATTATATATTTAATTGAAACTAGAACTAGAAATATTAATTAATTCTTGTTTTTTATTACTTATTAGCTTATATTTCATAATTTAAAACTTAATATTTAGTAAAGTAATTTAAAACTATTAAATATATTATATTATAATATTGAATTATAAAAAAGAATTAAATTAGGAATTATATATTATTTTTTACTTATTAACTTTTTTATTATTAGAGATTTAGAAGTAAAAATTTTTATAAAAAATAAAAACCTTACTCATGCTAAAAGAAGATCATTGTATTAGTGTTGATTAGGATCTATCTTGACCACACTTGATCAATAAAGTGAGGCGGCTTGGGCTTGATGATTCTGCTCGCCGACTTTGTCAAGTGAGAGGGGTAATAATACTGTCGGGAAGGGTGGATACGTGGTCAACCTTATGCCTTCTGCTGAATCGGCCGAGAAAGAGCGTGTTGATGCACCTTCTCCGACGTCTATCCTTTAGTCCGGTGAAATGGAGTCGGTACCAGCCCCTCCTGCTCTGCCGATATTCAAAGGAGGCAATAGCAACAACAAGTGGAAACGGAATGATGTAAGCAAAAGTATCGTGCTCACACCTCGCTGGTGTAAGACCTCTTGGAAGGAGATGAAAGACTCCTATCCGACCAAGTGCCAAAGACCGGCGACATGTGAGCTAGGATTCCTCCCTCTTGGACATCCAGCACCTTCGCACCATAAGTGCAGATACGGTTGTTTGGTGATTGACCTTGATGCTGTTTTAGCGATGCTGATACGGGAATAGAGGCTCCATCTCAGATATATCCCACAGACTTGTGATGTCTGCATATCATGAATAATAAAGATGTTGATCTACGGTTTCTATTACTTCAGAAAGTGAAAGACGAGAAGGATACGTTTGAGAGAATTGCTCAAGGAAGGATAACGAAACGGGGGTACGATGAATGGATGGTCGAAGAGCTCTTGCACCAGGTAGTTGTTTCTGCATTTCTGATTGCTTGCTTACTGGTGTGGAATAAGTCACTTCGAAGTGTTGGAAGTGGGTCTGAGGTGTTTGTTTTCCTCCGTCTTACGGTTGGAAATCTTGGGAATGGGGCCTGGGCTACATGAGTCACACTCTTGCTCCCCTCCTCTTTGGTCACGTGGAGAGGTGAATCGTGCCCGCTCCTCGCTTCTGCGAGTATTTTCCTTCCTCCTTTCCTTTTTCCCAACCTCAACAACTGCACACGATCTCCTTGCCCGCAACAGCCATCACGGGCGGCTTAACTGTCAATCAAGTCCGAACCTTAGGCGATTATGGGTCCTAACGCGCCCACTCTCGACGAATTGAAGCCCCCGCGTTCTCCATTATCAGTGCGATGGGCCGACGCGAAGCACGTGTTTGCAGGGTACAATGACAACATAATCCAAAATTTCCCAAATCGCCGCCTTGAATCCATATAGGTTAATGCTCGAATGGTTTGTATTTCCTTCTCAGCCAATCATCCCTTTTTCCAATGGCTAGATGCTCCAAGAATTTCTCCAGGTTTTTGCACATTGCGAAGTGAGGTAAAGTTGGCCCCAATGATGCAATTATACTCTGTCTTGGCCCCATAAATTGTTTACGTTTCCTCCGTGAACTTCACACCCCAACCAGTGGTCAGAAGTTTACTCGGATGTCCACTATCGGTCTGCCATGGTTGATCCTCATGCGTTCAAGTGGATTGCAGCGTTACCTGATGGCGGGCCTCACTCCTCGAAAGCACTTCATATTCGGCCATTATGGCGAATCCCGGTGTGGGGGTGACAAAAACCAGTGTCGAAATGTATTTGTACGGGTTTCCAATCGCAACTACCTTCCTTTTTGATGGGTGACGAGCCGTCCTCATCAAACCACGAAGATGCGTCGTCTCGAGATCTCCACTTCGCGGCCGTCTGAAATTTCTGAAGCTCTGGATGTAGTCCTTTGAATGGGGAGCTGCCGGCGGTTGGGCTCCTCGCCTACAGTTCCTCTCAAGAACGCCTGTTGGGTGTGTGCACCCTCCCTCTCGGGCCGATCTCAGAGTTCAGATACCCGTACTCACCCTTACATGTTCTGAAGTCATGCCAATAGGAACGCCACAATTCGGATGAGAGCCGTTGTTTCTGCAATACTGCGGGCAATCATGCATGTTCAGCCCACATTGGTTGACGAAGTCTGAGAAACGGCCCAACTGGGATTTTCAACATGCATGTGCCGCAGGGTCTGTTACCAATACCAGGGTGTCTCCATGAACCAAGGTTTCCAAATAACATCTATAAAGCGTCACAGCCTCGGCCATCGTCATTGCTTGGCGCTTTCTTCTATCACTACATAAGGGCACAGTTTTTCCCAGTTGGCAGATCCCAGCTTAGCATCAATTTAGTTGCCATGATGTCGAACACCGAAGAGGGAAAGGCGGGCGAACACCTTCGTCCACCAACAGCAAAACTTGACGACAAAGTCCTGTACGAGGAAACAACATTCAGTGATCCGCTTCCAAGGGGTGCTGCTACCTTTTCTTCAGCAACATCGGACTCTGATGAGGATGGAGATGCATTTCACAAAAACCCGTTCCTGGACCCAGATGTCGCAGAGCACTGGTCAAACGTCTACGAAAAATCGACATATGAGTGTCGTGCTGAATTTGACCGCTCGTTTACTTGGACAGAGGAGGAAGAAAAGAAGTTGGTTAGGCGATTGGACTGGCGCGTGTGTCTCTGGGCTGTAAGATCTAACGCCCCACATGGCAGTCTCTTCACTGACCTCTCAATAGTGCATCATGTTCTTCGGTCTCCAGGTGGATCGTGGCAATTTAGTACAGGCGGTCTCTGACAATTTTCTAAGTGACTTGCACTTGAATACCAACGGCAAGATATATGTGTTCCTGCTATGATTTTTCAAAGCTAAATATAGGTAGACTATAACTTCGGAAACGTCATCTTCCTGTTCTCTTTCCTCCTCGCCGAACTCCCCTCACAGTTGGTATCCAAAAAGATCGGACCTGACCGGTGGATCCCGATGCAGATAACTTTATGGTCGATTGTTGCCATGTCCCAGTGTGCAATCCAAGGCAAAAAGGGCTTTTACGCAACCCGATCGATTCTGGGATTGCTAGAGGTGATTTAAAGTCTGTTTCTATGAGGTAATTCACAGCTAACGAGGCTAATAGGGTGGCTTCATCCCTGATATTGTACTCTGGCTCTCCTACTTTTACACTTCACCAGAGCTCCCGATCAGACTCAGGTGCGGCGGCTGAAATTATCAGTTCCGTTCTCTACTAACTCTCATTGACAGCTACTTCTGGACCACTCTGTCTGCCACCACTATCGTCACCTCCATTCTTGCCTTTGCTCTCCTTCACATGAGAGGCGTCGCGGGCTGGGCAGGCTGGCGCTGGCTCTTCCTGATCGAAGGTTTCATTACCTTCCTCGTCGGCGTCGCCTCCTTCTTTATGATGCCCGCCTCCGCCGTTCAAACCAAGGCCTGGTATCGACCTAACGGCTGGTTCACGGAACGCGAGGTCAAAATTGTCGTGAATCGTGTCCTCCGCGACGACCCCTCAAAAGGAGACATGCACAATCGCCAAGCTGTCACCCCTCGGCGTCTTTGGAACGCAGCTAAAGACTATGATCTCTGGCCACTTTATGCCATTGGACTTGTTGCTTATATCCCCCAGTCCCCAGTCAACACTTATATCACTTTGACTCTCAAGTCGGTGGGATTCAGCACCTTTAATACTAATCTCTTGACGATTCCATCTTCGGCAGCTCATATCATCACACTCCTTCTGATCACACGGCTCAGCGAGTGGACTAATGAACGCACGCTTGTGTCCATGCTTCAGCCTATCTGGACATTGCCCTGCTTGATCGCTCTTCGTTTCTGGCCTGGTTCGCTCCACCAGGCTTGGGGCACTTATGCTCTCGTCTCAGTCCTCCTCTCATACCCGTACTGTCATGCTATTCTCGTTGCCGTAAGTTCGCCTCCTCCTCCACCCCTCCACCAACCCTCACTTAACTAACATTCCTTCTCACAGTGGACGTCTAAAAACTCCAACAACGTCGGCGCACGCTCTGTCTCCGCAGCTTTATACAACATGTCCGTCCAACTCGGCAACATCTGCGCCAACTTCATCTACCGCACCGACGACAAGCCTCTCTACCATCGCGGCAACCGCAACCTGATCATCATCAACTTATTGAGTATTAATCTGTTTTTGTTTACGAAGGCTTATTACATTTGGAGGAACAAGCAGAAGGCGAGGATTTGGAATGCGTTGACGCCGGAGCAGCAGAGGGAGTATAAGGTTAATACTAAACTTGAGGGGAGCAGGAGGCTGGACTTTAGGTTTGCACATTAGGGGGATACTAGCCGAGAGATTTTGCTTTGATGGGCAGGGTTAGGCGGTTTAGAAATATACCGCGCTGCGTTGTGTTGGTTCAATTGTCTTAGCTTAGGTAAGATTGGAGAGAATTTTGCTCAGCTTCTTGCATGAATTGAAGCGACATGGGGCTGGTTGGGGAACTCATGCGATTTTCTCGGTTGGGGACCACTCAAATCTATCTTTTGAGCGCTATGGCAAAAGCAGGGCAAGCACTACAGAGTGCCCGGACCCATAATAACAAGCTTAAAGGCTACGAACAAATGATAGTGCCTCCTCCGCCTCGTCACGACTTCAATTTTCTTGGTTGCCTTCGTTGGCCTTGTGTGCCTGACTTCCAAAGGATACCTGGCTGTGCGCAAAATTTCACCATGTTCACGTTAGCTAAGCAGGAGCAGAGGCGACTTCCGGTGACCCAACGATCATACCCGTCAGCCTCAGCAACACAAGATGTACAAGATATTGAAAGGGGTTAGTTCGGGATTGCAATATAGGGGACCAATTGGAATCGGTTTGAGATGGTTGCGATGGCAAATTACAAGCTTTATCTCTTCTTTCCCAACCCCCACTGATGGCAGAGCGGCCCTATGGCAATTTGAATCTGGCAAAGGTAAGGGGAAACATTTCTTTGCGGTTTAGCATGGCCGTTGATAAAAGAGGGAGCTTGAAAATGTCTCGCGAATGAATTGAGATAATCCACTCTAACGACTCTCCGGGAATTTAACCCCAACAATGAAATGCGGGTTAATGTAATAAAGCGATCCTTGGCGTCCAAGTAATCCAGGACCGGGCCGCGGGTTTCGCTGACCAAGCAGAAACATGCAGCATATCGGAGCCTGAGGGCTTCGCCAATGTGTGCTGCTGACGCCCTCTCTTTCAGATTGAAAGCGTGCGCAACCAACGGGCACCCAAACAGCTGATTTGCGATGACGCGGAGGTCTAAAAAGATTGCGGCATTTAGGGACGCGACTGCAGTTGAGACCAAATTGGGTAGGGCGCGGGATGCATAGCCACGCACGCGCATGGGTTCAGAGCAAATTTTCACCAACTGCGGCCCGTCGGGCTCAAAATTGCTGCCCAACGAGGCTCACAGATCTCACGCTGGACCAATCCTTTGACGGCGAGGACGGCTGGACCGGAAGGACCGTCGCGTAAGAAAAGAAGTCGACTGACATTGCTTGCTTGCGCAGCATAGCCCAGCGCAAGCTAATCGCGCACAAATCTTTCAAATATCTCGGCCACCCCGTCGTCGTTTTGCTCTCTACATCACTCCGCGGAACTTGCATTGTGTCCTAACAACTCTCAATTTGATACGGATTCGCCGTCTATTCTCGATACTCGACAACTTCGTCGCCTTCGCCCGTCACCGACGTCGCCATGACTCCCATCAACAACGCGAACAACTTTGCTCTCCCAGCCTACCAACGAGAACAACTCGACGCTCTTTCAAACATCGCTGTCAACGGTTCTGTCGAGTACGTTCATCCTCTAAATCGCTCATAGTAACGACTCCAAATAGAGTCACTTTAAAAAAAATGGAGACTGACGTTACTGCAACAGGTCTGAAAACTACTCCATTGAATTCCCAGAACCAGCAGTCACTTCAGAACTACAATCGCAACGACTCAATGGCTTCCTGGCCTCCGATCCGCCGTACTCACGGCAAAACCAGTCGGTCGCAGCGGCGATACGGTCGATGACACAGACACTTCAAGCTTTCGACATTGCTTTCGAAATCCCAGCTCCCACAACGCCCAGGCGTACGACTCCTTGAGGCATAGAACATCTTTCGATAAATTACTTGTACATGTTTTGATAATGATAAATGAGCGGGTTTTGGGGGTTTGGGCCATACATTTTTGAGATCTCGTGGTATTTGCAAGTTGCAGTACCGGGCGCAGGCGTTAATGGGTACATAGCGGGCGAGTTTTTGGATGGGAAATTTGGATACCTTACTGCAATAGCGATGGTCATGGAATTATTTGGCACGGGAAAACGACAGGTCTAGCGTTTCATTAAATGGGATTAGACTTTCCTGCCTGGTTTAATGGTTTTGATGCGGAATTAACCACACGTTGAAGTTCCTCAGTTTGCTCGTCCCAGGCTTGACTTCGCTTCTCTGCCCCCCTCGAGCGTTCACTACTTAACCGCCCAATTATACCCCTGTCGGAACACTCAAAATTTGGGATTTTCTTAAAGTGCACAAAAAATTCCGAAACTTTCTAGGATTACTAATATTGAGGTTGCTAGTCACGAATAGCTACTCGACTACTTAATTTTATGTCGTTATTGTAGTGAATTGAAATTTTGGGCGGGAAATATTTAATTTAATATAATAAGTAATTAATTCTATAATTAATTCTATATTATTTTCCTTATTATTTTATAAATTTAACTCTTTTCTTTATAATTACTTTATAATAATATAAAATAAATAAATATATATTAAGATATAAGAAATAATATTTACTAAATAATTAAATTAAATATAAAATTAAAAAGTAAAAGTAAATTATAATACTAAATATAAATAATTAATATAATATAGAATTAATAATACTAAATAAAGTTTAAAAGAATTAAATATATAAGAAATATTAATATATTAAATTAAAAATATAAAAGTTATAATTAAATAAAAAAAAAGTTAATTATATAACTTAAAATAATATTCTAAATTATATATAATACTTTAGTTTATTATTTATAATTTATAAATATATAATAATTAAGTTTTATATTATTATTATATCTTTAATATATATATAAAAACATGTATTTATTTATAAAGAATTAAATATAATAAAGTTATATAAACTCTTATTATATAGCTTTAATAAAAACATATATATATATATAATTTATATATCTAATTCTTATTTAATTATTTAATTAAGTATATTATATTTATTTTTTCTTTATTTTTATAATTATAACTTTATTTTATTTTTTTATTATTTATATAATATTTTTCTTATTTTCTTTAATTTATAATAAAACTTTAAAAGAATAAAAGAAATATATATATATTTTTTAAATTAAAATATAAATTATTATAATTATTTAAGTAATAAATACTAATAACTAAATAATAATAAAACTAAAAATAATAATTATAATATAAATTATATTAATAAAGCTCTTTATTATAATAATAAAAATAAATCTTTTTAATTTTTAAATATAAAATAAATAAAGAACTAAGAAAAGTATTAAGAAAAGAACTTATTAAAAGAAATAAAGTAAGAATTAAAAAAAAAGCTTAATATTATATATATAAAGAAATATATAATAATAATAATATTAAAGAAAGTAAAGAAAATAAATAAGAAATAAGAATTAGTAAAGTATTATCTTTTAATAAGAAACTAAGTTCTTATAAGAAATTTAGAGAATTAATATTATTTAGTAAATTAGTTTATAATATAAATTTATAAATACTGAAATTAATTATCTTTTCTTAAGAATTTAGTAAAGAAAGCAATTATAAATTAAAACTAAGTATATTAATTAAAAGAACTAAGGAAATATATATAGTAATTTTTAATTAAAAATATAAAAAAATAAAAAAGTAAAGATAATAATTATATAAATAATTATATAAATAATTATATAAATAATTATATAAATAATTATATAAATAATTATATAAATAATTATATAAATAATTATATAATAATAAAAAGCTCAAATATAATAAGTAATAAAAGAATAAGAATAAGAATAAGAAATAAAAGATCTTTTTAAATTAAGTTTAAAAAGTAATTTATATAATTATTTTTAAATATATTTCTTAAGAATTATATAATTATAAATATTATTAATAAAATAAGTAAAAATAATTTAAAAAGTATTTATTTAATATATTCTTAAATAAGCTCTTATAATAAAAAGAAATTTATTATAATATTATTTATTTATAAAAAGAAAATATTAGAAAATAAATAATATATATTTATTTTTTAAAGTTTTTATAATATTTAAAAAAAATTATAAAGATTTATTTTTAAAGAAATAAAAATATAAAATAAGTAATATAATACTTAAAAAAAAGAATAAAAAATAGAAAATTATATATATAGAAATTATAATAATTAATATATTTATATAATTTATTATATTATTATATAATAAGAAATATAACTAAAATAATTAGTAAATTAAAAATTAGTAAAAAATTATTAAAGATTAAAGCTTTTTTTCTTTTTTTAATTCTTTAGCTTAATATTTTTAATATATAAAATTCTTTAATTTTTAGTAAATTAATTATTATAAAAATAATTATATAATATATATTATTTATATAATAATTATTAATTTCTTTATTAAAATAATATTTTAGTTTTATTTAATTAATTTAATTTATATATTCTATATATTTTATAAAAAATTATTAAATAATTCTTATATATAGAAAATATGTATTTAAAAATAAGAAAAGTATATAATAAAGATTTTTATTATTTCTTATTTTAAGAACTTAGTATATAATATTTATATATTTTTAAGTTTATAATTATATAACTTTTAAAGTAAATTATTTATATATATTTTATTATATACTTTAAGAATTCTTAATTCTTAATTATATAAACTTAAATAATAACTTATATTTATTATAATATAAATTAGTATTACAAAAAGCAAGAAATAGTAATTTATATAAATAGTTACCTAATTAAAAGAAGCTCTAAAGAAAGCCTCTGAATCTAGCTAAATAAAAGGGGCTATTAAGTAAATAAAGCTAAGCTTTCTAGTACTCGTATCTATATAATATATCCCCTAGAGGCTTCTAATTCTATATATAAAGGAAATAGCTAATAAAGTATTTCTATAAAGTACCTCTAGTAAAAAGAAATATATATGTGGTCTATTTACCCTAATTAAGAGCTAAGAAGCCGTTATTTACTAGCGCCTTATATTAAGGTAATAGAACCAAAAAAGGATAGGAAGCAAAGTGTCCCCAGACGTCTCCGGTAGTATATTTAGTTCCAAAAAAGCCTAGCTCCAGCCCCGGACGGCTCCGCAAGCCCAAAGCCAGGAAACCACATTATATATACTATTTGTACTCAAAATCCCCTGGTAGCTTCGCTCCCTCCTTTATCTAACCCTTCTTCTCAAGCTGCCCATATAGCTTCTCATATCCCCGTAACAAGAGACGTTCTTATACGGCCTTTAACTGCTTGTCCATAGGCTATAAATCAAGTTTCCTGGTATAGGAGCCAGTAATTACAAGCTCCAGAACAGAGCAGTTAATGGGTTATTATGGGTGCTTTTCTGCTTTTATTTCCTTGCAAGGGTATGAGTAGCCTTATAAATCAGATCATCTACTAAGAGAGGTATAGATCCCAAATAAAGACTATTACTTGTTTTACTAAATCAAGGTCTCAAAGATTCTTCCGTATTACTCGAGTATATAAATAGGCTCTCCAAGTATATTAGCCTCAATTACTAGAGCAAGCTACTACTTCTCAAACAGGTAAAAGCTTGCTAGCTATTACTTAAAAAAAATCCTTAATTACCAGAAATCCTTTAACTTCCGTAACTTAATAGGTTTGAGCTTATATAAGAGCTTGGAACTAATTATTAATTCAGATTTTAGGAAAAATTGAACCCGTTCTATTATAGTCCAGAATTCTATTATAGTCTTCCCTTATTTATTCCCGTATATTGTCCTCTAATAGCTAGAATTTATTATAAAGAGCTTATATAATATTCTAAAGAGAGAACCTCTACTAGGAAACAAGTAACTCAAGATATAATATAAGTAAAACAGGTTCTATTATACGATATATCTAATTCCAGATATTTTAATACCGAGAGCTTTATATTAACTAATTCAACTACTTAATAGTATATTTCTTAAGCCTGAATAAGTATTTCTCTTTAATATTATTAAAATAAGCCGGGCGAGATACTTTTAATTATATTCCCTTTTCTGCTTCCGGTCTTCTATTTATATTCTATATTACTAATAGAGTATTTTACTCGATATTTAATTATTTAATTATTTAATTAATTATAAGAGGTAGAGAGGGCTTTATAGAGAATAAATAAGAAGTTTCTGAAATACCGGAATTAATAAAGTATTATATGTTATAAAAAGTGAAATTAATTTCAAGTTTTATATATTATTTAGAAAAGCTCCTATAATTAATAAGGTATATATTAGAGACTAATAAAGCTACTATTCTAAAAAGAGAAATAAAGAATAAAAAAATCAAATAAAACATATTCTATTAGTAATTCCAATTATAATAAAAGTAACTATAATTATTAGAATACTTACTAATTACTAATAGAAGTATATAGCTAGTATTCCGGGCTTATAACTATTATAAAAAGCAAGAAATAATAATTTATATAAATAGTTATTTAATTAAAAGAAGCTTTAAAAGAAGTTTCTAAATCTAGCTAAATAAAAGAAGCTATTAAATAAATAAAGCTAAGCTCTCTAATACTCGTATTTATATAATAATTAGTATTAAAAAAAAAAGAAAGAAATTAAGATTATTTTATTTTATTTATATTTTATAATAATAATAAAATTTTATTAAAATATAAAAGAAATATTAATAAAAATAAAAAGACTTTTTAAATTATTTAATAAAAAGCTTTATTTTCTTTATATTAATTAATTATAATATATAATTATAAATAAAAACCAACTTTATAATATTAATAATTTCTTTTTTAATATATAAATAAATAATAATAATAATATTATTATTAAAAGATAAAGCTTTATAATATTAATAAATTTCTAAAAATAAAAGAATTTTTAATTAAAAAGAAATCACTCTTTATTAGTTTACTAGAAATATATAATACTATTTATATAAGTTAGTAAAGTAGTTATTCTCTTCTATATTTTTTTTTTCTTTTCTATATTGTCCTATATTCAGGCCACCCTAAGCAGTTGGCTTACGGGGCTCCGTAGAAAAAACAGGTCATATAAGAAATACCAGAATTGCCCCTTTCTAGGGAATCGCATATCGGAATACGATTCTATCTAAATCCTTAGTGCTTAGCTAGGGATTAGAGAGAAGTAGCTTAAGTACCTTTCTCTCTATTTTAGTAGTTCTGGAATATAAGGGGCTTTTCTTGCGATTTTTTAAAGCTCGGGGGAAAATCTTAAGCTAGGGGCCCTGTAAAAAGCGCTAAAAAAAAATCCTAACCTTATATATACTTTCCTCTCCTTCTTCTCTCTATTACTATAGACCCTCCCCGCTTTTATACTTCCTATAAGCAGAACCGGCCTGCTTCTGACTTTATTATAGAGCGGGCTAAGCTATATAAGACTTGCTCTTATTATCGAGTTTATATTCTCCCCCTTTTCTGGCTTAATTAACTAGTTAATAGGCCCGAAATACTACTAATCATATCTAGCAGTACTCTGTCTTATAAGAACTTGATCCGAATGCCCTCCCTACCTCCCGGCAATAACGATGGTCGGTTACGGACGTCTCTGCGGACGAACTAGCCCTATGGCGCCAGCGACGGATCCGTTAACCGTCCGTTGCGGCCCCCGTTTATATTATAGAGGATCCTCTAGCCGACCTACCTCCTATATAGCCTCCTGCCTTCCTCTCCTGCTTCCGGCTAGCTCCCGTATATATGACCGGTCCGCTTACGGGTCGCTATATAGCTTGCGGAGCCCTTTATTTTGGCTATACGGACGATTGCTTTGAGGCCTATTACAAGAAGGGCGACATAATACTTCCTCTAATCCGCAAGCCTCCTCTATACCTCTCTTATCTCTTTATAGGCAATAACCCGCTTTACCGGGCCTTCCGGACGAATATCCGGGTATATAATTATACTTTTACCTTTATATTAATTAGCTATAAGAAGGACGCCCGGATTAACTTCTCCCGTAGGATCTAGTACTTTTAGATCTATAGCAAGCTCTTCTACTTCCAAGGCCTGCTATAGCCTGCTATATATACCGAACCCTCCTTTATATAGCTCTTCTTCTATGACCCGCTCTTTATAACTAATATCCGGGCTACTAATTTCCCTTACTTAGATTATATGGTCCTTTTATAGCTTACGGATATGCTTACGGACTATAACCCGTTTATTATGGTCTATAAGACGGCCTGCGAGTATCTTACGAGCTAGTAAACTGATTTCCGGGTCTTACTTAACCCGCAGATATACTTAATTCTCGAGTCAGGTATAAATCATTATTATAAGAACCTCCCTACGAGTAATAAGGTTACTGTCCTAATCCCGGATAAGTATATGAATACGAGCCGCTATAATCTAGTACTAATAGTCTACGAGGCAGGCCGCAAGTGTCTGTAGCTATATACGATTAATATTATATATATAGTATATATGCCGCTCTACTATATCTTGCTTTTCCCGTATGGTACCCGGGCTAGTACTATGAGTTATAGTTATAGGACCGTACCGGGACCTGCTAGCGAATACGGCTCGAGTAGCGGGCCTTTTACCGGTATTACCTCTATGTCCGTCTAGCCTTTTCCCCGCTCTTTTATACTGGCCGCCTCTTCTAGTAGTATGTTATTAATGCATATATTACCTATGAGACGACCTCGCTTGACTGGCTTTACTTATACTAGTAGAATATCCGTATGGACGTCTATACGGGACTTGCGGATACTCTAATTCATAAGAACGTCTATACGGGTAATATTAGTTATTATTTTATTCTCCCGTTAAGCTTTACGGGTAGTAATTACTTTATATAGCAGCTTTTTTAAGACTCGATAGCTATTATATGGTACTTTGGTAAGCCAAGCTTCTTTATTACATTTATAGCTAACCCGTATTGGCCTGAGATTATAGATTACTTCTTGAACGGGTAGTAAGTAATTAATTATCCGGATCTCCTTTACCGGGTCTTTATCCTAAAGATAAGAGAGCTTCTTACGGACCTTAAGAACTACCTTTTTGGATGGTATACGGGCTATATATATATAATTAAGTACCAGAAGCATGGCCTCCCGTATATATACCTGCTCTTATTTCTTAGGAGGAATACTATCTTCTTAACCCCTGATTTGGTTAACGAGGTTATTTGTACCGAGCTTCCAGACCCGTTATGGGATCCTATAGGCGAACTTACGGCCGTAGTTACTAGCCAGATATCTTACGGGCCGTATGGCCTCGATAATAATCCGAAAGCCCCGTATATGGCCCGTAGTATACCTGTAGCCCCGCTCGTATATTAGAAGAGGTTTCCTAAGGTATTTACGGCTATAATAATTATTTGCGAGGATAGGTATTCCGAGTACTGGTACCGGAACGATAGCCGTATGTTTACGGTCCGTAAATCCGGCTTTCTAGGCCAGGAAGTTATTCGTAATAACCGCTAGATTGTTCCGTATAACCCGTATCTCTTCTAGAAGTTCTGCTTATATATTAATATTAAGGTTTATATATTTATATAAGTAATTAAGTATATCTATAAGTATATCTATAAAGAAATAGATTATATAACCGTTACTGTCTCGGGAACGAATAATGAGATTACCTAGTATCTCTAAGCTCGGTATATAGGCCCTATAGAGGCTTTCTAGTACCTGTTCGAGTACCTAATATACCAGGAGTTCTTCCCGGTTTAATACCTTGTAATCTATCTCCCGGGGCAGTATATGGTCTGCTTTACGGCTAATCTCTTACCCGAGTAGATTACGGACCGGGCTGCAAATACCTGCTCGACCTTAATGGCCTTCTTTGAGTATAATGCAATATATGAGGACGGCTGCTAGTACCTCTACTACAAGTTCCTATAGTACTTTGTATAGGTTGCCAAGACCCGGATATGGAAGCCCTATAAGCGAGAATATAGTATTAGCCATATTTACTACTATAGCCCAGTTTCGGGCGAGCGGTTCTACTTATGGCTCTTACTAATAGTCATATGTAGTCTGCGGTCCTTTAACGAGCTATATTTGGTTAAGGGCGTCCGTTATCCTATATACTATACTACCTGTATTACCTGCGGCTTGGCAGAGAATAATTAGGAGTAGTTCTAGTACTTTAACGAGGCTATTTTATTAATGACCGGCTATAGTTTACGGATACTCTTTCTTACGGGTATTTACTAGTAGCTAATTACGGATATGCGAGTAATCTGGGACCGGTATAAGGAGTATTTCTATAATGACTTGACCCGTAAGCTCGCCTATAACCTGTTAATTAACTTCCCGCTGCCCTTGGTTAATCCTTACTATAATTACGGCTTCTTTTTGCTTGGTCTCGGCCTTGCGGATCTCTAGCAGATGTTTACGGACATTACCCTGCCTAAGAATACCTTTAACTAGACCGTAAGCCACTATATAGCTAATCTACGGGTTAATTATACCTATAAGACATTACTAGTAACCGTAATATAAGCCTAACTAAACGTAGACTAGTACTCTTGCTTCTAGATAATTATGGCGGTAATTACGGATAATTCACAGACTGCCTACTTCTACTTATAAGGCCCGGGCGGGACTAGTAAGATGTTCCTTTATAAGACCCTCTGCTACTATTACCGTAGCCAAGGTAAGGTAGTCCTATATATGGTATTAACGGGTATTATGGCTCTCCTTCTCCCGGATGGATATATGTCTTACTTCTAGTTCCGGATCCCGCTCGAGCTCGATAAGTCATTTATAAGTATAATTACTAAGACAAGCCGGCTCGGGGCTCTCTTGCGATTTACGGACCTGATTATCTGGGATAAGGTACCTATATAGTATAAGTACTGCTTTGAGGTGGTATACCGGCTAATAGTCGATTTATGGTCGGTTGCAGACGATGTTCTCTTTGGAGGAGTATCTATAATCCTCGGGAGAGACTTTGCCCAGATCTTACTAGTGGTTCCATATGGTTCGCGGGCCGATATAGTACGGGCCTGCCTATAGCGGACGTGGATCTGGCTATAGCTCCGTTAGCTATTATTACGGATTAATATACGGGTCCGTAATGACCTATCTGAGCAGGATTTTATAGACTGGATTAGTCGTCTGCTATATGACCCGTCCTTGAATAGGCAGATTATGCTTCTGCCTTTTGTTCCGTATACCTAGTTAGTTACGGACCTGATTAATTACGTCTACCTGCGAGAATAACTCTTGCGGGCCCCGTATAATTACCGGGCCTTTAGCAGATAAGTAATCCTGTTAACCCTAAATAATACGGTCCGCGAGCTTAACCAAATAATCCTGGATATATTCCCTGGCCAGAAACGGATGTATTTTGTAGTAGATTCGGCTAATATAAACGAGGCAGATCCTGAGATCGCAGAATTACCGCCAGAGGTCTTATAAAGTATCTGTTTACCGGGTCTACCCCTTTCCAAGCTATAACTCAAGATTAGTATACCCGTAATACTTTTGCGGAATCTCTGTTTATAGAAAGGGCTATATAACGGATTGCGGATATTAATATATAGTTTTGGGAGGTTCTTGATTCGGGTATGGCTACTGGGTAGCGACTTTGACGGCCAGTTACGGACGATTCTACGGATTAAGCTCTAGTTTACGGATTAGTAACTATCTTTTATACTTTCCCGTAAGTAGTTTCCACTTGCTTTATTCTTTATAATAACTATTAATAAGTTATAGGGCCAGTTATTTAAGGCAGTAGGGGTGGATTTACGGTCGCCGGTCTTTTCTTACGGCCAGTTCTATGTGGCAGCCTTATGGGTAACCTTATAAGCAGGGCTTTATATTCTTTTACCCTCTAATATAAACCGTATGAGTAATATAGTATACCCAGAAATATTATAAGGTCTTGCTTAGCTTTTGACTTACTTACGGGTGACTTTGCATACTTACGGGCTATTCTCCTTCTTATACCGTCTGTAAAGGCCTTTACTAAGTTATATACCCCCTTTAATTCCAATCCTACTCGGGACGAGTTTAGGGCAAAATTATTAATTGGCCCCGGAGCTTGCGTAGGGCCGCTAATTAATAATTTTAGCGAAGCGGCCCTAAACTCGTCTTCTCTATATTGTCCTATATTTAGGCCACCCTTAAGCGGTTGGCTTACGGGGCTCCTTAAAAAAAACGGGTCACGTGAGGAATACCAGAATTGCCCCCTTCTAGGGAATCGCGTATTGGAACGCGATTATGTCCAAATCCTTAGTACTCAGCTGGGGATTAGAGAGAAGCAGCTCAAGTACCTTTCTCTCTATTTTAGTGGTTCTGGAATGCGAGGGGCTTTTATTGCGATTTTTTAAGGCTCGGGAGGGATGAGGTAAGGGGAATTCTTAAGGCTCTGGCTAGCTCTCAAGGCTTCCAAAAATACAGGTCACGTGAGGAACACCAAAACTTCCATATATTACATACCATAATCCTAATACCTAGCAAGCTTAAGGGAAGTTTTATAGATATAAGAGAGAGCTTTATAAGTAAGAGTAAGGCTATAAAGGTTTATATAAGAAAAGAAGAAGCTTTATAAGCTTATAAGATAGCTTAGAAAAAATAAAAAATAAAAGAAAAAGCTTTATAAATATAAATAAAGGCTAAAAAAAGCTACAAATAAGAATATAAGTAATAAGTTACTTATAGAGGTAAGTAAGACTTAAAAGAATATATAAAAAGAAAGAGCTTTATAAATAAAAGTAAGGGTTATAATAAATAAGGCTTAAAAAAGCCTATAAGAAAAGAAAAGAACTTTATATATATAAATAAAGCTATAAGAATTTATAAAAAGAAAAAGAGAATTTTATATATAAATAAAAAAAGCTATAATAATTTATAAAGAAAAATAAAAAGCTTTATAAATATAATATTATTTCTTTTATAATTAAAAAGAGTTTTTCTAAATTTTAATTAATTTTTTATATAATTTATATTAGATATAAATAATTTAATTTAATTTAATATATTAAATATAAGTTCTTATATATATATATAAATATTTAAAATATATAATTA